GTCAAAGACGGGCACTCGGGTATTTCTCCTCCATGAATCCTGAGGTGTTCAATCCTGTTGGTCGTTCACCCTCCTTTACATGATATAACCGTGTTGCTAATGTTGCATTAAGATAAGAGTTCATTCTTCCTGCTAAAGTTAGACAAACTTTTGACCACCACCGCTGTGGGTTGTAATGCACTCTCTCTCTCTCTTCTCTATCTGTGTGGCTCCATCTCATACGCTTCGTCCTCGTTGGTGTTTGGCGGTTATTTCTTCCGGTCGCTGGACTCCGGCATCGAAACTTGGGATCGAAATTTTAAAATTTGAATGGTCCCGGGAGAATCGGAATGTTAGTCCCTGTTCCCATTGATGCTCACGACTTGATGCCAAACCCTAGGTATCCAGGTGACTCTTGATGATCCTTCAGAGGTCCTCTGTGGGGGTTCAGGTCAGGCTCAATCAAGCTCAGTAATACCAGGGTCGGCAAACCAGTTTTTGGTGGTTTTGGCGCTGTGGGCAGGTGCCAGGTCCTGCTGGAAGAGGAAATCTGTATCCCAGTAGATGAAGCATAAAGGTCACTGACACCTCCTGGTGGACTTCAGGCTGTGCTGACTCTGGTCTTAATCAAATCCAGTAGACCAACAGCAGCAGATGACATAACACCCCGAACCATCGCAGACTTCACGCTGGACTTTACGCTCCTTGGAAACAGGTCCTCTCTGATCCTCCTCTAGACTCTGCCATCTTGATTTCAAAATGAGATGCTAAACTCAGGACTTTGGACCTCTGAGCGATAGTCTGGTTCTGTTTCTTCTTACTTGAGTGTCCACTCAGAAAGTCTAACACCTTAATTTGACATGTTTAAAAGTTTCCCTCTGTGTTCACACACGCTGCACAGGGAGTATTTTGGATAGATTGGTTTTGCAGGACTGAGTCATGCAGATGTATGCAGGTATAGAGAGCATGGCTGTGCTGAATGATGGGTGCTGTTGTCCTGAGCTCCACTCAGAGACTGTATAAAACAAAGACGTACAGTGGTCTTCTTATTCCTGAAGACTTATCGATGGCGGTCCTCATCTTTGGGATAAATTCACGGAGCAGAAGGAGGTGAAATCCTCCTTGTTTGTACTCTGAGTCTGAGCCATTGAGGAATTCGACCTTGCACATCCGTGAATGAAGCGAAGCCTTCTGTCTACCCAGAAAGCCGCCCTGTATTACAGCTACAAGTGTAATCACAGTAATCTGACTGAATCCCATTATAGCACTACCAGAGTCTAGACGGCATGATCTCTGCAGTGCTGCAAACTCTGCGCTCAGAAATGACATCAGAGACTTTATACAATTACATTTCTCCCACACAAACAAACAGAAGCCAGGAGTTTGCCTCCAAAACAAACACACACACACACACACACACACACTCACACACACACACACACACACACACACACACACACACACACACACACACACACACACACAGACAACCAACCCCCATCCCATAATCCACCTAAATCAACCCGCGGCACAACCCCTGCATGATATCAGACAGAGGGGGCAGAGGATTTACCGTCTTTCTAAAAATACTGCGTAAGAGATGAATGAGTGGAAGCCGCCGCCGCGCTAAGCTGCATTATACTTGTGTGTACGCGCACGCTTTGTATTCATTTACCAACTCTGTTTTGTTTTTCAACTTTCACCCTCCATCCCTCATCTGTGAGCCCTCTGCTATCTCGGCAAAGTAGATTGATTGTGCTTAATAGTCTGCTTTATGAGGCGGGAGATGTTCCAGACAAACATGTGGATTAGCGAGCGCAGGGACACATTGTAACCCGAGCCCGGGCAGATGAAAATGTTGTTCTGGATTTCCTCTGCTGAGCTCAAGTTAAAACTCTCCCCCATCAACACAAGTATACATTTTCTTTTCTGTTTTTACTGCTGCTGCTGCTGTCCTGAAACGGAGGGCAGAGTCCTCACAAAGACGGGATGGAAAAAGTGATTATTATCGACAAAAAAACAGAGTAATGAGGCCACATTAATAAAGTAAAAACAAGTACGAGCTCATAGAGTGGAATAATGTAAATTTATCACAAGAATAAAGAAGTTTGATGAATCTACGCCTTTCTGCTCAGCTCTGTCCTCAGTAAAAACTGCTGTCCTCCACCCAGACTCTATGTGGGGTACAGATCATAAAGCTGCAGGTGAGATGACTCTGGCGGATTTTCTGGTTATCAATCAGGTTAGAAAAGTTTGCCATGATGGAGATACTGTTTGCTCGCTCGCTCCAGGAAAAGAGAAAGAAGTGGATTGAGTTCAGGAAGGTCAGGATGAGAGCTCCCAGAGCAGCTCTGAAAAATTAGCAATGATCTCAGTCATATTAAAGGGATATTCCGGCGTAAAATTAATTTAGGGTCAAACACACTGTAACACTGAGTTAGACCCCCCCTCTAGAGATGAATGTTGCCGACCGCTTGCTTCTCTAGTTATACCAACTTTAGTAACGACCGCAAGATAGAAATACACAGCAGTCTGAGGAGCCAAAAACAAACCTCAACCAAAACGCCACTCTATAGCCACAAATAATGCTCAGAACAGCACCTAACTTCATTAACAGGACATATAGGGTCACAGACATAGTACTAGACACCAAACATCTTTTTAACTTTGACTCATTTCTTTAGAAAGAGACTAAACACAACTCACCTACTCTCTTCCAGCAGCCACTTGTTTGTAGCGAGACCTTAGGCCAGTCCATTACAGACTACAGCGGGGTGCCGCAGCTCAAGGAAGAACATTTATGATAATTTCTTTATCATTTCCTTGAGTTAATAATCACCATATTAATCATTTCGCACTGCAGACGCGGTAGTTCTTCTGTTGATGAAGTTAGGTGCTGTTCTGAGAGTGGCGTTTTGGTTGAGTGCGTGGCTCTCTGTATTTCTATCCTGCGGTCGTTACTAAAGTTGGTATAACTAGAGAAGGAAGCGGTCGGCAACATCCATCTTTCGAAGGGGTGTCTAACTCGGTGTTACGGTGTGTTTGACCCTAAATTAATTTACACCGGAATATTCCTTTAAAATAAAACTTGATGATATCCTCCGTCCGCCACCTCGCTATAATTCCTCTGTAAGATATCCTAAGTTATCGTCCCCAATCTCAGATGTTTATGTTTTTCAGAGAATCCTCACTGGGGATAAAAAGGTCAAACTCCAGACTCTGAATATCTACAAACTCTCTGCCTTTAAAATCGTGTTTCGGCGTCTCTCGGCGGTCCCTCCCATCATGCACATGTTGGCATCGCTAAGCGCTGACGTACCACTTGATTTGAAGAGCTGAGCAGATCTGGAGGGCGGCCAGAGAGGGCTCCGGTTGCAGCGTTGACATGCTCTCTCTCATCCTTCACCTGCTATCTATTAGCTCTGAGCTGGTGATACTCCGAGTTTCTCTATCAGAGTCATTTCCCTCCCTGGGGCCAGTTTCACTCTGTGGACCCTGAGAAGTTTGGATAAAAAATGAGCCCTCAAGTATCGTCAGTGTAGCTCTGGTTATCTAAGGACATTTTAGGCCACAGTGATGACGAGATAAGTATGATTGCATCCTCTTAAAGCTGATAAAAGCTCTAAATATGGACAAAGGTCATGCATATTCTTTGAGAGCATGCTAACTAAGGATCCCAGCTCATTATCGATCATCTGAAACCTGCGCTGGAAATGCATTTTTTGTTTTTCTGGTACTTATGTGCTCTGCCTCTTTGTTCCAATCGTGTGAGAGGCTACAAAGGTCTCTGTTGTGAAACATAGCCCCGCTTACATCTCCTATAATGTTATTATTTGCCTCCTTGTTCCTTTGTGTCCCCTGCAGTATCAATAACATGTGAATTATAAAGGCATTGTTCTGTGTTTTGGTGGCGATACCACACATTTTTCAGATTTCAATATACAGCAGCTCCTCAGAGAGAAGTGTCATGTGTTAGCCCCTGAGGACAGGCAGGTATAGGTTTACACACACACACATTTACAGTATACACACATATACACCTGGGTTTACACAGGGGCACACACACACACACAGACACACAAAACTACCATCCATGCACCTTCTTTTCTAAGTGTCTTTTTATTTTATCTTGAAGGTTTTCTGTCTTTATAATAAACGAGTCCAAACTACAAACCGCTTAGATGACTGTCCTCTGTAAAGATGATTAAAACAGTCACATTAATTAAAACAACATAACGCACAGATGAAATGTAAAAGGAAATCCTCTCCGCAGAGTTTCTTCACCTTTGTCCAGGTGTGTAATCTGAATGTGCGAGTGTTGACAAAGAAACGCGTCTTTCCAGGAACCGTGTCCCAGTTACTGAGAAGAGCCGGACGGACGCTTGTTATTCAGACAATTCCCATGGAAACTGTCCACAATATGTTTTGTTGGACAGTAACAGGACACTGTAGATGTTGCTTTTGAGATTTTCATGTCATTTTTCAATAACTCACGAGTCCACTCATCGCTGCTGAAAAAACAGTGACCCTATGTCTCTTAGTTTTCTGAATTTAGCTTTGTTTGTCTTTTCATGATGTACCCTCGATAGCTGACTAACTAAAGGTGACCTGCGCAGATTTTTCACATTTGAACTTCTGTTTGAACAAAACTTGAAAAAAAAACTTGAGGAAAGAGCACAACATAGCAAACCAGCCTCAAGTGGACGCCTGAGGAACTGCAGGTTTTCTGCACTCAACCTAGGGCTGGGCAATATGGCCTCAAATCAATATCACGATATATTGATCAGTTCACCTCGATAACGATAAACGGACCAACTTTTCCAAAACCAACTTTGAGTTTTCATTTTTTGACATCGAATATACCAATATGGGCAAAATGACGTCGGCTATTGTCGTTAATTTTGGTACTGGTAAATTTTCGTTATATTGCTCACCCTAACTCAAGCGCTCCTGAAGTTGTCCCGCATCTGGAGCGGCTATGAAAAGGTCGTAACCGCCGATTCAAGTTAATGCGTCAATTTCCACCGGCTTCTTTCCGTTCCTCTGCGGATCACCGGACTCCTCAGCTGATCACAAGAGTTCTATTTTTTCCGGACGCAAGAGCATGGCGGATAAATTCAGCACAGATTAACCCGTGCTGGAAAGGAAGTCGGGCACAGACACAAAATAAAACATCCAAGTGAAAGGTTTGTAGACGTCATTTCACCCCGATGACACCATGGATGAGGAGATGCTGATTCTAGAAGTCTAGAAGTAGATTTCCTCCTCTGGAAGGACACAATCTACTGCTTATATGTCTATATGTCTGTCTTTATAGAGATAACTCGTTATTGCGCGATTGCACATGAATCCGCGGGTTCTTGTGAGTTCTTGCGATTACCACTGTCTGTAATCCGCCACAAATTCACCTCACCAATGGATCATATAGGAATTGGCGGACGGCGAAAATCGCCACCGTTCTGGATGCAGTGAAAATTGGGGGTTAGACTCTTTAATGCTCTTGTGATTTTAATGCAAACACCTGATATCAGGTCAAGCAAAGTAGCACCCGGTCTGCAGAGAGGAGGATTAGCTGGTGTGCTGTGGAGGCTAAGGGCAAAGAACCCTGGACTGTCCGTCTCTTAATGCTTATTAAGGAGTCTCTGAGCTCCTCCACATAGACACACACTCACATAGATAGTCTTTGTCCTTTTTATGCATGGTGTTTTACTTTAGATTGATCATACTCAGTTGATCTGGTGTTTGAATAAGTGTTAGATAGATAAATCTGCACATGTTGATTACATGAGAACAACGCACTCCAAATGCTGTGCATAATTAGTGTAACCTTCCATTTTCACGTTTACTTTTAATACACAGAGAAAACTTTTCAGTAAAAAAGTTATGTAAATATTTTTTTATTCATGCATAAACACACTAACTAACATCAGACTGATAATGCACAAACAGTAGTTCTGGTTCTGTTGGGTCGAGCCACATTTGAAGGGAAGCTTTTTCCCTGGGTCAATTCAAGTCCAAGTGAACTATGTCCAAACTTGCTCAGAGAGCGGTGGCTCTGAGGTCCAGGTGGTTCAAGAATAATCCAGCCTTGTGAGGAGAGAGAGTGCGAGCGTCGTATGGCGTCTGGGCAGCATCCTTGGGGCTGGCGGCTCTGCACGGCAGGTCCAGACAGACCTAAGAGAGGGGATTTGGTCACGCAGGAGTCCTAGGAAAACTGGGACACCCTGGGATCTGTGGTCCTCTGAGTGGAGTCCCAGGTTTTACTGAATGAGCCTGGGCCGAGCCAGCCGCTGCTGCCTGCACGTCCCATTGGTCCAGCTGCAACTAGTGGCGTGCAGATATTGAGTATCAGCTGTTGTGCTGGCAGCTGTCAGTCAGTCTCCACCTGCCTTAGAGCCGCACGAGCTGCCCAACTGTGAGAGTCGGCGTATGGCTGCAGGTGTATATATGATGACAACTGGAACACAAGACTTCAGGAGGACGGTTTTTACGGGTTTTTAAACTTTCATGGATTAGGAGAACCTCTGGAGCACCAGCGTGGTCTCATGGAGCACATACCTGCGGTGAGTTTAAATGTCAACAACATTTACAGTCTTGGAAAATCAATTAAAATGTATTTTTAAAAGAGTTAAATCTGAATCTGGAGAGTTCAGATTAATATAAATATAAATTCATGCAGATATTCCTCAAATAACCCAAAATCTAAAACTGACTGAGGACTGGTTTCCGTCTGTTTCATGACTGTTTTTACACATTGAACCATTTCAGATCTACTCAGATAGTCTTTATTGCCAACATGCATCTTAGCCAAACTGTTAATCTTCCCTCCAAACACACACACACCCACCACACACACACTTCATACATGTCTCCAAATAAGCTCCTTATGCAGGCTGCAAGGGTTGTGCAATACCTTAATGGTGCTCTTGTTTCTCATCACCTCTTATCGTTGTGTATCATGTAATGCATATGCAATAAACAGAGAGGCTCATTTTAGACATGAACGTCTGTCATTTGAAGCATTTAATTTCAATATCCCGTGTTTTTCTATTCTTATGGGTAGAGGAATATATTGTAGTAAATCAAACCCTGAATAACAAAGACTTCATAATATAATGTGTTTTAATAGTCGTGCTTCAAAAGAGCCTTTAAATAGAAAAAGATGTAATTATTAAAAACTATACAAATATAAGCTGGACTAAATGTAGACCAGTCAGACATGCAAAGGTGTGCATTTGTGCAGGAAGGTGCACAATAATCAGAGTTTGATCAATCACAGTGCTCCACACTGTGAGTGTCTCGGTTTAGTCCAGTCTCTGCAGCATTAAGAAGTTTTTTCTGTTCGGATATGAGACTGAAAATGAAACATCTGGAGTTACAATCAGTGTTGGAAATATAAGGCAAAAGCTATATTTTTTTATGAGGTTTCTGCAGAAGTGGAAATACTTTTGGAGAAAAATCTGAGATTTTTGTTTTTTTTTATTTTGAAAAATCTTACTGACGACCAATGGTTTTCTGCAAAAGTAAAATCAAATAGACAAAAAAAGAAAAATTTAAATGGAAAATGAATGAACTAAGATCTTTATCTTTATGTATATTTATATGTATATATAAAGAGATATATCTTTTCTTTCTTAATTTCATTTATTTATTTTTTTCCTTTGTCCCTTTGTTCTGTTACATTATTCTTCTTACTTTTATTAGTTAGCATTATTATTTCCAAATGTTATATTGTTATTAATAAGTCAACTCCACCTACCAGCAGGTGAAATACAATAATACCTGCTTTTGCCTGTCTTGTCTTGTCTCCCCTGTCTGTGTCTTAGTTTGTTGTCCCTCACCTGTCATGTTCTGTTTTGCATCACTTAATAAAAAATAAATAAAAGATGAAATATAGACCAATTGATATGTGGTGTTGTTATGGTAATGGCGGTCTTTAAGGATAAGAAGCTCAGTGATTTATTACTCCGAAGTGTCCGCTGATACTCAGACTCTTCTGTCAGCGTCATCCTGAATGCTCCGGGTACAGGAGAGCGCATGAGGCCGTGTGTTAGACCAACACCAGAGTGTCCTCCAAACTTCTCCCTTTGTTTTATGTTTCTGGCACAGGGTTAGTCCTTAGCCAGTTTCAGGGCAGGTGCTGCTCACCCCCATTATTACCCAGCCTCAGTTGATTGCTTGTAATGCCTGAGTGCGTATGGCTGAAGGCGCACGCTGGTGTCAGAGGGAATGCCCTCTTAATGGGGGCAGTAATCAGGGAGCCGTCGCCAACCAGGCAAAGGAAAACACGCCAGGACCGTGCAGCATGTCAGAGGCTCATTAAGGAACGGAGCGGCGTTTATAACAGGAACAGTAAATCACTGTGCTCCCCTAGAGCGCTGAGAGCAGGGAGTCCTGCTCTGTTAATGCACCGCTCATCATACAACACACACCATTTACTCTGTGTGTGTGTGTGTGTGTGTGTGAGTGTGTGCGCACTCAGGGTAGGGGGATTTCTGTTAAACCGTGGAAGAAGTGAAGTCCATGTTTCCACTCGTCCATGTAAGACTTTAAATCTGATCCATACGATGAATTAGTATTACTATGCAGGGCTCGACAGTGCGACCGTTTCACTCACATTTGCAACTAAAAATAGATGTGTGCGAATTGTAAAATGTAGTTAGGGTCACATGTGCGCATAGAAAAATCAGCCAAGGCAACAAACGTTTTTTCCTGTAAATACGGCGGTGAAGTTAGTTTTAGGTTGGATATATTCTCCTGTAAATACGGCGGTGAAGTTAGTTTCAGGTTGGATATATTTTCCTGTAAATATGGCGGTGAAGTTAGTTTTAGGTTGGATATATTCTCCTGTAAATACGGCGGTGAAGTTAGTTTTAGGTTGGATAAATTTTCCTGTAAATACGGCGGTGAAGTTAGTTTTAGGTTGGATATCTGACGGACATTCTCTGAGGATCTACCGGTGTCTTCTCACTCTCCATAACCGGGAATAACAACAGTAGCGCGGTTAAATCTACTCGACACCCTCACTGTCAACGTCGGTGTTGAATAAGGGACCGTCAATAAATTACCGGTTGATGTTCTCAAAAAAGGCTGTTTTCCTTCAATAGCTTCCATGTCATGTGACCAATTGACCTAAAATCGATTCCAAATCATAATAATTATGTCAACCAATATAAGACACACATTATTTGATCAATTTTTATTGTGCCCCTAAAGGTCTTTGTGTGCTCCTTACTTATTTAACTTAGGAGAACACGCGCTCCTTGTAAAAAAAAGTTAGTGTCAAGCCCTGCCAACTATGTCAGACCGGCACTGATCAATTACCAGACACAGATATGAACCCATTCAGGTCATCAAAGTCCCAAAACAGTCGCCAAATAAGGCAGAAGAGGACCAGCAGGATAAATCTGCTTAGTCAGTTTCGAAAGGAGAGATGCTCCCAAAGAAACGCGCCCTGTGGTGAAGTTTTCCATACTATCACACATTACCATGGATGCTCTGTGCTGCAGCATGTTTTCAAACTACTGCCTGCAGCGACCTTGTAGAGAGCTCTAAAACTTTCTGAACACGTCTGTCATTTTAGCCCCGAACATGTATAAAACATGTCCCGAGTTTAAAGCCGAGCGCCTCCTGGAAAAGGTTTTATCCGACAAACAAACAGAGCGAGTCTGCTGCTTTGTTTTTGAACTCAAGTGAGAGCAAATATGAAACTCCTTCAAACACAAAACCTCCTCCGTAACCGTCATCTCCTGTTTTTTTTGGTTCATTCTGTGCAAAACTGCATCTGACTCCACTTCACAAAGTCATTTTGGAACAAACACATGGAGCCCAGTCCATCGTGAACACTTCCACTCTTCAGACATCAGCTCCTGATGAACTCTTCCAATTAGATAGCCATCAGCAGCACAGGGGCCCTGATACAAACCAAATGGGATGGCAGACACACAGCCAGAGTGAATTGTGTCATTGTGAGGCTGATAATGGGCGCCTTCTTACACACATTAAATGCAAGTCAGGGGGGCCCTTGAGGCCCCTGGTGGCCTGTTTTTGCATGAAGTAAAATGCCTCCCATTCAATAGGGCATGGGCAGCAACGTTAAACATTTATGGAGGTTGTTTAAACAGCCGTTAACTGCAGATTAAGTGAGATCGGCGCTCCTGGTGCCGAAGAATCTGCCCTGCAGATCCTGCACACACACACACACACACGAGCTGGAACATGCATGTGAATAAGCTCATGCACATTTAAACACGCACCCATGAAATTAAGAGACTGCACGTGCACATACAAACACACACAGATTAATGAATGAAAGGCTGGCATGTTCTTACACAGACGCACACAAGAGGCGCCTGAAGAAAGCTGCATGTGTGTGTACATGTGTGTACCCTGACAAACACACACACACACACACACACACACACACACACACACACACACACACACACACACACACACACACACACACACACACACACACACACATACACACATAGATCATTACTGCTCTGGACTGGAGCTTTCCTCTTGGGCATTGTAGCAGGCTTTTGTGCTTATGTGGAACCATAAGTAGGAGCTGTGTAAGCCTGTTGATGGGCTGTTAACATGTCTAATCGCTGTGAACATATTTGAGTTTTTAACTGTTTTTATCCTGTTTTTAGAAGATTGATATTGATAGATTTATTTGATTTTAGTACCTCGATTAATGTTCAAACTTAAGTGTTTTTATTGACTGTCTTTGCAAATGTAAATAGGTTTGCTTTCCTGTAACTTTTAAAGTCTCCAAGTCCTTTAAAAGGCAAACTATGATGCAGTTTGAGTTTGCTGTAATTCTGTTTTCTTCAGTTTGGTAGATGTCTCTTCTGTTTAGTGCCTGGTGTTGTCCCTTGCTAATGTTTGCTCAGTTTTCCCACTTTCAGCTTTCCCTTCTTCTCTGGCAGGATGTACGCTATCCAGCATAATGCTGTCCACTCCCGGTCATATTCAGATCTAACAGATCTGTGCAGGTTATACATACTGGTTATATCCCAGCCTAACCAGAGATCAAAATACTGACAAATGTATCATGCAACGCAAAACTATCAGTCCTCTGACGCTCACAGTCCTCGTCAATAAATCGTGTAACCACCCGAACAGAGCGAAATGAAGAAACGATGTTTGACATGCAAACAAACAACAAACAAAAGTCTTCATTAGCTTGTAAAACTTTGATCATTTTCTTTCTGCAAGCGTCACGTTGTAAAGAAATAGTTGCAAAGGGGCTGCAGAAATCCTCCCCCCTGTAAGTGATCATCACATCATCATAGAAGGAGTCGTAAGTGTGTGAATGTGAGGGAAGTGTTTATCCAGACAGCATGAAGCTGTCCTGGTGCCCCAGTCCATTAAGACGCCTTGTTCTTCACTTGCCCTTTCCTGCCTAATCTGGCCTGAAACCTCAGTCCCAGAGTACCAGACTGGTTCCCCTGTCAGGGTGTGGATGTAACTGAGATAGTGACCAGACCAGATTATCTTTGCCCGTCGTTCTCACTGTCTCGCTCTCAACCCAGACGGAAACGTGACGTAAGGTAAAAGTCGTGCCTGGAGCCCGCTGCTGCACGCTCACTCTGTCTAATATGGAGTTAGCCTCCTTTCGCTGCCTCGCTGTAATTGGCAGCGGCAACAGGTCAGGATTGACTGTACGCGGAGGGGAGAACGCCATGAGATCATGAGGCTGGCGGTGGGTCACTGTCAGGGTCAGAGGCTGGTTAATGAGCGAGGATGTTTTGACTGTGCTGTGAAAAGAACTGGAAGTGGTTTGGTTTGGATTCAGAGCAAAAAGGAAATCATGGTTTGGTCTCCTGCCAACTTTGAGGGTCTGAAGACGTCATTACCGTTATAAACGCGTCTTTTATTCCTCTGTAACCTTTAAACCTGCGGACACTTCTTTGTTTTCTAACAGTTGTATCAGTAAAAAAACAGATTTAGTAAAGGCTGCGTTTGATTTTCATCCTCAGAGATATGGTAATAAGCCTGCTCACACAGTTGAATTGGCAGTGCGCACAGTTGGCTCGTTGTTGTTTTGGTGTTTTGTGTGGGCTGGGGCCGGGGTGCCTGCCGAGGCGCTGGTGTGGACAGCTGGCCCGTCTGATCCCTCTAGTCTGCTCTTAAATTGGTTTTAGCGGCAGCACTAATAAAGCTGATTATCTGTGTGGCTCAAGGCCTCAATAACCCTGTGACAGTGCTGGCAGCTGGTGGGACCAGGAGCACGGAAACCATCAAAAACCAGAAACATGGACCATTAAGGAATCCTGTTCCCATGGAAAACCTGAAATCGTATTTTTACCCCGTTGTGACTTTTGTCTTCCTCCTGGATCTGCCTGCGTATAAATCCCTCATATGCACCAAGTTTTGCACTGTTTGGCGTAGTTTGTTTGGCGTGCAGCTCTGCTTGTTCTCACTCCTCCATCCGCTCTCCTGCACTGACAGCTCAGGCTCTACCCCTCCGTCCCTGCATGCTCCCCCCTCTCGGGGTTCCCTCCCTCTGCTCCTCTTTCCCTCGCTCTTATTCCTCTGCCTCCCTCCTGTACAGTCGTCACTCTCTGGGCAGCTGCCGCTAAACCCCTCCTTTACTGCTTTACACCCCTCCCATCATCACCCCACCTCACCCCACCATCGCTTTACCCTCTGATTTTACACTTGATGTACACAATTCACCCCATTCACACGGTGCGTACTTCACGCTTCAGTGCTTTTGTTGTTGTACAAATGATGTAAGATCTACCGAGTCTTCTCTGAGTTTCCCCAGGTTCACAGTTTACACACCTGGACCACCAGACAATTTTTCTTGCTCTCCATCCTGCACAGAAGTTTGTCCCCTCTCTCTTCTGGTCTGCGCTTCAAATCTGTGATGTACATTCTGGTTAAGTTGTAAAAACACAGAAATCCTTGCAGCCACGTTTGTTGAAAACAGACCATAATGGCGTGACGGAAATTCCTCCTTTTTGTGAATTTAACAGAGTACGTAAGCGGAGTGAGTTATTTACACGAATTAAGCGAGTAAATAGTTTTATTTACATTTGATTTGAACACTGCGTCAGATTCATTCAGATTCTGACCGCTTACTTCTCTAGTTATAACAAAACTTGAGTAACGACTGTGGGATAGCAATACACAGCGGTCTGAGGAGCGGGGTGCCGCAGCTCAATCAAGAACATTTATGATCATTTCTTTATCGATTATTTGAAGTAATAATCACCATATTAACCATTTTGCACTGCAGACGTGGTAGTTCTTCTGTCTTAGCGTCTCGGTCTGATTGTATTTCCATGAAGAAATGATCATAAATGTTCTTCCTTGAGCTGCGGCACCCCGTTGTAGTCTGTAATAGACCGGCCTGAGGTCTCTCTACAAACAAGCGTCTGCTGGAAGAGAGTAGGTGAGTTGTGTTTAGTCTCTTTGCTAAAAAAAGTTAAAAAGACGTTTGGTGTCTAGTTGTGACCGAGTATATATGTCCTGTTTTATTTTGAGGTGCAGTGGCTGACGTGTTCCGGTGACCACTAGGGCCCAGTGTGTTACCGGGGCTATAAAAGACCGACTTCCGCCGCGGCCTCACGCTCCCTCTCTTCCTTCATCCTCCAAGCAGCTACTTTTGTTTCTTTAATGCACCCGACACGCTCCTCAACACTTACACTGCATGACACCTAGTTTCCTTACTGACTCTCACTCACACACATAACGGAAACATGTTCATTAATTTAGAAAGTGAGTTCATCTTTGTTTAACAATAACACTCTGTGTCTTCCCCATTACTTGTAACAGCCTACGAGCCGGGCTGTAACACTGGTACTATGTCTGTGACCCTGTATGTCCTGTTGATGAAGTTAGGTGCTGTTCTGAGCATTATTTGTGGCTATAGAGTGGTGTTTTGGTTGAGGTTTGTTTATGGCTCCTCAGACCTCTCTGTATTACTATCCTGCGGTCGTTACTAAAGTTGGTATAACTAGAGAAGCAAGCGGTCGACAACATTCATCTCTGGAGGGGGGGGTCTAACTCAGTGTTACGGTCTGTCTGACCTAGTGCTGGGCGATATGGAAAAAAATGTATATCACGATATGGATCATTTTATATCACGATAACGATATATATCACAATATAGCTATGGTATGCTTTCAGTTCTATGAAAAATTTAAGTGTATACAGCTGCACTAGTACAGTACCAGTACAAGACCAGCACTTAAAACTAGAAAAATGAATAAATAAATACGTGGCCGAAGTGCGTTCATGTCTGTGCTCACCCAAAGTTATGCAACACTCACAGAAAACGCCGATAGTGTGAGCCAAAGCACTCCATAATAATAATAATAATAATAATAATAATAATAATAATAAATTTAATTTGTAATGCACTTTACATTTACAAAAAATCTAAAAGTGCTACAGTACACAGTAAAAAAAGAGCAGCAACAATAAAAAAGCAATAGAATAACAGTCACAGATTGGCATAAAAAAAGAATTTAAAAAAATAAAAAATATAGAGTTGCAATGTAAGAGGCAAGGTAGTAAAAGCATAGAGGAAAGTTAACCAAAGGCTTTATTAAAAAGGTAGGTCTTTAGGGCTCTTTTGAAGAGGTTGTTCACACTGCTAGATGTTTCTCCTCCAAAGCTGCTCTCTGCCTCCATCATTGTTTACTTTACTCTTGAAGCACGTAGGAAGACCCGAGCATGAATCCGAGCGCTTTATTCGCCTATCAGGGGCAGACAGGTAAGGTGATTTGATTCGCCACGACTCCAGAAATGATTGAAAAACTACAGAATGTCACAAAATTACGTTTCCTCGCTGCTGGCTTGAAGGGTAGAAATGCGCAGCCGCGCCAAGCTGACAGGAAGTCAAACCACTGTTGTAGTTCTTTTGTGTTGCTAGCGCGGTCAAGAGTGTTGGCTCTCACTGAGAGATGACTACAACAATGGACGCACCTGTTCAGCTGGTTGTTAAACACGGCTGAAAATGATCATCTTTTAATGTTGTTCCCGCTCCTGCCCACTCCCGTTGCCTTTTTCCCCGTCCCGTCCCGATCAAGGGATTAATTAAAAAATGACTCCCATCCCGTGGGATTCCCGCGGGAATCACGTGACCCACGGGAATTCCCGAAAAATGTCATCCTCTACAGGGAAGGTCCCGGAGCAGATGAAACAGGTGCCGGAGCGGCTGAAATAGGTCCCGGATCCGATCAAAAGAGGTCCCGGATCGCGCTCCGACTTGCTCCGGCACAAATTAAGCACTGCTTACAATGATCCCCTCACGTGTGTAACCCAGGTAACCCGCAACGGCGGGAGACGCTGGACACGAAGAGGGCACGTTAAGCGGCGTCATGTCGCAAAATCGAAAGAGAAATGCAAGCCTACATGTCAACGCATCCTTTTCTTTGTAAGAAAATATTGTTTTCTTTCCCGTTCGACACCAAATACACTTACTGAATGTGCAATTTTTGTTGTTGTCACTATGAATCATCTGATGGCACAAGCCCTATGGATTAAATACAGCCTATCGCCCGAAACGATAACAATAAAAATGGCACGATAGACATTTTCTATCGTGCCCACGATATGTATCGTCCTATCGCCCAGCACTAGTCTGACCCTAAATTAATTTTACATTAATTACATTTATGTTTTGAAACTTTTCTAAATTCAGTCTTTGGGTCTGAGTTTGACCCCGTCTGCAGAGATTTTCAGTTTCTGTCCCGGCGCTCCAGCTGGTTTCTCAACAAAAGGGGTCGAGCCGGCCAGCATCCTCTGTGGGTAACACACTGACTATTGACTATCACCTCATGTAACCCATGTTCAGCATGCCCCCCTCCCCTGACAGCCCCATGAACACTCACATATGCTGTGCCCTATTGTAAAGCAGTGCTTATGTATTTATAAGGGGGGAGTATTGGGTGTGTGTGTGTGTGTGTGTGTGTGTGTGTGTGTGTGTGTGTGTGTGTGTGGGGCGGGGGGGGTTGGTCTTTTCTCTGCCTGATTGTTAAAGATGTGTTGCAGGGTTGTGTCGAGCTGCAGGGCAGAGAAAATACACTAACACACACATTACAGCATGGGTGTTCGTATTGATTAGTGTGTGAGGGTGTGTTGTGAGGGCAGCGGGGTGGGGGCAGGCGGTGGGGTTATTTCAGTCAAACATGAGTCATAAATACATGAAAGCAACATTCACACGGGACATTAACAAACAAGTCGATTACAGTAAAAACCCAGATTATTGTAAGACTTAGATTATGGCTTTTACATGATTTGCAGTCACCCCAACAATAGGTCAGTTATTATCCGCGCACAGGCACCGAGGCATGAAATCAGATTGTGAAAGGAACATTTTACCGGACACCTTTTTTCATTTTCCCTCCCTGTTACCGATAGAGTCCTTTAAACTGTGTATGCAAACACCAGGACCGGACTCAATGTGATGCAAGGACAACAATTGATCATGCGCCCTGGCAGCTTTCCTGACTGTCCTCGTTACCAACAGCCAATGTGACTTCAATCTCAGCGGAGGGGGTGTGTTGTCATTAGACCAACAAGGTCCTCTTTTCTGTTGCATTGCTAATAAAACAGCAAATCAAGTCGTATTAGTTTCCCTCGTTGCTGATAAATGTCAGATGTAAGAAATTAGATCAGAGTGAAAATCTCTGGAACCCTGTTTGACTTCATATTAGCTCATTCTAGGAAGTAAAATTACAACGAAGGGCTTTGTTTGAAGGAGGAACTACGCAACCATTTATGAGTAATTCACAGACTGACGGGGATCAGGGTAATGAAAGTGAGGGGGTTGTTCAAGCTAATTAGAACCCTGAATGAGTGAAAGGCGCTATCTAATCCACACGAGACACGAGTTTAAACATTATTGATTTATAAATGATGTGTTTATGCTGCGTTACAGTTACCTCGGAAGTCAGATGTCGGAGCTGAAAATGATGTCACACTCACGTCAGTTACCAAGTCGGAAAAAAAAAGCAATATCAGAAGCCTAAAACAAGATGGCTACATCTACGAAATTTATTTTGGCGCTTGACTTATATTCGGACAAGGCAAGCGCCAAAATAATTTTCGTAGATGTAGCCATCTTGTTTCCAATTTTGATTTTTTTTCCAACTTGGTAACTGAAACGTTGGTAGCTCGGGTGTGACGTCATTTTCAGCTCGGACTTCTTACTTCTGAGGTCACTTGAACACATCATTAGTCCTGCTGATTTACAAGTCGGAAACGTTTCCATAGCAACATAATCCTTAACATTAGGCAAGGTGAGTCAGACCTCTGCAGGTGTCTTTAAGTCTTTGCAGATGACACAGATGTCACAGATTTGAACACTGTTGTTGTTTTTTTACGAACGCTTGGGTGTGACGTCACTAAAAATGACGTCACACCCGAGTTACCAGCGTTTTAGTTCCCAAGTTGTAAAAAAGCAAAATCGGAGGCAGAAACAAAATGGCTACGTCTATGAAAGTTATTTTAGCACTTGCCTTGTCCGGACATAAGACAAGCGTTAAAATAACTTTCGTGGATGTAGCCATCCTGTTTCTGCCTCTGATTTTGCTTTTTTTTCCAGACTTGCTAACTGAAACTTGAGTGTGACGTCATTTTCAGCTCCGACATCTGATTTCCAAGGTAACTCGAATGCAGGATAAGTGTTTCAGCCATATTAGATGCAGTTTAGTTCAGCTCCTTTAAAGAGAAACTGTGAGGAGAGCTATCTAAACCAAAAATTTTTCAGCATTTTGCGCAAACTGCCTTATTTGGTTTCCGACTTATCGTCTTCCCCGATTTGCCTGGTGTTAATTGATGCATCGTACTCTGGGTGATGTTACTGTGATGGGACCTGTAGTAGCTGTTTTGCGGTACATCCTGTCCACTAGCTCTGACGCTGTTGCATGGATTGCAGGACGACCTGCTTCTCAGGTAAAACTATCTGTCTTTGGTAAAATCTCCTTCCCTGACTAAAACTTGACCTGCTGGTGCAAAAGCTTCAATCATATTTTGAAGGTGGGCTTTTTCTACTTTAATAATACACTGGTTGATGAACGCACTGAAAGGAGGAGGATTTATTTCTCTTCTGTTTTTCGTTATGGTTTGGTGTCCCAATGTGACCTTTCTTTTCTTACTTAATGACTTCTGACAGCTACCCAGAATGTCTCCAAAATGCTCTTTAATGCAGGGAATTTGATTATGCTGCAGTTGATGTCGCTAATTTAATAGGTTTAGAAATGTTTTATGACTCCAGTGTGATGAGGTAAATTTATTCTCTAACAGGAGGTCAAAATAAGAGTTTATTTTCACTGCTAACGGCTTTTAAACAGACCCTAAACTGTTGAAAAATGTCCATAAATCCAAGGATTTTGTCGGCACTTTACTGAGAACATTAAAACAATCAGTAAGACGTATGCATAACTGACTACATGGAGGTACGAAGAGAGAGTGTGTGATCCTTGTATAGTCCTGATTGTGTAGCTTATGGCCCTGGGAGAGTGTGCGGCTGCTGAATGGGTGTCTTTGAATCATTACCCCTGCTCCCACGAGCATTGCCATTTCTCTGGTTTCACTCGCTGAGAGCAGCTTGCTTGAATTGGCCAGGGGCCCGAGGCTTCCTATAGGCCCTAAATCCAACAAAGCTTTTATGACACGGGCAGTTTCAGTGGCTCCAAAGAGAGAGGAGGGGAATTATGAGGACAGAGGAGGTTTTCCTGCAGCGAGGATCTGCTAACAAAGGAAGGCTTTTTACTGTTTGTTTCTCTGACAGAGCCACTTGAAGGAGCGGATCGATTTAAGTGTTGCTGTTTTAATCTAAAGGTCACTAATCAGAGTGTTTTTCTTTACATCTGGCACCCTTATCCTGGATACTTGACTTGGAAAAGATCCTCTTCCTGTCCACTGGGGGGAGATCCCAGGACTGAAGGAAGAGTTGTTGGCTAAAAGAAGAGAAGAGAGCCTTTATTTATTTAACACTTAGAACTCTGCTGGATCGCCAGCGATCTCACGTGACCCCATTAATACAGTTCACAGTTTCTCAGGAATTATACAGCGTATCTCTACAGGATAAAATGTGATCAAAAGTTTACCCTTTTGGCGATCTATTGAGGGTTTCCAGACATTTCTACACCGGCCACAAGGTTTACAATCCAGCCACAAAAACAGGTGTTTGATCAGAGACGTTTGGTGGTAAATCCGCAGTGATAAACCGGTGAAAACAGGATTATTTATCAGACTGTTGTGATAAAAAAGATAGCTATCGCTAAATGCCGCTAATGTCTTCCAGGTTTGACGATATGTTTTGATGACGTCTTTCTCTGTCAAACTTTCGACCAATTACATGGTCTAATATTCTTCTTCTATCTTTCCCTTGACGGTTGTGTCCAATGAGAGGCAACCAAAGATCAACAAGAGACAAGAAAGTTCCCTGCTCGTCTGCAAAATAAGAAATAATGGTCCTCAATGAGCTGAATTGTTGATCTTTCAACATCTGCAAAAGTTTGTCTCTAACTTTTGAACCACCTCTTCACAGTATTTAATTAGTAAATCATAATATGAGAGCTCAGGGATGAGGAGACGGGTCCCGGAACATTTATCGAAAATGAACTGAAAACAACATGCAAATGCCCACTTACCATGCTGTGGGACTTACAAGCCTCAACTTCAAATAACATCCATGGAATAACTAGGATTGACTTGATGGAGTGATCTGAAATATGAAAAATGGATCATCTTAACCCACTCTCCCCTACTCTGCACAGCACAGACAAATGCCCACAACACCACAGGTGGGACTTGCAGTAAAGAGTCAGCAAAATAACTTTCTCAACATGTCTAACGTAGAAAAGAGCTTTAAATAAATCACACAAATCTTCTATTATTACTATTATTATTAGTCAAAGTTTGGCACGGCGGCCTGTTAATAGACAGTTTACTCACCGTGTTTAGTCCAAAACTCCTCCACATCACGACCATGTCCGGATCCTCCTCCTCCTCCTCCTATTTCGGGTTTAACTCCGTGTGTCTGTGACAGTTCTGGGTCCTTTGATCACCCACGACCTCCCGTCCCTCAGTCCTCTCCTCGGTCCGCTCTCCTCTCCTTCTCGATCTTTCTGCTGATGTCGCGGTTCCCGCCTCTTACTCCGGTTGTTGTACCGGGTTAACTGATACCAGCGTATCCGCCTGATGGTGGCCCACCGGGCTGTAACCGGCTCCTGCTCCGGCTGGCGGTGAACCTAACCAGCTCCTGCCGCGGTACCAGCCTCCTGCCTTGGCTCGGCTAACTGTCGCGGCCATAGACTGTATAGTAGAATATAGTATAGTGTATACAGTCTATGGTCGCGGCGCTCGCGAGCCTCCTGCTGTAGCCGGTTTAAACCGGTAACATAACCGCCGCAGTTGCTGCCCTCGTCGCCGCTTGTAGAGGCTTTACTGACTCGTTTTTGGAGTGTCATGAAACTCTTCCTTCATTTTGAAAAAACACAGTAAATTTAACTGTATTTTTGACATGTTAGTGTTGTAATGGTGACCGTTTTCCCTCTCTGCTTACTGCTCCTCTGGTTTGGCGAATTTCAAAGGTTTTTTTTCTGTGTGAGGGGGCGTGGCTTTTTGGCTTTTCAGTGCGTCAGTGCGCATGACGTTACGACGGCGCGAACGGTGTCCCATTTGGCACGAGATGCTAAGGCTGTGTCTCATTTCAGAGACCGCATCGTGATAAGCGCGCTTAACGGCGCTTAGCTGAGTGCACTGCCGTTTTGAGCCGTTTTACGCCGTTTTGCGCCGTTCTGTGCCCTTCCTGTGTCCCATTTCAGATACAGCAGCCATCGAACGGCGCATCTGACGCGTACGTGAGGTCACCACGCGGCACGAACGGTGTCCCGTTTGGCACAAAATACTAAGCGCGCTTCAAATTCGGTCTCAAAACCACACTACCCCCGCCTCGTTTTCAAGCGTGCATGTATGCACGCTTTCGTGCCGTCGGTATCCCAGAATTCTTTGCGTGCCGCTGCACAGCTGTGCATTTCAGGTGAGAGGCTGGACTCGCTTGGAGACACAGCGCGTCTTCGAAGAAAATACAAGCAATCCAAAACCATCAGACAGTCAGCTCAGGCTGTATGAGAGCATGATCTCTGAACTCACTAAAATCTGTAAACCAAACATTATAGATTTAGAGACGAACTGATCCGCTGTGTTACAACTATCAAAAACATTAGAAATGAGAAAGCTGACAAAACTACAGCAGAGTATCAGGACAACATTGAGGTTTTTTTTTCTTTTAAGATTTAGAGATTAAAGTTGTAAATTTAGGAGAATAAAGTCATAAAATAAATAAAGTCATAAAGCTGCTTTTGTGGAGGGGGAAATGACTGAAGCTGGTCATCTGCAGGGTTATCTGTGGATGTATCAGCGGGTCATTAAGAGAGATTTTGTGGTTTCTGAAGAAACAATCAAACTGATGATAATCAACATTTGTGATCCAGAGGGAGTCGAGCTCCGACGAGCACCACGTCTCTGACACCGGCCGTAGCCTACACCTGCAGAGACACCAACACCTTATTACGGCATATGGATTCATATCATAAATTAAAGCTCAATGTCATTCACGGATATTAACGGCTGCATTGACAGATATATCCTCAGCATATTCATTTCTGCCTCCACAAAAGCAGCGATTTCCTTCAAGTACACCAGTTTTTTCCCCCGTGGAAAAGACGTATTTCTCATATATTCTTCTTAAAGTCTTTATACTTATGACAATGTTATGCTGATGTGCCAGAGGATGAAGAATCTCCTTGTTTGTGAAACCTATACTGAAGCACAGTTCCTTCAAATGCTTCATGGCCCTAATTTTAACAAGTCTCTCTGAAATAACAGGTTATGACTTCATTCTCATAAATTAATGACTTTATTCTCGTAAATTCACGACTTAAATCTCGAAGTCCTTAAAGTCTTAAATCTCAATATGGCCCTCATACTCCTTCTTACAAAACAATCATTGGATGAATTGTGCTTGTATGTATCTACTATTTTGTGTCTGTGCAAGGTTGCACAATTAAAACAATAAATGCTCGCTCCGCGGGTTTCCTTTAAGTCAGTCGTGACGCGAGCCTGAGGGCGGGGACATTTGGCAACTCCACCAGGAAGTCCTCTGAAGGTCTCCAAATGTCCCCGCCCTCAGGCTTACGTCACGAATGATTAGAAAAAAGCTGCGGAGCGCAGCATGTATTGTTTTAATTGTGCGACCTTGCACAGACACAAAATAGTAGATACATACAAGCACAGATCATTCCCACAAAATTAATCCAATGATTGTTTTGTATGAAGGAGTATGAGGGCCCTATTGAGAAGGAGGATAGGAGATACTTCATCCTCTGGCACATCAGCATCACATTGTCATAAGTATAAAGAAAAAAAAATTTAAAAAAAGAATATATGAGAAATACGTCTTTTCCACGGGGAAAAAAACTGGTGTACTTGAAGGAAATCGCTGCTTTTGTGGAGGCAGAAATGAATATGCTGAGGATATATCTGTCAATGCAGCCGTAAATATCCGTGAATGACATTGAGCTTTAATTTATGATATGAATCCATATGCCATAATAAGGTGTTGGTGTCTCTGCAGGTGTAGGCTACGGCCGGTGTCAGAGACGTGGTGCTCGTCGGAGCTCGACTCCCTCTGGATCACAAATGTTGATCATCATCAGTTTGATTGTTTCTTCAGAAACCACAAAATCTCTCTGAATGACCCGCTGATACATCCACAGATAACCCTGCAGATGACCAGCTTCAGTCATTTCCCCCTCCACAAAAGCAGCTTTATGACTTTATTTACTTTATGACTTTATTCTCCTAAATTTACAACTTTAATCTCTAAATCTTAAAAGAAAAAAACCTCAATGTTGTCCTGATACTCTGCTGTAGTTTTGTCAGCTTTCTCATTTCTAATGTTTTTGATAGTTGAAGCAGAGCGGATCAGTTCGTCTCTAAATCTATAATGTTTGGTTTACAGATTTTAGTGAGTTCAGAGATCATGCTCTCATACAGCCTGAGCTGACTGTCTGCTGTTTTTGGATTGCTTGTAATTTCTTTGAAGACGCGCTGCGTCTCCAAGCGAGTCGGTATCCCAGAATGCTTTGCGTGCCGCTGCACAGCTGCGCATTTCAGGTGAGAGGCTGGACTCGCTTGGAGACACAGCGTGTCTTCAAAGAAAATACAAGAAATCCAAAAACAGCAGACAGTCAGCTCAGGCTGTATGAGAGCATGATCTCTGAACTCACTAAAATCTGTAAACCAAACATCATAGTTTTAGAGACGAACTGATCCGCTCTGCTTCAACTATCAAAAACATTAGAAATAAGAAAGCTGACAAAACTACAGCAGAGTATCAGGACAACATTTAGAGATTAAAGTTGTAAATTTAGGAGAATAAAGTCATAAAGTAAATAAAGTCATGAAGCTGCTTTTGTGGAGGGGGAAATGACTGAAGCTGGTCATATGCAGGGTTATCTGTGGATGTATCAGCGGGTCATTCAGAGAGATTTTGTGGTTTCTGAAGAAACAATCAAACTGATGATGATCAACATTTGTGATCCAGAGGAAGTCGAGCTCCGACGAGCACCATGTCTCTGACACCGGCGGTAACCTACACCTGCAGAGACACCAACACCTTATTATGGCATATAATAATAACCCCCCGCCATCTTCATGCTGTGATTTATAAGGTTTCCTGACAGGCGTCACACTTTGTTTTGCAGTATGAAGTTATTCTTTGTCTTTGTTTTTGGACTCAGATGTGGTTTCAGAGCAGCAGAGATGGACTCCCTTTTTATCTGCTAAATAAATCAACGAGAGACTTTTGTACTGGGTCAGGTATACGACCTCCATTTGAGCCATTTTCACTCATGCATTTTTGGGCACCCCTTCTGAGATGATGAGATACACCCTGAAGAATGTGTGTACCAAATTTGGTGCTTTTATCCACCGCATAACAATTTGGCCATTTTTTCAAGTGAACAGACCCTACTATGAGGTGGTGTGTTCGAGCCTTTTTCGGGACAAGGTGAATTTTGAAGTCTAGTGTCTAGACAGGAAATTGAAAGAGAAAACAAATAGTATAATCCTGTGTCTCCAAGTGGCTCAGAGGATAAGAACACTGACTGGGATTCCTGAGGTCATAGGTTCGAGTCCAGCCTTGCCCAGTTCTAAGTGAATTTTGAAATTTAGTGTCCACAAAGTACAGCGATATATGAAAAAAAACATGATGGTCTTCTGTGTCCACATGGCTCAGGGGATAAGGAGACTCACTGGTACTCCTGAGATCGTAGGTTCAAGTCTTAGTCCACAAAGGACAGCGATATGTGAAAAAAGAACCCAATTCTCTTGTGTGTCCAAGTGGCTCAGTGGATAAGAACACTGACTGGGACTCCAAAGGTCGTGGGTTCGAGTCCTACCTTGCTGACTTCTTGGTGAATTTTGAAGGTCTAGAGTCTACAAAGTACAGTAATATATGAAAAAATACATGATTGTGTACACATGAGTCAGTGGGTTCAATCCTTATTTGGGGACGCCCCTCTGCTCAGCCCCCGGCCACCGGCCGCGCGGCCGGTGACCAAAGGCCGCCCCCCCTTTAATCCCCCCCGCAACACTTCTCCCCATCCTTACTCTAAAGTTCAGCCTGCTCTGACTTCCTGTTGCATAACCCCACTATTTTATCTCTCTGGAAACACCGGGGGGGGGTAACCCCACACCCCTGGGCTGAGCGGGTTTCGAACCAGGAGCCAGTCTTCAACCAGAACACATGGCTCACATTAGGGTGTTAGATGTCTACCACACTGCGCCACCGGAGACCATCCACAGTTGGGCATGAGCTCTGCGTGCTTTTATCTTGGTACTTTTGCTCCTGGACTTCAAAATTCATCCTGAAGAAGGGTTGAACCCAGACCTCAGGAGTCCCAGTCAATGTTCTTATCCTGTGAGCCATGTGGACACACGAGCCACATGGCCTACTATAAGGATATAGAGGTATAAGTTTGTCCACAAGGGGGTGCCAAACTCCAGACAGAGGCTTTAAATAAATTATTGCTAACTCAATTCTGGAGTAAAGTCAATTTATCCCTTTAGTACATTCATAGTACTTCTCAGTTAATAATAATAATAATAATAATAATAATAATAATAATAATAATAATGAAGAAAACAAAAGCACAAATAATCAAAAAGATTAGGGAGTTAACATCAGCAGCTTTTTTCTTAAAAACAAACACAAGCTCCAACTTTCAATTGCAATTTATTTCAAGTGACGCTAAAATGAAAATCTATGTTTAAAACCCAATTTGCTTGTGTGTCCAAGTGGCTCAGTGGATAAGAACACAGACTGGGATTCCAAAGGTTATAGGTTCGAGTCCTACCTTGCCCACTTCTTGGTGAATTTTGAAGGTCTAGAGTGTACAAAGTACAGTGATATATGAAAAAATACATGATTGTCTCGTGTGTACACATGAGTCAGTGGACGCAGAGGGCGTCCTTATTTGGGGACGCCCTCTGCTCAGCCCCCGGCCACCGGCCGCGCGGCCGATGACCATCGGCTGAGCAGAGGGACTACGCCCTCTGCCACATCGGACCCTGACACATTTCTGTTGGATGTGATTTGAACAGTGCTCCTGTATAAACATCACTCACATTTCTAATCCCAAACTGAAACCATCACACGCCCAACACACTGATAGTTGTCACACTGAAACCTGGACTGAAGCCTCCGCGGTAGACGCTGAAGAAGCTTTCTGGACGTTTAGTTTCGACCCTGGATGTCAAAGTTGTTTCACTCAGCTTTGCTCCTTTCAGACTCAGGAAGAGGCCGGCTGAATAGATAAAGTCCATGAATGAGATACTCTAAATACCTGCAAACTGCAGTCAAGGCTGCACAGTTGGGGCTCTGGATATCAGCGGAGTAGAGCCAAGAGTTCACAGATAACTCTTAGCCTGTGATGTGGGTGCAGACATGTGGTGACGAACTCATCAACTGTGCAGCCCTGACCACACCTGGGAGTGAAAAGCGAGAGTTAGTTGCAGAAGAAGTTGTCGACCTGGAATCTAAACGGTGCAGTGCATTCCTTCTGACGACCCAAAGAGACCTGAAACAGATCCTTTGTGCATCAAACTGAGAGAGAAAAAAAAAAAAAAAACATCAACCTAAAACTTTGTTATATTAGTTATATTTCTATTATAGGGATAACTATAATAACATATAACAATAACATATCTAAATATCTATTTGTTGCCATTTAATATGTTTCTAACAAACCAAACAGCTTGGAAATCATGTGCAACTTCAGTTATATTGAATCTAAAGAGCATTTCTGCCTCTTTAATTGATGTAAAATTACTGGGTCAACTCTGTAATATGTTCTTGGTCTCACTCACAGCGAGTCTGTTCGCCAAGTTAGACAGCTGGTGAACACAAGCACATCCACAAAGACTGACACTTAGACTAAATAAATAAATAAAAAATAGTCTGTCATACAAGAAATAAAAATCTTGATTGTGGTCTCAGCCTTGACAAAGCGACTCAAAGTTAGCCCTTGCGCACAAATGACCGTGAAACAACTGAGCTTCATGATTAAGTCTTTTTTTTACTCAAGGTAAATCTGCCATTTCAGTATGTCCAAACATCCCGACTCATAGCCCCCCCATTATTAAGGTCTGCAATAAACAAAACAGTTTGTAAATCTGTCAGAATTTCAGCGAGTTAAGAGTATTTCTGATCATGCAGATTACTCACCTCCCGTCAACTACCATAGAGAGAACCAGAATGGTATACTGGAGTAAGATGGCCGCCGTGTAGGGACTCCAGTGACTCGAGTCATCTAGCCTTTCTTATATGTATCTATGCCTGCCTCTTTGTCACAGTTGTATGGGAATATTTTTGATCAGTCTGCACAGCTTTTGAAGTTAATGTGTGTTTTTTGTTATTTACTATGTTTAGTAATTACTCGTCATTTTTATTGTGATTTGTTACAATGTTTCCTCGTTTGTTACTTCAGGGAACATTTGTCAACTCTTTTAGTTTTGGAGCAGAAAATTTGCGAGAAAACAAAGTCTGGAATTTTCTCATTATAACTCAATCATTAGCTGGACTGCAACCTGACAGAAAACCCAAACAACACTGGTGAACAGCCGGTATGTGTGTCTGTAGTGAACCACATGCAGAGTGTGGCCCAGATGGGACTGAGTATGGCACACAGCTGGATCCGTACACTTCGCTCACAGCTATTTTCTGCCTTCAGAGAGAACGAGAGAAGCCCCTTGAACACGAGGAAAGGACTTCAAACGGCTCAGAGACTTCTGAACTTTCTGGAAGTAAACAGAAAAGTGACGCAGGCGGCTGTGCTGTAATTGCCTGGTTCCTTTGACTGTTGCCTGGCCTTAGAGCTGGAATGTGCAGCGAGAAAGAAGTGTGTTGACATTCAGCCTGGCCCGGCTGAAGGGTCTGCATGGCATTGCACTCAGCGTGTCACAGGACTTAAAATCTTGCACATCTTTGACAAATCGTGCAATATACAGATTCAACGTGATTGCACAACTGCTGCTGAAAAATTTATATTCATCAAATTCATCTTTTGTACAGCAATGCTTCATATCTGGGTTACAAAGAGCGAACTGGATCATGGTCTAAGTACAACTACATTTCATGTAATAATAACCAAACCCACCCCTGTCTTTAGACCACTTGGTATCTTCCAACAAGCCAACTGAAGCATAAATGTCCTCCACTTTAAGCCCCGCCTTTTGCTCCAACCAGGAAGTGGCATCTCCAAACAGCCAGGTAATTCATCTACATAGAAACACTATTTTATTTTATGTGTAATTTAACAGGGAAGTGAAGATAACACAGACAAAAGAGATTAAACTAAATCAGTCTGAAAGTCTTTGAGGTTTTACAGAACACTGAATTGTTGGAGCTAAATAATTAAAGTAAAAGTAGTTCCTCCTCCTCTTTCATTTATACATGTGACATTTCTTTATCATTTCCTTGAAGTAATAATCACCATATTAATCATTTTTCACTGCAGACGCGGTAGTTCTTCTGCCTTAGCATCTCGGTCTAATTGCATCTTCATAAAGTAATGATCATAAATGTTCTTTCTTGAGCTGCGAAACCCCGCTGTAGTCTGTAATGGACTGGCCTAGTCAAAGTTAAAAAGCTGTTTGGTGGCTAGTACGATGGCTGGGACCCTATATGTACTAACCTGAGTAAGATCATGGTGTAGTTCCGTTTAGTAACAGAACCTCATTGGAAAATTATTTGATTTAACTTTACTATGCCCTTGTTCACATATACTATCTCAACAGCACATATATCCATACATGTTAACAAAATTATGATTTTATTGATAATTCGGCTCAATAAAAACACCTTTACCTTTTCATTTTTACTATAGAAGAAGTTTATTGGCCCAGCTTATAGACTACAGAGGCGGAGAAACGCACCCGCTTAAGTTTATGTTTTCTGAATAAAGTACTATGTCTGTGACCCTATATGTCCTGTTGATGAAGTTAGGTGCTGTTCTGAGCATTATTTGTGGCTATAGAGTGGCGTTTTGGTTGAGGTTTGTTTGTGGCTCCTCAGACCGCTGTGTATTGCTATCCTGCAGTCGTTACTAAAGTTTGTATAACTAGAGAAGCAAGCGGTCGGCAACATTCATCTCTGAAGAGTGTGTCTAACTCAGTGTTACGATGTGTTTGACCCTAAATTAATTTTACGCTGGAATATCCCTTGAAGAACTGCCCTAAAAATTCAGTTCAGTATTCAGTTCAAAGCTCAGTTGCTGATCGTGCTTCCAAAATAAGTGTTTGGTTTCATCACTTGGAAATGATTTATAATGTAGACAAACGAGCACCCTCTGGCCGTATGTCTGAAGTTTGAGAAGAGATATATAAAATATCATCAGCTTTCTGCAGTCCATGAAAAATGACGCTGTGCATGTGGCTGTTTGGGTCAGAGTCTGTAAATTTGCTTTTTTTGCAATGAGGTTTGGTTAGGAGCATGTTTTGCACAGAAAGCATGTTGGAACAGCCCCATCAAGGACTAGTTCAAATCCACATGACTGACCATGGCTTCCTGAGTACGAGTTTCACAGCTGGGGTACTTGCTGCACTTGTATGTAATGTTTAGTCTTCAAATGAGAGGAGAGCTCTGGCATCTGATTGGCTGGTTTATCTGCGAGCGCAGGTAAAGAAACAGGGATTATTCTAAGTGCCTTGCTTCAAGGCATCAAACCTGAGAGATGAGAACATCAGTCAGCAGGTTTCCTGACCTCTGGCAAACCTTAGCGCAGACACGCACAGTTTGTTCCTCCATATAAACAGAGTTAAATGTAGCACACTACCTCACTCCCCTCGGAGCACTATAAAAGTGTGAGCTGCAGCTTCAGTATATGGTATGCTTCCATAACCTCAGCCCCTAAAGGCTGTTTCATAACAGCTGTAAATGGGACAGCGAGAGCAGGACAACCACGTTTCTGCGCCGCGGTGACAGACGGCGTCCAAGCTGTTTACATTGGACACCGTCTGACATAAACACCTACACACACACACACACACACATACACACACTCAGACTCTCTCCTTCTTGAGTGTCTCTCTCCGCCTTTGCTAAGCTCTCACTGTGACTCCTCCTCGCTGACTTCTCATGGATGGGACTGGGGTCAAAGGTTAAATATGTGACCTAGCCTTGTCAGGATCTGCGGTGGGTTCATGGTGGCTAAAGATAAGACTGCAGGGACTCTGATTCACCGCCATTGTACACTGGACCAGGACTGTTTCTGACTGCTTAAATACATCTGATGTGTCTGCCATAACACTCCTCTCTGATTAGTCTCTACATCGTGTTTATATCGATGGAACATGTCCGTGTGTGTCCGTTAAAGAGCTGCTGTGTGTGTCCTCATATTATCAAGTTGTGTACAAGAATCCCTGTAAACAGGAGCTGAATTACTTTCCCTATATGGTTCATGAGCCCGGGTCTCATCTGTTTCTCTGCATGTTTCTGTTTCAGCATTAGGAAAGTATGAGCAATGAGACTGTCTGACATTATCTGGTTGAAGAGTAAGCAGAACCACCCACATGTATTCAGTCTGAGTATCCTAAGTGGTGTGTTTGGACTGTTTTTAGCAGCAAATTATTTTTAAAAAATCAGAGTGATTATCCCAAGTGTCGTTGTAATACTCATATCTGCCACTAGGGGCAGTGATAGAAAGACAAAACCATTCCAAACACCATTCACTGTAAGTCACGAAGGACAGTGCATCCCAATATCCTTCTATTGTATAAACATAAGACTACAAGAGCATCTCTGTGAGCTCTGAGATGTTGCACTAGTGACTTAACACATGCACCTGTGGTCAGTCTGGTGCAGTAGGTGGCGGTGTGCATGTTAGCAACCCCGTCGACCACTCCCATCACCAACTCAGAGAAATTGAAGTTGTGGTAGGCAGGAATCGGTTAAAGAAGCATCTTTTTTTTGTGGTGTATTTACAAAACAGCTTTTAATATCAGTCAATAGTTATTAGTTATTGATGACATTTGGTAATATAACGATATCTCTGTGTTCTCTTATGTCTGTGTCGTCAACATTTTAAAATATCAGTGCGCTCGGCTTATTCTGACTGTAAACAAAGCCGTTCTCCACCTCCTCTAACCTGATTGGTTGTGAGGCAGACGCTGCTCCCCCGTGTCGTTCAGGAGCCCAAACAAAGTTAGCGTGCTACAATATCGGACAGTAGAAACCAACCAGAAAGTTCGGAAAATTGTCTGAATCCTCCTTTGGCCACGACTGCCGACACAAGCAAGAAAACAAAGTAAATACCGGAGACTCTGGAGGAATAACGGGCGCTTAAAACGGAGGTAGACCGGACAAGAGCTAAAAAGCCGGGTCAACATAAACCATGGGGGACGCTTGGGGATCTTGGTGACCCTGTAACCTTTCTGCTGGACAGGTAAACCGCTTTAACAAAGTAAGACAAGTGTCTGTAACAGAAGTGTTTCTTGTCAAACGGACCTGCTGTAGCGTGTTGTAGCGCCATCGCTAAACTGTCCTCCCTCGGGTCCTGGACTATGTCACTTTATCCTAGTTGTAGAAGTCCTGCAAACATTGTGTTTGCTGGTAGTCTGTTGGCATCTACAGTAGCACCAATGCTTTTGACTTTCACCTTGACTGGGCCCCATTTGTAATGATCTGAAGTATTTATCTGCATTATATCTGAATTTAATTGGAACGATACGAGCGAGCAGGAGCGTCTGTTTGTGGGCGGGGCTTGAGGGGAGAGGAGGAGCTGAGGGGAAAACTGGTTGGGAGGGGTAGAGTTTACATTCAAGATTTCTCCTAAAAACAGGAACTTCATCAGATCCTGACTACACCACCTTTAAGTGTTTTATCATTTGGAAGTTGGCAGATCTCAGCTCCCAGTCAGGGCCTGCAGGTGGATGTTAGGGTGGTGGTGGTGGTGGTGGGTATGAAAATGTGAGTGAAACACTTCAGCCTGGCAGTGGAGATACTTGTATATGAGTGTGAAAGGTTAGAAAATACACACCTGTTCAAACAGTCTCCACTTTGTTTTTCGAGCGGCACCTGGAGTCACTTAAACTTTGATTTCATGCATCCATCTTTTATTACAAATCACACTTATTGAGGCTTTAACAACCACTGATGTTAAAATGCCGGTGGAGGTCATATGATCCCTTTGCTAAAAAGCTGTAAAATATGTACCCAGATAGTTTATAAGCACGCAGAGTAATAAAGAAAGAACACTTAAGTCGACAAAGATGCTCTAATAGAATAAAAATGAAGCAAAGACTTAATGCAAAGCACAGAAACCAATAAAACGTGTCTGTTTTTAATGATGGATGCTGTTATATAGTAAACAACACAGCGGAGCACCGCATTATTGTGCGTTTGTTTAAACATGTGGCACATACGTTCACAATATACATACATTAAAACCACATAAATGACTTTGTGTACGATAAAAGCGCAGCCACAGAGAAAGGCAGAGATGCAGCATTTCCAAGACTCCAGGCTGCAAACATTTCTGCCTCCTTGTTTGACATGATTTCACCACATAAAATCTGTGCGCACAAACATCTGATGACGACAGAACGAAGACGAGAGCGAGCGGAGTCTCTGAGATTTCTGATGGAGGATGAATTTGTCCGAAAAGATCTGAAACAGCTGCGTAGTCTCTCATAGAGTATGGTTCCTCTCATGGTCTCTCAGGCTCCTTCTCATCCAGGACAAACACAGGAACACAAACACCTCCTCCTCCCCTCTCCTCCTGTAATGACGGCTCTGCAATGCTTCGCCACTTGTCTCCTCACTCCTTCCCATCCTTGTTAGCGGTGCTAGCCTTGACCTTGACAACCAAGCAGGCTGCCATCACAGCTCATTAACATTAACAACAGTCTGCCTGGTGTGAACTGCCGGCTATGGGAACCTTCTGGACTTTTATGGCTCCAATTGGCTGTCAGGTCCTAACATGTGGAAAGAGGAAGTTGTATTATCTTCACTGCTCAGCTAATGGTAGGCTGCATTCATGTTAGAAATGCCTCACGGTGTGCAGCGGTTAACACCCACATGTGGAACAGCGCGGCAACAAATTGTGCCTGAACGCTGAGAAAACTGGAGCCTACATTTCCCCCCAAAACTCCCAGAAACTGAACCGATTTTGATCTGAACTGGGCTGAAAGTAAACCCACTTTACCTTCTTCTGTATTATCTTAATGCATGACGTCAAGAACATGCTTAAAAGTGCAACATAGACTGTTTTAACTGTGTTTAAGCTGCAAAAACTCAAATGTTGGCAACAGAGTTTGTCTTATTTTAGTGAAAATATTTAACAAGACTCAACATAAAGTCCAGATTTGTGGTTTGATCTCAGGTCAAAAAATAAGACCTGAAATGCTTTTTATAAGTAAAAATATCTGCCAGAGAAAAGTTGACTTATTATACGTCTTTTAATCTGGATAATTTGTTGTTAAAAACAGGGAGAAGTCTGAGGTAGTTTATTAGGTACTATTTTCACTTTTGGGGGTCTAGAACATTTCAAAAGGCATGTCAACTCCTCTGAATTAAAATGATATCCCCAAACATGCTTAACTTTATCCAGAAATCACTTTAAAACAAGGTTTAATGAAGCACTTTCACAGACATGCAAACAAATCCAACAGCACAAAAGATAATCGCAATCTAACTGAAAAATCAAGATCATTACCAAACTTATCTGAATAAAAAGGAGAAAAAAAGTCAGATATGTACCTAAAATATATTCCCTTAGTACTTTAAATATGTCTTTTTACTCTAAAACATTTCTGTGAAATAGAAAGAAAGACGAATGATAGAGTGAATGTTGATATTTAAGTACCGGTTGTAAATTCAGTGTTATAGACCTTAAACTTCATAGTCTTTTATTGTCCGAAGAGTCTCAAACTACAGAATATTTTTATAAAAGATAAAAAAACAGAGTCTTGTATTAAAGTGACATTTGAACCCCCCCTCTCTGTATCTTATCTGCTTCCTTTCCCTTTTTTCGGAGGTCCTTCAGATTTACATTCCAGCCACCGTCAGACATTCTGAAATCTATAAACACCGTCTTACAGGTGCACACTCTGTGACAGGATGTTCAGATAGTCCTCCAGCTCCTTTTGAACAAATAGTTCAGATAAGTATGAAGCACAAGAAGCCACTCAATGAACTAAATCAGGAGTTGAACGTTGATTAAATGGATTCATTTGGGTCTGCGGGGCCAAACAAAAACATCCAGAGTCAACAACCACGACAAAAATCACACAAACAAACAGAGAGCTGGTTTTTAGCAGGTCGCTAAAGGTCGTTTCCCAGTGGAACGATGACATAATACACCAAAACAGTCGACAAGAAAAAAAAAGACCCAATTGCAGAATATAAGGTGATTTAATGAAAAAATAACTAAATAAAAAGCAACAAAAACCCTCTTATAATGTCCAACTCAAAAATCCCAAGAAACACAGGAGGCAAAATCTAAATAATTAAAAAAATCTAAAATCCAACAAAAGACAAAGACACTGAGGGAAAAAAAACACATGGAGACATTGACGTGCAGACTTACAACATAAATCCACAAAATGAACCAAAGAAAGAAACAGGGGAAGAGAAGGACTTTATATACAAACACAGGGAAACGAGAAACGAGAGGCAGGTGAGGCACTGAGACACAGGTGAGGACGATTACAGAGGAGGGATAACTGAGGAAGTAAAACAAGGGAATGAACTACTACAAAATAAAACAGGAAACACTGAAAACTGATAATAGAGAATAAACACTGAGAACATGAGGGAACTGGGGTCACAAGACAAGACTACAGGGGAACAGAAACACAAGGGAAAATTCACTCAAATCACAGGGAAAAACTCAATAAAGAGAACACATAGTGACAGATACAACTTTCACTCGGTCTGATCTGGTTCACCTCCTTTATGCCGGGATTGGTGAGACCCTCCACTGTGACATCAAAAACCTAAAATCCCAAAAACCTATGGATCTAAATTTAAGCTTCAAAACCCTTTGAGCTAGAGCTTCTGCTTTATATAGGAAAGAGTATTAGGGTAGGACATAGCACATGATTTTTTTTTTTTTATCATACTATACTATAAAATTTACTTAAAAAAACTATAAAACTATACTTTGAATTTTTTTTATCATACTATACTGTGACATTTTTATCATACTTTGACAAACTTTTAACATACAAAACAATGACATTTTTTTTTATCATACTTTACTATAAATAATATTTTCATACTATACTATGACATTTTTCTATCATACCAGTCTATGACATCTTTTTAACATACTTTACTGTGACATTTTAGTCATACAATACCATGATTTTTTTTTATCATTCCATACTATGACATTTTTTTTATCATACTATACTTTTACATTTTTATCATACTATATGATGACATATTTATCATACTAAACTTTGACATTTTTATCATACTATACTATAACATTTTTTTTATCATACTTTACTTTGACATACTGTTAACACACAATACTATGACATTTTTTTTTTTATCATACTTTAATTATTTTTTCATACCATACTTGGACATATTTTTTCATATTTTACGATGACATTTTTAATCATACTACACTATGACATTTTTATCAGCACATGTACTTTTAAAGTCCAGATTCAGTCTGAGTCTGGACGTAAACAGGCTTCTTTTTCTTCTTCTTGTTCTTGTTCTTCTTCTTGTTCTCCTTCTTCTTCTTCTTCTGATTTAAGAATGTGGCAACGCTGAACAACACCAGAACAACAAGATGAAAACTCCACCTGAGACTCAGCAGAGCGCAGGGGAATGCACGGTAGTCAGCCGGATTTTAACTGCCTGCTGAGGAAATGTAAAAGATTTTATTGGTGTTTAAAAGAAGATGGGCTGAATGAGAGCCCATTGTGTGCAGGCCTGCAGAGGAGTGGGGGTGTTTTTTTTTTTTTTTTTGGAGTGGAGGATTGTACATGGTGCGAGGAGCTTTGAAACACAGGGGTTCAGGATCAGTCTCTTCAGCTGTAAAAGAAACATGAAGGCCAAAGCCGCCATAAAAAGCGGCCTCCTGCCACACGGCGCTGTTTATACTAACACCTTTTATGTAAAGTCACCAAACAATAAGCGATGGTATTTCGACTGTTCCAGAAGTTATACTGTTCCCACTTCAAAGCAGGGGGAAAATTTGTCCTGAGGAAATTAATCGCCTAGTCATAAATGTTCGGCATTTATGCTTCTCGGTTATAAGCTGGCGGTGGTTTATGAGTTTGCCTGTAAAAGCACAAAGAGGTTTCAGGTTGGCAAAGCAGAAAAATGCCTTACTCATTCATCCTCTGGACCACTGCCTGTGCTGAAGGATTTTCCACAGTGACGGCGTGCAGCGGCCTCCTGACCTCGCTCACTTACAACAGTACTGTATGTTTTAAAGTGAAGATATTACGATGGCTGCAGCTTTTTCACTCCGCCTGTGATGGATAACTGCGTATATTTTCAGCCCTTACTTTGGCGTCGTTCCTCAGGTGAAGGGTGTGTGATAGAAACATTACATAAAGGATCGGTTATTGTTCTTACAGGAAAACCATGAAACATGTTTTAAAATAGCCTGTATGTGCTTTGACACGTCCCGGTGTGTACAGAAGAGTCAATGACATGTATTTAGAGCTGACCTGAGGTTATGAATATGTGCAATGACAGGAAATAACAATCCATGCCCTGCAGTCATTACAGGTGTGTCATTATGGCGGTTTGAGGTCCGTAAGTGGAATGAAACTTCAAACGAGGCCTCCATGCTGTTCCACCTCCACCTGCTGTTGAATTTGAACCCTGATTGGCCTCGATTTGGATCATCGGTTAAGCGACTTGTTGAGACACCTTCGGTGTTTACCCGTTGCACCACATGTTTTTCACACCTGATCTATTTTGGTCTGTGAGTTTTGTAATCCAGAGTGAATGAAAAAAGACAAAGACACTTCTGATTACGCCACCTCTCATCTTACAAATCCACTTTTCACCTTTTCATTTGCCAGTCTGGGGGTAACCGTGCAAGATTTTCTGCTAAAAAAACTCTTTAAACTTACTTTATGAAAACCATCATTTCAGCCTCTGCCTGAGACACTTTGTTTGGAAAGTTCAACACAGCTTAAAGGGATATTCCGGGGTTAGATTAATTCAGGGTCAAACACACTATAACACCGAGTTAGACCCCCCCTCAAGAGATGAATGTTGTCGACTGCTTGCTTCTCTAGTTATACCAACTTTAGTAACGACCGCAGGATAGCAATACAGAGAGCCACGCGCTCAACCAAAACGCCACTCTATAGCCACAAATAATGCTCAGAACAGCACCTAACTTCATCAACAGGACATATAGGTCACAGACATAGTACTAGCCCAGAGCTGGCCCAAGGCATAAGCGAACTAAGCGCTTGCTTAGGGCCCCGCGGCCAGTAGGGGGCCCCCAAGAGCAAAAAAAAGAAAAAAATGGAAACCTTTTTATTTTTTGCATGTATGAGTGATGCTTTCTGTCTGATCAAATATATATTATTGTAAAAATAAAATAAAGTAAAAACGTTTTAGTGCTTCTGATGTAGTCCTACGATTCTTACCGCCGATATGTCAAAGCTCTGCTTCCGTTATGTTCCTCCTGCTGTGTGATGTGCACTGAGCGTCCTGAATGTGTTACATTTTGAGATTAAAAACCATAAATGGCCCCCTGAACATCATTCATCAGTCATTCATTGGTATTATTTGCATGGTTGCGTTGGTGTTATTTATGTTATTACCTAGGCCACCCCCTTAGATGTGTAAAGACATGTCAGGTGCATCAAATTTATACTGTAGTAGGTGTGTGAATGATCAACAATCAATATTATTGGCAGAAATAGAGGGCCCCCATTGACTTTGACTAATTTCTTTAGTAAAGAGACTAAACACGACTCACCTACTCTCTTCCAGCAGACGTTTGTTTGTAGGGAAACCTCAGGCCAGTCCATTACGGACTACAGCGGGGTGCCACAGCTCAAGGAAGAACATTTATGATCGAGTGGCGTTTTAGATGAGACCCTAAATAAATTTTACGCTGGAATATCCCTTTAAGGATGTTACTTTTTTACACAGTTTTACAGTTTAAAAATGACCCAAAAGTTATATTTAAGCACTTTGTTTACATTATAAAAGAGCAAAGAGAGACCATTAGATAGATTAAATTAGCAGATCGAGCGACCTTAAGGCGCTTTATTTCCATTTTAACTCCTGTAAGAGCATCTGGAGAGTCCTCTGTACACAGCTGCGGTGTTAGAGTTGGCATCCTCCAGAGTTTGTTTTTCACTGAAAGAGCGTTTTGTTGTTTTATCTGCCACACAGGGATTCAAGAGGGCACTTATGTGGTATTTGGGCATGACATGAGGGTATCAAGGAGGGGTGGATCGCCCTCCACGCCTCCACTCTGAGTTCATCCATCTCTCCTGCAGGCTGAGTGGATCTGCTTCACCATATAGAGACATTAGGGACCCAAAAATGTCAACATACTCCATGTTGACCTTCGGAGTCCAGCGGTATGTACATGCACGACATACCTTGTGTGGAGCAGAGTGCTTATCTCTCCGTGTTGCTGGGTGGAAACCCTCTTTATTTGTCCGTGTGCTTGTCTGTAGTCAAGCAGCAGCGTTGACTGTTTATGAATATTCTCCCGATCATAATTTATCAGTTTTCAGATTCTCATGTGACTTCAGATGAGCTGGGTGTCCTTTCCCTTTCTGTACATTTCTGTGTTTACTCTCAGAAAGTCACTGAAACACTTGCAGATCGAGCCGTATGGGCGTTACCTAAACTCAGGGGATAGCTGACAACATGTGCGAACATGTCCTGTTACAGAACAGAGAGATCCCAGGTGATGTCCTCATGGACAAACACATGACTCACTCACGTCCATGTGATTGTCCCTCTGACAATGCAAAATAGTCATTAAGATGAAGAGCACATCGCTGCAGCGCTGTGAGTGTTTGTGATGGATTTCTCTATGGGAACTGCTAATGTCTGTATTATACAGGAGGGAGTATAAAGGCTGATAAATGACCCTCCATGTAATGTCAACATACTTTATCACAGATGATTCATTTTAAAGCTTCCAGGCCCACTGCGTTTTGTCACCATGACGCGCAGTACCGACCATAACCTGACGACATGTACAGTGTGATGTTATTCAGGTTAGAGGCCGTCCAGGTGTTTTCTTTACGGCTTAAAGGAGGGTAGCCTCATTACAGGTGCTGCTCAGATGCCGGCCCCGGAGCTGAATGTGCACCATGATGTCACTCTGCAGGGCTTTTCCATGACCTGAACCAGCTCCAAGAACAGGAGGGAGTCAGAGGGGCTGAAGTACAGCTGCAAAGTTACTCATACCGTAATAATTCATGGCAGGAGATAAAAAATGAGATTCCAGTGAAGATTCACAACGCGCGATCAAAACACGACGACTGCGAGTTAAAAAAGTCGTAGAGCGGATCGGATTCAGTCATAGCTGTTATGGTTTCACAGACACAGGGGAGAAATCGAACAGCAAAAGTTTGAGAGGTTGTCATCAGCGTCATGAATCTTTATAAGAGAAACTACTGTTTATGAAGGAAGGCGGACAGGCGGACACGCTTCAGACATTTAAACTCGAGACGCTCGGTTCTCATATAAGACAGACTCAACAATCTGAGGCTGAAGATGTGCTTCATCCTGTTAAAGAGCCACTCCGATGAAAATCATGTTTTTATGTTGTCTACGTGTTCGTTTTTCTGATGCTACAGGACACATCAAGAGAAAAATAAGTGTGAAATTGAATTTCTGAGTTTTTCCAAATCTCCGTGAATCTCTCACAGACCTGAACGGCAGGTTAAGATGTAGTGAGATTTCCTACATCACAAATCCAAGCTCCGCCCCCTGAGCCCCGCTATGACTAGACTCAGAGAAGTAGAGAGGATGATCATGGAACGAGTGTGTGCGTTAGCGGATCGTAAGGCTCGTGAGAAAGCTAATTATGATATTAACTTTCATCTTGTCCCCAAAGACGTTAGTGTCTGCGAGCTGAGTAGTTCCTATTTTACCCGTTTCTTCTACGACACCGGCAATGTTAGGCTGCAAGCTAACAACGTGAAGAGGAGTGTGCAGAGCAGCGCTGTCTCCGCCCACGACTTAGAATTGCTAAAGAGCTACTGCAGCTCTGCAGAAGAAAAACACTTAAAAAAGGCACAGGCAACGTGATTTTAGTGCTACGCTCCTCTAGCTGAGCACCAGGAAGTAACACAAACAAACAAGGAGGAGTTTCAGAGTGTGAATATTTGTTTAACAAAAATCAGGTAATGAGCAAAAGGGAAGGAAAGGTGGGAGGGAGAGCAGACTGTGTGGAGAAGAGTGGAAAATAAATGAACTTAAGACAACAGAACAGGGCCTAACTGACTGGCTAAGAAAAGTCTCTCAAAACGTACACTGATGGCACCAACCCATAACCTAGTGTGCTTTACAAAAGTGTGACTAAGTGTTGTACAATGTAAAGGGTACCCCACCCTACCTCAGTCTTAACCGCCTCAAGTGTCTTTACTTAGTATAATTCAAATATTGCAAGGCGGAGTCAAAGTCAGCTGTGAGAGAAGGACCAGAGCAGACAGAGGAAGAGGCTTTTAAAGATGGCTCCCCTCTAACGAGCCCGGTGAAGGTTAACCAGCTCCCAATCACATCCTCTCCACATGTCACATGGAAGAGCATGCAGCCATCTTGTTCTCAGACTAAAAACTTAATAATCACAATTTAAAGACCACTGAGAACACCTAAAGTAGTGAAAAAAACAAACAAAGTGAGAATTTAAGGTCAAAACTTTCTCCAAAATACCCTGAATATGTGCGGTTGGTTAAATGTGGCGTAAATGGTTTGCAGTCTAACCAGCTAATTAGGACCTGGAATGACGATGGTGTTGACAATGTCTAGAGCCAATTAAAACCATCGATTATGTGTAGTGTAATCTGAATTATATGACCTCAGATTTCTTGATTTCTCCCCTCCTTACTGACTGTTTTCCAGCCTACGGTCTGAGTTGACGGTGGAGCTACAAAACCAGAAAAATACAGACCTGATGCAGAAATCTGTGACAGGAAATTACACAGAGTCAGACTAAAACAGCTTGATTAGTAAAAGGGATCATTTTTATTCCTTAATTCAGATTAGCTAACAGTCAGGCTTTGTTTATCTGGGCACCTTACAGTGTGACTTTAAGAGTCAGACATCCCAAATATATCCTCTGTTGTTGCGATGACAAGCCCTTCCTCTATCAGACTGTCGGACCCGTCTTGGGTTTCCTCCTCCTCATCATTAAGTCCCTGGAGAAAAATCGAAGCAGACTCTCGTTAGATGGCCCACACGTCTGTAAACTATTAAGCCTTCATGGAGGAAACCAGCCTATTATTCTGAATCACATCGACACAGATTGTATTTCCTTGTCTTGTTGGGCTGCTCCTCGGCACGACTCCGACCCCATGTGTCCTTGATTATCACGCCTCTTCTGGTTAATCAAGCTCCCATTTTTCTTTGACCTGTCCTTACTTCTTTAAACCTGGTTATCCTCCAAAGATAGGAACGAACCCTTTAGTCGACTGGGAGATTACATTGAATATTTCAGAGGGCGGTTCATCCTGCATTAAGCTGCAGAATCTAAATCATTGAATTAAAGAGAGCTGTGATTAACTGCAGTATTCGAGCAGAGACGTGTAGCTTACCGGAAAACAGCATCAGGAAGGACATCCGCGAAACTAATCAACCTTAAACCGCAGAGCCCCCCTAAGTGGCCAGATTCACATTTCCTCACGCTTGGGATCACCCCAGTCAGATCCTGTATCTAAGAGGGGCAAAGACCAATAATCGGGCTTTAAGTCGTCTTTATTGAGCATGAATTAATTTCCAGGACCCCCCACATATAACCTGACCAAGATGGACGTTTAATGGCTTAATGATGGAGCGATTAATCCGCCTAAGAGCTTCTTTTCTGTAACCCACATTGGGTTGGGTTTCCGAATATCAGCTTCTTTGACCGCCGCAAATATTAAAGAGTCTTTTGAGTCTGTGCAGCTCATCACAAATACGGTGAAACCAGCCTTCATGAACATTTGGAGTCAAGTATCTCAACATTTACTGAACGGTGTGGAGTTGTTTTTGGTGCAGATGTTCATAATTCACAGTTTTTAACTCCTGACGATTACGGGCCTCCAGATAAAACTTTCAGAGCCACTTTGAGGTCAAAACTGCCGCGGCAATCGTCAATGAATTTTCATTGAATTTGGTCAAATTTACGTTAAATGTAAAGCTTAGTCATGCCTCCCTTAAACATGATAATTTATAGTTTATGTCGATCTATAACAACCCCACCACCTCCTCAACGGTCAAAACATTATGTTTCTTCTAATTTTGGTGAAATTATTCATCATCCTCTGAGTATTTCAAACACTCAGTGGGTTCATCCTTCATTATCACAAGAGGATGTACTCTACCAACTCTGGAAAAAAACACCACAGTGGTTTTCTCCTGCACCACCTCCTACAGGTCAAAGTTCTTCCTCAGCTGGTCATATTAAATCACTCTCACAGTTTAACTATATTTAGTGGTTTAAATTCAGTAAAAATACTCCACATTCGCACATGTTGTTCCTGCGTTTTTGCACGCAGATGTCGACGTCTGACTCTCGGTAAACGAGGCCGCCGTAGACTCTGGTTTCAGCATCTGTTCCTGCACAGATGTGAGTGAAATATCTCCTGTATATTTAAACATGATGTTGGAGAATGTAATCCTGCGTGGCAGACAGGTGTGTGCAGGACTTAGTCTGCATTTCCACTTCCACATTAGCTTATCGAGTCAACAACAATGCCGCAATCTGTTCCTGAAAATAGACATTTCCTGGAATCTGTCCGCTCGGTATCTCAGATTGGGATGTGGGGGGGGGGGTTCTGCTGGGAGGGGTTTGAGTGGGATCAGAGACGGATTAGAGGACGCTGTAATTTACTGACTGGAGCTTCCCATCATCACTGCCTCTTTAACGGGTCATCCCCCTCAGGCCGACAAACCCAAACTCTCAGATTTTAGAATCTGTCCTCTCTCTCTCCTTCACAGGTCGTCCCTCAGGAGAAATGAAGCCTTCAGCTCATCAGGGTCCAGAGATGTTTCACCTTCCAGTCTGGGCGCTCCTCACCTGACTCCAGACAAGGTCCAGATGGTTTTCCTGACTGTTTGATGGATGTTTTATGACCTGAAAGAATCCACACGCCTCATAAGAAAGGCAAAGATTAGTGTTTGTAAATGAGAAACCGTCGCCAAGCAGTTTTCAGCAAATACCTTTAATGGTTTATTTTGGCGCTGGCGCTGCAGGTACTCGCTGGGACGGATGTTTACACATATGAAAGTCAGTTTACTTCAGTCTGAGAGTTTAAGCAGATTACATTTATTAAAACCGTGGAACAACCCTCATGTCTGTTTGAGGTTACTCTTCTTCCTGCTGCAGATGTGAGCGGTTGTGCAGAGAAACTGTCAGTTTGTTTCTCTCCTCGTCCTCGTTTACATGCAGCTGAGAAAATCAAATTATTGACGTGAACGTGTCCTCCTCCCCAAAACTAGGGGGCGATATGGGTCTTTTCAGAAGATGGAGCATCGTACAGCGTTGTTTTTGTCCTATATGATGGACGCGCTACTTTTTCTAAAGATGAGACCAACGCTACTCCTCTACTCTGGGGGTTTTGTTCAGGGGTTACGGGGGCGTGGCATGCTCACATGCATTGTCCATCTTACTCCGACTACGCTGGTTACATGGTAGAGAAAATTGAATTCCAATCACATTATCTGGGTGTCTTAATCAGAGTTCTCAAACTCTGATTAAGGTGTTTATGTGCACTTCAGTTGTCTGGTCTTAATCGGAATAAGGCGATAATTCGGTTTTATCCAGTGTCATGTAAACGTACTGAATGAAAGCACCCGGGCCGAATCTGTGCCGTACAATCCCGACAAACAAACGATATTGCAAGAACGGGAACATCACCGTTAAGATAGCTGCTGTTACCTGGGATTTCCACCGTTCCTCCAATCCGAAACGATTTTCTGAGGCGCATTTCGTGGCAGATTATGGACATAATTTTCGTGGCTGACTACGGAGAGAAGGAATCCCTAGAACTCTATGATTTCCAATTCTTCGTTGAAAGGACAACTGGACTTACTTGAGATGTTTCGCCTAAAGGTGAAACGTCTCCAAAAGAGCGTTACCCCCAATTTCCACCACATCAGGAACAGCTGCGATATTCCCCTTCTGCCAATTCCTACCAGATCTGTTGGTCAGGCGATGTTTCGTGGTGGATTACGGACATCAGGAATCACGAGAACTCACAAGAACCCGCAGATTCACGTTCAATTGCGCAATAACAAGTTGTGTCTAAAAAGACAGACACATAGACATATAAGCAGTAGATTGTGTCCTTCCAGAGGAGGAAATCTACTTCTAGACTTCTAGAATCAGCATCTCCTCATCCATGGTGTCATCGGGGTGAAATGACGTCTAAAAACCTTTCACTTGAGTGTTTTATTTTGTGTCTGTGCCCGACTTAAAAAAATAGAACTCTTGTGGAGTGTAAAGAAGCCGGTGGAAATTGAGACTTGAATGGTTACGATCAGCTACGATCGACATATACGACCTTTACATAGCCGTTCCGATTGCGGTTGAAATTGGGTGTTAGAGTAAACCCGCCGCTGCTCCAGAGACTCCTGAGGCTCTTCTTCCCCGACCCAACACCCGGGCTGGAGTCTGAGCTTATACAGGTCCGCCCTGCAGGATGTCTGGATCCACGTGGAGAGCCACCCAGGTCTGTGTATTGTTGTGAGGAATGTGGTGTTAAGAAAAACGCCACTTTATACGTGTGGAGAAATCACACTGTGAACTCTCATACCTGACTTCAGCGAGCACAGAGAGGAGATTAAGGAAAAGCTCCATCTTTGTTTGGTCTGTGCGCTCCGTCCCTCTATTCAAACCTGTTTTGTTTTTTTTCTTAAAGCCCCTCCCCCTCCTCCTCCTCCTCGCAGAGAAATCCACGGGGGTTTTGACCATCCCACCTGCAGAGAGAATAATATCCTAAATCCATATTAGTGCTCTTTCCCAAAAGCTTTGGTCAACAGATGGTTTACCCAAATCCCCCGGACTCCCATCCAAACCCCCCCTGTCCCATTTGACTCTGAGCTTGGACATGTGTTCGCAGGGTCCTGTTATGAAAAAGGAGATTCCACGATCCGCTCCTGACTGTTGTTTATGTGTTTATTTATCGGCAACGCTTCGTACGAGACGGAGCGAACGTCGAAGAGGGTCTGTCCGGGTCGGTCTAATCCAGCTCGCCGTGTTTAATCCTGAATTTTGACGGTCCCGTCTCTAAAAAAAGACGTCTTTCCATCAGGTGTGCTGCTCAGTCTGAATTTCCTGTAATCAACATGTTTTGATTCACACTTCACTGGTGATTTTTCTCAGCTGGCTATGAGATAAGCAGCGAGGATTGCTGTGCCAGAACCAATTAGGGCTAACCCGGCGCTGTTCAGGAAGTGTCCCTGCTGCTGGCTTTTGCAGAGTTCGGTCATTAAGCCCCAACAGGAGTGGCTGCTTAATTGTAATCCTTGTGCGCTGGAACAACAGCAACACTGTGGAGAACCCAGTCCAGACCCCCCCCCCCAGTAAACAAGTTAGTTCAAGCTGCTCGTCATGCATCCAGGGGCCCCGCAGCTCACAATCAGAGCCAATCAGGAGTCAGGGTTGACATGAGTTTTACCTGTGAGAGGAGGAGACGTATCTGAGGTTTGTACTGGTGTGTCAGACTGATGCTGTGTGCTGCAGCGAGTGGGTCAAAGTTTGGACCAATCAGACGCCTCTCGACTGATGAGGATGAAGCAGTTCTCTCTGCACACGTCGAACCTGATACTCCGCAGGAAAAGGAGGAAAAGGATGAATTTTTTTATCCTGTTTGTCAAAAAATGTCAATAAACATCAAATATTTCCTGCAGCCGTAGCAACCACGCTCGTTTTCTTCTTCACTCTTGAATCGTTTTATTTTAGGGTCTCATGATAAATCCAAACTCAAATCACAAATACTGTGTTCTTGGTATTCAGGCGATTCAACAGCAATTCTGTTTAAAGGGACAGTTCGTGAAATTACTTCTTCATATGTCACTGAACAATGGAGCTGTTGGTCTAACCCCCAATTTACACCTTCATCCTGATCGTCTCCTAAAAGGTCGTATCCTCCGATCGTAGCTGATCGTAACCATTCAAGTTAACGTGTCAATTTACACCGACTTCTTTCCGTTCCTCTGCGGATCGCCAGACTCCTCAGCTGATCACAAGAGTTCTATTTTTTCTGGACGCCGGAGCATGGCGGATAAATTCAGCACAGATTAACCCGTGCTGGAAAGGAAGTCGGGCACAGACACAAAATAAAACATCCGGCTTCTTTTCAAAATAAAACACTCCGTGTTTCAGGAGGATCGTATTTCACACCATGCAAACGGGCGGAGACGAACAAGTGAAAGGTTTTTAGACGTCATTTCACCCCGATGACACCATGGATGAGGAGATGCTGATTCTAGAAGTCTAGAAGTAGATTTCCTCCTCTGGAAGGACACAATCTACTGCTTATATAGTTAGCCTATGTGGCTAAAGACAACAAAGTTCTCGTGATTCCTGCTGTCCGTAATCCACAAAGAAAGTTGCCTCACCAACGGATCCATAAGGAATTGGCGGACCATTTGGTAGCCGTTCCGGATGCGGTGGGAATCGGGGGTTAGTAAAGTCTGCTCAATAATCGGCAGTTTCTGAAATTGGTTGTTCATAAGTCAGAGAACACAGGAGTTGTTGGTCTCCTGCTGCCTCCTCTCGAAGTCTTGTATTGAAGGAAGATTTTTGTTGTTGTTTGCGTGACCTTTTCCCCAGATGGTTTCAGACTAGCAGAAGCTGTCAGAAACAAACTTAAAAAACCTTAAGATGATGGACTTTCTGAGGCGATTTAAAGATTTTTTGTTCCTATAAAGTTCGTAAAAGTCTCCCGGGTTCATGAATTCTCCTCTGAAGTCTAACCTGTAATATCTAAGCCCTGCTTCCTCCGCTGTAATCCTCCATCACACTTGTGTTTCCATTTGTGTTTTCTTGCCGTAAATGAGGCAGTACAGTATTTTTTGTTAAAACTTGCCTCAGGAATGTTGCATGCTTGTTTTGCAGTCTTGATCCATTCTGCGGAGTCCTATTTGTGCGTTCGAGGGAGGAATGCCAGGAATGGCGGCGTTGCAACACAGACACATAACATGGGACATGCCAGGCAATAAATGAGAGACTGATTGATGCGCCAAAGTCGCTATTAAAGAGTGTTGACGGCGTTCTTTATTTAGCTGCTGACCGTGGCCAGAGGTTGCAAAAACACAGCAGATAATATTTGGAGATATCAGCAAAATTAAAGATGGTTTCAGTCAGTGAGGCGGTTTTTAATCAGCAGGAGGAAACAAAAAGAAGAGCAGGGAAGTTATCTGCTGTCGAGTTTCTTCTTCCTCCGCCTCAAAACTCAAATCTGAGTCTTTTTCTTCTTTTATTTTAAAGTCACAGTTTTAATTCAAGATTTTAAAAACCAGAAATAAGAACGTGACTGAATGTTAGAGGTAAGAAACTGGAATGAAACAACAACAAATGTGACGGTCAAGTTTGTAGAAATAAGAGGAAAGGTTTGATTAAACTTGATGAGCAGATATATATCCTTAATTTTATTTATTATCCGACGTTCAGGTCTTTTCTTCTGCAGCTGGTATCTTTGAATAAGACCGAATCTCTTATCAGGACTCTCTGTGTTGTTTCCAGTTTGTGTCTCTGAGCTTCATGAACGTCTTTATAGGAGAATATCTCCAGGTTTCAGTAACGGCAGAGACTCAAATCCAGCTCTTATTGGTCATCAGTGAAGTGGCGAGTACAAACAGCTGATATGTGGCCGAAGTTTTCCTGAAAACACTTGACTCTGTTTTCTGAAGTCTTTGGTGATAAAAATGTCTTTAATTTCAACTTCACAAAACTCTCCTGAGAGAAACTTTCTGGTGGTGATGGAAGAACCGTTCTTTTGACTGAGCTGAATCTTTAGAATCTGTTTATTAAAACGATTCATTCAAAAGATTCGTTCACTAAATCAGTCAGTGCTTTGGAGTCCCGCACACGAATGAGTGACACAGCGGCGCTGATCAGGAGTTTGTTCATTGAATGAGCTCTTCCTCTCCTCTGCTGCTGAAGTCACAGCGAGCGACACATGTCGTTCATTCGCCAAGTCCTGAAGGAAGAATCTCTCCACTGCCCTGAACAACTCACCTCTCTGTGTGTCGCCATCGACAGAACAACACAGCAACGATTATCACGCCGCTAAACGAGCGCGAGGTGTCGTTCTTTTATATCGCGGAAAAGTGGAGAGATTAAAAATAAATAAACATGTCAGCTGTAGCGGCGATTCAGATACTTTTAAAGATATCAAATATTGTATTTCTTTAAATGGGCTCAGGCACGATAATGACCTGTTTCATCTCAGCCTGTATTTGTGAGTTTGTGAATGCTGCTACGCCCCTCCCTCCTCTGCCTGTCCCAAGTCGTTCAGAAGTCGTTCATTTCGTTTACAGTCTGACTGATCAGTTCCACTCCAATCGGCACGCCACGCTCACGGCTGAGCTCAACTGAACTGAGAAAAGAACCAATCAGGTCTCGGAGTGATTCAGTTCATGTCGTTCACTCAGCAGTTCGGTTCTTTTGAACGAATCGTTCATGAACGACACAACACGACTTTCTGGGACAAAGACCTAGAAGTGACGACATCCTCATGTCCCAAACTTCGCTGTGTTTTTATCATCCAAACACTGTAACATGGTGAGTGTATTAATGTTCCTTTAAGTCAAATAAACACAAACTTATTCTCCAAACCGCCTCTTTGAAGAAAACCTGTTTGTGATCCGTCTGTCGTTGATCTGAATCCTCCTGACAGGACTTTGGTGTGTCATTCTAAGCTCCATCAGGGTAACTCAGCGCCGGTCTGAGGCAAGCCTGAGCCAGCCCTGACTCTAAGCTTTCATGAAAAGGAAAGTAAGCTGACACTGGCTGTTCTCCTCTGTGCTGCGGTGTAAATGTAGTTTATATTGTTCCCCGGAGCTTTTGAAACAGGCAGCATCTTATCTGATTTCTGTGTGTGTCAGTTTCCCAGAGCATCAGAGGCCCGCTGCATTATGCGCTGTAATTTGTTGTTGTATAACATGTATCTATACATGTGCACTGATACGATTGTGTAAGTGCATGTGTACCGATTGTATACTAACCATTCAGAGCGTCATATAACACTGTCGGTGCGCTTTGTTTGACATCTCTGCGGGTTCAGCGTGAGCATGCACAAAGCGGCCGGTTCTGTACATTACCGTGCATGTGAACCTGATCCGTTTGATCTGTGACAGGAGATGTTAACACAGCGTGGGGGCGTGACGCTCCTACTGTACCTGTCAGCCTGCAGTGTCACCTCACGGTGGCCTGTGCATCCAAAGTTAGCACGCGATCCTGTGTCAGCCGCTGTCAAGACGCTGCAGGTGCTTTCTGCAGCAGCTTTCCCACACTAAAGGGCACTGGAGGGCATGGACACCTTAGCTCTCTATTCAGCCCGCACACTGCACAGGGCGGGCGGGCAGGGCCGGGCCCCTCCCCTTTCAATAGCATAGGGCCGCTCCTCTCCCGGTAGCCCAACAAAGGGCACTGCTATCACAAACCAGGGCGGGGACCCGCCGAGGGCTCATAAAAGACCCTGTCACTTTGACACAGGCAATCAGAGAGCTCGCCTTTATGAAAACCATAGAGAGAAAAAAATATCGGCCTTTCTCCCAGCCTCGCTCGCTCTCTCTCTGGTCCTGAATTCCTCCCTTCACTTTGTGTGCTGGCTCACCTGTACCTGATGTGACATGTTGGAGGAGTCCGACGGAAACAGCAGGAGTTTGAGAATACATGATCCACATTTTATCTTTTAGGCTTTTTGTTTTTTAGTTTTTTAATCTGGTCCTCCAATCAGGTTTTTGCTTTCCAACTACAAACTTATCGATCATGACCGCCGATAAATTAAAGTTTAGGGCAGCCTCCTCAGTCCTCCAAGATTTGACAGTGAAATGACCTGACAGAGAAACTGCGAATCAGTACGTTTACAAAACCGAATTATCGCCTTATTCCGATTAAGACCGGACGACTGAAGGTCATGTAAACACCTTAGTCCGACTATAACTTGAGTTTGAGAACTCTGATTAAGACACCCAGATAATGTGATTAGAATTAGATTTTCTCTTCCATGTAACCAGCGTAGTCGGAGTATGATCGGACAATGCATGTGCGCCACGCCCCCGTAACCCCGTAACAAAACCCCCAGAGTAGAGGAGTAGCGTTGGTCTCATCTTTAGAAAAAGTAGCGCGTCCATCATGTCGGACAAAAACAACGCTGTACGATGCTCCATCTTCTTGTTTCTCCAAAATGCCCAGCAGCAGTTGTAGACACTTCTGACGTCTGACACCGACCTGCTGTTGTTGTTGACAGTTGTACGGGGTCGGAAACAGCGCCGCTGAAAAGACCCATATCGCCCCCTAGTGTTGGGGAGGAGGACACGTTCATGTCACTTTTTCCATTGCGTGCATACGTGGTCAAGGAGAGAAGTCAGATTTCAGTGAAAAAAAAAAACGAATTATGAGTTTAGTCCGATGTCAAACTTCTGATTGGCCAATGAAGGAACAGTATCTGCAGTGATGATGATCCCACCTCTATTAAGAGGGTCTCCATGATCCAAGTCCAGTCAAAGATGTAATCCAAAAACATCATATCGAGCTGAAGTTGTCTGTGGTCTGGACTTGTTTGGTGATTCTGAGTCTGATCACTTTCTGTTTATTTGAGGAGGATCGATGGAGCTCTCAGTTACAGTCATAAAACAGCTCCAGTCTTGTTTTCCAGGATCCTTGAGCTCAATGACCTCCTAGTTTCAGACCTGCTGCTTTGGTCTTATGTGTTTTTGCACATTCAGTGTCGGGTCTGTGTCGGTGCAAAAGCAGCTTTTGGTTTGATCCAGTAGGCGTGTTGGAGTTTAAGGCGATTGATTGATGGGAAAACTGAGATGACTTTGAAGAGGAGAGAAGTACAGAAGCTGCAGAAAGAGAGCTTTATGGTCAACTCTGCAAAAAAACCCTTTTCCTCAAACGTCGTATTGTCTGATTTCTGACTAATTTCAGGTCCAGATAAAGATTTGAGTCTGATGTGACTCAGAGTCCTAAACTGCGACTGTAGCAGCTGAATAATCAGGATCTGATATTGACTCTGATGTCTGTTTAATGAGCTGTTTTGTATCAGAGATCAGGACCGGTGTGCACTTGTGCTCATGAAAGAGCCCGTATTGTTCCTTTAACTCTGACATGCCTCTAAAGAGGAGCAGGTGAAAGTATGTCAGGTATTGTGTTTTGGTTTTGTGCTCCACAATAGCAGGATAATGAGATGATGTGATCGAGCAGAGCTGCTTTATGCTCGGGCCTTTGTAACCCACAAAGTACTCCCTGAACATCGACCGGGATAAGCTTCTGCGATTTTTTAATTGACATGACCTAAATTGTGCCATAAGGAGGATTTTGCTCCGTAAATATTGAGTTTCCACTCGTACCAAGAAGGCAGACAATATGTTCATTCTCCCCCAAAACCTTCACTTTTCTTTCTAAAAGGAAAATCTGATGATTATTTCGCTCTCTCAAACCCCGTTAGGAATTCATAAATACACCGATTAATAATTCCATTGTGAGGAATTTGGCACGGGGAACGTTAACATGCTTATTTCCAGTGTTGCAATAAAAATCATGCAGACCAGACTTCATAAAACCCTCACAAAGTGCCACCAGCATCATCTGCTCCTGTAACGCACACCAGAGCGAAAACAGAACCTCCATGCAGGCCTGTGATAGATTTATGAAGAGTCAAAGCTCCGCTCCTCTTGTCTGGTCTGGAGAACGGCTCCGGTCTGGACTCAGCCTCCGTATCTGTGCGTTGTTTCATTGTGGACCCGGCCTTCACGTCAGGAGAGGCCGTAAAGCAGCGTCGAAAACAGCGCCTCACTGTACACGTTCAGCACTTTTGTCATTTTCACGAGGGGAAAATGTTTTTCTGAAAGTGCTCCCGAGGCTCCGCTGAATGCCTCGAATGTTGTCCGTGTCCCCTGTGGCACTGTCATAAAAGTTACAAGACTTTTCCCCTCCCTGATTGCTCCCTAAATACAAACGTTGATTCATTTTGATTGGCTGACAAACGTCTGAGCGGGCGCTCCCGCCGCGCGCAGCTCTTCTAATTTAAACTGCAGCCGACTATCTGAAGAGCGCTGTTTGCACGACGTTAACAGCTCTCATTTAAACATATTAATCTTTCAATGCGGAGCGCTGCAGCCAGACTGAGCCAGCCGCACACTGGACACACATTGTGTCACTTTGGGTCAAACTCAGCACCATCAATAAATAAAGCTGTTGTGAACACAGTGTCGAGTTACAAACCTGCGCTGTTGCTGCATGAAGTAGGTCATGGTGATCAGTATGAAACATGTCTTTGTTATATTCAGGAGATTAAATGCAGCTTATTTATGTATGGATGGAGTCGCCACGCCGGCGTCCATCTGGTGAGAACATCGAGACTATTCCCGAGGAGACGATAGCGCTCATTTATCAGTAAAGGTCAAAGTATTAAAAGGCGGGTTTACATCTTTACAGTCACTCAGATCAGAGTTTTAAAAAGATCTTTGCAGGTGAAGCTGAGAGCTAAAGAGCTTAAACAGCTTTTCACCATAGAAGAAGAAATTTAATCCAATCATCTTTGATGTTTTTGCACAAGATTGTTTTTAACTCCTTGCAACAACACATTAAAGCTACATGGCGTCTCAGAATTGGTCGGCGAATGAACCGAGGGTCCATCACGTTTGTTTTTTTAAATAAACAAAGTTAATTGACTTGATTTTAAACTGGAAAAGTCTGACATTCGTTGTTCTGTGGAGTCAAAAAAACAGGTTTCAGCCTTTGCGTCTTTCATTGATGGTCAGATTTAACAAAGCCGAGTTATCTTACAGTTCTGTCTACCTACTTCTTTTTAAATCTTAAATATAGACCTGTAAAGATAACAACTTTTGGGTTAAATCTGGCTCTGTGTTTATTAAAAGAAAATTTGAAGTTTCTGAAAACTTTGATTTCAGGTTGTCTTTGAAAACGCGTCATTAACCCTCTGTCTCCAACACGGACATGCAGATAAGTGTTCATAAAATCATCATTTTTAAACTTTTTTTTTTTTTTACTTTTTTCGACTCATATCTCTTAAACAACTTCAGCCCTAACCATTAAAAAAGTACTGAATAGAAAAGTCGAAAAAAAAAAAAAAATGACGGAGAACTACGAGTGACACATTTTTTTTTTTAATATGAAGAAAAATAAGAACTCTTACCAAATGTGATGCCCCAACCTTTAAAAATTTGACTGTCAGCTCAAAATAAAGAGGAAAAAAAACGACAAATGTCCTAAAAATGGACACGATAGGAACCAAGGTTTAAGTCATTTTTGTGAGGGTTGCAAAAACTAAAGATTCAGGAAACACTAATGTCCTCTCATTGTAGAAATTGCTGTTCCTGTTTACACTAAGATGAGGCTCCTGGTTTGGCGAGGTGTGTTTGTTTATCTGCATGTTCACTCCATCATTAAACCACAGTGCAGCAGCGTATTTATTCACCTCTCCATATACAGTAACGATGACTGATCATGATCATAAATGTCCTTGTTTGAAAATGTAAAGAGAAAAATCAGCTCTGAAAAAATAAACCTACATTTGCTGAATTTTTGCAAAAACAGTTCAGGACATTCAGACTGAATCATGACTGAAATCTCCAACACTTTTCTGTAAAATCAAAACTAAAATGAGTCAAATTTAACATTACTTTAAAGTTTGTAGATGTGAATGATTTCAGGTCGGCCGTCATAGTCTGTAGGAAAACAGGAACAGGGCAGACTGGTTAAAACAGGCGGAGAAACTGATATTAGATCTGAAGTTTATGCAAAAATGATATCACACAAAGTTTCTTCATGTCCTCCGTCAGTCATGGATCACAGTGATACAGTAAACTGATCCATCTAAGATGCAATTACAAACTAATTACAGATTACCCCCCCAGGCCTTCACCTCCCAACCCTCCCTACCTTTCCATAATCCCTCCTCAATCCTCCCCTACGGCTAAAGTCACTCCTTCAATTATGGGCTCCCACTCATGTCAGCTGACGGGTGAGTGGATTTTTATTCACACATACACAATGTCATATTACACTCTGAGTTTGACAGACGAGTGTGTGTGTGACGCTGTGTGTGTGTGTCTCTGTGTGTGTGTGTGATGGAGCAAAGGTGCTCACCTTGTCATGTATAACACTGAGTTTACGAGTGTTTACTCTGGGTCAATTATTGAGCTGTAACTGATGCTGATTGGCTCCTCTCAGATCATTGATCTGGGTCCTTATATATTCAGTCTACATTAGTTATTTTACTGGTTTATATGTGGTCACACACATTTCTGCAACAAAGCCATTTAAAGGGTTTCACATGTGACTTTAACAGCTGATATTTAAATATGACATTAAAAAGACGTTTAAAAAGTCAAAGCAAAGAGAAAAGCTAAAGGTTGAAGGTAAGGAGAGTTTAAAAACAAAAGGTTAAAACTTGAGAGTTTAAGACCAGCAGGTTAAAGTTAAAAAAAAGTTTAAAAACACAAGGTTATAAATAAAGACAGTTTAAAAACAGAGGGTTAAAGTTAAAGAAAGTTTTAAAACAGAGGGTTAAAGTTAAGAGAGTTTAAATACAATAGGTTAAAACTTAAGACGTTTTTAATCAGAAGGTTAAAGTTAAGAGAGTTTCAAAATGGAAATTTAAAAAGTTTAAAAAAGGTTTAACAAAACACAAGGTTAAAGTTAAAAGAGTTTTAATAAACAATAGGTTAAACTTGAGAGAGTTTAAAACAGAAGGTTAAAGTTAAAGACAGTTTAAAAACACAAGATTAAAGTTTAAGAAAGTTTAAAAACAGAGGGTTAAAGATAAAAGAGTTTAAAAACAGAGAGTTAAAGTTAAAAGAGTTTAAAAACACAAGGTTATAGTCAAAGTCTGTTTCACAACAGTGGGTTAAAGTTAAGAGATTTTTAAAACAGAAGGTTTAGGTATATAGAGTTTTAAAACAGATGGTTAAAAATCTAAGAAAGTTTTTAAACAGATGGTTGAAGTTAAAGAAGTTTAAAAACAGAGGGTTAAATTCTAAAAAAAGTTTAAAAACCCAAGGTTATAGTAAAAGACAGTTTTAAAACGGAGGGTTTAGGTTTAAGAAAGTTTAAAAACACAAGATTAAAGTTAAGATAGTTTAAAAAACAGCAGGTTAGAGGGACAGTTCACAGTTACATAATTAAAACGTTCATATGTTGGAATAATTCAGTGAATCTCGGCTGTGAACGGGTGAGTCTTTAACTCTGATTTAGAGGACTGAGAGTTTGAACAGACCTGATGTTTGGTTCCAGATGTTTGGAGCATCAAAACGGTCTGGTTCTGACTCTGGGGACCAAACGCAGACTGGACCCAGACAGTCTGGATGGTTTGTAGTATATCAGAATATAACTGATGTATGTTGGACCTGAACCATCCAGTACTTTATAGACCATCAGTTCTATTTTAAAACCTGTTGTCTGACAGACGGGGGGGCCAGTGTAGAGACCTCACACCTGGACTGATGTGGTCCACTTTCTTGGTCTCGGTGAGGACTCTGCAAAGACGCTGTTACAGTAATCAAGCCGACTGAAGATAGATGCAGGTCCTGCTGGGATGTGAGTCTTTTAATCCTTGATTTATTCTTCAGATGATAGCGGGCCGACTCGGTCGCTGTCTTAAGGTCGTATTTTTAAATTTAGGATCTCTGAGTCGATGACTTCATCCTGGTTTCTTGCTTTTGGCACGTCCACTCATCGATTAGTTCAGTACATGTACCAAGAGCTAACAAGGACCATGGCCTCTTATGTATAACCGTGTGTCGTCTGCGTAGATATGATAACTTATTTTGTTGTTGTATAATCTGAGCTACTTAGAACAAAACAGGGGGCCCCAGGAAAGAGCCTTGGGGAACTCCACATGCAGTTATGTTGTGTTTTTCCAGACTAGATTAAAGCACTAAAGGACTTAAATTAGCTCTTTGATTACACTGCTAATAGCTGTTAGCAAAGTGTGGACAGAAAGCTCACTTTAGAGGCTAAGGGAGGATCTTTGCAGGTGAAGCTGAGAGCTAAAGAGCTCGGACCTGATCAGCCAAATCAAACAGCTTTTCAACAACAGAGGAAGAAATTAAACCCAATCGTTTTTAAATCAGTTTATAGAGAATATTTGGTAAATTTAATCCTTTTTTAGGATCTTTAGGATCAGACCTGCAGGGACTCAGAGACTGATTTAAAACACGAGAAAACATGGGTGTCTGAATTAAAAATACTTCGCTCAGGCAGCTCAACAAAAATCTTTAGCTTCTTTATATTTGTTGTTCCACCCTTTGTGGAATGTGTACTGTATATTTTGGGTTTTGTTGTTGGCTAAATATGGAGAAAAATGCACCAGCTGCCACAGAATAAAACCACCACAGGCTTCACAAAGTGGGCCTAATGACTCACGGTTCTGCATGGCCTGTTTACATGAGCGTGCGCTCAGTCCTGCAGACCCTGACAGAATGTATACAGTGAAGCAGCCACTCACACACTGCATGTTTTGACTGCATACTATGTATCCTGTCATTGTAGAATGTCCGCCTCATTTTAGGCTGCAGTAGCTCACGTGCACGTACTCCATACTCGCAGCCTGAGAGGAACAAGCTCAGATTTCTGTTAGGTTATTCCTGTTTCCTAGTAAGAGTCCCAGAATATCCTCAAGTTTGCAGAATTGAAGGTATCCTGCAGAAAAAGGTGATAAAGTGAGGTGTGGAGGGGGCTAACCTGGGATTTCCACCGCATCAGGAACGGTGGCGATTTTCGCCGTATGCCAATTCCTACTAGATCCGTTTGTGAGGTGAATTTCGTGGCGGATTACGGACAGCAGGAATCGTGAGAGCTCACAAGAACCTGTGGATTCATGTTCAATCACTCGATAACGAGTTGTCTCTCTAAAGACAGACACATAGACATATAAGTAGTAGATTGTGTCCTTTTTGTAGACGATCAGGATGAAGGTGGAAATTTTGGGGTTACTGTAGCAGAGAAAGATCTTCTTTTGCCCTTCAATCAGTTCTTGCTTGGTGTTTGTAAACCGGGACATGGGCAGTGGTTGAGTTAAATTGTATAATTAAGCTTTTCTCAGCTTTACATGCTAACACGCTAACTGTTATTGACCCATTAAAAACTTGCAAAAATAATGGCCGAAAATTTGAAGGCCCTGTGAAGAGTGTCCCACCGATTCTGTAATAATGAAATTCTGCAATAATAATAATGAAACAGAAAGAAGTCGGTGTAAATTGACACGTTAACTTGAATGGTTACGATCAGCTACAATCGGCGGATATGACCTTTTAGGAGATGATCAGGATGAAGGTGGAGATTGGGGGTAATGCTTTGATTTTTCATTAAAGCGGTTTGCAAAAACTTAAAATTTGTTCTGTGCAACATCTTGCACTGGATAAGGGTTAGTGGACCTGCAGACCAATACCATGCAAATGTACGAAGCCGACATTTGTTTTCCAACTTTAGCCACTCGTCCGTCTTTTTAAAGATCTACTTCAGTTGGAGGAACAGGAGTTTGTTCTTGCCGTGCAGTGACACTGAAGACCGGGTCGATCGGTTCGAGTAAACGAAGCATGTTTCAGTCTCTTGAGTGCAGATGTATCTCTCTCGTCTGAAGATTAGTACCGGTGACCTCTAACCCCGAGGCTGCAGTTGCCTCCCCGTCATGTGTCTGCACGTCATGCTGTCCGAGGCGTGCTCCAGCTGATGGGCTTCAACGTGAAGTTTAACCACCACCGTCAAAAACCTAAATCCTTCAGTTACCCCGCTGACGGTTCGTCCACGTCCTCAGAGCCCGGCTTTGGAAATCCACGGCTAAAGTACAAAACGTGGAAGAGGTCTGATGGGGGTTGGGTCGGGCTGCGCTTGCACTGTTGACCTGAGTAACCTCGGTGACCCCTGGGCCTGTGTCCCCTTAATAAGTGTTGCCCTCCCCGGTGGTAACAGAATGGTCAAACATTATGTCAAGGGTAATTAAGGTCCAAATGCTCCTGACCCTGATATAATCCCCTTTGAAAGGATCTCCAACTGTTTGCTGTGATTAACAAGGACTGCTGCGCTGGGAGGATCTGCCGCTGGTGAGAAGGCTTTATTGGTCCCCCTTTTTTATCACCACATAAAGTGGCCTCCAAGAGCCTCAGAAGATGTCCACAGGTCCCAGAGACAACAAGTCGGCGCTTTGAGCTGTCATTGAACATTACCCACCAAATGGCCCCGCAGGTTACAGACTTCGGAAGCTATAAAGGATTCCTTAAAGCCGGAGCTCTTAAAAACCTGTAAGCAGCAGCAGCAACATACCAAGGAGGTGTAGCTCCTGCAGATACTGAGCGGAAAATCAAGTCTCTGCGTCTTGAAACTATTTCCCACCGAGGCTAAAACAGCTTACCTCGTCAGAAACTTCCTGTTTTTGTGTAACAGATGCTCGTTTTTCGACTGAAAAGTGTCGACAGATCTAAATTCCTGTCCGACTGTTCAGAAATGAAGGTCAGACAGGATATCGGACATGTTTCGTGCAGCCTGCTCCTGACTCGAACATCTGGACCTAAACCACATTTGTCCTGCCGCACGCAAAACTCCACTTCCATAACAAACACCCCCCCCTCACCCCGCCTCCCTCATACAAATATTGACCACATGCACACACCGGGAGTCCCGAATGACAGACTGTCCTTGCCATGTCCACTAACGGTCACTTTAATGCGCTGGAGGTCACAGGATTAGTCTTGGGGGGTCATCTTCACAGGGCCGGAGTTTTTAATATGACTCCTACAAAGAGGTCAGTGTCCGAGGGCGGGAGAGGTGCTGGATGATGAGACTCCCCCACACATGCACACAAGAGGCCTCAGTATGTCCCATCTCCGCCCCTTTCCCCACAACCATACCCCGACTCTCCACCCCGTTCCCTCCCACCTCCTTGTAACATCTCCCCCCTTCTCCTCCCGCCTCTCCATGAGGACAGCAGCGGCAGCAGCAGCACCCCATCCGTCCTTTATCTCCGGGGGCAGCGCAAGTCATGCAGAACTCACGAGAGGAACATGCTGAGTGTGAGCTCATCGGATTAGGACGCAGATAGAGGGGTAGGGTGTCCCGGAGAGCCGCTGAGGCTTCCTCTCCTTCAAAGACCGTGTTTGTCAAAAAAACAGATCAGAGCGGGAAATGAACCCTGACTGAAACATGCATTTATAAAACTAAAAACATGACGTCTAACATCATCCTGCTCCTCTTAGAACGTCCTCTTTAAGGCCAGCGAAGGCTCATCTGTGAGTGTCAGTAGTGTGGCACGTTCATGTTGAGTCTGTAATTTAATTTAATTTTCTGTCAAACATTCTCCTCGTCTCTGTCGGCAGAATCACACTCTGCAGGAAATCCACAAATCGAAGAAAACCTCAACATCCGGTAACTTTCAAAACTTAAAAACGTGATTATATAAAGTTTCTTTGTTTGCATTAAAGCTGTTAAACTTCCTGCCTGTGTCTCTGCAGAAGTTTCTGAGCAATAATAAATAATGGGTGGTGCTCTTTTTTAGTTTTTCTGCGTGCAACATTTCACTAATATGATCACACTCAGTTCAACTAAACTGTGCATCTAAACGCACTAACCTCATAATTCGTCTTCTTCTCTGAATCAGACTTCTCTCCTTGTCCTCGTTTACATGCAGCTGAGAAAACTGAATTATTGACGTGAACTTCCCAACACTAGGGGGCGATATGGGTCTGGGCATTTTGGAGAAACAAGAAGATGGAGCATCGTACAGCGTTGTTTTTGTCCGACATGATGGACGCGCTACTTTTTCTAAAGATGAGACCAACGCTACTCCTCTACTCTGGGGTTTTTGTTTCAGGGGTTAAAGGGGGCGTGGCACACATGCATTGTCCGATCACACTCCGACTTCGCTGGTTACATGGTAGAGAAAATTATCTTGCATTATCCGGGTGTTTTAATCAGAGTTTTCTGACTTCGATTATAGTCGGACTAAAGTGTTTACATGAACTTCAGTTGTCTGGTCTTCATCAGAATAAGGCGATAATTCGGTTTTCTCCAGCGTCATGGAAACGGACTGACCGACAGCAGATGTTTCCAACCTCTCTCTGAAGTCATCAGTCTGATCGCTGATCCACGTCTGGATCTTCTGATGGATTTTAGAAAAACATCTTTTCCGACACAAAAACTCATTTAGTGCGAGGAATGTGAAAACAAGCAGGGGCGCGTCCAGACCCTGTTGACCATGGGGGGGCCGACCTTGGCACTGACGCCACTCAGGTGGTTCAAATAAACAGCATTTTTATTATATCTATGCTGTAGAGTTAATTTTAACACGTTTATCCTGTTTAACAAAAATCTAAAACCAATAAGAAACGGATAAAACCAGCGTCCTCTCAGTGGGAGAGATTTGAGGGTTACATCAACTCGAAATCATCGCGCTCGAGTTGAATTAAACAAACCTTCAGAGAAAACAAACTGGTGGTTTAAAAACAAAGGTTATCTGGAGGTGAGGAGGATCCTGCGCAGGTTTACAGACAAGAACAAACACATTTCTCTCCTCTCTTCACCCGGCTCTGACCTCTTCTGGATATTTCCATTTTCTTTCTGCGGTAATTTGAGCTCTTGGAAACACCGAGGATCATAAACACTAAACAAATTTGTGCCCATATCAAAGATGTTCTCCAGAGCCTGGCGTTATCGCGGGATATTCCGCAATCATTTGTGGGATGCGGTGAAATGAGCTCAGCGGGATGAAATATCAAAAGTGCAATAAGGTGTGATGAAGCGAGCTGCGCCGCAGATACGGCGCACATGACAGATCAAAGATGGCTCCACCGGTGATGAATTATCCCGTCTTGGATTCCTTCAGATTTGGAGATGCTCGCCTTCGTGCTTTGTTGGACGCCCTCAACAATTTGACTCTGTTACAGCTTTGACGGGAGCGATGTTGTGTGATGAATGGGGTGAGCCGCAACCTTTTGAAGTAATAAAACAAAGGAGAGCGGGCCGGTTCTCGGCTGCGTGCCAGTCTTCAGCAGGAGGGCAGAGACTCGGAGCGAGGAGGGGCGGCACATGATGGCTAACGGGTGACGGCTTTGATCACGCTCCCTGATAAAAAGCGTAATCAACACCTCTGGCCACAAGTCCAAATTTGCTCCTGCCAGTGTCTATGAATTACCCTCCATTACAGAGGAACATTTGGCTTAGATTTGGCCGCGCTGGTTTCTGAGTCACCCACACATGCAGGCAGGAGCGGCGCAGCTGCACAGAGAGCGGCGGCGGCGAGCGTCCAGCCCGTTGACCTTACAGCTGAGAGTTTTCAGAGATCAGAGCGAGCCAAAGAGAGAGAGCAGGAAGATGACCGCGGCTGAATAGTGCGGGGGGCTTAGACCTTGGTCTCTGAGTCGTGACCTTTGTTCTCCTCGGTGTGGTTAATGTTTCCTTGTGGACTATCTCCAAGGCAGCCAAGGATCCCTCAGGCTGAATGATGCCTCTGAATCGCTCACCGCCGCTTTTCTCTCTTTCTCTCCGTGTTTACAGCGGAATGAAAACCCCGCTGCGCTCAAAGATTTGCATATTATGTTCGAGAAAGCTTCAGAAATTCAAAACTGGCCGAAGAGCCACGAAAATGTGTCATGAGAAACCATCGAGCTTTGGCGTTGGCTTGTGGTTTGGTTTTGATTCACTGCGATTAGATGAGCTCTGAGAGTCCAACAGGAGGAAGAAGACAAAGAATAAAAGGAACAGAGATATGAAGTCGACTGTGTTTGCTGATTGTTTTGGTACGAGACATCATCGTTCAACTGGGGGACGGACCAGAAGGAACGAGCTAAAAGGGGGACGGACTAAACCGATCCTTCCAAGTCCAATTAAATCCATCTGTACCATAACACCGAGTTAGACCCCCCTCCAGAGATGAATGTTGTCAACCGCTTTCTTCTCTAGTTATACCAACTTTAGTAACGACAGTCAGAGAGCCACGCCCTCAACCAAAACGCCACTCTATAGCCACAAATAATGCTCAGAACAGCACCTAACTTCATCAACAGGACATATAGGGTCACAGACATAGTACTAGACAGCAAACATCTTTTTAACTTTGACTCATTTCTTTAGCAAAGAGACTAAACACAACTCACTTACTCTCTTCCCAGGGCCGGCTGGTGGATTTTGGTGTCCCTAAGCAAGATAGGGCCACCAAATAAAGTTGTTAATCCAAGAAGAATGAACAACAAAGCTTTCTTTATTAGGATATCAAAAAATCTAGTACAGGTCTAATTTCAAGGGGAGATGTGGATGGAGTGAAGTTTGGGGAAGGGATGCCCTTTCTATTGGTTGTGGTTTGGGTGGGGATGTGATGGGGCCCCCGATATTGTTTGTGGCCCTCCATTTTGTTGCATTTTAAACAGACGATGACTTCACGATGGGATATCGTGAGCTTCTAGATCGTCTATAGTCTAGACAAGTGGTGGGCAACTTTGATGATGGAGGGGGCCATTTTAATTCCAATCTCATTCCAGGGGGGGCCACATTACATATACTGTCGGTCCATTCGATTTCACACAAAAGTTGCAAAATAGTCGATCTACAAGCTCCCTGGGCTGCCAGGTGCCCATGTATGGTGTAGAACTAGCTAGTTATTTTCCATTACGGACTACAGCGGGGTGCCGCAGCTCAAGGAAGAACATTTATGATCATTTCTTCATGGAAATACAATCAGACCAAGACGCTAAGACAGAAGAACTACCGCGTCTGCAGAGCAAAATGATTAATATGATGATTATTACTTCAAGGAAAAATCGTCCTGTTTGCGTTCACACCTGCAACCCGACCCTAAAATCTTCAGACCAGCCTGTAATGATGGTGCTGATCCAGAATCAAGAATGTGTGGCAGGAGATTATTGAGATCAGGGGGTTCAAGTAAACAGGGATGTTGCACTCCGATAGGACGTCTAAAGGACGTCGGTTTGATGAGTTTGATTTTTAATCGTTAAAACTGTAAAATCTCAAATTGAAAAAGCAAACAAACCCTGCATCTGTAGGTTTGAGGCTCTCGGTCTGCAGAGTGAAACACGTGTCTGAACAAGTCCTGGTTTGAGCGTGTGTCTCAGTACAGTAGATTACAGTGCTCTCCATGTCATAACCTCTGCAGATGTTAAGCAGAGATGTGTGTGAATGTGTGTGTGAGGGGTTAAGTTTAAGGTTAAAGGCAGAGCTGCAGGATTGTTTGGTATGAGGCCAGTGTGTGTGTGTGTGTGTACAGGAAATGGCTGTTAATTCAAAGTTTGTTTAAACTTCACATTTCCGCCGCTTCCATCGGGTTTCTGCACAGACTGAGCGCTGAGAAACACAAAAGTTTGAGACATGTTTGATGATCTGGACGTCAGGTTCGAGTTTCAGAGGCAGCGGAGTCGTATTAAATAAAAGACGTTTATGTATGTTTACAGAAAACAAAGCGGCCCCGCCACAGGCCGTGTAATTGGGTTCAAGAATGTGACACGATGTGATGTCGCTCACATGTTAGCATCCTGGCGCTTTGATCCGAGTCTGACTGTAAACATGTTCGGATGAGTCACGGCAGCGATTTGAAGTGGAAGGAGAAGAATGCTCCTCTTTGTCTTTTCACAGGCCGCCCTGTGTAACATCAAGACCGATTCAATGGAAATTTGTCTGTCATAAAACCAGTCCATCAGAAAACCAGTTCAGCGGTTAGCGCCGCGAAACATGCAACTTGAGATGCGACCAGCTGGAATGAGGCCCTCGAGGAATAAAGAGGCGGTTTTCTGTTTTCATTTTCAGGTAGATGGACAGATTTGAGACAGACGGGGAATTACCAAACCACGCCAGGATCCGGGGTCGATCGTACGACCAGAGCGACAACTGCCTGTACAGAAACAGGTCATACATGAGTCAGACTTTTAACAGCGTTTAATGAGTTAGAGGAGAGAGAGAGAGAGAGAGGCTGATGCTCGCCGTTGAAGCAGCTGGACAGCATCTGCAGCGCCGGTTGATGGCGATGTTGGAGGTTGATGAGCGTTGATGAGAAGTTCGACATGTTCGACAACGGATCCAGATACGGACTTAGCTCTCTGTCTGTGCTTTACGTTCTGCTCGTCCGTATTTCTGCACGTTTCCTTGAAGTTTACAGATACGGGCCAGACGGCGCAGTACCACCGGAAACCGTGGGGGCAGTGTTGCTGCTGTCACTACCTTTTATGTATATCTAAAGAGAAAGAAGAAGACAATGGCGGGGCTTTTCGAGGACGATCGTCAATTTCTCTTATCGGTACGACTAGAGATTATCCGTCCTCCAACCACGACCTGACCGACCACCGCCTCCGCCAACACTGCCTCCGTATCTGTCTCCACAGTCGCCATACGTTACGATCAGCTACGATCGGAGGATACGACCTTTTAGTAGACGATCAGGATGAAGGTGTAAATTGGGGGTAACTCTCTTTTGGAAAGGACAGCTGGACTTACTTGGGACGTTTTGCCTAAGGCGAAACGTCCCAAGTAAGTCCAGCTGTCCTTTCAACATAAAGTGGGAAACCATAGATGCTGAATCCTCATTTTAAGACAATATCTCCAGATTTAGGAGCAACATCTGCGTCCATTCAGCTGAGGAGTCCAGCGATCCGCAGAGGAACGGAAAGAAGTCGGTGGAAATTGACACGTTAACTTGAATGGTTACGATCAGCTACGATCGGAGGATACGACCTTTTCGTAGGCGTTCTAAGTCGACAATCTTCATCTGTTGTGTAAATAGTAGCACCCCCACCTGCAGGTGAACTTGTCTCTTAAAGGGAATGACAGCGAGCGGACACAGTGATCGGTTTGATTCATGTTCAGTCTAAAATACTCCAACGACTAATCTTGACCTCTTTTTGAACGCTGCGCCTCATTTAGAGTCCAGACTCTGAGACCCTGACCTGGGATCAGTCCTCTTCAGTCCACTTAAACAGGTCCCGCTGTGTTCCCGGTATTCCACCTCTGCTCCCTCCCGGCGCCGCTGTGCTTCGTCGCCATGCGAACAGAATCAAACAGAATTTCTCTGTGATGAACTTGTCGACACGATTCCTTAACGAGCGTTTTGACAAACGACCCTGGAGATGATGTACATATCCTTTGGTCATTTCCTGTCTTCCTCCTGTGACGGTTTTTTAAATAAAACAGAGTCCGTTGTTGACTGCTTCGTGTAAGCTTCGGTGTCAAACGTCGGAGCTGTTCATCCATCACCGGCCCGGGATGACACACAGACGATTGTTTTTCACTCTGTTTATACTTAACAGGGGAAAAAATCCACCTCCAGGCCGCTGGATGATACGAAACGTCATCGGAGGAGAGAAAGCTGAAAGTCCTCTGCAGCCTGTGTGTGTTTCTTCGCTTAGATCGCTGCTTCCTAATGTTCGGGTTGGAGATTGTAATTTTCTAATGGCTGTTTACAGAGATTCAGGGTTGGCACAGAGACACTGAGAACACGCTGAAGAAAACACCTCACACACTCATCTTTACAGTGTTTCGAGTGTTTGTGCTCCGACCGTAAATTACTGTTAATCTGACTTCATGAGAGCTGACATAGCTGCCTGCAAAGTCTCATTTTTTCCTTCTTCTTCATGCAAAATAACATAAACGACCTCAGAGGAGAAGGTTTGGACAGATCTGAACCCTGAAACCTTCTTGAACAGATCAGCGGGTTTTACAGGAAAGTAAAGCAGAACAAGCGGAGCTCAGTTGTCCCACTGGCCCGGTACCAGCATGAATATCAGATTTGCTGAGCCCTCATCCCAGCTGACGTCCTCTCTGATCCTCTGATCCGGGCCTTTGTATCACTATCTAGTTCATGTTTTGGATCCACAGGTGATAATGATTTCTCTGGATCAGGATCTGGTCAGACCGGTTCTGCAGAATCTCGGGTTGGTTTCAAACATCTGTGAAAACTTCAGTTCTTTTTTAGTCAGCGCTCTTTGTAAAGTTGAGGTGGGTTTATCTGCTCCTGTTGTGCAGGATTGTGTTCATGCAGATGTGATCGTACATATATGCACAACAGCTGCATGTCTGCTTGTCGGCCTGTTAGTATTTTCACCTGTTTTTGTTCCTGCCTGTTTTTAATATTCCTTTAAGCACCAGCATGTTTCTTATATCAAAAACTTCCTCTTTCATTATAATTCTCGTCTCTTTATGAACATCTGGTCTCAGACTGACAGGAGCTCGGTTTATCGCACACTGATGGTGCAGCGCAGCGTTTATTAGAAGAACAAATCATTTTATTTCAATCATTTGTTTCTCAAATTAAAGGTGAGGTCAGAAGGAATCCGTTAAAGAAGCATCTTTTTTTGTGGTGTATTTACAAAAAAGCTTTTAATATCAGTCAATAGTTATTAGTTATTGATGATATTTGGTAATATAATGAAGAGTCTAGGACTTCGATTTTCCATGTAATAAATCCAAAATGAATATTTGCACTGTGACTGTTTCACTTTACTGCTCTGATTGAAGATGCATGATGTCGGGATTTTGGAGATGTCTGACATGTTAATATTTTCTACACGTTTTAGCCCGAACCAACAAATACACACTTTATCATTTTAAAAGATACTCTGAAGTGAAACATCTGCAGCTCTCACATGCAACCAACACATGCAAGATTTCATTGCATTCAAAACATTCATGCAGATCTGCAGACGTTTTCATTACTTTATAATCAACTCTTAAAGTGAATATCTGCTGAAATGTGAGGCGGCAGCAGCAGAGCGGCACTTCCCCAACAAACGTCTCTCCTACCTGCAGATATCAGCTCCGGGGCTTTAAGTGACTTCACCTGGGCAGGTGTATGGAAGGCCAACGGGAGTAAAAAAACACACTCAAACATACAGCTGTAACACACGACAGTGAAGTTTTCGGCCCTGATTCTTAAATTTACACGTCCATTAGGGCGACCATATTCTGAATCCACAGACAGAGGACACGCCTACCCTGAGGCGGAGTCACGGAGTCGTGGGTAGTAGATTTTGAGAGTTTTTCAGGTCGGACAGAGTGTTTTTTATACGCTTCTAACTCAGTAAATCAACGCGACACAAACTCAAAACTTACGTACTAAACCGCAGACATTTGAAGGATTTTATAAACTCCCCTGGACAAAGACGGACACCCCCCTTAAAAGAGAACATGTCCGGGTAAAAGAGAACGTATGGTCACCTTAACATCTATGAGCTCCACAGACCTTTAACTTTAAGATTAGATTTAATCTGAGCTTTCTATACAGCCAAAATCAGTCATAAAGTGTGAGATTGTGAGAAATCTGAGGATAAATTTGAGTGGTGTCCATGAAATCCGAAGAAAACGGGTAAAAACAGACAGAAACTCCTCAGTCGTTTGTCCCTGACAGGAGACGTTGAGGTCTCTGTTTATGCAGGAGCGGCTCTGGTCAGTTCAGGAGAGTCTAAAATCAGAACCTCTAACACCATCTAATGACAGTGTGGATCCTGAGAAGCTGCTCTGATGACAGACGCAGCCGCCGTGCTCCGGACACAACCTCAAATTAAAGATAATCCTTGGATGTTATTTTACGAGATTACGCCGACCGTGGAGGAGCCTGCGGCGCTGTTCTCACCGCGCTACATCATCCCCGCAGGAACGAATAAACAATCTATTCTTCTCTCTGGTTTACCTCCGCCGGCTGTTTACCTGAAGGGGGGCGTGACGCCCACGGCGAATGTTTGTCCGACATAATCAGACAGTTGTATTTAGAAAAGAGCTGATTGTGTCTCAGGTTTCCTTCACGGGGGAAAAAGTCGACGATCCTGAACACAAACAGTACGAGTCACCGTCAGACCTCTGATTCAGGCTTTCTCTTTCACCTTCGACAAATGTTTCTTTATGGACATAATCGGAGGATCTGTGTCGGAGCAGGTTGTTTGGATTTGAAACAGTCGCCCCCTTGTTTGGAGGAAACCAGTTCGGCTCTGACTAATCATTTTTACGAGCCTGTTTTTTGGCGTTCGCACCGTGACCTCAGAGCAGGCGGAGGTGTTTGTCAGCTGATCTGTTATTGTCTATTGTAAACGCTCAAACACTGATAGATTTGAGTCGATGTGACGGTTTGTTTCCCTGACTCTCAGGTCGATGCAGCGCCGTTCACCCCCGGTCTTAAAATCTGACAGTAGAGCGAGTTCAGATCTCCACGTCTGACCTTTCTCACGCTGAGCCGCTGACATCTCATAACCCCCCGTGTCATCGTATAATAGCATGACACAGTTTATCACCCGTGCCAACACTTCAGACCCCCCACTGGGACCAGAGAGAGTCTCTTCATGAGGTTTATTCATCGGCCCCTCAGGAGGGGGATCACACAGTCCGCCCCCTCGCTTAACCACAACCAGCCTCATAAGCGCAGGTGTGCGACCCGATCTCCCACTCCTCCGACGTCGTCCCTCTGAACCTCCCACCACTCATCTCCGTCTCCCTCTCTGCTCCATCTGATCCCCGTGTAACAGACTTTAACCGTCCATTACTCAGCCTGACCCCCGATGATCCCTGTAAAAACTTTACTGTCTGTTTTCAGGACTGTTTAAACACTCGGCAAGGAAATCTATCTGCTGTTACCCGAGATTTTCGCCGTACGTCAATTCCTACTAGATCCTACCATATAGAGAACTCACAAGAACCTGCAGATTCACGTTCAATCACACGATAACGAGTTGTCTCTATAAAGACAGACACACAGACATATAAGCAGTAGATTGTGTCCTTCCAGAGGAGGAAATCTATTTCTAGACTTCTAGATCAGCATCTCCTCATCCATGCTGTCATCGGGGTGAAATGATGTTAACTTGCATGAATGATCTATCTCAGCTTTACATGCTAACATGCTAACTGTTTACCCTGACCTGTTAAAAGCACGCAAAAAAAATGGCTGAACCTGTGAGGAATGTCCCACTGATTATGTAATAATGAGACTTTTATACAAATCCTTCTTTTCGTACCAAAGTGAGATTAACAGCATGCGGAGCACTCATTCTGAAGCGCTGATGGTTCAAACTCTGCTTGTAGACGTAAATTTGTAGCCATTCAGGATGTGGTGGAAATTTGGGGTTTACTATCACCAACAACCAAGACTGGATGGTCCTGATCTTCACAGCGTTGAAAACAGACAGGACTCTGGAGAAGAAATCACCTCATGAGAAGGACAACTGTTGTCCTTCAACGAAGAACTGGAAATCATAGATGCTGCATCCTCAGTTTTAAAGACTAGAGAGTCCACCCAGCTTGTTCTCAGCATCCCTGATGGTACGGGGATCATAAGAGTCCAGGTTTAGGAGCAACATCTGCTTCAATCCAGACAAAGACTTTTTCAGGGAGGACCTTCAAATGATCCCAAATCAGAATCTGACAACAGGAGAAGAGACCTGGACTGATGCGGTCCTGACTTGAAAACATTTGGAGCATCATGACCCCAAAAACAGGACCAAGGAGACCCTGAACTGTTGAACTGTTATTATTATTTTAGTTTCTAAATTTGATTTATTTTTTTCAAACCATCAACCACGTCATTTTTTAAGATCAGGGTTTAAAGAACCAAAAAGCAGAACCATCAGGTTTTTAAAGACAAATCTGTGTTTTAAAAACAGACGTGACTTTTAAAACCGGGTTTATTTTTCATGATCTTCAGCTGTTATTTCAATATTTATCACTGGAAAAAAAAAAAACCTTTTATGAAAGCAGAATATAGTAAAAACCAGCACAGATTTCCTGCAGGTTGAACTGGGTAAACTGGCAGATTATGAACCTGAAACCCTAGAAATAGATCAGAAACAAAAGCACAGTCTCTAATAAGAATTTTTAAAGGTCCTTAAAACATATTTTTGATTAACTTTTTACCTCCAAGTATGAATGAATTAGTCCCCAAAGTTTCAGATTTAATAACTAAATACTGAGTTTTTTTCTGGATTCATCTGCTGCTGAGTAAGATGACCATACATCCTCTTTTACCCGGACATGTCCTCTTTTTTGGGGAGTTTATAAAATCCTTCAAATGTCCGGGGTTTTGTATAGAAGTTTTAAGTTTGTGTGTCATGGACTTACCGAGTTAGAAAAGCGTAAAAACACTCGATTCAGGATATGGTCACCCTGCTGCTGAGGCTTTTTACTCCCTTTACAGACAACAAAGCGTCCTCCTGAAATAAATGACACCTTTCGTAAACATAATAATCCCACCAAACCTTGTTTATTCCACCTTGAACTCTTTGGATATTGTGCAGTCAAGAGATGAAGAAGAGAGGGAAGAAAGATGGCTTGAAAAATGGCCCCTGATGGACCCCTAACCTCGCACACCCGGCTGCGAATCCTCACCAAACACTCGAATATCACTTAACAGCCCTCATACGCTATTCATGTGCGCACAGAGCCGACGACGAGCATCGATTAGTAGATTCAGGTGCGCTAATTCAGGCGTAGAACAATGAGGGTACTCCGGGGATAATAGGCGCTGATCTTCAAAGTCGATGAGCGGTACGATTCCTCACTCTGCACTTCGCCTGTGTCACAACACGGGGAGGCCTTCTGGGCAAAGTGAGGACTCCCAGCTGGATGTGACGACCCGGCGGAGAATCAACACAAAACCCCAAAGAAGGGGATCAAAGAGGGGTTTAATCCCGTCCATTCAGTGTTGGCTGACAACACATACGAGGGTCTAAAGTGTGTGTTAGATGTGGGTAATGAGGGTAGGTTATTATTCTGCCCCCGACCTGGTTATTGCTTCTTACGGAAACATTGTTCGCCCACTTCAGAGCTCTGTTTGGATCAGCATGGCCACGCACGGAGGAGAGGATATGGGAATGAAAGGCTGGCTGAGGTCAGCGCGGGGGGCATTGTGTTTGAGTTTCATTGAAAACATCACATGAAATCAAAGTTGTTTTCATAGAGACGTTAAATATTATTCTGAGGGAACAAACTGAACGGGGTTTCTTCTCTTTATTGTTTTTGGGGTTTTTACTTCATACTTCTTTTATAATTCTCATATTTGTTGTTATTTTTTTAAACGTATGGCCCTGATCATGTTTGGAGTTAAAGAGACGCTGTAAAAGATTTTACTGTGACTGCAGAAAAAGAGCTTAATGAGGCCCCGTTTATACGTACCCGGTAATTTTTAGAAACGGAGACATTAACCATCGTTCGCACTTTTCAGAATTCGCTCCTGAAAATGATGCTTTTTAGAAACTCCGGCCAAAGATTTGGGTAGTTGACGGCAGATTGTGCCCCAGAAAGGAGGAAGAGACGTTGTTGTTGTTGATTGGGTTATGTCGGCTCGAGCTTCTCGCTACACTGCCACCTACAGGTTTTTTCATGCTCTTGACGGGATATACCGTATTTTTCGTACAATAAGGCGCACTTAAAATCCATACATTTCCGCAAAAACTGACAGCCGCCTTGTGTTTGATTACTTGTTGAGCTTACTGACCGATTTCTTTGTGGTACAATGCGCTTAAGAATCAGTTGAAATGTGTAAGTACGATTTCAGTGAGCAAAGTCGTTCCGCTCAATGGATATTCTGAGAATTACGGTAACTGTCACCTGAGCTGGAATCATCGCTGAACAGCCAAGTACCGGTAACATCAACGAGACCGACTCGGATAATGACGAGAGGGATCTGAGCACGCTTGACGCCAAAACAGTTTTTTTTTTTTTTTGTAAACAGAGAGAGTGAAATGTCTGTTTATGAAAATAGCCGCGCATGTGTAAACATCGTCTTGTTCGACTCAAAGTAACCTCATTTTTACTCTCTCTCTCTTACAGGTTTGAGCCTTCAGACGACCGCCCTCCTGAGTCTTCTGGAAATGATTGATCCGACTACCGAAAGACTTTCGCAGGCTATCGAAACCTCGTCGAGCTGTTAGGTAAGAGACGTTTTTATTTCTGCAGAAATAGAAGTTGCCATAAATGTCAGTGAGGATGTGAGATGCCAAAGATGTGGACTTGGACAAATCAGCTCAAACCTTCATACTTCACACATACCGCCTTTTAAAGGGACTCAAAATCATGTAAAGATCTCAGAAAAGAGATTTCAGATTTGCCGTTTTCGACTCGTTTGTTGGCTAACCAACAGTTTGAAGAAGTTCTTCATCTGCTCTCTTTTAGATCTTCATTCCTCCTGTCCTCACGTTTCTCATCCGTCTTTTCTTAAGTCTGGGATTTCATACGTCTCTTTATATCTGTCAGTTTTGATTTCAAAGATATCCTTTATTAAAACACCAGCGCTCTGAACTTCAGCTCCAAGATAGTTTTTTTTTTGCGTGTGAATCGAGTCCAAACTTCCTCCTCTGATTGGCCGTGCCGTCGGTTCGGCGAGCTCCGGCCGGCTGGTAGGAGAGCTCTGATGTTTCCAACTTTCATTCGCAGGCAGAGAAACCTCAGCAAACACGACGCTGAGCGCTCAGCGTGATTGATGACCTGTTCTTATTGATACAGCGCCTCACATGTGGTTTGGCCATTGTGAGCACATGTGGTTAACCAATAAAGAACAGATCGAGGTTACATGTAGATTACAGGCTTCGGTTCCAGCTCGCTGTATTGTCATTGGCTGGAGGAGTAACCCCAGAGGACAGCTTTATTTTGGAGCTTGTCATTACTGGACCTCAGAGCTTTCTAAACGGGTTTATGTCATGCTTCATGGTCCCGATCGCATGAACTAAGTGTGTTTTCTCATGGAGCTCGGCAAGTGTGGACAGCCTTAAATGAAGTGGTGGTACTTTAATAGAAAAATGTGGAGTAGTTTTACCCAAATGTTTCTGTTCGTAATGATTGAATCCCAGAGAAAGGAAAGTGCAGCTGCAGATTCATCATATGAACTAAACTGAAGTAAACGTTGGTATCGTGTCGGTGACGGCGGTCCTGAAACGTCGGAAATCCACCAGGTCAAAGGAAACACGTCTACAGAGACGTGCCAACATGCATGAGGAAGAAAAAGCCTCAAACACTGAAATTAGCTTAATAGAAAACCAGGATCCGACTCCTGGAGAGTCCACGTTTCAGGTCGTCTTTGGTTGTGTACAGGAAACCATGGCAACGGATACGAGGGTAATGTTTGAGTTGGAGCTGATGCATGACGTGCAGGAGTTGATGAAACTGATTTTACTGCGTAGAAGAGGAGAAGTGATGCAGAAGAAGAAGGGGGCGGGGACAGCAGGTAACTGACCAATCACAGTGGAGTTCAGGGATACCGGAGATAAAAGAAGCAGAAACACAAAAGCAGAAAATCTGAAGAGTTGGTTTAATCTGGAGTAAATTTAATCTGGAGAGTTTGTTTAAACTGGAATAAGTGAATTCTGGAGTTTGTTTAATCTAAAATTTGATTAATCTAGAGTTTGTTTAATTTGGAGAGTTTGTTTAATCTGGAGTTTCTTTAATCTGGAGAGTTTGTTTAATCTGGAATAAATTAATCCTGGAGTTTCTTTTATCCAGAGTTTGTTAAATTTAGAGTTTGATTAATCCTGATCGTGTTCAATTTCAAGAGATTGTTTAACCTGGTGAGTTAGTTAAATATAGAGAGTTTGTTAAAAGTGGAGTTTGTTTAATCTAGAGTTTGATTAATCTAGAGTTTGTTTAATCTGGAGTTTGTTTAATCTTGAGAGTTTGTCAAAATTTGAAATTTGTTAAATCTGGGGTTTGTTTAGCCTGGAGAGTTAGTTTGATTTGGAGTTTGTTTAATCTGAATGGTTTCTCCTTCTTCTTCTTCTTCTTCTTCTTCTTCTTCTTCTTCTTCTTCTTCTTCTCCTCCTGCGTTCAGCCAACAGATCGCTCTGAGCCAGGTGCTCGTTCTCCTCAGGATAAAAATGGGCGGCAACCAGATCAGCTGTGTGTGTGTGTGTTTGTGTGTTATTGTGTGTTTGTTTGTATGTGTGTGTTTTAGTGTGTGTAAGTGTGTTTGTGTGTGTTTGTGTGTGTGTGTGTTTGTGTATGCATGTGTTTGAACCTGATGCATTACTGACAGGACCGGGCCCTGGTGCAGCAGTGATCCATTGTTTTCCTTGGCAGAGATTAGCGGCCCCCAGGGGCCCGTGCCACAAAGAGAGCTCTGTTACCCACTAGAGTGCTTTATTGTGCCCCAAATTACCCCCGTGGAGAGGGGGAAAACAGCATGGCAAATATCGAGCATGCATAATGTCAATGAGCGAAATGACAGCTGAAACTCCGTTCTGCTCGTCTTCCTGCGCCGACCATCGGCGGAGCGGCGGTGGGAAAAACAACTCGGAGCTGTGTACAAACTCTTCGCTCGTAAATCTCAGAGATGGAGTTCAAATGTGTTTGCTCTAGATCTTTATCAGCGCTCGTCAAACACACTCACACTCACAGAGGGGACGTTTTTGATTCTTGTGTGCGGCCCCTCTCTTGAGAAACCGCCATGTTTCTTGTGGCGTGTCTCTCCCCCTCCCCTTTAAAACTCTTGTTCTTTTTCATCTGAAACATGGGTAGAACTTCACATCCCCAAATTCCTCTAAGACGGCTCAAACCTCTCCAGAAGACGAATGGGGTCACGTCTACAAAGGGCAATAATCTTCTTTTCTCCGCGGCCTACAAACAAGCCTGTCAATTGGCTTCATTGTTAACATCCTAGGGGACTGGTTTTTAAAAGTGTCAAGATCAAAAGGCCTGACTGACAAAGCACACTTTTTTATTATTGCAGTGGCAGCCCATAAGCTTTTAATGTAGAAAATTACAGTCATTAAGTACAAGCTGAACAAGGCTTGGATCTTGACAGGGGCTTTGAGGAGCGAACCACAAATCAAAAAAACAAGCCCATGGCGGAGATAAAGAGGCTTGTATGTAAATATGAGCTCTTTCTACTGGAGCAGAGCACACAGCCCGCCTCTGAGCGTTCCTGCAGCGCCGCACTGGTGGAGTTTCAGGACGCGGTGTCTTCGAAAAGAAAAGGGTAATTAACCGGAGACTATAAACAGAGAGAATCAAAAGCAAGTGAGGCTTGAGAGCGATCATTTCAGAGAAGATGAACGACTTCCATCTTTAGTCCTGCTGCTAATTTGAGCTTGTGCTTAAACCTCAGAGAGTTTTCTAAACTTAGGAAGCTTCAGACCTGCGTCAAGAGTCTGTAAACAAAAGACAAAGTGACTCAAGTCGTATTAGAGTTTGGGGTTAAACTGTGTGAGGCCTAACTGAACCATCAGGGTGGTGTTTTAAGTTTCAAGCATGTTTCAATGGGAGCCAACCGGCCAAAGGTGGAGAATATAAACTACAAACCTGTTAGCATGAAATTACCAAGACAACAGTTTGGGTGAAAGTCAACGCAGAGAGATTTATGACCAGAGGGCTGCAGGGAGTGACACCAAACGTGTCGTCGTCGTTTTCTGCTGCGTCATCCGAGTCCGGGTCGCGGGGGCAGCAGCTTCAGGAGGGAAGCCCAGACGGCCCTCACCCCAGACACTTCCACTTCCGGTCCTGGGCCGGCCACGAGGTCTCCTCCCGGTGGGACATGTATGGAACACCTCTAACGGGAGGCGTCTGAACCAGAAGCCCGAGCCACCTCAGCTGACTCCTCTCGCCGTGGAGGAGCAGCGGTTCTCCTCTGAGCGCCTCCCGAGTGTCCGAGCTCCTTAATACCCAAAGTTCATGACCATAGGTGAGGATCGGCACGTAGATCGATCGGTAAATCAAGAGTCTCACCTTACGGCTCAGCTCTTTCTTCACCACGACGAAACATGTGGACATGCTTTTATTTTAACAAGCGGAAAACTGGACACTGAGGGCCTGATTTACAAAAAGTTTGCGTGTACAAAAAGACAAGCAAACTTGATAGTGCACGCAAAACTGACCTACTACGGGTGCATCGAGGATTGCGTCTGTCAAATGAGCAAAACAACACGCGCAATGGATTGAATGTTTTTGCTTTTATGAATTTGCAGAATGTTTGTAGATCATCAGACCGCGCACAATTCTGGGAGGAGCAGATGCAAATGGAGTCATTAAGTGCCCAAAATGTGATCTATCAAACCTGGAAACCAATTGCGGTCGCTGTTTTGCGTCTATGTTTAGCACGTTTGAAAGGCACGTGCAAACTGGCACAACGTTACACACAAATGGCGTAACGTTGTAAATAATTAGGTCAAACACGGAACAGTCGCAAAAATTCATCTCTTTGTCTTATTGATTTTAAATTGTTTGAATCTCTTTATTTTTTCATATTAAATATATTTTCTTGCGTCTGTTAATCACTCTGAATCGCCTTGAGTATGAACAGACAAACTTCCCTTTCCTTTTCTGCAGTTGGTGAATTCTGACGCTCGCTGTGAAACTCTCAGTGCGTCTATAAATATCACAAAAACAGTTGAATGCGCTCTCTCCTCACCTTTTCATTCGTCCGCTGATGTTAATGGTCGATTACGCAAAATGTGCAGCGGGGGGAGAGGGGTGGGGAGAGGGGGAGTCCGCTCTTACCCAGCTAAATTGCAGTGCAGTGTTGGTAGTTGCCCTTTGAGTGGCCACCGCGGTGAAAGGCTGGTGGGCCGGGGTGACTCGGCCCTCTCCTCATTGTTCCCAGAGCTTGGTATTCCTCTCATAGCGTGGCCCGGCCTCTAGAGGATATGCTTTTAAAGATCCCATGCCCTCGCTGTGGCCCCACTCACCTCCCTGACTCACAATTTTTTTTTTTTCTACAGACACAACCCTTGAACTTCAGCTCACCTCAGGATAGAGGGAGGGATGATCCGGAGCGAAAAATGAAGACGAGATCGACCTCCAGATCAGAATTATCCCTGTTTTTATCAGGCCTCTATCTGCCTCTCCCCCATCTATCCCTCTCTCTTTTTCATCCCTCCTTTTCCAGGCCTCTCTCTCTCTCTCTCTCTCCCTCACTCTCTCTCTCTCGCTCTCTCTCTCTCTCCTTCCTTTTTGCTGAGTGTCCCGCTCAGCTGGCCAGCACCTTTTCAATCTTTGCCTGGGGAATTGTCCCCTGCATGTCAAGTGTAGCCATTAGAAGGAAGGGTTTGGATGAGAGGTGCTTTTCAGGTCCCCGTCCCCCTCACCTTTGAATGGAGACAATAGAGCTGTTCTGTATGTCCAGATGACCACACACACACACACACACACACACACACACACACACACACACACACACACACACACACTGCCAGCCTGTAGGGTCCCGTACTCTACACTCACATTTCAGGGAACGGGGTATTACATAACAAGCTAATGTTGTTGTCTCTGACTGTTTTAACGTCTTTATAGTTTGAACAACATCACCTGAGAGCGTTTAACCTCATGACGGCGTGTTAGAGTTAGGGCGTGTAACCCCCAGTTTCCACCGCGTCCGGAACGGCAGTTAAACCGCCATCAGCGCCAATCGCCGCTGATCGTAACTATTCAAGTTAATGTGTCAAACTTCACAGGCTTTTTCCAGCCCACCTGCGGTTCATCGAGCTTCGTAGATGATCGCCAGAGTTCGCCAGAACTTTTTCCGGACATCCGTATCGTATTTCACACCATGCAAACAGGCGGAGACGAACAAGTGAAAGGTTTTTAGACGTCATTTCACCCCGATGACACCATGGATGAGGAGATGCTGATTCTAGAAGTCTAGAAGTAGATTTCACCATTAACCCCCAATTTTCACTGCATCCGGAACGGCAGCGAATTTCGCTGTACGCCGAATCCTACCAGATCTGTTTATGAGGCGAATTCCTGGCAGATAACAGACAGCAGGAATTTGCACGGATTTATGTGCAATCACGCAATAACAAGTCGTCTCTTATCCACAAAGGATAACCATGAAAGCAGTAGATTGTGTCTGAGCAGAACGACGCACAGCCGTGGAAACAAAAAAAACGACAACGCGACTAAACAATTGCGATTCGTCTCATTTCAGTCAATGAAAATAAAGAGACATTTTAGCAGTTTTTATTTTGTGAACCACATTAAGTCTCATTTTTATTTGTCAACAATTTTGTATGATATATTTAGTGATAGTTATCGTCACAAGACCACCATTTATGTTTCGTCTTGCCTCGTTTTTGTCACGTGATAAAGGTTCGTTTACGATGATATTTTGTCATTGTTTTTGCAGGTCTGAGTCAGGGATTTTAAACTGATGAATGCACGTGAACTTCCCTGCACCTTCAGTTTTCTTCTGTTTGCGTTCGGAGATCCTCCCTCTGAGTTATGACCTCTTGTCTTTTTCAGCTGCACTGTGTCCTCGTTTCTCTGGATCACAGGAGTTTAAAATCTCAGATTGAAGAGGAAGATCATCTCTCTGAAGACTTCAAAAAGACTCGGTTGTTTTTGGTTTAACTTGATACACTTGAATCCCTGTAAATATCAGAGCTCGGCGTGTTAACTCTGATTCTTTGATAAAGCTCCTCCTGGTTTCTCAAAGATGACAGTCGATAAGTAAAGCCCCTGTGCTCATGTTTCCTCTGACGTGCACATATTTTTTAGATTAAACTACAAGCGGCAGCCATTACCCGGAGTAACTCCACAAAATTGGCTGTGAAATCTTTAGGTTTCGGATAAGAGCCGGCTATTATACGTTGTTTTTCTATGTGCCATAGTAAAGCATTCTACATCACAGCCAATGAGACACGGCGGTGTGAAGGGACAGCGGGATCCAGGCCCAGACATCGTACTTGGCAATCTTAAGCCCTGAAAACTATGAGGAACTTAAAGCACACTCTCTTTAAGGACACAACACAAACTTGGCATTCAGCACATTCTCCTGCAGCTCCTTTAAAGCCACGGGTGTCAGGACACGTTACTCTCTCCGCTAACCTTTTACACGATGTGGCAGCGTGCCTTTCTGAGGAGCGGACTCTGACAACCTTATCTAAAAGGTCCCTTAAGTGGCCGGCTTTAGAAAATGACTTGCAGGAAGTTTTAAAAACACACATTAAAACAAGCTGGAGGGGGATCAGAGAGTGGAAGGGGGTCATTGTAAGCCGTACTACGGTGCTCCCAGGCCCACCACCACGGGTTTGTATAAGCCCCTTACTGATAATGCGCCGTACAGTCTGGCCCCCATTCTTGCCTCCTTGACTGACAAAGTCACTCATAGCAGCGGATTAGCAGGCTGCACAGGGGCCCTCCACTCTTAAATGGCAGAGGTTGTCTGTAATGTGCCCGTGATGGACGTGCTGCAACATGCAGCAGCTAGTTCCAGCCTCCACCTCTCCGTCCCATTTAAGCCTTCAACCACCCCTCCTTCGCTCCCTCCCTCCTTCCCTCGGTCCATTCCTCACCTCCTCCCCCCCTCCCCGGTTGTGTAGCATGAATCAGGTGGGAGGCCTCCGCTTGGCCTGCAGCAACAAGAATGTAAAGATAATCTTCAGGTGGCTGGTACAACACCGGCTTATTCCTGGAGCTGATAGCTGACCTCTCCGTCTAATGCGGTGAAGACGAGGAAAACACGGCTGCTGAGGAGAGACCTAAAGCTACTCCTCGAAATCTCAACCTCGGAGTGACGGCACAAACAAGTGCTGCTCACATGCACTCCGGCTCAACACGAACACGGAGCTGAACTCACAGAGATGCATTCATGTGTTTGTGTGTTTGACATCTCTGCTGCTTTCTAACCTGTATCAAAAAAAATCCCTTTCTCTGGAAATGGAACAGGAACCCTGAGGCTGATAACCTCGTGTTTGTCATCCATCCACCACATTTTATTATGTTGCTTTATGCACCAGATAACAGACACTGATTTTACTTCCTTTTGTAGTGTCTCTGTGTGTCCTTCTGTTAAACTATTATCTGAAAGACATTTTTAGTGGCGTTAAAACGGGACAAAGGAGATTAAAAATACAAACAAAAATAACTTGATTTTCACTGATAACTATAGTTTTTATTAGGTCCATGTCGCAGGAATCAAAGTTCGACTGCTATCATAGATTTTCAGGAGGTTTTTGGTGCCCTGTCTTACCCAGGATTTCCATCGTGTTCGAAACTTGAATGGTTACGATCAGCTACGATCGGAGGATACGTCCTTCTCGTAGCCGTTCCGGATGCAGTGGACATTGGGGTTAATTCTTTGAGCAGATCAGATGGTTAATGTGAGGTTCTGTTTGCTTTTTGTTATGTGAATGTTTGCATTCATTACAGTTAGCTTCAACAGCTTTTTTTTAATAATGTGAGCTTTACCCTCCATTTAGACGCAAATTCGCCCCTGAAAACGATGCTTTTTATAAAACTCGGGTCAGAGAGGAGATTTTGGAAAAATCTGTTTGCATTTAAAAAGAGAAAAACGGAGGTAAACAAAAATTTGGGTAGCCGTCGGCAGTTTGTGTGCAGAAAAGTAGGAATTGACGTTGTTGTTGCTTCTATGCAGGATTCTGATTGGCTAACGTGGGTTTGAGTTTCTCGCTACACTGCCACCTACAGGTTTGACATGCTTTTGACGGGGTATACACGCGGGTTAGTGTAAATTAAAACTTTTCTGAAAACGTAGCGGTGCGTGCGCAGGTGTAAACATAGTCTTATTTGACTCAAAGTAAACTCATTTTTACTCACTCTCTCTCTTACAGGTTTGAACCCTCAGACGACCGCCCTCCTGACGTTTCTGGAAATGATTGATCCGTCTACCAAAAAACTTTCCCCGATTATCAAAACTTCATCAAACTAAAAGGTAAGAGACGTTTCTATTTCTGCAGAAATGGAAGTCGACATAAACTCTCCAATTTGGTGTCCAAATGGAAAAAAGGCGTGCTCATTGTTTCCAAAGTTTCCGACTTTGGTGGAAAATATCATGAATGGCTCATTGTAGTGAGTGAAATCAGACGACGTGCAGAGACAATCGAGAGCGGTTGCAGTGGAAAACCATTGTTGTAATTATTACAGGTATGCCCTGCAGGTGTGATTAATCTTCAGCTGTCTGGGTGGAGAACATCCGGCTGATGCCAAATGGGGCATACCTGTGTCTTGTGTCAAGTGTGTGTGTGTGTGTTTAATGGTATTACCTTATAAGGACTGGCTAATTTCTGGCGTTGTCATTGTGGGATATAAGCTCCAGTCTACTTCCTGGTGAAATGCCCGTGTTAGGACAGATGTGGTGATTTCTAACCCCTCCCCGTCCCCTCTGTTACCCTTTTTAGCTGAAGTAAGTCGGCAGTTTCCACATTGCGACCTCATGTGCTGTAAGTGTGTGTGGGTGTGTGTCTGATGTCTGAGGTGGTGCTGCTTCCAGAGATGAGGTGGAGCACCTGTGCACGGACTTACTCACTCACTCACAAATATATACACACACTGGAGATTGTCTGGCTGTGGGATTAGGACTGGCTGACTTCTCTCGAGTGTCTGAGTCACACTGTGTGCTTAGATGATCATCAATAATAATCATTAAATCACTTTTACATTCAGAGTTTGGCTTCAGCTTCACTGTAAAATCACTCAGTTTCATTCTGGTTATTTTTATAGACTTAGAGATCCTTCTGTGACTTCAGGTCTACAGTAACTTGAAAGTCTGTCTGTGGCTCAAAAATCCTGGTTTTCATGTCTGGTTTTACCGCAGTTATGACTCGACGTGATGACTGAAATTATTACCTGAAGAGTTGTGGGGTGACTCAGTCAGACAGACAGTTCTGGTCTTGGACTTGTCCCAAAGGATTCTGAGACTGACTGCTGACTTTCCTCTCTCATGATTGAGATTTTTCGAGGATGACTTTGGAATAAACCAGAGTCTGAAACACGCCTGAGACTCTGGGGTTGACTCGATCAGGCCTTGGACTTAAGGTCTGACTTGGAAACTTGAAGGCCTTAAACCTGTTAAAAAGTTGGGACTTGACTCAGATCTGACTATTTAACTTTGTCTTGACTCAAGTCTGCAGACTTTACACTGAGCTGTTAACCTGTTGTTGTGTTTTCAGACTGATAAAGAGCCCGTTAGTTCCCATTTAGACTTAATTAGACTAGGATTATACAGAGTACGTCTTAATTTGTCTTGAATGACAAAAAAAAAATGGCATTTAATGTTTTACTTAAAAAACTGAAAACATGATTTGATTGGCTCTCTGTGATGTCTGATACAATTGGCCTACATACATCCATCCGTGTACCAATCATCCATCCATCCATCTGTGTTCCATTCATCCATCTATACATCCATCCATCCATTGATGTCCCATTCATCCATTCATCCATCCATCCATCCATTTATGTCCCATCCATCCATCCATCCATCCATGTACCATTCATCCATCCATCCATTGATGTCCAATCCATCCATCCATCCATCCATCCATTTATGTCCCATCCATCCATCCATCCATTCATCCATGTACCATCCATCCATCCATCCATCCATGTACCATTCATCCATCCATCCATTTATGTCCAGTTCATCCATCCATCCATTCATCCATGTGCCATTCACCCATCTATAAATCCATCCATCCATCCATCTTTATATCCATCTATGTACCATCCATCCATCCATCCATCCATCCATCCATTATGTACCGTTCATCGGTTTTTTCACGCATTCATCCCTTCCTCCACCCATCCATCTATTTACCATTCATCCATCCATGTACCATCCATTCATCCATCTATACATCCATCCATTGATGTACCATTAATCCATCCATCCATCCATCCCTTCCTTCTTCATGTCACCGCTCTTTCTTCTAACCCTGTATCCTCCCCTCTGTCATCACCGGTGTTTCGTTGTTTAGTAAACACATAAATCAGATCGACCTGAGCTCGGCTCCTTCCTGTCAAACCTTCTCTTCTCTTTCAGTCCCTAAACTTACAGGTAAATGTTGGAATAATTATCGACAGGTGAACCCAAAGTTTCCTGTCTCTTCATTAAACAGATCTGCTAAAACACCTTTATAAAAATATTAACATGTTTTCTCTCCAAGAAACCTGGACAGGAAAGAAAGGCTGCTGTTTCTTGGAAAGAGCAAACATCCATGCTTAAGTATTTAAGGGCAAAGGACCACAGCTAATTCAACTTGTACCAAGCAGTACTAGCATAATTATGATTGACAGCTGGACTGACCGGTTGATCCGTGTCAGAACCTTATTAAACAGCAGTCAGCACACCGGCCCCGGTCTTGGATTTTCGAGGAACCCCTCAGGACCAAAGCGACACATTTCAAACGGGTCCACCGAGTGCGATGTGAAGGAGGGTGTTGACTTACTGCCGCAGCCTAATATGTGGATGATGCCCCTGATGTGGATTTTCTGGTAAATCCCCGTGGCTTTACTACTGCTTGGTTAGACTTAAACACAACCCTTCCCTGTTATTGTGAGGGATTCTCAATGAAGCCGATCCAGATAGAGCTACAGTTACCACTGATCCCGCTGGTGTTGGGAAAGCATGCGAAGCATTTGAGTCTGTGCCGGCGAGCCCTATTACTCACGGCCAGTAATCCTGCTGGTCCTGAAGGGACTTTCAGATAAACACACCCAGGAAAAGATGGGACAGGAAGGGAGGAAGGGAAGAAGGAGACGAGATGATGATGATGGAGTGCATAATGAAGATAAAGTTGAAATGAAGTGGTTGAGCGCTGATAAGACGGAGTATCTGGTGTCTGTGTGAGTTTGTTTTGGGTTATTTAACTCTGTGATGGACAAATCGTGAAGAAGTGAGGAGGATTTATGCTGTTCAGACTGAAGATAAGACACAGACGTGTGATTTTAGCCAAGAGCAACACGGCGCTCCCACCTGCTCTTTAAGAATACAAGAACACAAACACGACAATCTCTCAAACGTGACAGCTCCAGCTTCAGCGAACACCGTGAAGGTCCTTCAGGAGAGTCAGTCTGACACCCGAGGGTCCTGCCGCCCAGTTAGACATGAGAAACTGGGAAACATGGAGCAAACTGGGCCAATAAGGAGATTTCAAGTGTTTGTTCGGAAAGATAACTCAGTTTATTAAAGTTTGTGTCGACGTTGGCGCCCCCTGTGGACACAGTGATACCTCTGATCACCTTTTATATGAGTTTTCATTCAGAAAAGATGTCTGCCTGTTAGTAACGCCAATATGGAGTGATTAGTTAGGGTGACCATACGTCCTCTTTTACCCGGACATGTCCTCATGTCCATTCTGGACACATCTTTTTTTCAGACTTTTCTCTTATGCCCTCTAGGAGGCGCTACTATGTCCCCCCAAGAAGAACAAATAGGTAGTCCAACTCATTTTTCCCCTCGGCGATCAGGCTGATAAATGCTGAGAAGTAGCAGATTATTTTAGTTCTTATTTTACTCTTTTTATCACATTATTTTTTTATAGCATTAGTTATCTATTTATTGCTGATCTGTGGTGCTGACAGGGGAATATTTGGGCCGTCAGTGTCTGATATTTATCTGTTCCTTGATCGTTTAAGAACGAGGCGGCTTACTGTGAAGTGAATTGGCCTTCGGGGATTTAATAGTTGTCTGAATATGAATCAGAATCTTTTTGGGGGCTGTCCGACTTTGTTCAGGGGAGTTTATAAATTCCTTCAAATGTCCGCGGTTTTGTGCGTAAAAACTCTCAAAATTAACTTCATGCGACTCTGTGACTCCGCCCCTGCATAGTCATTTCTTCTTTTTGGGAAGTCAGAATATGGTCACCCTGAATTAGTAATTAATTAAACATGACTACAGTTCACTCGTCACCTTTCTTGGTTCACTTTTAAGGGTCATAAAGGCTACGTTCACTCTGCAGGTTCTGATGCACAATTCGGATTTTTTGTTAAACCCGATCTTTTTGTGCGGTCGTTCACATTATGACAACGAATGCGGCATCTAATGTGAGCAGAATGCGTCGTAGTTGAAGTGACCCGCATGAACACAAATTTCTTTCCGCGCCTGTTTGTGTTGTCGAACAATGGTGATGTTTGTCGCATATTGATGACGTACAGGTCCGATTTATATCCACTTACAAAAGAGGCCTGGGTCGGATCAGAACCAATCAGAATTGACCTGTTCACACTTAGATGAAAAAATCTGATATGAGTCACAGATGGTTAAAACATCTGAACTGACCTGCAGTGTGAACATAGCCAAAAACTCCTCACTGTGCCTTTAAAGGTCAACATTCACGACCTCAGATTAAAGTTCATGTCTGTTTGACCTTTTCACCTCCCAGAAAAGACTTTTCCTTTATTTCCTTTATTTTATTTTGCATATCTAAACTTATAAAGGCGTCAAAAGCATCGTTGTTGTTTGGAGTTTGAATGAGGTGAAATCGGCGGATGTGTCGGGCTCACCTTAACCTCGTCTAATCGTACATACGGCGTCCACGATAAGAGCTGAATGAGCAGAGTCTTATTAAAATAGCACGTAGCAGGCTCTATACATGTGATCCACTTTACCCCCCTCCTGCGCCACCTGACTCCAGAGGCCCAATCTAATCAGGTCACTACAGCCGGCCTGCTGGACCAGGACCAGGCCATCACGTCCTTACCTCAGCTGATATACATGTGGTCAAGAGAAGGAAGTGGCTGAGATAACCGAGGCGTTTCTCAGTCAGACAGGCATGAGGTAAGGCCGCAGGAATCTCTCACAGGGCATTACCTCAGTCTGCAGGCCTACCAGCCGCTGAGAGGAGTAAAAAAACACACAAACTACACACCCCGGAGCTGGTTCCTATTTTAGGCACCCGGCTGGATGATCAGCCTCATTATTATGATTGTCTGCTGTTGTGGGAAAAGCACCATGATTCATAATTCCTCATTATGAGGTTGGACGGGGTTTTTTGGTGTGTGTAATTAAAGGTTGTGTCTGCACTCGCTCCAGAGTGTGCGTCAATTTGTCAAACGGCTTCACACATTGTTTTTTCCAGAAGCCCAGAAAGGTAGCGGATTAGTTTTTGGAGGGGAGACCCGCTGCAGGTCCGCGGATGGAGTTTCAGTCGTTCGCAGGTCTTGCCGTGTCTTGTTTCATCCTCATAAGCGCTGATGTTATTCTTCTCTGACAGTAACCTGCGCTGCGCCCTGGCACGGCCACCAGGAATGTTCAGAATGCACCTGAAAAAGTCAACAATCAAAGTATTTAGGAGACATTAAATTGCACACAATGACTGCCGGGTACAACAGACGCCTTTGTTGTGTGCAGTCAGGGCTCGCCGCAGAGGTACAGCGCGGACAGGGATCCTATTCTGCTGTGTAATCGGAGATAAAAGAAAAAAAGAGAAGTGTAGGGGAAAAGGCTTTAGAGGGTGGGTAACTTCAGATCCTATCTCCTCCTCTGCATCATCTGAGCAGAGCGGACAATCACAGACTGTGTGTGGCACACTCGCTCACCCTCATCCCCGGCCAAGGCGCCGCAAAATTAATTTTGATCTTGGCGATATCCGCGGGCCCGAGCCGCGTGTCCACGCCCAGAGAGGACCCCCACGCCCCACGCCACGCCAGCCTCCGCTCCTCTGATGTTTCTGACTTTATGCCATCTGCAGTCGCTCACCCACTCGGTGCGTAAATCTGCAGGAATGTCAATATATCAGAGCGTCTCTCCTTCGCTACACCCAGGAATCCGAGTGTTTTCATCCGATCTGATAATCGGAAAAGTAAACGTTTCTCCGTCACTGTTCATCACCCGGAGATACGAGGGGTTTGTTGATTTTCGTTTGTGTTTCTCCTCACCTCTCGGGTTTATCTCTGCTGGCAGCTGGCGCCAGGCATGTGTTTGGGAGAGAGGAGAGAGGAGCATTGTTTTGCTTCACGCTGTCAGGGAGGCTGTTTGAACCTGAAGGATTTCAGCATTACGTAGCTGCTGCACACACACACACACACACACACACACACACACACACACACACACACACACGCACACACGCACACGCACGCACACACACACACACACACACACACACACACACACACAATCACATGTAATTGTGTTTCTTTCACATTCCTCCAGAACCATTTCGAAACAGTCTCGCTCCTTTACTGAAGCTTCCTCATGACGTCAAACACAACCAAACAAAGCGCTCGTGTTTGGGTCTAAACTCGATATCGTCACTTTCTCCTAACGTGACGATAAGTGAGTTTTTTTCTCTTGATGATTCCCGTTTGTTCCTCTGATTTATTAAAAGCTTTTAACATCCATGATGAAAACCTTTAGAGGCGTTTTAAGGAGTGTTTGATTTCGTGATGGCGCTGCTCTTACATGATCCCACAGATCAGGTGTGATTAACAGCATGTGGAGTCAGTTTGCAGCGCTCACTCTGACGTGTGTGTTTTCTCTGAATGAGTTTCTTTGACTTGATGTTTCATTCATGTCTGAAACCGGAGCAGGGTTAGCATAAAGGCCTGCGATTTCTGTTGATGGAGTTTGCATTTTCATTATTCAGGCACCACTAAGATTAGATTTAACTCAGGAGACCGATGATACATGTTAACGTCAAAAACAGGAGATCCACTCACTGTTCAGGATCACTTCGAGAGTGAGGTTTGGGTCTCAGGTGAGAACTTCAGGTCATTCGACTCAGCAGGAACCGTCTCTTCAGGTTCCCCTTGCTGTTGTTTACGTACACCAGCTGAAGTCAATTTACTCTGAAATGACAAAGTGGATTCAGTTTGTTTAAAGTGATTTCTTTGTAAATCAACGTCTGTGTTAAAAGTCACTGTGAGGAGTTTTTAAATCTGAAACTGATGTTTCTTTATGACGAGACAAACGGATTAAAAAAAAAAAAAACTTTTTCTAATTTTTCTTGTGCTGAACAAAAAATACGAGGTATCACTTTGTCCACAGGGGGCGCCAAAAAAGCATAAAAGTTATGTTTGACCCCCAATTTCCACTGCATCCAGAACAGGTCGTATCCTCCGATCGTAGCTGATCGTAACCATTCAAGTTAACGTGTCAATTTATGCCGACTTCTTTCCGCCGGACTCCTCAGCTGATCACAAGAGTTCTATTTTTTCTGGACGCCAGAGCATGGCGGATAAATTCAGCACAGATTAACCCGTGCTGGAAAGGAAGTCGGGCACCGACACAAAATAAAACATCCGGCTTCTTTTCAAAATAAAACACAACCTTTCGCTTGTTCGGACAGAGACGAACAAGTGAAAGGTTTTTAGACGTCATTTCACCCCGATGACACCATGGATGAGGAGATGCTGATTCTAGAAGTCTAGAAGTAGATTTCCTCCTCTGGAAGGACACAATCTACTGCTTATATGTCTATGTGGCCGTGGCTAAGAGACAACGCGATATCCCGCGATTGCACGTGAGTCAGCGGGTTCTTGTTAATCCATGAAATTGGACTCACCAACGCATCTGGTAGGAATTGGCGGACGGTGAAAATCGCTGCTGTTCTGGATCAGAGCTGTTCCCGATGCAGTGAAAATTGGGGGTAGGGATTAAGGATTAATAGGTTGAGTTCCTCGCTCTGTTTCGACATTTATCGACTCTGGATCTGTGACGGTAAATCTGCTCACCCTTTAATGATAAATGATCAGAGTTTATAAACTTTAGTCGTTGTTGTATAAGTGTTTGAAAAACTTGTTTATTTCCTTGAGTGAATTAAATTAAGAGTTTTACTACAGGAGAGTCTGCTGCGTATCCCCCCCTCCCTCGGTCCCTGTCACCCCCCCACTCTCTCCTCCACATTACTCATGCTGCCGTTCGCCCCCCTGGACCTGTTGACCTTCTAAATTTAGCTCTCTGCTGGTATTTTGGACTGATGAGGGAATTTTTAAAAGGGACAGGAATCCTGGTGACTAATGTGGCGTGCACGCTCAGGACTTAAACGCAGATCCAGGATGTAAACAGTCTGGCTGTTGTTTCAGAGGAGGAGGAGGAGGAGGAAGAGGAGCGCGGTTTCTGTCCGCATTCATGTGACGTCGACGGCGATACGCGGGAGTAAGAGAAGAGCTGATACTCCTCTGAATGTTTATCTAACATGGCTTCCCTGTGCAAAGTGGAAATATGCACCTTGAGAGTATAGCTGCTTTGTGTGTGTGTGTGAGAGTGTGTATGTGTGTGTGTGTGTGTGTGTGTGTGTGTGTGTCAGAGGGGAAATTCCAGCCAGGGGGATCTAAGGTGTGTCTGAGGATCATCTCTGACCACTTTAAAGCGAGGCCATCATCGGCGTTCCTGTATGACTCTCGGCCCCAGCTGCGCGTCTCTCTGAGGGCTCATTATTCTGGCAGGTGCCCTATTGTCCCGTCTTTGCGGGCCTTTTCATGAGCGAAGTGAAAACACAACGCCAAAATATGCAGAGGGAAGGAGGGAGGAGGAGGAGGGAGGATGATGGTCTGAGTCAAAGTCAAAGTGAAGAAGAAGAAGAAGAAGAAGAAGACTCGGAGAGAGTGCGTGCATCAAAAGAAGAGAGGAACCTTTGTTCGCGGCGGAGAATAGGAGCTGTTTGGATGTTTGGCGGCTGCGGCGGCGGCGCTGGGATGTGGTGATAGTGGCCACTTTAAAGGAGAAAACTGTGACACACTGATGTGGGGAGGACGGCGTTTTATGAATGAACGCTCCATCAGACACACAGCTGCAGCTCGTCCTCTCTCTCACTCTCTTTCTGGGTCATCTCTGATTCATTTCACCTTAGCCGAGGTTTGCGGCCTGCAGAAATGACAGCGCTGTTTTCAGGGCGAAGCAACAACCCCCGCTGTGTGTGTGTGTGAGAGACCGTGTGTGTGTGTGTGTGCGTGTCTTTGTGGATGACCTCATGGGAAAGTCCTTTTGGTCGGGAATAAACACAACAAAGGAGCTGTTGACAGATGTTTCAATAATAGCAGAACAACCGGCGCTCTTGTGTTTTAATCTGGCGATGGCTGAGTGTTTGTGAGTCTTACTTATGTCTCGCCAAACATCTTAAAGACAGACGCACTCAGGGAGTACGTGGCACACATGGGAACGGGGTTTTGGACCACCTTTAAAAAAAACCTCTGAAGCTTCCAAGAAAATACCGTCATACTTGGAGAACGATGTGTTGACCCTGAAATCGGAGAAAGTACATAAGGGAAAAAAAACACAAATCTTTATCAGTTTGAACAAACAGAACAGGCTGAAAAATGAGAAAATAAACTGAATCAAGAAAAGACGGATCATTTATGTTTTCTTCACTTTGTCCAGTTATCTGAGAAATTTAAGTTGGATCATAAAAATCAGAGAAGTATAAAGAGGATCAGGGACACATGGAGATAAAAAAACAATTACTGGAAAGGAGGTTAAAGACAACATTTCAAGATTAAAAAGTCGAAATTATGTCAAAAAAAGTCGAAATTTGAGATTAAAGTCAAAATTTTCAGATTAAAATTTCAAATTTCGAAATCAAACAATCGAGATTTTGGGATTAAAAAGTCCAAATTTAAAGAAAAAATAGACAAAATTTGGAGAGTTAATAGTTGAAATAATGTCAATAAAGTTGATTTTTCGAGATTAAAAAATTGAAATTTCAAGATTAAAAAATCAAAATTCAGTAAAAAAAAAGTCAAGATTTTGAACATGAAAAAAAAATTTCGAGGTTAAAAAGTCGAAATTTGGAGCTTAAAAATCTAAATTATGTCAATATAGTTGAAATTTTAAAGATTTAAGTCTTAATTTCTAAAGTAGAAATTTTGAGATCGAAGTAGAAATTTTGAGATTACCAAATGAAATGTCATGAATAATGTCAAAATTTTGAGATTATAGTTGAAATATCAACTTTATTCACGTAATTTTATTTTTTTAATCTCGACTTTATAAAATTTTGACTTTAATCTGGAGATGGAAGTTTAAAAAAATCTCTCTCCTGTAATTATTTTTATCTCCTCTTGTTCCCCTAATCCTCTTTGGTAGAAGTGAGTGAGGAGGTCAGATTATCTGTCCACGAGGTCAACCTGAACTACGTATGATGAAAACAGGCGGGAAATGGCGTGAAGGAAACCCCGCCTCTCTTTGGGCGCTCTCGTGAACATGAGGTGGCGAGACTAAAGACCAGAGTTAGACTCTGTCTTTGTGTTTGCCGTCCTTGCAGAGCGCTGCAGGTTTAATATCTCTGTCATTTTATCTTTAAAGGAGACAAACCATCAACAATTTTAATAAACAGATGAATTTTCACTTTCTCCTTCCCTCCGTCTGTTTTTTTCAGCTTCATGAGTCCAGACTGTGAACTCGATCTGCTCCAAATGTGTGGAGTCCAGCCTGATCCTGTTAGACAGTAAATGGACTGTAAAACACTTTTACACCACATGTCAGATTAACCCTTTCATGAACAAACTGACGGCAGGAGCGGCTGCACCAACCGCCCTCTCTCATGTTTCCACCGGCCTCAGCTTTTTTTGTAGTTTGAGATGTGAAATCCAAACACCAATGAAACATTTAGATATTTTAAAGTTTTTTTAATGCTTTAAACAGTTTATGGTTTGAGTTTTTGGATTCACTGATCCAGAAGATGTTCAGGAAATGAACGCAAAGCATAGAAAAGAAAAGAGACACCTCTTCATCTGCCTTTATATATATATATATATATATATATATGTATTTTTTTTTCATGCCACCCAGTCCAGTAAGTGTTGTGCTGATTGTTTTTTGTAAAAAAATTGAAATCTTTGCACAAGCCACATTTTCAGTAAATTCTGCTCAAATCATCATTTTTGTGACTTTTTTAACCCTCTGGTCCTACTTTGTCCGTTTTGAGGACATTTGTCTTTTTTTTCATCTTCATTTTGAGCTGATAGTCACATTTTTGAATATTTGGGAAATGTGGCGATTTTTTTTTGTTTTTTTACTATTAAAAATAAATATGACGTGTTGCAGAAAAACCGGCATAAAAAGGTTAATACATAATTTTTTTAATTTATTATTTTTCTAATGGTCAGGGCTGAAGTTGTTTAAGAGATATGAGTCGAAAAAAGTAAGAAATGAAATGATTATTTTTTGAACACTTGAAGGACAAAGTCGGCTGGATGGAGCTAATACACGGAAATCGGAACTACAAAAAGGATTTAAATTCACCAAAATCAGTTTTACTTCTTATCATTAACACAGACCAGACTCTTTTTATTAAAAAAGTAATAATAAAAAAATCATCAAAGTCATTTTATTTGGGAAATATGGCGATTTTGTTTTTTTTTTTACTATTAAAAATAAATATGATGTGTTGCAGAAAAACCGGCATAAAAAGGTTAATATGTCAATTTTTTAATTTATTATTTTTCTAATGGTCTGGGCTGAAGTTGTTTAAGAGATATGAGTCGAAAAAAGAATAAAAAATGATTATTTTATGAACATTTATCTGCATGTCTGTTTTGGAGACAAAGTCAGCTGGATGGAGTTTAAAATTAACATGAACGGAGGGTTAAAACTCTAAAACAACAACCGTTTCTGTTTGGGTCGTTGGAAAATCAACATCTGGACCTGATTTATTCATTTTTCATCGACTAATCGACGCTGAAACCTGCTCTGATATTCTGGTTTTCTTCTCATGAGCGTTTTACTGACTGACACGAGGTGAGCAGAGACCGTCCTCAGGCCGGCGCTCGCCATCGTACTCCACACAAACGGGGGCTTTGTGGCCCCTGAGTGTGCTCTGGGAGTCAGGAGGTCAGGACGGTGGAAGGTGGGGTGAGGAGGTGAGAGTGTTTGGGGGAGACATTGAGAGAGGGGCGGCCAAGTTTGGCGACAAGGCTTCGGTTGTTTTGCTAAAAAGGGGAGGAACAACCCTGACATTATGACACCACATTATGTGGACTCTGCAGCGCGGCGTTTAACCTCCACGAAGAAAACGAGCGTTTCTTCACCTGAACGTGTCCTTCAGCTTCAAGAACAATCTGTAAAGCATGTTCATGAGTGGATTACTCCCACGCTGCGGAGTCAGAAATAAAGCCACTCTTACTCCATCGTCTTGGTAAACTGATTACAGAAGTTGTTAAATCTAAATCTGTTTCCTTTAAAAAAGAGAGAAATACTGAACGCTAACCCTTATATGAAGGATGGGATTAATGAAGTTTTCTGCTCATTAGTGTTCACAAATGCTTTCAAGTTGAAAAGCCTTTTTACTCCTGCGGTAATCTGCCCGTGAGAGAGAGAGAGAGAGAGAGAGGGAGAGAGAGAGAGAGCGCCGTCCGCGTTCTTCCAGAGGTCAAAATGTCACTTTTGGTTGTAGGGAGAAGTAAACAGGAGTGGAATAAGCCTTCTGTCTTAGGGGGCCCACGCCATAAATCCTGGGAGTAAGACTCCCTCTACATGGTCTCAGAGCGCTGAAACAACAGGTCAGCCTTTAATCGCCTGTAATAGAAATCCTGTTGTTTTAGCCGAGGCCAAGAGATTCCCCGACAGACTGCTATAGGTCCAAGTTATCTGAACGCACGGCTCGCTAAACGTACATAAATATATATATGATAAAATGACTTTAAAACCAAACTAAAAACGTACCTTTTTAGTCTTACTTTTAACTAAATTTTATATCATGAATTTTAAGTGTTTTAACATTTATCTATTCTAGTTTTAATGACAGGATCGTCTTTTATTGAGCTACTTTGGTGCTCTTATTTCAGTATCTTTTACTGTTGTTTTTATTTCATTTTATTTATTATGTCTTAAATTTCTTTCTATGTTACTTTGTTTTTAGATTTTAACCCTCCAGTGTTTCCTTATCTAAAACTTTAAAACGGCGTTTCCTCAGTGCGAACATTCGAGCCCTTTTTAATATAATGGATTTTAATTCTGTTTCTGTTGTGTTTAGATTGATTGGTGGAAATGAAGGGTTGGGTTGGGGTAGATTTGGGTTTTCTTTGTTTCTTTTATTCCTCTGCTGTGTAAAACACTTTGTGCTACATCAGATAAAGACTGATTGATACATGTCCAAATTGTCTAACCACGTGGCTCGCTAAAGGGACAATAAATATATATGTATGTATTTATATGATGGAAACTGAGAGCTGCTTAAGTTTGCATTAAAATCAGAGCAAATCTAAAGGTCATAATAATTTTTAAAAACGGTTCAAACTCAGGAGGAGAAGAAAAATCTGGTTTTTATTCACATCACATTCAAAGTGTATTTGGCAAATTTCCCGTCACAGTATCAGAGATCCCAGAAATCCAGATGGACGATGTTTTTTTATAAGATAGAGGGGCTAAAAATGAGGGTTAAGAAACTGCTGATTCAGCTTCAAGATAAAAATCTGATGTCGTAATTTTTATTTTAGGAAACTTTTGAGAAAGTTTTTCTAAAGGAGCCACAAAAGTCTGAATGATCCTCATACTGAAGCTTCAACACGACTTCAGAGACACTGAGCGGCACCGCAGACAACAACACGGTCATGAGATCAGAAAAAAAGGTTTATCTAGAAAGAATAAAATAAAAAAAGCAACTGGAGACACAGACGTAAAACAAACACTGACAAACTAATGATTAACCAACCTGGGGTCCGTTTCACGTAGGTGGTTCAACAAACTCTGAGTTAAATCCTTAACTCTGAGTTGATCTACTCTGAGATAAGAAACTCTGAGTTTCCGGTTTCACAACACCTGATTTGAGACGGTTTTATCAACTCCGAGTAGTTTGACCTGGAGTTAAGCACGTGCACGCCAGACATGAACAGCCAGCATCTGTGGAGCGCAGATTCAATGATCAACCAATGGAAACAGGGAGAAGGAGGGGGCAGCAGCAAGCCAACAGCGAATTACAGCACGTTTTTAAAAGAAAGTGCAATACAGCAGCAGCTGCAAAGGAGAGGGAGAGGGCTTGTGAGGAAATCGCTGCTCGCGTCAATGCGTAACTTTAAATCTAGTCTCGTGCAATCACAATGACAGACTGTTGCAGGGAAACTGCTTGAATCATTTTGATCATGTTTTACATTGTCAAGTAAGTATTAAGTGGCAGTTTGATCCCTTAGAAAATGCTCTTTTCACACTCAAAAATGAATTTTACTCTCTTATGATGTTCCGTTAAATGATTAGGAATATTAAACTAACTCTCAGTATGTATATGTACATATATTAAACTAACACACACTACACTCAATATTAGACTTTCACTCAGCAAACAGAAAGAGGGCAGATGCCAGAAAAACGGGTGGTGGTCCAGCAGCCCCACCTTTAACGGAGGCAAAGGAGCTGCCCCCCCCCCCCCCCCCCTTCGACGATCGCAACTCCCACCCCGTAGCAGCGATCGTCGGACTAGTGTGCGTGTGCGTGTGTCTGTGTGTGTGTGTGTGTGTGTGTGGGGGGGGGGATTTGCGATCGGACCGGCCGCGATCGTCGAACGGGGGAGGTGGGGGGCAGCTCCTCTGCCTCCGTTAAAGGTGGGGCTGCTGGACCACCACCCGTTTTTGTGTTAGTTTAATATTCCTAATCATTTAACGGAACATAATAAGAGAGTAAAATTCAGTTTTGAGTGTGAAAAGAGCATTTTTTAAGGGATCAAACTGCCACTCAATACTTACTTGACAATGTAAAACATGATCAAAATGAGAAAATGCCGATGTCTCAGCTGAAACTCTGGGTTTACTGAGTTAAACCTGCCCCCGAGCAGGTTAGGTTCACGGAGTCTGTTACTGTGGTAACTGACCGCGAGGTTGAGTTACCTCTCTTTGTGAAACAGGTTAGAGTTACCCCTCTCTCCCTGGTTTAACTAACCCTCCTTTGTGAAACGGAAAACTCAGAGTTTCCCTGATTTCAGGGTTAACAAACTCGGAGTTTCCACTAAACCTGCTACGTGAAACGGACCCCAGGACAGAAGGAAAGCAGGGACTATACAGAGAGAGGGAAACGAGCGACAGGTGAGGCAGACGAGACACAGGTGAGATAAACGAGGGAGAGAAAACTAGGGAAGTAAAACCAGACTAGAAACACGAGGAATCAACTCCTACAAAATAAAACAGGAAATAAACTCTGAAAACTGAGAATAAAACAGAGAGAACAGGAGGGAAACAGAGTCAAACTGAAAACTAACAAGACTGGACTACAGAGGGACAGGAACACGAGGGAAAATACACAGAAAATACACTCAAATAAAACCAGGAGAAAATTAAACAAACAGAACAGGTTCATATTTACAGGTTTAAATGTTTTCCTCTGCAGCTGTTTGTGAGGGTGAGCGGATCATGCAGAATGTGTTTCTGAGGTTTACTGACGTTTACTTTGAGGTCCTCGCCTCTGATTGGTTGGTGCTGTGACATGTGATCAGGGTTGTCCAGGATGTTACGTTTTGGTTCATCAAATTTCTAATTTTTCTCGTCTCCATTTTGTGCGTTTTGATATTGTCTGTATTTGTAACTTCAGTAGTTTGTCGTCCTCAGTTCATGTGCTCTGAAATGCACTTTACTCGATAAAATGGGAGTATTTATGTCAAAGATTTTAGTCTTCAAAGGTTTTTTTTATATAAAAAATAAATTCTCTTGGTTTGAATTTTATAAAAGTGGGTCGTGATTTAAGGACCATGGGAAAATGTGAGTCCCAGAGTGAGACCAGTTGAGAACCACTGATCTAGATTATCTATGCAGATCTGGGTGACCAGTGTCTTTGTCTCTAGTCTGACTGGCGAGCTGCAGAACTAAAAACAGCAGCAGCGGCGGCGGTGGCGAGGTGAAGCAGAGGAATGTCTGGCCCGGGGTGATGAGCAGTCATAAATTCATTAGTGAACGTGGAGCCGGCTGATTTGGGAGAATGAACGCCGCTGCGTTGATAAACCAGTTGACCCCGTCAACTTGGCAGCTGTCATGACCTCAACCTGGGGTTGTATTAGACGAGGGGGGGGCAGAAGGACAATATTTGTTTAAGCTGATAAGGAGGGGTTGCAGAGGTTGTGTGAGTGTGCGTGTGTGTGTGTATGCATATTTGTGTTTTGTTTATGGTGCATATGTGTGACTCTAGGCGAGAGCACATGTTGGAGATTGAGCGGAGGAGCATGCTGAGCCTCAGACCCGGTATATTGATAGACGGAGGACTGATGCAAGTGTGTGGCCTTGAGTGAGCCGCCGCCGCCGCCGCCGCAGCAGCAGCAGCAGCAGCAGCAGCAGCAGCAGCAGCAGCCTGATGGCCTGCAGCTCTCAGCGCTCAGCGTCATTAACATTCCAGCTGTGGAGATTTTGGCATGCATTGGGAAGCATGACAAGACAGCTACACATCTCTGTGCTGCTCTGTCATTTCTCCACCGGGGAGATTAAAAACAAGCTGAGTGGCTTCAGATCATTCCTGACAGATCATTTCTCGTCTTGTCTGCCTACCTGTCACTCAAACTCACCGTTACAGTGATTTGTTTTCAGCGTTTTTTTTCTCCTTAGAGAGACATGTTCTGCTGCTGCTGCTGACTCAACCGTCAGCGACAGGTAAAGAGATATTCGCCCTGATCCCTCCCTGACATGCTATTCGCCCCGCGGGCAAACAAATCCCATTGCTCCCTGGCAGATCCTAATGGATACATTTAGAGCAATTATCTGGGTGATATTTACGAGGACGTGTGAAGTGTTTTGATGGAGCCTCGCAGAAACATTACATGAAACCTCTCGGTTGGTAGGTGTTGGCACAGGCAGACATTCAGCTGGGCAAGCCTTGTGCTGTTTCACAAAGTGTTGACACGCTGACTTTATGGCAACTGGAGACGTACGTTGAGAAATGGAGGGAAAGCGCTCTGATGTCACAGACTGTACGGCTCCACTTATGACCCGCTACAGCCCGACATCTGAACGTTGTGTTCGTGGAGACGGCGAGAAAAGATTTATGTTTCTGTGGAATATGCAGAAGATAATTTAGACACATTACAGAAATCATTTTTACATTTTAACAAGATTTCTAGAAGTTAAAGACTTTTGAGTTCTTATGTCTTCATTTTAATCAGTGTGAACACATTAATTTGGTCCTAAGTTTTTGATTTTTACTTATCTCTTAACAGAAAAACTCAAATGTCTCAGTCCTAAAATCTAAAATCAGTTTTCTTCAGACAAGACCAACTCTGTTTTGTAGTCTAGTTAGTTTTGAGAGACTCTGATCTAAACATTTTGTTGATTTTCATATTTTTGCATAAAGTTAAACTTCGAACGCCTGAGATCACCGAGCAAATACAGTGATGTGTGTAGAGGTGACGTGTTTATCCTGCTGTATGCAAAAGAGTGTGTCGTCTGCAAATAGTGAAAACAACAAATGTGCTTTTTGATTCTGAAAAACTTTTCTGAGATCAGTACTTGAATCAGAGTCCTTAAAAATTACTTAAATTCACGGCAGAGTCGACCCTGTCTGCAAAAAACTGGTGCTTAACTTATGTAGGTTGTTTGTATTGGCGTACTTGTGAGTAAAAACAGCTTTTTACTGCAAATTTGGAGTTTTTTATATGCAAAATAATGTTATTTTAAACATGCATTAACTGTGATTGATCACCATAAACTTTTAAAACTTAGGGATAAATCAGTATTTAAGAAATTTAGTCATCTAACAGCAATAACTAACGTCAACGTAGATAAATAGGCATATCAGTGAGTAAGATATTTACGACAATCTGGTAAAAATGCTGTTTTTTAACCTCAAATTCAACCTTGACTATAACAGGAAATGTTGATGTTTATGCATAAAGATACAGAGTTTTATAATTTGATACAGCAGGTATAATTTTAGTGCAGGAATGAACTGAATTGAACTGAATTTTGGATGTAATGTAAACACATTTAAAGAGAAGTCGATGGTAAAGCTAATCAGGTGAAAGGTGCTGCTATCACTCATCTTCATTTCCACTATTTAAAAAGTTCATCAGGCATCAAATTAGAGTTAGATTACGGCTCATTAAGCGGTAACTGTGAGGATATCTGAACGTTGAGGCGCTCGCTGTAGTGACACAGAAACGTTCCCGGCTGCAGAAATCTCAGGTCGTAATAAACAATTACCCGCATGCACTTAAACACAGACATCAACAGGAGCTGCAGCCAAATAAAATCAGGCAGGTATGTGAAGGTCTGTATGCTGGCAGCTCCTGTGGATTCCATCCAAGCTGTTAATCATGGTTGTAATTACTGTTTTACAGCTGCAGCATATGAGAGACATTCAGTCTTGACAGACAGTAAAAGAAAGAAGTGTTTTATGTCCCGACCAGAATGGACGAAAAAAAGAAAAAAACAGGGTGTGCATGTAGTACGCAAATATTTCAGCCCCACCTTCTCTGGTTTTAATGATCCTAAAAACACCGTAAAGACTCTAATATAGCAGCCGACCCGTTTTCTCCAAGAGGAAAAGACTCAACAACAACAACAACAACAACAACATGAAGCGGGAAAGAATTTAAAGTTACAAAATAATTAAGAAAACATTTTATTTTACATAAACTGTACAGATGACATTTATTGGACTAAATGATTCTTAGACAGGAACTAAAAATAACTTTCTTATTAAATAGAAAACTGAAACAAAAATAGAATTAAAGATGAAAATGAAGTGATGCTTATTGTACAAAACAGAGAATGAAAATAGAGCAAAGAAATGAAATCATATATCGTACCCTGATACAGTGGTAGGCCTATTGCAAATGATCAAAACAGTATTGTACACAGTAACTCAATGGCCTTGCCATCTTAGTACAATAGCTAAAATCTTGGCCTCTTTGGTTCCATTAATTAGGTAAAATACATTTGAAACAAAATTCAATTTTCTTCTATAAAAATAACTTTTCAATGGCAGTTTTTGTTTCACTAATCCCGCAACTTTTCAGTGCAAACGTCACAACAATCATTCGCTTTGGAAAGGAGGCGAAAGATTACATTTCAAGTATTGATAAAAGAGTCGAGGACTTAAGAGAGAAAGAAGGAGACAGAGAGAAAGATGGAAAGACGATTCAGTCTAAGAGAGCATGTCGAGTATGGGTATAGGTTACTATACATTGCATAGCTCATGTGGCACTTATTTAGTGATAGGACAGGACACTCAGTACCCCTTGGAAGGCATTTCTTTATACAAGTGCTATTCAGGGTGTGCATTTCAGTTTCTGCAAGTGCTGCACTGCACTGCGGCGACCCGACGGTCGACCCAAACTAGAGTCCTGGTGTCCACGGGCCCGCTTCTGCTGGGCTGAAAGGGGGACAGGAGGAAGCAGTTCTCTCTCTGCTGCTCCCAGTGCACAAGTGAAGTGCACTTATGAGATCTATCTTCACCTGGTTGTCATGGTAGCGGGGCCTGCAGCACTCGTAGGCAGGAAGTCGAGGTCGAGGCCCGTAGTCGACGGAAAGAAAGACAAGACAGACAGCAGCGGCGGCAGTGGCGGCTCTGCGGCGGACTTTCTTTTGCCTTTCTTCGGATGGTCTAATCCTGCGAGGCATTAAGCGCTGCCGGTCTAAATCCATCCGAGGGGAGAGTCAGACTGTGTCTGTCGGCATAATATGGGGAAGTGCTGGTGTTCTGAATTGTATAAGCTGATGAATTGTCAGTGCTTTATAAAAACAAGTCTGTCATGTGCTTAAAGTACTTAAGAGGGTTTTGGGGGGAGCAGAGCCCGGGGCGTGGGGGTGAAGAAGCCAATAATGCCATCGGCTGATCCTGTCACTTTCCTTAAGCGCTTGTTATCTTCATACAAGAGGAGATGATGAGCCATTATTTTTGACTAGAAATGGCAAACTAGAGCAAAGTATCATTTGGTGATTATCATTCCCTTCTCGTCTCCTCGCTGACCGCAGACTCGGACAGCAAGCATGTCACTCTGATAAATACACACACTCGCACGCACACTTGCAAACACACCCGTGCACACGTGGACCCAATACTGATACTTGCTTGATTGTACCAGTGCGCACGTTGCTTGCACTTACAGTAGGTATAGATATATTGTATATGTGTACCGTACAATAACGTCCTGTTTGTACAAAAGGCCTTTCTGATTGTTCGTGAGGGGGCGGGGCGGACTCAGGCGCAGCCGCACTCCTCCACGATCATGTTGGGCACGTCCCTCTTGACGATGTTGTACTCATCGTCAAAGTAGAGCATGGACATAGTACTGAGCTTGGTGGGGATGCAGCAGGAGTTGACTGAGCCCGGGCTCATCCCTCTGATGCGATACTGGTTAACCACTGCCGTGTGGAAGGACGAGGCTGAGCCCGGCACACCTGCCATGTAGGCCGGGCAGCTGCCCTCGCAGTAGTTGCCGTAGTAACCGGCCGGTGCAATGATCCAGTCGTTCCAGCCGATAAGGCGGAAGTCAATGTAAAACTGCTGCCTGCAGCAAAGGCCCCCGCTGGTGCCGTCGCACTCCAGCCCCCGCTTACGAATGCGGTGCTTCCCGTCCACCTGCCGAGCGCGGACCACCAGGAACGGCCGGTGCGATGGGTCGCCGGGGTCCACCAGCACAGGGGCGACTCCAGCTGTCTCACAGCCGTCACAGTGGACCTCCAGGTCCTGGCGCCTGCTGCCTTTCCCAAACACAGCCCGCACCGCCTCAGACAGAGGAAAAGTGTGCCAACCACTGCGTTTCAGATCCACCCGCTTCTCCACCAGCGACCAACGACCTGTCCCCCCTCCGCCGCCACCGCCGCCTCCCTCTGCACCGCCCGCAGCTCCGGCAGCCCCGGCCTCTTGGTAGTGGATCTTGACCGTCACCTTTCTCCGGATGCCTTTCTCTGGACCAGCTGGCAGGACACGGAAATAGAGCCACAGGTTTGCCTGGGACACGAAGAGGTTCTGGTTTCCCTCGTTGGAGATGAGGAAGAAGAGGCCGGACTTGGAGGACGTGTGCTCATCTGTTGGAGAAAGAAAAAAACAGGAATGAGCTTTTCATATTAAAAACAGTCAAATAAATGAAAACGACATGACAGTGACTGTTTACGGCGAGGAGGAGGATTTACTGACTCTGGAAACGTTTGAGTTCTTTATAATAAAACTTTACGTCCCTTTGGAGTAATCGACTTTACTGAGAGTGGTCCAACACAAATACATGAAAGAAAACATTGACAGAGCAAAATCAATATCTCCAACAGTGTCACTATGAATCATGGCGGAGGAAAGGAAAAGAGGCATCTGGGGTTATAGTCTCGTATTCAGAAGGAGGCGATTAAGGTCACAGATACTCTTACAGCAGAGATCTGTAGAAGTACCACATCATAGAAATTTACACTGGAATTAAGCATTTTAGTGTTTCGACCAAACAGAAGAAAAACTGCTGATTTGCTTTTTAAACAACGTGCACTTGAAGCAGGTCGTTATCCAAATACGAACACTGCTGAAGTCGGTCTTGGTTGCGCATGTTGCAAGGACACGCTGCAGAAACCAAAACACACAAACAAAAAAACACAATAAATTCTCTGTGTGCTCAATTCTGCGGGACATTTCAGCGTCATCAGCGTAACGGCGGATCTTTACACGCTAATGCACTCATTTAAAGGGATATTATGACGTAAATTTAAGAGAGATGAATGTTGTCGACCGCTTGCTTCTCTAGTTAAACCAACCTTAGTAACAACCGCAGGATAGCAATACAGAGAGCCACGCCCCCAACCAAAACGCCACTCTATAGCCACAAATAATGTTCAGAACAGCACCTAACTTCATCAACAGGACATATAGGGTCACAGACATAGTACTAGACACCAAACATCTTTTTAACTTTGACTCATTTCTTTAGCAAAGAGACTAAACACAACTCACCTACTCTCTTCCAGCAGACGCTTGTTTATAGTGAGACCTCAGGTCAGTCCATTATGGACTACAGCGGGGTGCCGCAGCTCAAGGAAGAACATTTATGATCATTTCTTCATGGAAATACAATCAGACCAAGATGCTAAGACAGAAGAAATGATCATAAATGTTCTTCCTTGAGCTGCGGCACCCCGCTGTAGTCCATAATGGACTGACCTGAAGTCTCGCTACAAACGAGCGTCTGCTGGAAGAGGGTAGGTGAGTCTTCCGAAGCACTTCCGGTTCTCCCTCCCTTCATCATCATCATCATCAGCAGGTAAAGTTTGTTCGGTTGTCATGGAGATTTTAGTATCATAACAGTTTATACTCCGGAGACAGTCCCCCCCCTGAGATCACATGACCAAAGCTTTCTGGGGGAACCGTCTCCACAAAGGAGCTCCCTGCTTGGCCTTCGAATTACACTGAAGGGCATGAAAGCAAAATGAAACATGGGCACTAAGAAGACCTTGTTCTACAAGTTTTATGTTGTAAAATCCACAAAAAGGCTCAAGATTGTTTCCCTCATCGCACACAAACACAGCATGTACTCCCATAAAAAGCAGAAAGCCTCCCAACAAAGGCCGCAGCTCTGTCTTTAAAGGCCTGTTTTCCCCGGTGTTTTCTCTCTTCACCCTCAATCACTGAGTCAGGTGACCTCTGTGGCAGCTCCGGATAGGCCAGCTGTGACAGGCCAGTTCTGGGATCAGGCCCAGTTGGCCTCAGGTCCAGCTTTGTAAGTGACAGGGGCCAGAAAAGAGGTGGGCAGAGAATGGAGGGAGGGATCGAGAGGAGGACGGAGAAGAGGAAGACCGAGGAATGGAGGAAGGATGCAAGTGGGAAAGGTGGGAGGGTTAGTGGACATGGCCAAGACTCCCGGGGGGTTCATTGAGTTCACTATTAGTGCCCCCCCCCCCAGAGCCCCACCCCCACCTTACCCCACCCCTCCCTCCCTCCCCCCTCCTTCCAAGTGTGAGCACCCTGAGAGTGACAGCACAAAGCCCCCTGTGAGGCGCAGGGAGACAGCCGCGCCGCAGCCCGCCATTGAAGCGCGTGGCTTTCCAGCAAAAAGCATGATGAGGCAAAAATAAAAGCCATTTACATGACACTGGCCACTTTCTGCAGCCGCACAATGAAGAGATCCCGGGAGTCCTGGGGTGGCGATGGGCTCTCCCTGGCAGTATTTTTTTTCTAAGCCTAATGATGTCTTCCAAATTACCCCGAGGTAACTTGAAAGGTTTCTATTTCAGGAGATTTGGTACAATGTGCCCAAGCAGAGCAGCGCCTTTGAAAGCAGCTAAATGACTTTGTTTGCCGACTGATTAGTGTGTGTCAGTGTCAACAGGTGGCCACCAAAGACGCCCCCCCCCCCCCCCCACACACACACACACACACACACACACACACAACATACCCCTCCTCCTTTAAGGCGCCTCACGCCTCTTCCTCCTGTAAAGCACAGCTTTACATTCACACAGAAACCTGTTCAGACCAGCTCTCCACTCAAACATGTCAGCTGGGAGCTCAAGCACTCCACACACACACATTTGCATCCACACACACACACACACACACACACACACGTATACTTCACCCAGCAGTGGCAATCAAGTATGAGCCTTCTCAATACCAAAGCCTGTGGGTAAAGTATCAAGTGCACAGTGAGTACATATTGAAATCCATCTGAAGGGAATTACATAAAGGAATCAGCTGAAAACTCGCGCCGTATTCAGACCGGTGCGTCACGACTTGCCTCAACAGCTCCGGACTTAGAAAGGAGGGGATCTCACTCTCACATGCTCACCGATGGAGCGATTAAAAGTCGAGTAATGACGCCGAAAACCCAAACTGATCATGAATAAATGACTCAGTAAGAGATCACTGCAACTGGCATAGATAAGAGTTTATTGATATCGATGCCGTTATTGATTCTGCTTATCGATTCAATTCTTTAACGATTCCCTTATCAATGCCTTTCTTTGATTTAAATAAAGTAGACTATTCTTCACCTTCTACTCTCGTTTTTCTTCATAAAATTAAGCCACACTTTGATTGTTTCTGCCGACTGTTCGTTCCATCCGCCATGTTTTCTTCTCTGTCTCTGTTCCGGTAGATGAGAACACGCAAGACTGTTTTTCAAGGCAACTGAAAGAAAGGAATCGTTAAGATAAAATGTAAACAACATCGATGGATTGAACCATTTGGAACCGGTTCTCAACAAGAACCAGTTCTCGATTTCCAGCATTGAAACAGGACAGAAATGATTGCCACTACTGCAACAACACGAGGTTTACTAAACGCACGTTTTCACCGCTGACATGCAGAGTACAAGTCAGAATGATCTGATTACATCGCGTAAGATAATGGGTGATATTTGGTTTCAAAGAAGAAGAAATGCAACAGAGGAGAAACCGATTTAGGAAACTAAAAATGAAAGGTTCTGTCGGTATCTAATGAGAAGGTTACTAACACACGTAGAGGACTGGGAGGTTGGGGGATCATATATCTTACCTGGCCCAGGAAGGCCTCAGGGTCCCTGAAAGGGGGACTTAGATAGATGGATACGAGTGCAGAGCTGTGATTTAGGATCTAGTCTGAGTATCCATCCAAAACCTCAGCAAAGTGTCTAAACGTGGAGAACATGTCTATCACCAGGATGATTTTTTCTGGACTTTCACAGGACTTGGCCTGAACCTGACATCAGGCTCTGTCTCCCCGTTTGGACACTAATAGACATGAGATCCAACCCCGACCTCGACCACGGCGTCACAGCCACTCCTTCAAGTTTCACTCGCCAGAGTTTGTGTCTCATCTTACAGCTTTAACAACAGATAATGGACCAACAGCTGAAGAACTTCTGCAGGGACCAGGTTTGAGAGCACACCTGAACAGCTGAGACTTGCCTCTTTCAGCGTCTCTGACTGACTTTTCATTAATTACCTGATTGAAGACATGTTGTTGTTGACAGTCTTAAAAGAGTAGACCTACAGCTGCTCTGTTCTCCGCTATTTACAACGTGAAAGAGAGGGTGTAGGAGCCAAATATGTTGCTGTGACACATATTATAAGTTGCAGTTCACTTTGTGTGCCTTAGGTGTCGCTGTCTTGTTATCTGGGGGCTCAGGAATAAAGGTAGCCGAGTCGCTGTTGTGGGCAGGTGTTTAATTCGGAAGGGGAAAAGGTTTCGACCGCCGTGGCGCTAACTGCCGGCGTTTTCCAGTTTTGATATCTATTGCATAATTAATTTGGTTACTTTCATCGCAACAATTTTTTTGTTTACTCACGGTAAAACTCAGTAGTACGGCATGTCAACCAGGTTACTCCAGGTCAAGCATCTCAGTTGGTTAAAGTATCAACTGAGCTCGAACGGAGGGCTCTGATTGGTCAGAAGTCAACGGAGAATTTGATATAAAAATATATTTCTATGATCCAAAAGAAAAAATATGGTACAACCTGTTTTTGGAGTAAATAAAAATTGTAAAAAATGCTGTAAATTTAATGGTTTAAGTTAAAGATAAATATTATCCCACGCTCAGGAACGCTCAAGTTTTCACCAGAATAAAAACTTGTTAATTTAACAGCAAATTACCGCATTTAAGATGAAACAGCACTATAAATTTGGCTGGGATTAAATTTTGTAAAATTTTAATGCATTTTTCTATTTAAATCACAATTGACACAGTCCCATACTCTTATCTTCTTTAAATATTAATGTAAACTTTTTCACAGTATTTTTTCATACAGTGTTTAAGTTTTTCACTGTGAATTTTTGTTTTTGTAAATTTTACTGTTTCGGCTCAAAAAAAAAAAAACTGTTTACAACTTTTTTAGAATTTACAGTAATTTCCTGTTGGAGTTTAACAGTTTCTTACCGTTAAATCTATAAATAAGATAGATAGTGAGTTTTTGTTTAATTATAAATAATGAAAATACACCCTGAAGGTGTTCCAGAGTGAAAGGTAAAAGTAGGTGTAATAGGTCTTTAATGTCTTTGAGTGAGTCTGGATCCTCGTAAACCGACATTTTCTCGGATTAACTGTGAAAGTGAAGTCCTGACACAGTCGACCGACACGAACCGTTTTCTTTAAAGGTCACAAAAGAACTTTCTTCTTCTTCTGTTTCTGATTTAATGTCAATCCTGTAAAGTTAAATAAACGTACATTTAGCCCAGCTGCTCTTCAGGGCGAGCAGCAAATGAGGAACGACGAGTCGAGGAAGATTGATGGTGTGTTTCCATCAGTTTACATTTTTCAACCTTCACACTGTACGTACAGCTTCTTTAACGCCACATCACCTGTTTGTTCGGCGCTCTTTCTAAGGAACGCATTTTTCATTTCCATCCACTTTATGTTCCGAACAATCTGAAGCTGGCCCCGACACGCCTCGCCTGACCCCGCAGTGGAAAAGTTGTCAGAGAGCATCGGCAGCCAGGACACCTGGGTGGGCCGCGGCGGATAAAGAGCTGCTTCAGCGTGTCCCCACCTGCGCCACCAAGTCAGGGGAGCAGCGATGGAGGCAGGCAGCTCCAGAACTCATTACTCAAACCTGCTGTCGACGAGACCACACGCCGTGGAAGGACAAGGGGTGCGGCGCGGAGCGTTTGTGGCCCTGACATGAACGGAGGGAGGCGTGCGTGCCTATCGCGGCAGCCATCCCTGAGGCCCCGAGAGTCTCAGCACTCCAGGAATTCCACCGAGAGCAAGGAGGGGAGGGAGGGAGGGAGAGGACGGCGAGGCAGGTCGCTGGACTTTTGGCCGGAGGTTAAAGCCGCTGTGGCACCGGCTCTGTTGTTGTTTAAGCTTTGCGACGAGTCCATTTTTAATAAAGTTGCATAAATCATTCATAAGATCGCAAGCCAGAGAGAGGGCGCCAGGAACCACGGCGGGCTGAAACACACACTTGTGAGTGAATGTGGAAAATGTCTGGAGCGTGTCCAGGATGGCCGTGACTGACAGCTCCTCATGAAAGACTTGTGTCCTGAAGTAAACCTGCCAACCCGATCCTCTAGAGGAACCGGACTGGAGTTAATGACCTCCCATAATGAAGTCTTAATTCTTGGAGCGCTCGCCGCAGGTTCACCGGGTCTGAACGTCTATACTGAGCAATCGAGAAACGCCGATCTAAACCTCTGCGTCTACTGCGCCCCTCTTTCACCCTCCCTCCTTTCCCCTCGCTTGTGTTCCTCGCTCCGCTCCCCTGGATACGGGACACCGAATCCCTCAGCGGGGACCCGTGGGACCGTGTCAGTTTGGCATCGTCCCCCCCTCACCTGCTGGGGGGCCGCTTGGCAGACCTCTAACTCCTGCACTACGGCGAACCAGAGATAAGGCGCCGGCTCCCTGGCTGTCAAGCACGTAGTTAACACCCCGAGCCGAGGGGACGTGAGGTGACTTCACCGTTTGGAGGCACATCAACACCTTTCCACTTCCATTCGCTGTTGGCTAAACATATGCCAACCTCGCCCCCCCAACGCAACCCGCCTCCTCCTAAACTGTGACAACAACCACGATTCAGGCTCCCTCATGCTTGGGGGGCGAGCTCCCCTGGCTTCAGAGCTTTCTGGAGACCTTGCCTCCGAGCCATGCCCCCTGGCTGGCAGCATCCGATCTTCTAGAGGGGGGGCGTGAGCCAGCTGGCCAGGAGGCAGACGGGGTCTAGGGAGCAGGGACCCGCGCCAGCTCCATGGTACAATGCCGCACAAAGGCTCAAAGGTGCGAGGAAGAATAGAACGAGGGGGAAAAAACAGAAGTAGAAGAAGAAGAAGAAGCAGAAAAAGAGCCCAGCGAACCTTTGGATCCACAAAAACATTCTTTACAACACTGCAATATGGACGCACACACTCACACACACTCACACACAATATCAGCCCTCCTCGAACCCCTCCTCGCTCCAACTCCCCCGCACAAACTCAAATGTCTCATGCATTATTCTGATTTCTTTTGTTTTCGCTGCTTTTTCCTCGGCCGTACGTTGACATGCAGCGTTCAGCAGGAACACACGGAGCTCTTATAATAATTGCCCGGCTTTTGTTCCCCTTGTCATGAGGGCGCTCAGATCATTCCCATTGGAAGGTGGGAGCCGCATTCAGGCTAATTGTAGCAGCAGGGGCCAATGGGAAAATACAGGATGGTATGCATGTTCGTTCAGTGTCTTTTAATTGTATGTTTTCTTTTTGTTAAACTAACAGTTTGTGTCAGAGACGACGTTCTCACAGCGCTAACTGACAATTATTGGATTCTGTCAAGCCTGGATGATTTTAGGTGTGTGTGTGGAGGAAAGGGGGTGTGTGTGTGTGAGAGAGAGAGAGAGGGAGAGGGGGGCAGAGGGAGAGGAAAGGGTGTTCTCTTTGGACTTGTGAGAATTAGTTAGATACACATTCTTAGAGGAAGGGATAAATGGCCAATTGAGGGACTTTTGTGTGTATTTAAAAGAGGGCTTTATACATTGGAGTATTGAGTGTGAGCACGGCTTTGGTGATGAAATTGGATTCAGAGGTTCCTTTTATCCCACAGACAACACACATAGGGGTAATTTAAGGACTCCGAGTTGAGTTTCTTTAAAGTAAATCAGGAGGATTCAGGAAATCAAGCTGCTCTGATAAATAAACGATGATTTCTCTCTAAGTCTTTATTCTGGGGATGAATCAGAAACTCGGTGAGCCTCACAGAATGAAATTTCATCCCGGATTTCAGGTTATGAACTCACCTGCAGCTGCCTGTTACATAAAGTCAAACGGTGATGGGGGTTCATGAGGAGGTCGATCATGCATCATTGATTATTACCTGACTCGGCGAAGCTGATAATCTCCGAGGTCTCCGCTTGAACCTCGTTGTTGTACGCCGCCTGTCCGTCAAAGCTCGGGATCTCCACCCGCCCGTCCTCGCGTACCTTCCCGGCGTGCAGCCTCCTCAGCGCCGTCACCATCGCGGCTTTGGGGATGGGGTGGGTGATGTTGGGTCTCTCCCTCATCTGCAGTCGGTTCAGTATGTGCCTCTTCACCGCCTCCAGGAAGTCGATGTTCACCCGCTCCGACTGGTCCGGCGTCCTGAGACCGCAGGACGCGCACGACTCCTGGGGCGACGAGCTCTGGGAGTCCGTCCCGGTCACCGAGCTGCTGCTGCAGAGGACGCACGCGACTAAATAGGACAAAGCCAAGCTGTGGAAGCTCATTTTGATAAAGTTATGTTCGAGTCTGAATCCAAAAGAGGAGAGATGTTCACCAAAAAGACTTTAATTCCACTCGCGCTCCAAAAAGTCAGACGCCTCAAGAAAATCCAGAGAAGCCAATGAGATCTTTGTATTCCCAAACACAGGAGGCTAATTAACTCCAGTCATTATGCATTCAGCTTCTTGTTATCCAGCGTTGCCCAAAATAAAAGCTCATCTCTGGGATTGCGCTGCGCACTCAGGAGTTTGGATCGTTGACGCGCGTAAATCTACCAAAACAAACGAGGACGAGGAGAAAGAAAGCCCCCACACCGGTGTCCAAACGCGTCCACTCTGCCCTTTCCCATTCAACAACAAGAGAAAAACACGCACAAACTTTTACACCCGCAGTCCCGGAGGAGAAGAAAACAAACACCGTGGGTCTGGCTGAGCGAGTCCCGCGTCTTTTGTGCTGCTGCTGCTGTTGCTGCTGCGTGGGTACCGTGTCCGGTGCGGTGCGGTGCGCGCTCCGTGCGTCCTGCAAGATGCTGCCGCTCCACTGAGACCCTTTCTGCCTTTTTGCAATCACGACAACAGGGGCTCCGCACACCCAAAGTTTTTATACACGAGTCGACACCACGTGGGGATTTCCACCAACTGGACGCGGGGGATTATTAAGACTACTACGTCTGAGAGCCACGACTGCACGGATGGAACAGGGTTTTATTATGGTAACACACCGGACCCGGACCCGGCCCCGGAGGAGGGGAGGTTGCATAATTGGAGCCAAAGGCGTGTGTTATTTGAGTCAAAGAGTGGAACAGAGTTTGATCATCCCAATCAGAGACTCATCCACGCAGGTTTACCGTGGAAACTCAGAGGGACTGACTCAGGATGAGGACTAAAAAACACAAACTTTGAGTCAGATTAACTCGAATTACAGACAAACTTCAGTCTCCTCAGATTAAGATGTTTTTTTCAGAGTTCAGAAAGTGAGGAAAGGATTAAAAACTCTGAGTTTTTGAAATGTTTTAATAAATAAAAGATTAAAAAAAGAAAAGACTGTAAAAACGAACAGATCCAGAAAACTTGGAGGGGAAGAGAAGAGACTCTGTGACTGAAAGGGAGTCTTACTGCGCAGATAAATACCGCCACCTACCGGTACGAACCTGTCAGTACAAACTTTATTTAATAAAGGAGCGAATTTGTTCTGATTCCTGGTCAAACTTCTGAAGCTGCATCGACAAACAAAAATCTGATTTCATGATATTTTATTTAAAAAAAATTCTCACTGAGTTTACAATTTTTTTTTTGAATCAGCAGCAGAATCTTTCTTTCTCTTTTATTTTACGATTTCTGTCTTTCTTTTACTATTTCATTCTTTCTTTCTTTTACTATTTCTTCTGACTGTTGGTACAAAAGATCTTCTGAATCTTTCTGTCCTACAGCGAAGAGAGAGGAGCCGTCCGAGACAAGCATAATAATAAAGATAATTAAAAGACAGCATTTTAAGCTGACTTTTCTACATGAATCATTTAATTGTAGAATTTCTAATTGTATTTTCCTTAAACATTTTCTTGTTGAAGATTTGTACAGGTCTTCAGTTCATTACTTTGACAGTTCCATAGTTTAACTCCCACTACAGAGATACACATCTGCTTCAGAGTCGTCCGTGCAAATGTGTTTAAAATCAAACTTTCTCCTTCGTTCTCCGACATCTGATCTGATATCAAACAGTTGTTGAATACATGACTGAAATATCTGTGAACAAGATCCTCTCTGCACAGCTGACCGTGACTGTAGGGACCGTCTGAAAAGTGCGACACTGACTAAATACACTTGAGAAAATATCCAGAAGAAAAGATAATCATTGAATTCATTAATACTGTCAGTTTTCTTGTTGAGAAGGTCGTCTGTAGTTCTCAGGAGCAGGTCTGTGTCGGTGAAGGAGCTGTAATGTAGGTCAACAGGTCAAACAGGCTGGCAGTCAGCCGTCTGCCTAAGAGCTGATTAGTTTACTTTCCAACAGAGTCGGCAGATAAACAAACAAACAGACCGATTATCTGTGAGGGATGTTTCCTCATCTGACAGAAAAAAAGAGTAAACATCAGAAAATAAGAAATGAGATTCATTCAGACATCACTGTCAGAGTCATTTATGAGGAAAAGTGACGCACACACCACAGAAGTATAATTTTTTAATATTTCACTCAGTGAAAACAGTCACATGACCAGATTGGACCGTACAGATTTGTTCTTTTATAGTCAAAACAATAAAAAACAGAGTAAAAGTGTGTCTGCCAACTCTCCGACTCTCCCTCCTGATCTCCGCTGGTTTACAGGAGCTCAGATGTTCAGAAACTGTTCAGAAGTGGACCTGGAAGTTTGTGGACTTTAGTTTTGAAGTTTTGAGTCAATCACAGGTCGACCCAGCCCACAGGGTGTCCCCCTATATCATCTGTTTAAGTCTTCATGGTAGCTTTACATACTAACTGAAGACCATGCTGTGTAAGATCATTAAACAAGAAGGAGAAAGGAAGGAAAACGCCCCCTGCTGGTATCTTTGGGTCTAACATGGTTCCATACAGTCAAATGGGGACAGTGCAGTGTTGTATGTAGGATCTAGTGAAGTAGATACAGTGGGAGTAAGTTAGAGGGATTTCAGGAGCGTTATCAGAACTTCACGTCTCCTGAACAGCTGACGTCGATCCTCCAAATCTGTCGCTTTAATTTCAGATCAAACTGAAACAGCAGCTCATTTTTTAGAGATGCACAACATCGAGTTTTTGAGGGCCTTGGCTGAGCTGCAGAGACATCACCTTACACTGTAAACACTTATCGTAAAGGTCGTTGGAGAGATTCAGGCAGCAAACCTTTAAAGAGCTTATATTTACTCAGAAATGACAGGACCTCATGTCGTGTTAGCATGATTCTCCACCGCCTCGTACATCCGTGTTAAAGTTAGAAATAGAGGTAATGTTATTGTTTTAGTTTCTTAGCTTTTCTCCACTATTTACAGTCATTTCTGTTATATTTCTGTTAAATAAGTAAAACTCGCCATGAGTAACAAAAGCAGGTTTACAGTGTTTGATGTAAACCCACATAAAGATAAATACTGTTAATCTTTTAAAATATAAAAATATAAAGTGTTAGTGGTTTGTTCTCAGGAGGCAGTCAGGGTCATCTGCCAGGTGGAGATGGGACTGTGTGTGGCGTAAGGTCGTCCCCCCAGCACCAGGAGCAGATCAGGCAGATGCTGGGCGATATCTCCCTCCTCTTCCTCCTCCTCCTCCTCCTCCTCCTGCTGCTGGAGCAGATCCTCCTCGGTGCAGCTCCACTGTTTCCTGAAAGCCTTATTCTCAAAGCTTAAACAGTTTCCGATCAGCTGGCCCTCTTTCCCCGTCAGACGCTCGTTGCTTTTGTCCCGTTCTGCCGATGTTGTCAGTTTTGTGTAGCATCTGTCCGAGCTGAACGTCTCCAGCTCTATCCCTCCGTCCGACCCCAGGAAAGTCAGCGGGGCGGGGAAGCACTTGTTTTTAAAGGGTCTGCTTCTTCCATCCAGCAGTCTGGGGTGGAGTTCTGAGCCTGAGCTGCAGGTGGCGGACATGTAGCTTGGACCCAGTCCGATGCAGCAGTGGTGAATCTTATCCGGCGGGGTGGATCCCGGCAGTACAGGAACCTGCGTCCAGGTCAGGGAGGTGAAGCTGTACCTCCACAGGCAGTTCTTGGGAGAGTTCTGACTCCTTCCTCCTCCGAACAGCAGCATGCTGTCTTTGTAGGCCACAGCTGAGTGTCCCATGAGTCTGGAGGGTCCCGACCTGAAACAACAAGCAGAGGTGGTGTCAGCAGGAAGGAACACACTCGGGACAATAGCTACTGCAAACACCCGCCGAGTGACTGTGGAGCTGCTGAGAGTCCTGCTGTGACGGAGGTGGAACCACAAAAACACTCAAAGACACGCCAAGTCTGCGTCTCCAATCATGAGAAGACTGTGTCCAAGTTTAGGACGTCCTGATTCACTCTGAGAACTTTATTCATTTAGTGGTAAACTCTATTTAGGTTAGGGCTGGGCGATAAAACAATAACGATATATATTAAAAATTAATTTCATTTTGATAGTCGTCATTCTGACATGTTTTGGTCGACTATACGAACAGCCAATGAAAAGGTCTGAACCAATCATGTTCTGAATTAGAACCAAGTATCAACCAACTGCAGCGTCGTAGCAGACAGCAGCTCCACCCAACCATAGCACTTTAACAGGTGAAGCCGACAGCACTGTTGGTGAGAAACAAAGAAAATGAGTGCTACCCCCGACAGAAATGACCATGAAGGCTCAACAGATGACCACATCAATGTCAACAACAACACTGGCGTTAGAAAAACGTCGGTGGTGTGGAGGTATTTTGGTTTTTGGAGGTCGGACATGAAGCAGAGTAATGTGGACTGTAAATTATGTCGATGTTCTCACAAAGTCGGGGAATACCTCAAATCTTTTTCACCACCTGAAGCAGCGCCACGCCGCAGAGCACGCGCAACGCAAAAGGTTACAAACCCCGAGAGGAGCGAGGAGCCCATGGCGCCTGAAACAGACGACCATTCAGTCGGCTTTCTCTAGAGCAACGCCTTACGACAAAACGCCAAAGAGACACAAAGACCTCACAGATGCAGGAGATTATTGTGTTGGAAAAGACATGAGACCAATAACGCTGTTAGATTTTTATATCCTGATATTGATCGATATCAGCTGATATAAAAAATATATCATGATAAACTTTTTCCCATATCACTCAGCCCTACCTGAGGTAGTTTTGTTTCGTATTGTGAATCTAATTATGTCGTATTTTTTAAATCTGTGGAAGCTTCAAGCGTACGCCCCTAAATCCCACAAAAAAAGTCTGTTTCTTTTGCTCTGACACCGTCACGGTGTCATTATTTCAAGGATCTCTCCTGAACATCAGTCTAAAATCATATTTGACGTGTTCCCACATTTTCCCGTCACTGCTTCATTGACCCCGTGAGAGCGTGCAGACTGACACAGTCTCCTGGTCTCACCCTCTTGGCTCTCGAACAGCAAAGCTTCTGAAAACTGATCCTGGAAAGTTCAGCAGGTAGACGTCCAGGTATTATCCTGACAGGATCGAGTTCTTTGGACACCTCACAGATGTGGGCGTGGCCTAATGACGTATCCACCTTCTCACTGATTATTGTTTCAGAGTAACTTTTGTTCTTTTTATTAAAGGGCTCTACAGACCCTCTGCTCTGGTCAGTTATAGTTGAGACTTCACCTCAGCGTGACCAGAACAGTCTGTAAGAGTTTTCTCATCATCACTGATGCTTCCGTCCGGTGAAATCCCCACTCACTTGTTTCTGAGTGAACTCCACGTTCGGTTGGTGGAGTTCCACCTCCAGAGGTCTCTCTGCTCCTGTAGACCTTTCAGACCTCCAAACAGGTACATGCAACTCTGGTAGACCACAGCAGAGTGACTGTGTCTGGGTCCTGGGCCTGATGAGCCCTGCTGGGAACCGCTGAGCACGGACCACGCCATGGTGTCTGCCGTGGACATGAACACACATTAGATAGTTATTTTTTATATGCGTGCCATCAGCGTAACCACGGTCTTCTAAAATGATTGTTGTAAATGATTCCTATCTGACATATATCTTCTGATTTTACATGTTTTTATATAAAATTAATTTAATATGAACATATAAATTTGATTGCATCTGATTTGGTCGAGACTCGAGAAAAGGAGGTGAAATTGGCGTGTTTTTCCGCTCCTGTTTAGAGCGCACGCTTTAACAAAACCTGGCATATAAAGGGTGTGACACTGAATTTTTTATTGATTATTTTTTAATGTTTAGGGCTGAATTTGTTTAAGAGATTAAAAAATGTTTAAAAATGATTATTTTATGAACATTTACCTGCATGTTTGGGGACAAAGTCGGCTGGATGGAGCTTTAAATGAACCGAGGGTCAATAAGAGGGAACATGTGTGAAGTCTGAGATTTCTGAACGCTGAGACTCCTTTAATGGACTCTATCTGTAGTTTCACTGTTTAACCACTAGATCTTGTGTGGAAGCATGATCAGAGTTGGGCTTCAATTTACGCACAATTCTCAGCGTAAGTACGGGTTGATAAATTCATTCACATCTATGCGCACGCACGGTTGATAAATGAGGCCTCAGGTGTTACAGCTGTTTGTTATTTGTGTGTTTTTTCCCTTTTGTTTACCATAAGTTTATTATAACAAAAGACAAAGAATGACAGAGATTAATGAAACCTTCAGAACAGGAATGAGAGGAGGAGGCAGCAGCAGCAGTTTCCCACAGAATGACTCTGCAGTCTGCAGGAGCTCGGAGCCTTTCACACCTCTGGAGCAGGTGAATCTGATCACTAATCAATGAGTTCACCTGTGCAGACCCAGCTAAGGCAAAAGGGGGAAATCACACAAACTACACACAGCTGTGAATTGACGGATTGTGCCGTAGATTACGTGGAAAATAAACTCCCAGTATTTTCGGAGCCTCTGAATTTAGAGGGACGTTGTAAACTCACCAAAATCCAGAGTCCAAAACTCCTGCGAGGATCCTTTCATGTCCACGAAACCTCCGTACACCAGCATGTCAGAGCCCAGCACCACGGCGCTGTGACCCTTCCTGTTGGACGGCATTTGGGTCTTCACCTACAGAGACACACAAACGAGCACACGGCTGTTTTATCACCGAGGAGACACTTTGAGCCTCTTTTTCCTCACAGTCTCTCTCTCTTTATTTCCCTCTAGATTTCCCCGACCTGATGATCTGAGGACAGATCTCACCGACAGATCCTGACCTTGACCGGGTCTCGATGTGTCCCAGGAGAAGTTTCTGAACTCTGACCTCTCTCTGCTCTGAAGTGTCTTGTCTTGTCATCGCTTTCATATTAACTTGATGAAGTCTTTAAAACATCTTGAATAAAAATTAAAGTTCTGATCAATTCAATAAATATTTCTGAACGGTTGATTTCAATGATCCAGATTTTTTATTGCTGATGTCAGAGCTGTGAGAGTAACAGAGGAGTCTGTGGAGATGAGGAGGAGAGAGAAGATCCTCCTCCTCCTCCTGTGAGAGGAGCTCTGTACCTGAGAGGAGCTCTTCTTTCCCTGAGAGTGAACCCATCGCTGCTTCGCTGAAACACACAAGAAGACAGAAAATGAGGACGACGAGGGAGAGCGTCAGCGAAAACGTGACTGAGGTGGACAGTAAAGTAAATAAAAGTCATTAAAGCTGAACTTTTCAAACTGAAACAGAACAAAAGTGTTTGTTATACATGCAGACTTCAGAACGGAGAGTGTGTGTAAATATGGATGATTATTCTAAACACAAATCTAAAGAAACTCTTGAGCAGACTGAACAGGAACAAACAAGCTGAGGGAGTTTTCCAGGAGGAAGTGAGTCCTGTGAGGTTTTATCAGCTCCACACCGCTCAGCTTTTAGATCCTGAATCCCAAAGTCTTTGTGCTGAAATGTTTTCAGGTGAAAGGCTGACAAACATTCAGAGTTGATGAACGCTGAACTACAGAGCTGAAGACTTTCCCGAGGACCAGACTCGACATGTCGGGACAGGATCGGCTCATCAGGTCTGAGTCATGTCAGAGTTGTTTTTATTATTCGTGCGGTGCTGTTGTGAAACTCACCGATGTCAAACACCCAGAGGGAACATCTCCACTTGGTGTAGGCAGAATCCAGCATGCCTCCAAACACGTACAGGAAACCCTGGAAAGATCAGAGCTGGTGAGAAGAACCTGAATGCAGCAGGAGGTCTGAGATTTACAGAGAAGGAGGGTCACACTGTCCTAACCAGGGCAGACGACAAATCACCTCCTAAAATCAGTCCATCACTAGTTTTTGGATTGACGTGTTAATCAAAGGCTTTGATTTGCTCTGAACAGTTTTTTTACCTCATGAGCCACCATAGTATGTTCCTCCAGTTCTTCTGGGGCAGCTTCACCGCTGCAGCTCAACTCCGTCCACTCGTTACACACTTCAAAAAATAAATCACCAGTTTGTTTACGTCTGAATTCAGCCTCGTTCACTTGAATGGTCTCTCACGCTCTCCGGTCCTTACCCACGCTGTACCTCCAGAAGTCCCTCAGACAGCTGTTCTCTCGTCCCCCCAGGACGTAGACGTGTCCGTCTGCGCTGCAGCAGGCGTGCTTGTAGCGGTCACACGGACTCGGTCTGCTCTGGGGGAGCCGAGTCCACAGACACGGACTGCTTTGACTCATAACTGGCATCTTCTGCTCTCACTTCACCATTTTCTAGAAATAAAAACAACATCACAGTTTTAAAAAAAGCAGTCGGACAATTTCAGAAAAGCCTGTTTTTCAGCGTCAAAGCTCAACAAGACATTACGAGGGCGCCGTCCAAACTCTTGACCTATCAGTGAAACCATTACATGAATTAGAGGAAGTCCTGATGGTCGGATAATCACGGCCCAGAGGAAACTGGAGGCAGCATGGGAATAAAAAGATTCCCAGTTCAGTGACGGTTTTATTCTGAAAAGTTTGAAAGAACTCCAGAACTTCTTCACCTGAACCTCCTTCAGGTGGGTCTGTGCTCGATCACCGACAGGCTGAGCTTGTTTTCGGGGTCACAGTGGATGGAGTTCGGTTCAGACTGGCCTGCTGAGCGACTTCACAATCACAGGAAGCAACACCCAAATGTATACGAGGCTTCCCTCCTGCTCCATAGGACTTCATCAAGATTACTGAACGACTTCCAGGGGGGAGAAACAAACTATTTCAGGAACTCATCATCAAACTTCATCAGTGGAGCTGTTTGTGACGGTACAGCTCTGATCAAACTCAAAGCGGTCAAACGGGCTGAAGGGTCGGGACGCGTTCAGCAGGATGGAGTAAACTAGGTTGTCATGGCAGCGTGGAGCCTGACTCTCTCAGGAGCTCAGCTGGGACTCTGACGGAGCACGGGGCTGCTAATGTGGGCCCGGGTGTCAGGAGGGAGACACTCCACACACTGAGACTGTGAAGCTCCTCTCTCTCTCTGGGGACAAACTCTCTGCTCCTCCTGCAAAGGTGAGAACCTGGAACCACAATCAGAGTGTGTTTGATCAGAGAGGACAGGACGGAGGGGAGAGCTGGAGAGAGAGTGAGCGAGAGAAGAGGACTGAGTGTGGCTAACACCGGCAGAGCTAACACCACCAACCTGCTGATTAACAACAACAACAGTCTTCACACGACTCTGTCTCCATCTTCTAGATCAAAATACTGAAAAACTGTCGCACTAACACGCCCTCCATCATCATCTGGGTGGAGAGGTATTAAAGCACAGTCAGTGAATTTACATACACAGTTAAAGGGATATTCTGTCATAAAATTAATTTAGGGTCAAACACACAGTAACACTGAGTTGGACACCCTGACGAGAGATGAATGTTGTCGACCGCTTCTTCTCTAGTTAAACCAACTTTAGTAACGACATTTTGCTCTGCAGACACAGTAGTCTCAGTCTGATTGTATTTCCATGAAGAAATGATCATAAATGTTCTTCCTTGAGCTGTGACACCCCGCTGTAGTCCATAATGGACCTGCTTTAGGAAATGAATCAAAGTTAAAAAGATGTTTGGTGTCTAGTACTATGTCTGTGACCCTGTATGTCCTGTTGATGAAGTTAGGTGCTGTTCTGATCATTATTTGTGGCTATAGAGTGGCGTTTTGGTTGGGGGTGTGTCTCTCTGTATTTCTATCCTGCGGTCGTTACTAAAGTTGGTATAACTAGAGAAGCAAGCGGTCGACAACATTCATCTCAGGAGGGGGGGTCTAACTCGGTGTTACGGTGTGTTTGACCCTAAATTAATTTGACACCGGGATATCCCTTTAAATCAAGCTGCAGTTAAAGCCTGATTTTGTAGTTTCGACATCCTAACAGATGAGATTAGGTTTCAATTCTGTAATCTGGAGGAGAGAACTGAAACCTCTCAGGAGCCCATAAAGACCAGATTAAACTGAACCGTTATAATCTCAATGATTGTAGTGAGGACAATCATGGAAACTTCCTTTAGGAAAAGGAGTGACTCACCTGGACTGTCTTTTACATTATTTATGAGGACCGGGTGTTAGGTGAGCTTCTCATCCTCTCTCTTCGTATTTCTTTATCATCATCGCAGTATTTTTCCAGGAATCACGCCGCTGTGACATTCTCTCTTCCTTCGCCCTGACAGCGTTGACCTCTTTACGACCTCTTATCACGCCGTCACATGAGCAAACAGCTCTGAGGTCGCTGCATTGTAACAGCACACCTTACTCTGCCCTCTTCAAACACCTGAGCGCCGCTTATATGTCACAACCTGCTGCCAAACACTTGATTCTGATTGGTCGAAACTCCTCTTCAACGATGGTTATTGACAAAGGTGATTACACACCTCTGACAGGAAATCAATCTGAGGACGGAGTCACATGACCTGGTTAACATTCCTCTGAGCGCCGTCTGCAGCACACAGAGGGAGGAAACTCACTTTACCACCATCTGTCTGAGTTTTCAGGATTATTACTTTATACTGGAAATATCAGATATCTGCAGAACTCGACAGAACTTTATCTTCTTTATTAGGTCTTCAAAACTTTAAAAAGTCCTCCTAAGTCTGAACCTAATAAATAAAAACAACTTTATTTACCCGGACAGGTTCACATGACTTTGAGCAGTTTTAAAACTTGAGTTTAATCTCCACATGCAGGTTTCCTTCGGCTGCTGACACTAAACAAACTTTTCCACCTGTTGATTCAACGCTGACTGAGACCGAGCCTCTTCATAATGGAGTAAGGTGTGAAGTATGATGGACTGAAACAGGATATTTCCTCACGTCAGTCAGTTAATCCTGGTTTACTACACAAGGGTGAAGATTTGCCTCATATATTCATTAAGTACTCAAAGGGGTGTCATCGCTGATAATTCAAAGTATAAAAATATTTGATTTTGTTTGTATTTAAATTACAAAGTAGTCCTTTAAGTCTTTCCTCTACCCTAAGGATTAGGAGAGGCTCGGTATGGTGCAACATAGGATGGCTGCAAGGCTGATTTCAGCAGACAGGAGTTATAAAAGTCAAACTGAAAAGGTAGAAGAAGAAGAAGAAGAAGAAGAAGAAGAAGAAGAAGAAGAAGAAGAAGAAGAAGAAGAAGAAGAAGAAGAAGAAGAAGAAGAAGAGCAGCAGCATCTGTTGCTTTAATATCCTAAAGGTCTAGTGTGTCGAAATGGGAATATCTAACAGGACTAGTTTCGTCTCTCATGAGTGATTTTGGTGAGAGCAGTCTGATACAGACCTGGGTGAGGGTCTGTAATCACTAACACGATAAACTGAACATTTCATCTTGAATACGGTTAAAGTGTTTGTCTGTTTTCCTTCCGTTTTCCTCTCCTCTGTCGCAGTGGAGCCGTTTCCCTCTCTCTGTGTTACGAAATGACGTTTCCATCCATCATTTTAGGTCCTTTTCATACAGATCAGCATTATTAGTAATCGAGTGTCACTGACAGCTGTTTCCTGGAGGTCCCTTCGCCAGCCTTTTTTTCTATTTTGAGCTCGGTGTTTTTCATATTCACTCACTTATTTGGTCTCTGTTTGTAGAAACTCAGTATCGGTTCGAGGAAAGCTAAAATGTGTCGACAATAACCCACATGTACAAGATTAGGTCAAATAAAGGTGTTGGTTTTAATCAGCTGCCCCAGTTTGACCTGAAATCATTAATATCACATGTTTTGATACTATTTAAAGCTGGGAGTTCGACTCTACAGGAGCAGAAATATAATGTTATTGACGCCACACAGCGGGTCATGGCAGATCTAAACTAGGCAACATGTCCTCGATTATTTAGATTAATTGGGTCTTTGATCGAGGCTACAATCCTCTGGTGTATGAGGCCAACCTCAGCCCATCACCCACTGGAGATAAATAGATTAATCTCGACCAATATAACGGCTGATAATGGTATTTTCAAGAATTGGCATCAGCTTTTAACAGGCCATAAAATGAAAACACATTTTTATAACCATCAACTTAATGTTTTATTTTTTTGATAATTTGAGATGGTGGGACAGAAAAAAAATCTAGTAATATTTTGAGCGATATGGACAAAAGTTTATCACGATATATTTTTGTCATATCAGTCGATACCGATATTTATCACGATATAAAAGATGAAATCTAACAGTGTTTATTGGTCTCATGTCTTTTCCAACACAATAATCTCCTGCATCTGTGAGGTCTTTGTGTCTCTGTGACGTTTTGTCGTAAGGCGTTGCTCTAGAAAAAGCCGACTGAATGGTCGTCTGTTTCGGCTCCTCGCTCCTCTCGGGGTTTGTAACCTTTTGCGTTGCGTGTGCTCTGCGGTGTGGCGCTGCTTCAGGTGTTGAAAAAGATTTGAGGTATTCCCCGACTATGTGAGAACATGTACTCGACATAATTTACAGTCCACATTACTCTGCTTCATGTCCGACCTCCAAAAACCAAAATACCTCCACACCACCGACGTTTTCCTAACGCCAGTGTTGTCGTTGACATTGATGTGGTCATCTGTTGAGCCTATTGAGAATATTTCGTAATTTCACGTGTATATGTGCATCGGTCCCAGTGTGTAAGGACCTTAAGGGATCCATTTCAGACACAGCACATGTTTCATATTGATACTTAATTTTCGATATATATCATTATCGTTTTATCGCCCAGCCCTAAGACAAACATACAGAGATATCAGTGATACATATCTACCATAAAACAAAACAAAAAACTCCTGACAGGAGCTTTAAGTTCAGTTTTATCCTCATTAAATAAGATTTATTAAAGTTCAGTAACAAAACACAACCAGGCAGGTTTGTTGTGATTATTTTAGATTAGTTTAGCCATGACAGAGTTAATATTAGAACCATCTTTTCATGCGTTCAGACACATAAACATTAATTATCGTTCAGAACTGACTCAGTGATATAAATATATTTTAAGTCTCTTCAGTTTTAACCGTCAAAGTGAGCCGTTCATGTTCAGTTTCCACCGAAACACCGAAGACGTTCCTCACCGTTAAACGGATAATAATGTCGTTTAAAGCGTTAGATATCAAAGGTTTACCTCTGAAGTTATACTCATGAGTGGATTTAACTCATTTTTCCTGTAAATTGAGGTGAAAGTGACTCTGAGCAGACTGATAACGGTAAAGTTAAAGAGGAGGAGGAGGAAAGGAGATGAAGTTCTCTCGATCTTCTTCCGTCTCTAACTTCATCTGACGGAGACTCTGAACCAAACAGCTCGAACTTTAAACTCAATTATTTAAGTTAGCGAACAAAAATGCTGTTGAAAGTCATGTACAGGTGACATATTTAGTTTTAAAGTCAGATTTGTTACTCACCCTTTTCGCCCCGCTGCTCCTCTTCTTCGTCTGATAGTTGTCTTCTGAAAACGGGATTCTGCTGCGTTCACGGTCTCCTCGGAAACTGGGACTTCCTGTTTGGAAACGTCACAAGAAGACACCTGTCACCTGATGAACGTGTGGGGTGGTTAATGAAGTTTTTTCTTTTTCTTTTTTGTAGTTTTTGTTTATCTGTTTGTTCGTTTTTTCTTTTCTTTTGTTTCTTTCTGCTTATTTTGTCTTTTTAAATTTAATTCAGTTCATTTTTCTTCTCAAAAACATTATATTGATTTGGTTGTAGTAACTGTGAGGACTTTTATTGTTTTTTGTTGTTGTTGTTCTTTGTTTATTTGTTTGTTTTTTTATTTTATTTTGTTTCTTTCTCTTTTTTGTGTGGTCTTTTTAATTAATACATTTCACTTTCTTTCCCTAAAACATTATATTCATTTTGCCACGGTAACTGTGAGTACTTTTATTGATTTTTTGTTGTTGTTGTTTTTTCATCTATGTAAATCTTTAGCACTTAAGGTGCATTTTTGTATGCACTAAAGGACTTTTATAATTTACTCAAGATGAATCATTTAAGATAAGGAAATGAAACATATATTTTTTTAAATTATTCATTTTACAAAGTTCACTGTAACAAAGTCAATCAGAGTCATTTCTGTGGTTTGTAACCTGTTGCTGAAGTCAAAGTAGAACAGATAACCTACTTTGGAAACTGATTTGTTTTATATTGTTTTATTGACTTGTCATGACTGTGATGTTGTAACTTTATGACTGCTGATAAAACATCAATTCTACATTTAAACCAAGAGCTGGTGAGGGAATGTTGAGTCATGGTAGGATCATAATTTTTATTGTCTCCTGGAAGCACTCATATTGAGGTCTTACTTATGATTATTATTATTATTTTAACCTTTATTTAACCAGGCTTGTCCCACTGAGATCCAAGATCTCTTTTGCAAGAGAGTCCTGGCCAAGAATGGCAGCACGTATAGTTTCAACACATAATTACATTAATCATATAGAATACAAAAAATACAAATAATAATTGAATTTTCAAAATTAGTTAAGAGAATTTACAAGATTGGTCAAACATTTGCATTCCTGAAGAGTGGGATGTAATGGACTTTATCAAGGATTTGATAACATTCAGAGATACCAGACGTTGGAGTTTCAGGTCTGATTTGTTCTCAGAGCAGAAAATCTAAAAGCTTTCTTGCTTATTTCTGTTCTGACCTCAGGAACAGTAAAATAATAAAACTCCAGGTAGTGGAGACTGTAGGCCCGATTATTCAAGATTAAAAATGATGATAAATAAGTCATCTGCAGAATAGCCTCATAAATCAACATGTACCAATGGTCGAGTCGGCGCACATGTAAAGACGGCTGATCGACTTTACTGTATAAGACACAATGATGAGTTCGAACTCCAGAGCACCATGATACACACTCTCCAGCATGTGGAGGCATTGAACAGAGGCATTCATGTATAACACATCACCATAATCAATAATTGGAAGAAAGGTTGACTCCACTAGTTTCTGTTTCACCCTCAAAGAAAAGCGAGACTTATTTCTAAAGTAAAATACAGTAAAATCTTCAGCTTTCTTTACAGTCGACTGAATAATCAAGAACCGCAGATATTTAAAAGGAGATACATGTTCAATATGTCGATCATTACTGGAGACAATGACAGACTGACTCGATCAGACGCTGATTTAGAATTAGTAAAAAACACAAGTTTTGTTTTATCAGCATTTAGAACAAGTTGCAGTTGGCAGAGTTGTCGTATATGTGTATATGCAAACACTTCTGCAAGTGTGGGTGCAATGACACTCCCGTTGAATCCTCTTGAAACAGTTTTTTTTTTGTTTGTTTTTTTTGTGTTTTTCTTCTTTTCTTATAGCTCCTGTTTTCCAAAACTGCGGTGCTGAGAGTTGTCAATCAAAATAAGTAAAAACAGTGAAAAAATGCGGGACTGATGTGGTTTGACTGAGCTGATGTTGAGTGAAAGTTGGAATTCCGAGTGTTTGTAACAGTCAGTGAAGGCAGCAGCAGCCCGCTCCTCGGTGGGCGGGGCCAGAGAGAGGAAGGAAGGGTGTTGGTTTAGTTTGTGTTTGGCTCCTCAGTGCTGCTGTGGTTACGACACAGACAGCTGGACTCAGTTACTGTCAGTATTATTATTATCAGCTGACAGCTCTCAGAGTGGACCGTGTGGAGGTTTCTCTAACTCTCACAGTTTGGACTTTGACCGAAGTTATAATCAAAATGATTATATGACAGTTAGGTAATGGGTTTTTAACCTTTTATTCGAACCACGTGGTCTCTTACTGTTCACATTCCACTCCATTTTACGAGAAAAGCACAAACGTTCGTCGTCGTTTTACCGTCAGAGTCACTGTTTAACTCTCAGGCACTAAATCCTCTTCAGGACAACAGAAAACACGGAGCAGCTGCTTCCAAATATTAATATGTTTATTGAAATAACTCCTGACACTCATATTCGTATCAAAATACCAATCATGCACACAGGTGACAACAACAAAAAAGTCAAATGTTTTTGGATAAAGTTACATTATTTCAGACAGCACACATGCAAAACAGTGAAACAGCTTTTAATATTCAATTTATGAACATCAATATCATGAAAAACGTTCAATTTGGACTTGAATTCAGCTCAAATTCACAACGAAAGATGTCCTTAAATTAAAAGATAAGCTTTGAACATGACAGAGGACTAATAAATTAGTTATAAAGTGTGAAAAAAAGTATCATAAATAATCCAGGATATATCCCTGCTCTTTGTTTACTGCATATATAAAAAGAAAAAAAAGCATTTCATGGGTCAATGCAGTGTCATTTTAAAGAAGTTCACTTATATAGATTAATATTTTCAAGAACTCTCACTCTTTGACTCCACAAGCACACATGAGGTATAGAAGAGAAGAAAGTGTGGAAAACACACACGGCAGGAGTTCGCATCAAGCCTTCAGCGCCGACATTACTCTACGACTTCACACTATTAATGATATAAAGATTGTTAGACTATCCCTGCAGATTAATATTGTATATAAAATCCAGACAGAGCAAACTGAAGTGTCAGATGTACAGTTTATAATATAAGGGTGAGTAAAACCAGGTAAAAGAGGGTGCAGACTGAAAGACTTTGGTGATAAAGTAGCTTAATTATGAAGGAGAAAACTAGTATTTTCAAATCCAAACACTATTTAAAAAATATTATGGGGTTTAAATTAAAGTAAGGTCCAAAAGAACCAGAGTTCAGGTGTGCAGGACTGTAGCAGCAGCTGCGAAATAGGCTGTGGCTGCAACACGATCCCTGATGTCACTATTTGTGTTGATTATAGACAAAAATACTTGTATATTATCTATATAATTTTACTTATTTTTATCTATTTTATCTTTTAATCTTATATTTTACCAATTATTTATCTCCATTTCTACTGTCTCCTCTTTTTAAGTATTTCTGATTCTGATTCTGACGCTGACGTCTTTCTAAAAATGACGTTTTTTTTCACTGACAGATATCTAAAGTTTGTAGAAATGGACCTGTTTACTTTGGTAAGATTGCCTCTCATCTATAATCCAGTCTGAGTTTGTCTTTGTAAATATAAGAACTTTAAATTGGACAAACTTGAATTGTTTGCATTTGCTCTGCAGGGATTTCTGTGCAGCCAGTTAAGTGTTTATATTTTTAATTGGGGCTGATATCCTTAAACAGTATCATAAAACATAGAGAGGTTTAATGTAAAATTCATGTTTGGCTTCAGCAGTGCATTCGTACCCCTGATATGGATCATTGTCCTCCAAAGTGAGGAGAACAGGATGTGTAGTGCACACCTCCGGCCTGCAGAGTGCAGTGTGTGTTCACAGCTGAGTGAGGCTGCCGTCATCAGTGGTGCTGAGGCTCTCGGTGCTTCTTTATTCACTGTCTTTATACTGCAGGGTTTTCTCTTCACAGCTTGGTGTTGCTCTTTACCTTCTCTTCGCTGCCGCCGTTCTCATTCATCTCGAAGCCGCTATTGTCTATGGCGCCGTCCTTCTTCTTCTCTGGTTCATCATCACCAGCTTCCAGGGATGGAGCCTCACTGTCCTCATCAGATGAACCTTTACCGAAGACTCTCTTATATGCCCTGAAACCTGAGGAGGAAAAAAAACAGACTTAAAAACAGTTTCATCCCAGAAAAACCCGTCTCTCACTCATGAACGCTGCAAAACTTGAACAAGCTGACAACATCCTGACAGTATACATGTTTCTACTGTTATTAAATCTGTTTTTTTTTTAAATTAATTTTGCTCATTTTTCACAATTCACTCAAACTAGTCAACTTTGGAGGCATCTCATTAATCTAAGTTTATCAATCAGACTGAAATTTCCCCCAACGACTCAAAAAAGAGGCTGAAGAAAAGGAAGGCTGGTCTTTTATCCATAAGTTGACAGATTTCTCTCACCTCCCACCGACAGGAGTGCGACCACCAGCTGGAAGATGCTGTAGATGAGGGGGAACGCAAACATGACCTCCAGCTCAGCGGGGCTGAAGGACAGCTGGATGATGGTGCTGCACAGCTGGGAGTTCTGGAAACCCGTCTCCAACGCGATGGTTCGACATCTGAGGAAACAAAGAAATGCAAAAGGATATATTTATGAAACAAAATCAAACTATGGAAGTGTTTCTGCAAGTTTCACAGGCGATGCTGCAGCTGCTCCAACATGGTCAGAACTGTACACTTTAAAATATGAAGATCAGAACAACACTCCGAAATCCAACAGCTTAAAGACCAACTGAGCAACTTTAAATGTGGAAAATCCAGCAAGAATTTCAAAATAAAACATCAATATGACGTAGAAATATAAGGAGAGATAAAACTCATCCTGCACAGAGATCGACTTCATGAAACTGTTTGAGTTTGTTGATGTTTATGAAGAAAAATGGACAAAACATTTTTTGATTGAGATAAAAAAATACTCATTTTAAAGGTACAATTCGTACTTTTTAGTGGCATTTATCCGAACTGGAATCCGACTGGAATGTAAAATTCATGGGTATGTTTAATTTGTGTAAAATCACCGACATAAAACAAACTTTTTGAGTTTTTTTTAACTTGAACTGGAGCGAAACCTCTTCCACAGTGGCTGACATGTTTCTACAGGAGCACAGGAGGGACAAACTAGTAACATGTGCCTGTTTTATATTCAGTGTGAGGCTGCACACAGATGAATTTGGATTGTTTGATGTTCCTGATTGCAGAAATTTCACATTTTTGTACTTGAGGCCACCGTCACTTCACCAAAAGTCCAGAGTCACTCTGACCCACCTGAACCAGGGCTGGCCTGCAAACCGGGCCATAAAGAACCCCAACCCGAAGCCGATGAAGGGATAGATGGTTCCAATGATCCAGAGGGAGGGTGCGATGGTCCAGGAGGACTGGTACAGGATTCCTCCAATCACAGCGATGACGATGATGAGCAGAAAGCCAGCGATGGACCCGACCTGTGGACGGCAAACACGGAGAGATCTATCTTAAATATGTCTGTCCTGTTCATCAAACAGAGACTGAGAGGAGTTCAGGGTTCGAGTCGAACATTCACACGGATAAAAGAAGAGGGTTTTCTCACCTTGAGGATCTTTTTGGCTGCTTTGGGCCACCTGCGTTTGACGTACATCCCCAGAGCGATCGGGACCAGAAGGGAGACCAGAGTGATACCTGAAGGTGCACAGATAAAAAAAAACACCTTATACCAAGTCCTTCATGAAATCAGCAGGTGTGGAAGTACATGAACGTAGATTTGAGCACGCCGGATTAGTGCAGAACCGTTAAGTTGACGCACCGATGCTGTCATACGGGATCTGGATGGTGCCGGCGGAGGTCCAGGTGGAGGTGTAAATGAGCAGACAGAGCGGCATCATCCCCAAGGCCAAGATGGAGGAACAAGCCGTCATACTGATACTGAGGAGGGGAAATATGGAAATGGATCAGTTTTAGTTTGGAGTCGCTCAACTCTTCGATTCTTAGATCGTCATCAGTCTCATCACTTTATAACAGACGCAGGACAGATCTTGAACCTCGCTTTAACCTTCCTCCTCTGTCAGCTTTGACTACATACCCACCATGTTAAGGGTCGTTTTCTTAAATCAGCTGTAGATTACACTAAAAACAATTCTCTATCATCCAGTTTGATTCTCATCTCTCTGTTACCTTGTTCGGCTTCATTATCCATGAAAATATTGATTATAATAGTTTTTTGTTGTGGTCCTCTGGGCCTTTCTTTGTCAGTGTACCCCTCACAGAGACATCTATACTGAACTGATCTCACATGTCTGGACGAAACACGGCAAAATGAGAATTTCCTAAATCTCAAATGATTGGAAGAGGATCTGACCGTCACTGTGGTGCCTGTCAGTCCATTTATGATTTCAGTTTTTGCTCTGATTATTAGACATTGATCTGACCGGGTCAACAGTGACCCTGACAGAGGAGGAGGGTTAATAGAGAAGCGAACAACATCCTCTGTTTTGGTTTTCTCCACTTTTGATTCTGACTAAGTTTGAAAATGTGCAGAAAGTTTCTTCACCTTTAGTTATCGACCTTTTTGATCATTATTTCCTAAATCAGCAGACGTGGTCATCAATACAACAACACCTCTACCTGCTGCAGAGAGTGAACGTCGGGTCAGTAATACTAGAGAAAACTGCAGAATCATAGACTCTGAACAGTCTACCATTGATCTAAACACCTTAGAGTGAACCATCCTGCAAATTCACACGAATCAGGATTTATTTATTGATCCATAAAGTCGATAAAGTTCATCATTTAGAGCTTCTTTAGTGTCCTACTCCACTCTGACATGGTCACACCTCTGTGCACCCGTGAAAAGAAATAGATGTATGACGTTTTACCTGAGGTCCATGTCTCCGTCCAGCCAGTAGCAGATGATGTTGGAGCCGGTTCCTCCAGGACAGCAGCCCATAATGATGATGGCGATGGCCTGGACGGGCAGCACACCGAACGCCAACGACAAGGCGAAGGCGGTGAACGGCATGATACCGAACTGACAGAGGAAGCCGATGAAGATGCCCCAGGGTCTCCTGATGTGGCCCCACAGTTTCTTGGCGTCGACGGTGCAGCCCATGGCGAACATGACCATGGAGAGCATCACGGTGAGCACGATGCTCATCACCAGGCTCAGAATGGCGTTAAAGTTGCTGGGAGGAACCAGGCAGTCTTCGCCGGAGCAGATGGTGGCGAGAACGTCACAGGTGGACATGGTGGAGGGTTTCAGGGAACGATGGCAGAGAATCGGCGACTCCTGGTCTGAGTGACGGCTCCCAGAAAACTCCCGGAGATGTTTGACTTCTTAGTTTCCACAAGTCCGCTCCTGTATCTCCTTCTCTGACGTCCAAGAGGATGATGGTCCCCGTGGGAGGAACTCTTCAGCTTTATGCCCGCCATTGGGTGTGAAAATCATCGAGTAGAAAAAAGATCAAAAATTAACCAATACTCAGAGTTTTATGGGGTCAGTGTTCAGTGTCAGAACATGCATATAAAAGGAGAATCATTCTGAAAAGAGAATCCTGATTGCACCACAGCGTCGACTTTTATTGTCCTCTGACCTCTTAAAACTTTATTGGACATCGACGCTCTGCAGCATCATCATACTGGAGTGCCAGTAAGCAGAGGGAGATGCTTGGACGGGCACACCCTGTACACACAAGGTCTTCTGTGTGTGTGTGCCCATAAAAAAACAGCTAATCTGACTGTGAATTCAAACCAGAACGAGTTTATATCAACACAGATTAACACAGATTAACACAGCTGCTGAGGTGTGAGCTGGTTCGACATTACTCTGAGAGAGAAAAACTTAAAATACACTTAAAACAATCATCTGAAACTTAAAGAAAGTTAGTCAGAGCCGAGCTGTAAATACATAAAAACTGACCCTGAGGGAGAGGACACAGACTGAGGGACAGAGTATACCCACCGCTCTATAAACGCCGTCTTTAAAGAGCTACAGGAGACGAACAAAAACACAGAATCTGAAGAAGCACTGATTTATCTCTATTCAACAGATAAAGTTCGTTTTGTATGAAAGAAGACTTCAAAATTAACCATCTAGACCATTAAAATGTCAGCAAACACTCAACAGTTACAAAAGAAGACGTGCTACGGAGGGTAAATTCACCTAACCCAAAGAAAAAACAAACAAGATGAAAAGTACGGTCATGTTTAGGGACATATTATCCAAGAACACAATAAACACAGATTTAAAGATCTAGTTAAAGAACATTTATCAGTCAAACAGCTCCTTACTTAGATGAAGCTACTTTGCACAATCAATCAGTGTTTGTCTGACTTACTCAAAATGTTTTATTTTGTGTCTTTGCACTGAGGTGGAGAGCTAACTGTAAATGTAGACTCCAGGAAGAATCAAAGTTAGCAGCCAAAGCTAATGGAGATCTAAATAAATGAAATTAAATGAAACTGAGTCTTTTTTTAATGCAGTTGAAGTGTTAGTGGTGAATCTCTTTCATTTTTCCTTCATAAAGACTCTTAAAGAAAAGCTCTTTTTATACCCAATCATGTCGCAAATTTATGAAGGGGTATTGCATTCAAAAATCAAACAAAAAACAAACAAACAGAAAGACGAAAAAAATACAAAAAAAAAGAACGATGGGAAAAATATTAGTACAAAGAAAACAAAAGAAGAAAAATAGTCAGAAAAACAGAAAGAAGAAAAAATTAAGTCCAAAAATCAGCAAAGAAAAAAAAGTCCTCAAAAAAAATAAAATAAAATAAAATAAAACAGAAGGATGAAAAAAAAAACATTGTTAGTACAAAATACAAGAGAAAAAATAGTCTGAAAGACAGTTTCCTTTTTTTTTTCTGGAAGTGAATGCAACAGGCATCCGTACAAATCAACCTTACTGGTTAGAAGGTATTTCTACAGATATTTTTAAACTTTAAACACATTTTTTAGTGTTTTGTTTCCATTTTCAGATTTAAAATGAGGACAAATTGGTAAAATTGCAAGTTTTCTTTGCACTATTTCAACTGAGTATAGAGTTTAAATTATTTGCAAACCATCAAAATCATTGTTTTTCTGGTTTTTCACAGATTATTATTTTAAAAAATTATATTTTATTTGTATTAACATGCGTTTACCTAAGGTGACCATACTCTGAATCCCCAAAAAGGGGACATTACTACTTGGGATGGAATTGAAATTTTGAGGGTATTTTCGGTTGGGTTGAGTGTTTTTTTACCTACTTCTAACTCAGTTAGTTCACGCTACACAAACTCAAAACTTCCATACAAAACTTTGGACATTTGAAGGATTTTATAAACTCCCCCAGACGAAGCATTTTGGCTGTTAGGAGACGTCCTAATAGACTGCATCTCTAAAATAAAGTGATCTTGCTGCTAACAGATCACTGCCTTAGCTTCATAAAAAGGTTAAAAGCTTAAAAAAAAACACTTTTGTTATGTTGTTTAGAGTTATTTTTGTCAGAGACGGCCGTAAATGAAGACAGGAGAAAGTATGAATACTGTTGCTTTTTATCACAGCAGAGTTCTCCTGTCAGTATTTATACAATCCTAATTTAATTTAATGTTATTTTGAAAAGACTCTTTGTCCAACAAGCTCAGAGATATCCTCCTCGTATACTACCTTTTTTCACGACCGTAAAGCAATAACACATAAAAAAATGGGAGTGAATGTATTTTATAGGATTGTTACGTCAACATGCCGCACATGTGTTGCCAAGTGTGGAAGTGATTGAGAAGCTGAAGTGACATAACCAAAGTCTTAATTCAGGTGAATCATAATCTTTAACAGCAGAGGCTCCTGCAGACTTAGAGGTGGTAAAATTCAGCAAAGACAAAGACTGAGAGAGAGTTTATGAAGAAGAGCAAGGACAGGAGAAGACGATCTGTTTCTGCGTTTCTATAACTCACTTTGGTTTCTTAGTTTTCTTCTGTGAATAAATCCAGATTAAAAAGAAGTTCTCTTACTTCTCCAGGTCCCGTCAAAGAGTCCCCGTCCTAAACGGGTAATGCTTAACTCTTGAGTTGAAGGACAACCAGTCAGCGCTGTGAATGTACTTCATGTTCAAACAGAAAAACTTGCTCTGAAAACAAACCGTGCTTTTTCACAAACTGGTTTGTTGTGCATGTACATTATGATAAATATGCTAAGATTATATACATAAATTAACACTGACGCTGTGGAGTAACTTGTGAAGTTATAAACCTTTTCTTTGAATAATGAGTTAAAGGAGTCATTCAGCTGATGAATGAGTAAACGACCTTCTCCATGTGAAGGTCAAACAAACAAATAAAGTGATATTCAAACTCATTCACATTAACTTTTATAGGAATACAGTGTTCTTCTGAAGTCTAAGCTTTTATTTGTTGCTTTTTAACCACTGAAGCTGCAAACTGGAGAACCTGGAGGACCATAAAACCGAGTCTCTGGGTTCGAGAGGCGACAGGTGCGTCAAGTCCCTTAATTTTTACAGCATATTAAAAAAATAAAAGTTGACCCAAATTACTTTGGAGCGTCAGGATGAGAGGATTAAAAAAAGTGTGTCAATACTTTTCTTTATGATAAAAATAATAAAACAGCAAATCCAAAAAGAGGACAACAAAAAAAAATCAGGTCATGACTTCACAGAAAATCACAGAGAAACTTTTTAAAGAGCGACAAGAATAATATTAATTAAAAAAAGATTTAAAATCCAAAAGTTTATTTAATTATGTAGTGAAAATGAGAAAAATATATTTGTATATGTTCATCCATGTGACATAAATATATGTAATCAGCTGTAGTTGACGGACCTGTGGTATCTTCTCATTTTATTCTATATCTGGATATTTTCAAAAGTGATACTAATGTCACTTTTTCTATTTCTGATTCTGTGAAGTTTCACCTTTATTTGACTGATTTATCACTTTTCTCTAAAGATTCTATGTCTTTTGAGAATCGTCATAATTTTACCAGAATTCTCATTTTATTTCATAGTTCTCATTTTTTTAATGGAACTCAAATTTTCTTAAAAATGAACAATCTCCCAGGATTCTTACATTTTTCTCAGAATTCTCTCTTTTTTTTGGCATTCTCATTTTATTTTTTCTATAAACTTTTTCTTATTACTCTCACTTTTTGGTCAGAAATCAATTTTTTTTCTTTTTAGAAATAGAATTTTTTTTCTCAGAAATTTTATTGTTTCTTCAGAATTTAGACTTTATTTTCAGAATCCTTACATCTTACTCACAATCTGATTTTTTTTAAAGGAATTTCTGCTTTTTCCTTAGAGTTCTTGCTAAATTCTTGGATTTTAACTAATGTGTCAGAGCTATTAAAGTCAGAATTCCAAGTGTTGTCTCAAAGTTTTGTATTTTTTGTGAGTTTTATGATAAAAGTAAATTCTCATTTTTTCTCATCTTTCATTTTTTTCTCAGAATTCTCACTTTTTAATTTAAAATCAGAATTTTAAAAAGTAGGGAGAATTCATAGAAAAAAGTTAAAATTATGAGAAAAAAATTCTGACTTTAACTTTAGAGTTCTAAAAAATTGTATTACTAATAAAAATAAAAAATAAAAAACTTTTTATTTTTTTAAAAGTCTCTTGTATTATTATTTTTTTAAACTAAATTCTTGGATTTTTAACTAATGTGTCAGAGTTTTTAAAGTCAGAATTCCAAGTTTTGTCTCAAAGTTTTGTATTTTTTTTGTGAGTTTTGTGATTAAAGCAAATTTTCATTTTTTTCTCATCTTTCTCTTTTTTTTTTCTGACAGATCAAACTTTTTAATTTAAATCAGAATTTTAAAAAGTAGCGAGAATTCATTGAAAAAAGTTTTTAAAAATTTTTTGACTTTACCTTTGGAGTCCAACTCATTTAACAAAATTTTCTTCTTCTATACAGTCATCTCAGCTCTGAAGCTGCGTGTTGTCTTTGTGTGTTTTTTTTGGAATTTGAAGTTTTATACTGAAGTTGCGGTAAAATGGGTTAAACCGGCTCTCTAATTTCAAACATAAGGGATCCTTATATTTGTTTCTAGTAGATCTTTCACAGTCATGGCTAAAAAACAGAAGATGCCTCGGTGTATAAATTTTAAAATGATGCTTAAGTTTAACATTCTGACTCTCAGTTCTTTTCCTTTTCATTCTTTCTGTGTGTAAAACGCTGCTGTAATATGAGGAAGGGGCAGTGAAATCCTCCTGGTAGCTCTTCACACAAACTCTTATCGTTTCTTTTTATCGTCCCATCACTTTTTATCTCTCTCCCTCCATCGCACTCGTCCTTGATGCAGCCAGCAGTAAATGTTAAGTATGTGTTCGCTCCCGGTGTGTGAATGAGTTTGTGAGGCCTCATGTCGTGTCATGGTCATTATCTCAGTCCATCAGATAACAGATCCTAATCTGATCTGATAAGTTCATTCTTCACACTGTGCTCCTCTGTTAAAGCAGGAAACGCAGAGATAAAGGAGCGTTTGGGGAAACCTCCCACACCGACAGGATGAAAAACTGAGTGAGACGTTTTTTCAGCTGTGACCTTGACCCTTCACTGAGTAACTTCTATAAAATGTTTATGAGCGCCCGTCTGCTGATCCACTGTGCATTTTTAACCTTTTACCTCCGCTCTTCTCTGCAGACTACGTGTTTAAAAGCATCTCTGCGACAGTATCCTGGTTTTTAACAGCAGAGCTCTGCAAACGTGTTCCTGCTCCAAACTGTCTGAATCAGAAACAGATCATTTAACTCTTTAAACTGACAATTTAATTCGATTTAAAAACGTAAAAACAGACCGGTAAAGATCACCTTCAGTCATCATGATTTTCACTTACAGGTAGTTTTTTCACACTCACTCAGTAAAGGGGTTGAAACAAGGTTTTAAAGAGTTTAACAGACTGATAGAAGAAAATGAAAAATCAAAATGACTGATTTTAAAATATTATTTTCTCTTTGAATCACATGCTAAGGTTATGCATGCATAAACACATTTTTACACCACGAAATAAGACAAAAACCACGTCAGCAATCATGTCGATTTAGTTTTTAGAAATTCATATCGATGTCTTTTCTACGTCTCAAAGAAAATAAGATCATCAGTAACATGACGGACGATTTTTATGTTGTAAATTTTCAGGTATCAGCCTTTAGATGGAGAAACAACAGCCCTTTATTTAGAATTCACGCACAAAATATTCACATCTAACGTCTGGTTTGACGGTCAAAAGTCAGCAGGATGACATTTTCGTCAGGAGACGTTATTCCAGCATGTACAGGACAAAATAAACAATGACTGCTTTGTCCACAGGGGGCGCCACATTCGCGGCAAACCAAAAATTACTTACAGGAGCTTTAAACCACCACTTTATCTCATTTTAAAGAAGTGCAGACATACAGTTTAAGTTATAAAATGGCATAAATCACCAGATAATCATCAATCAATAAAGGACGATTAACAAATACTGTCAGTCTACATCATCAGGATACCGGACAGGACCGGCTCTGATCCGTCTTATTCCACCGTCAACAGTTTAAATAAAAAGTTATTATCATTATTGAGTCCAGCGAACTTCTTCATAAAAAGGAACTTTTAAGCGACACATCTATGATTAAAAAAAGTGAACACAGGATTCAAACTGAAGCGACTTTCCTGCATGCAGCACTTTTTTAATCACTCTGAACTTTGGTTTTAAAGACGTACAAAGACAGAACTGAACATCAGCTCTGAAGAGGAAATAAATGAATAAACTGTCATATTTACACAGAATAATCCTGATTTCACTGTTAAAAAGAACATTTGAGCTGATTGCCAGCTGGGACTCATTTCTAATTATCCACTATTTCATCGTTATTCCCCTCGGGGACCTAAATGAGTCTTTATTTTGTTTATATGGTAAATATAAATAAATTAGACCGTTTCTGACAGTGTGATATGTGCGTTTTAATTACAGCTTTTGTTGCGCAACTTTGAGATAAACTCGCACAATAAAACAATAAGAGGAAGGTCATCGAGATAAACCGTAAGATGACATTAAAAAACTGTTGGAGATGTCAAAAAAAAAAACACAACGTGGAGGTTTTTTTAAAACCTTTTAGGACATTTTAATAAACTGTTTTAAGGACCTGAAAAGTTGGTTTTGATTAAATTCTTTAGTTTTCCTTTTAATGATGAAACCAGGTGGCGGTAAAAGAGTTTTGGAAAAGGAAAACGGTAAATTTTAAACAGCAGTGATATAAAACTCTGAGTTATTCGTCGGTTTCTCTCCTCTTGAGGTTCGTTTTTCTCGTTGCAACATGATTTATAAGTCGTATCCCTGAATCTTTGACTAATTGCCACGTAGTTTTCTTCTTGTTGTACCTGAAGAGTATTTTTATGTATGACTTTTAATCATATTTATTTCAAAATAAAAGCCTCTGAAGCACATATACACAGAGATGCTCTGATTGTGAAATCCCTCCTGTCTGTTTTTGCTCGAAGATCAGATGTACGTGAATATTTGCGTCCTCGATCTGTCTCAGAGTGTCTCAGTGTCTCAGCCGTCAAGATTCACCATCAAACAGCGTCTCAAACATCAGCTGATTCCAGCGTTCAGTCGTTCCATCTGTGCCCGTGCATCCCTACACCACACCGATGATGATGATGAGGAGGAGGGTGACCGCGGCGTCTGGTCAGTGAGGTTGATCTAGCTTCCTGTCAGCTGTGAGAGGACTCTCTTAACCTGATGCCTCCTGCTACATGAGCAATGAAGCACCTCAGGAGGTAGATCCCCCAGAAATTGTGAGAGCTGTGAAAGAGAGAGAAGAAGAAAAGAGAAGAAGTGCGTAAAAGGAAATGGTTGATAAAGTTTATAAATCCGTTTGAACGAGGACAGCATGGACACACTTTTACCCTTCAAGCCGGGAGTGCAGATACGTCGTTTTGTAACTTTCTGTAGTCTTTCAATCATTTCTGGAGTCGTGGCGAATGAAATCATCAAACCTTTCTGCCTCTGATCAGCTAGTAAAGTGATCGGATTCATGCTCAGATCTTTGTGAGGAAAGTAAGAGAGAGAGCAGCTTCGGAGGAGAAACATCCAGCCTTAGTGAAGGTGGTGATATTGACAGAAATGATGACGTTGATGACCATATTTTGAACCTTCTGGGCCACAAAAAAGGGATTGGTGAATGAGAGAAATGTTTTTGGACGATGAGGAAGAAGAGCTGGTGGATCTACAGGGTTCGTGTATTATCTGTCCATTCAATTATTCCATTAAATCTAATAAACGAAAAAACAAGTCAATATTTTATTTGTTTTTCTGTATGACCAAATATTTCCTTCTCTCTATTACATTTTCTGTTTTAAGCTGAAAATACGAAAACAAACACTAATTTTTATTTTTTGGTTATATCGAAAAACAAATAAACTAAATATTGACTCATTTTTTCGATTATTAGATTTAATGGAATAATCGAATGGACAGATAATACATGGACCCTACAGTCTATGTCTGTAAACAGCGTGAACAACCTCTTCATATTAAAGTCTTTGTCTTACACTATCTGTGTTTACTGTAAGTGTTTCATGACTTTGGGTGAACACAGAGATGAACACACTGTCAGTCACATTTGTATTTATTTAGTTTTTAGTTCTGCTTTAGTACTGGCACTATACTCGAGCAGCTGTATACCCTTTCAGTACTTTATTAACATGATAATCATATTTATATTTACATTTGACACTTTATCATGACTGACACTTGTTTGACAGAAAGCAAATAGTTTGCAGAGCCTTTACTTTTATTCATACTGCCGCTTTATTTTATTTGAGTTTGTTTGTTTGAGGTTTTCAATAATCTGATGAAGATTTGGACAAAGCCACATGTATAAGCTCTCAAATACTTTTTAAGTGCAGAGAAGAAGAAAAACCAAAGAGTTCTCTTCTAAAACATGGAGGGCAGACGAAAGCATGGCTGGTATTTATTATGTAACAGTTTGCAGTTGTAATAAAGAGAATAAGGAGTGTGAATAAGTCTGTTTCCCGTCTGTGAGAGTCAAAAACAAACTCTTCTTACCTGACCAGAAACGGCTGAGGGAAGCAGCTGCTGGTTTGTGAGTTCACCACATCCTGAAGGTTCATCAGGTTCATCAGCAGAGTCCCGTGGTTACATTTGTCGATCTTCGTCACCACTATCTGCAAAAATCAAACATTTAGAAAACAGAGAGAGCTGTCAGTCAGGAACTCGCACATCCTCAGAGTGAAGAGCTGAATTTATACTGACATCTGCTGGACAGATGGGAACACTGCGCTGTTAACGTCAAATCAAATTAACTTGACTCACAGAGAGAAACCTGCCTGTTGACACTGTGGCAAAAACATTAAAACATATCATATCTTATATCTTAAAGTAATCAGGCTGCTTGAATCCGATTGGCCGCAGTTCTCTGATTGATTAATGCTTAAATCGCCTGTTTCTAATCGTCTGCAGTTTCCCCGCCGTGAGCTCGACGCCTCTTTTGCCTTTGAGCAGAGAGAGTTCATCTCAGTTAAGAGCTGAGCCGTCAGAGCTTTAATAATGTCCCGAGTGTTTAATAACCTGAGAGCATGAATAATTGACCGCGCAGAGAGAGCGTGTGGAGTGGGGGGTGCTTCATTATATCGTGGCGGTGGTGGCGTTTCAGACGGGACAGCAGCTTTTAAATAGCTGAGTGAGAACGCTCAGTATTAATTTGGTGTGGACATAATGAGGAGGGTCTGAGAGACGGATGAGGGGAGTGTGAGGAGGACTGAGAAAGTCGGCGAAGTTTACGGTCTGATGTTTCTGAGCAGAGATTCACAGCGGACGTCTGAGTGGGTTCAGGTTCTGACTCCTGCGGTCTGTCTGTCTGTCTGTTGTAAATCTAAAATGTTTGAGACGATAAATAAATAAAGTTTGCTTTTATAAAAATCAAATTTCAATTTTGAGTTTTTAACAGCAGCTGAAAAAAAAAATCATCTATTCATAAATGAAACTTTTTGAGTCTCTGAATTTTTGATAATAAAATCATTTTAATTTAAGAGTCGGTCGAATATTCAGACTCTGAAAACTTCGATTAACGAAGAGAATCTCCCAGAGGCTCAAGACTCATTTTTTTGACCAGGCTTTTCACTAACCACCTTTTTATATTTCTCTTATTGCAAATGTTCATTTTAATCAAAGTTCTTATTGTTTATTTTATGTCATTTTATTAATTATCTCTGTTCGTCGTCTTTTTCTTAACTCCTGCCTTGAAGGTTTTTACTTCTTTTACCCCTTTTATATGGTAACGAGCTCTTACTTATCTGTTCATTTAATATTATTTTCTTGTTTTAGTCCTTCAGGTTTTTCTCTTTTCACCATTATTATCTTTAATCTCCAGTGTTTCCTAAAGGTCGCTCTGTCCTCATGTAAAGTCTCGGTGTCAGGCCATGTCTCTCTAACAATATATCTGAAATTCTTACACTGTGTGCGCTTGTGTGTGTATGTGTGGGTGAGTGTCTTTGTGTGCGTGTGTGGGTCCATGGGTGCGTGTGTGTGTGTGTGTGTTTGTGTAGGAGGGTCAGGTTTTATTGTTGTTACTTGTTGTTTTTCGCCTCTGCGAGGAACTTTGAACAACATTTCTTGTCTGAAAAGTGCCAAAAAAATAAAGTTGAATTTGAAGTCAGACTGGAGTCCTTTCTTCCCTCTTCTATTTGTACTTCCATCCTTTCTTCACTTTACTTTTTCTTTCTTCTCTTCTATTTTTTTGTCCTTCTACCAATCTTCCGTCTTTCTTTATTCTGTCCTTTATGTATTTCTTTTTTCTCTTCCTTCATCAAACCTTTCCTTCATCTCTTTCTTCAATCTCTCCTGACTTTCTTTCTCCTAACTTTCCCTTTACCCCTCCTTTTTTTCTATTATTAATCTCTTCTTCCTTCCTCCCTTCTTTCTTTCTTTCCTTCCTTCTTCCCTTCTTTTTTTCCTGTCCTTCCTTCCTTCCTCCCTTCTTTCTTTCTCTCTATTTTTTTTTTCTTTTTATCTTTGTTTGTCTGGTTCTTTCTTTCATGTTTCCCACACTAACCTCTTTGAGTGTGTGTCTTTGAGCGTGTGTGTGTGTTTGTGTGAGTGTGTATTGTACCACGTATGGACGTCTGGTGTCCTCACACATCTCCAGAGCTAACAGGTCGGCTTTCTGAAGTCCAACACTGCCGTCCACCAGCAGGAACGTCCTCACCAGGCTGAAAATCAAACACTTCATGAAGCTCCATCACTCCTCAGATCAGACGGACACGTCAGAGCGCTGCGACGTCTACGCTGAGAGAGAGCTGCACGTTTGGTAGATCTAATAATTCGTAATTCTACATCTGTGTTAATAATTCAACAGCTGGAGTCGACTGATCGTAGAAATATAATTTAGAGTAAATCATCATTTCGCTCTCGCTCTAAGTTGTAATGACTGCACAGATGGTTAACAGCGGTCTCACTTTGACCCCCCAGACGTGGATCACATGGACTCTGTGTTTGAGTTTCTCACTTTGTTCTGGTGTAAAGGTACGGCTCCACCATCTCCACAAAGTCTTTGGGTTCTCTGTATCCGTACCCCGGCATGTCCACGATGGTGAACGCTTTCCCCACTTTGAAGAAGTTCATCTTTTTCGTGTGACCCTGAAAGAGGAGCAGAAGAGAGGAGAGACACACGACTCTTTACTGAGATGATTAAAATTGAACTTCACTCCTGAATGAGACGCTGAGCTCAGTCTGCTTACCGGAGTTTTGGAGACTCGGACTTCCACGTCAGGAGCCAGAGCGAACAGACATTTGATGAGAGACGACTTTCCCACGTTGCTCCTGCCGATGAAACACACCTGGAGGACACAGAGAGAGTTCGTGTAAATGACTGAACTCAGAGATTCTGTGTTCAAGCCTCTTTTACTCTCATTTAAATCTCTTATTTGAGTTTTTTTCCCTCTTTTTGAACATTTTCACTCTCTCACTTTCACTCTGCTCACATTTTGTTCCAATGACCGCTCAGTCCCACAGGACGGCGGCTCAGGCTCATCCATCTCTCCGACAGAAGACAGATGGATGGAGGCTGACGCTGCCAGAAAGCCGAGAATACATCATCGTCCGACGGAGCGCAGAGGCAGAGTGGTAACTAACCCGGCATGACAAAGAGACCAGAGTGTCCTGTTCCATTCTGGGCCCTCTGGTGAACGCTGCTGTCTATAAGGTTATAAATCTGCTCATTTATTAACAGCTGTCAACCCCACGCTTCATTATGTATGAGGCTGCAGGAGGGTAAAGAGACGCAGCGCTACATTTTTCATAGACTGAGGGTGGAGGAGTTTTATGGAGGGGAAGCAACACCTTCATATTCACTTAAACGCACTGTTTCTTTATTTTAATACTCGTCTTTTAAATCCTGAGTTACACCGACCAAAAAAGAGCCCCCACACTGTCCATTTTCAAAACTCATCTTAAAACTCATTTTTATTCATTGGCTTTCAACCCTGCATGAGACCCGGCTCCTGTTTTAGTGTTTTATGGTTTGTTTTTAGTTATTTGTTTCCTTTCTTTTTTAAAAACATTTAAACTATATTTTACTTTTTAATATCTGCTTTTATTTTATCCATTGTTTTAAGTGTTTTTTGATTTTTTTGTATGTCTGTGTTGTTTTGTCTATTTATGTTCAGCACTTTGTTCAGCTGTGGTTGTTTTAAAGTGCTTTACAAATAAAGTTGAGTTGATGATTATTTCTTCAAGGAAAGGACATAGAAATGATCATAAATGTTCTTCCTTGAGCTGCGGCACCCCGCTGTAGTCCTTAATGGACTGGCCTGAGGTCTCTCTACAAACAAGCGTCTGCTGGAAGAGAGTAGGTGAGTTGTGTTTAGTCTCTTTGCTAAAGAAATGAGTCAAAGTTAAAAAGATGTTTGGTGGCTAGTACTATGTCTGTGATCCTATATGTCCTGTTGATGAAGTTAGGTGCTGTTCTGAGCATTATTTGTGGTTATAGAGTGGCGTTTTGGTTGAGGGCGTGGCTCTCTGTATTGCTATCCTGCTGTCGTTACTAAAGTTGGTATAACTAGAGAAGCAAGCGGTCGGCAACATTCATCTCTGGAGGGGGGGTCTAACTCAGTGTTACGGTGTGTTTGACCCTAAATTGAGAGGGTCACCGCTCACCTCAGGTTGTCTGAGCGCAGGTATCTGGACCACCCTCTCTGCGGAGATGAAATAATCGATCTTATGAGACGGCGAAGGACAGAAAACTTTCTCGGCTTTGACCAAATCCTCCAAACTGGGATGGAAGAGCTGGAACGGCGTCCTGTCCACAGACCTGAGGGAGTTGGGGGGATCATCCACATAAAGGACAACATGAGGAAAAAGTCCCGGGTCTTCACCGAGGGTCAAAGATGAAAGAAAAACCAGTACCTGTCCAGGTAAGGCTCCACGCTGCTGAAGGGGTAGAGGATGTTCTGGACTTTCTTTGGGGGGAGGGTGACGGCTTTGTGGAGGGAGGCGAGTTTGTGGACTCTGTGGACTTTAACGGTGAACACAGAAGTCCCGGGTTTGAGGGAGAGACGCAGCCGGAGACAAAACATCCTCACCTGGAGGTTTTATACCTGTCTGCACCGGAAATACCTGTCAGTGACCGGAAACAGGAAAAGGCTATCTCTATAATTAATAATACAATGTAATTATTAACAAACAACAGTCTCAAACTAAAAATATAAACACGTTTCTGATGAAAACTTCAGTTTTTTCTGTGATCCTCGTTTTCAGACTGGGTTAAAGTGAATAGAAACAACCAGAAGGTTAGCATAACTTTAGCGGAACACGGACAAACGTACAAAAATAACCACATCCGGTCAAAGAAGGGGACAAACTTCACGACTTACCTAAACTCCGATACATTCATGGTTTATTTACGGAGAAATAAACATTTATTTCAATAAATTTCAGAGTAAAACTGATGATTTCTTTCAAAATGTTTCCTCAATCGTCCATGTTTTGTGCAGCGTTTGGGAGTCCGACTAGAAACAAGTCAACCTTGATAAAGGTTCCGGCTAAATAACAAACAGAAATGAGACTCGACAATGTGTGTGTTTTAATGTTTTATAATAAAAAATAAATAAATAAATAATAATAATAATAATAATAATAATAATAATAATAATAATAATAAAAGATTAAAATAATAATACTTATAGTAATGATGAGAATAATAATGATAATAATAATATAATAATAATAATAATAATAAATAATAATAACAATTACTATTATTGTTATTATTATTATTATTATTATTATTATTATTATTATTATTATTATTATTATTATTATATTGAGTAAAAAAGCCACTAATGGTATCTGATCTTGTTAATTTCTCTGGTGTTGACGCTAACCTCTTACCCCTTTTTAGTTAATGTATTTTTTACGTGACACAGATGTGAGGGAAAATCCTCCTGAAACTCTTGAGTCACAGTTTGTAACGTCTTAATGTGAAGATTTTTCAAAAGTCTGAGAGCTCTGGATGTAAACAAAGACAATAAAAGTCGACTCTGAGGGAGTTAAAGTAAGGCCACGACGGTCAGATTGTTCCCATTGCTGATATTTGATATCACATCGAGGTGTTATTAATGAGCACGAGTCCCCTTTTAGATCCAGTCTCATTCCTCACTCTGATGTATCGGCGGTTAAACTCACAGAAACATTCCTGTGCTCCTCCTCTCTGGTGGAAAACTTCTGCTCTCCACGGGGAAAGGTGCAGTTCCAGCTGTCAAATCCATCCTCCGTCACCCTCTCAGTGGGGATTATTGAGGATTATGATCCTGACGTTTATGTGGACCAGCCAAAGAAATGTCTTCATAAATTCTGTTATAGGAGGTGGCAGTGATAGGAACAACTCCAGGCTTCACTCCGGCTCTGCATTCTTTACACCGAGGCTCCCGCAGGGGGAAACAGACTTTCATCGATATCCCCTAAAAAGAGGTGATCCAGTTTCACAGGTTCAGGAGCACAGAGTGGTTCGTCTCTCGAACTTTCCAAGCAGTTTTCTCCACGAAGAGACGGCACTGATGTTTTTATTTATCACAGCTGTGAGTGAACACTGACCGTGTCTTTAGGCTTTCTCTAATGAGCCTCACACTGAAGCTTGTCGTTAGTTTTCTGTTGAAGATTTTCTTTCAAATTCAACGACATAAAAACTCTGGATCAATATCAGACGAGCATGACTCACCCAGAGGGAGCATACATTTGATTATAGGACAATGACCTTCAAATTACCAGCTGTTCGGGGCTTTTTTTCAGCTGCATTGATTTTCATACACCATTCCTGCAGCATTGAAATACACTGTTCCTCTCAGTGAAGCTCATTTCTTATTAAAATCATTCACAGTGTTGATTAGGTCTACAATCTGTGCATATCGCACACACATGCACACTGTCGAGCATTAACAAATGTGAAAGATTTGCAGCAACGGGGTTTAATATTGTAGGTCTAAACTGAAAATCTGAGGATCACAGATACAGTCTAAAAACCTTTCAATAAGCAGGAATGTGTTTAAGATTAAACACCTGTTTCTCATTCGGCCTAAAACATGTTCTGATGAGGATTCAGCTGAGTAAAAACACATAAAGTGTCACATGACAGAGGTCACAGCAGCTTTTCAGACGATGTTGTTACAGAAATAAAGACTTTTCATCAAGTTTCAGGTTCTGACATCGAGATATCATCATGTCTCCTCCTGGTTTTATGCAAAAATATATAACAAAGGAGGCCTAAAATACAAGATTCTGTGATTATGCAACCGAGGGTTTGGTTTACTGACAAATAATCGTGTCAAATGTTGGTGCAGGTTGTCCTTAGATGCCTTAAAGACAATCAGATAAGTGTGTCTGTCTCATAGACAGGAGCAGGTCCAGGTTTCCTCCCTTTCCTCCCTTCATAGAGTCTCAGATCTTATCTGCGGGAGTCTGGGTTACACGTTTACAGTTTCTCATGTCTGGACTTAAAAAAAAAAGACTTTAATCAAAAGTTCAAACCATGATGAGGCAAAAACTAAGAGTTCAACGAAGACAAGGAAATAAATAAATATTAGGGTTGCTTTGAATTCACTTTAAAAAGTCTTCACAAACTTTTTTCTTTTTTTGTTGCTGTTACAGAACGTCAGGGTCCTTAAAGACAAAAACTCTGCCTTCAACGTTAAAACTGAACAGTTTCAAACAATCTAAAGTTTCATAACATGCAAAAAAAAAAAAAAATCACAGCAAGAGTTTTTCTCTTTTCCCTCATAAATATGATCTCACTAGACTTATTTTGAGACACATTCACCTGAAAAGTCCAGTAAAATTCTCTCATTTCAAGATATTTGCACAAAAACGAAATATCGGTACAAAAAGATGTAAAAATAGTTGTATTCACTTTTCAATTTTTTTCTGCTACTCGTCACAAACTATTCAGTTCTCGGTTCTTTTAATGTCACATCTTAAAATACAATATTTTTTTCTGGACATTTCAGGTTAGTGTGGCTTAAATTTAACCCAATAAGTTATTTTGTTTTGACTGTAAACACTGGGTCTGGGTCACAAAGAGTCTGAGGCTGTGTCTCATTTCAGAGACCGCATCAGGATAAGCGCGCTTAACGGCGCTTAGCTGAGTGCACTGCCGTTTTGTGCCGTTATGTACCCTTCCTGTGTCCCATTTCAGAGACCGCAACCGTCGAACGGCGCATCTGAAGCGTGCGTGAGGTCATCACACGGCATGAACGGTGTCCCTTTTGGCACAAAATACTAAGCGCGCTTCAAATTCGGTCTCAAAACCACAATACCACACTACCCCCGTCCCTCTGCCAGCCGATGGTCATCGGCCACACGAGGGCGTCCCCACTGACTCATGTGTACACACGAGACAATCATGTTTTTTTTCATATATCACTGTACTTTGTAGACTCTAGACCTTCAAAATTCACCAACAAGTGGGCAAGGTAGGACTCGAACCTATGACCTTCGGAATCCCAGTCAGTGTTCTTATCCACTGAGCCACTTGGAGACACAGGATTACACCACTTGTTTCCTCTTTCACTTTCATGTCTAGACACTAGACTTCAAAATTCACCTTGTCCCAAAAAAGGCTCGAACACACCACCTCAGGAGTACCAGTCAGTCTCCTTATACCGTGAGCCATGTGGACACACAAGAGAAATGTAGGTTTTTTTTCACATATCGCTGTCCTTTGTGGACTTGAGACTTTAAAATTCACCTAAAAGTAGGACTCGAACCTATGACCTCAGGAGTCGCAGTCAGTGTTCTTATCCCCTGAGCCACTTGGACACACAGGGTCATACCACTTGTTTCCTCTTTTACTTTCCTGTCTAGACACTAGACTTTAAAATTCACCTTGTCCTGAAAAAGGCTCGAACACACCACCTCAGGAGTACCAGTCAGTCTCCTTATCCAGTGAGCCATGTGGACACACCAGAGAAATGTAGGTTTTTTTTCACATATCACTGTCCTTTGTGGACTCGAGACTTTAAAATTCACCTAAAAGTAGGTAAGGTAGGACTCGAACCTATGACCTTAGGAGTCACAGTCAGTGTTCTTATCCCCTGAGCCACTTGGAGACACAGGATTATACCATTTGTTTCCTCTTTCAATTTCCTGTCTAGACACTAGACTTCAAAATTCACCTTGTCCTGAAAAAGGCTCGAACACCTTCGAAGGACTTCCTGGTGGAGTCGCCAAATGTCCCCGCCCTCAGGCTCGCGTCACGGCTGACTTAAAGAAAAACCCGCGGAACAATTTCAGGAAGTATGCAATTACATTGGGCACATTTATATGATGCTTTCACACCTTGTCATTCTTTCTTTTAACACAGAATCACATTGAAAAGTGCTTTCGTTCCATTCATTGAGTGTATTTTATTAACATGCAAAGGACCAGATGTTACTCGACTGTTAAGCTGCACATTAAAAAACCCATCAGAGTTGTTATTAATACCACAGGCCTGAATATTATGCACATCAAGGCTTGGCACAGGCCTTCAGACAACCTGCAGCTGGGTTATACTCTAACAGGTACTCATACTGTTTGATCAAGTGTTAACTAAGCGGCTACTGAAGAAGGATTTACTGTATCTGCAGAGTTTGGGTGGCTATAGGTATTGTGTGTGTTTGGGATATAAATGGAGTGTTTATATGTTTTTTAAACATAGATTTTCATTTTAGCATCACTTGAAATAAATTGCAATTGAAAGTTGGAGCTTGTGTTTGTTTTTATTTTAAGAAAAAAGCTGCTGATGTTAACTCCCTAATCTTTTTGATTATTTGTGCTTTTGTTTTCTTCATTATTATTATTATTATTATTATTATTATTAACTGAGAAGTACTATGAATGTACTAAAGGGATAAAGTGATTTTACTCCAGAATTGAGTTAGCAATAATTTATTTAAAGCCTCTGTCTGGAGTTTGGCACCCCCTTGTGGACAAACTTATACCTCTATATCCTTATAGTAGGCCATGTGGCTTGTGTGTCCACATGGCTCACAGGATAAGAACATTGACTGGGACTCCTGAGGTCTGGGTTCAAACCTTCTTCAGGATGAATTTTAAAGTCCAGGAGCAAAAGTACCAAGATAAAAGCACGCAGAGCTCATCCCCAACTGTGGATGGTCTCCGGTGGCGCAGTGTGGTAGACATCTACACCCTAATAGGAGCCATGTGTTCTGGTTGAAGACCGGCTCCTGGTTCGAAACCCGCTCAGCCCAGGGGTGTGGGGTTACCCCCCCCCCCCCAGGTGTTTCCAGAGAGATAAAATAGGGGGGTTATGCTACAGGAAGTCAGAGCAGGCTGAACTTTAGAGTAAGGATGGGGAGAAGTGTTGCGGGGGGGATTAAAGGGGGGGCGGCCGGTGGCCGGGGGCTGAGCAGCCGTCCTACAATAAGGATTGAACCCACTGACTCATGTGTACACACGAGACAATCATGTATTTTTTCATATATTACTGTACTTTGTAGACTCTAGACCTTCAAAATTCACCAAGAAGTGGGCAAGGTAGGACTTGAACCTATGACCTTTGGAGTCCCAGTCAGTGTTCTTATCCACTGAGCCACTTGGACACACAAGAGAATTGGGTTCTTTTTTCACATATCGCTGTCCTTTGTGGACTCAAGACTTTAAAATTCTCCTAGAACTGGACAGGGTAAGACTTGAACCCACAATCTCAGGAGTACCAGTCAGTATCCTTATCCCCTGAGCCATGTGGACACAGAAGACCATCATGTTTTTTTTTTCATATATCTTTGTACTTTGTGGACACTAAATTTCAAAATTCACTTAGAACTGGGCAAGGCTGGACTCGAACCTATGACCTCAGGAATCCCAGTCAGTGTTCTTATCCTCTGAGCCACTTGGAGACACAGGATTATACCACTTGTTTCCTCTTTCAATTTTCTGTCTAGACACTAGACTTCAAAATTCACCTTGTCCTGAAAAAGGCTCGAACACACCACCTCATAGTAGGGTCTGTTAGCTTGAAAAAATTGCCAAATTGTTATGCGGTGGATAAAAGCACCAAATTTGGTACACACATTCTTCAGGGTGTATCTCATCATCTCAGAAGGGGTGTCCAAAAATGCATGAGTGAAAATGGCTCAAATGGAGGTCGTATACCTGACCCAGTACAAAAGTCTCTCGTTGATTTATTTAGCAGGAAAAAGGGAGTCGATCTCTGCTGCTCTGAAACCACATCTGAGTCCAAAAACAAAGACAAAGAATAACTTCATACTGCAAAACCAAGTGTGACGCCTGTCAGGAAACCTTGTAAATCACAGCATGAAGATGGCGGGGGGTTTTAGTGTTGAACATATATTACTGTACTTTGTAGAAACTGTACTGAGTTTATGTCGAAAGTAAATCAGATCATATTGCTGCAAAAGCTTTGTAGTAACAACTAAAATTTTACGACCAGCAGAACTCACTTATTTTTCCTTATAAAATAAATAATTTGGTTGTGCTCGTTTTTGACATGATATGGCCTTGTTGGAAATCAGATACCCCGTCATTTCTCTGCTGAAAAGCGGTCTCTGAAATGAGACACAGCCTGAGAAACCTTAAAGAGGACAGAAAAGGGTTTATGTGATCGCTGCAGTCCCTCTCCCCTCCACAGGATGGCAGTACAGACCACTGAAAGCTCTCCCCTCTCACCCTGCCTTATTAAATTTCTGCCTTTCCCACCTTGTGCCAGTCCCCCCTCTGCTCCATCTGGATTTTTATGACCTGATGTGATTCATAGCATGTTCACTCGACAAATTAATTCACACATATCCAATTACGGCGCTCATATTCTGCTCTGTCCTTTTGCAGTGGACTCTTTCATTCTTACGAGCCACGCGGTAATGTCTGCTCCTTTTTTATTCATCACTCGTTTAAGAGGATGTAGATTTCATATGCATCAAGTGTCTTATTAAAGTAGAAAATTAAATATGTAACTGATGTATCCTTGCAGTGTCGGTCTGTCCTCCTCTTTCCTTTATTGCTTGTGTGACTCGTGCATCATTAAATGAGTGTTACACATGTGTGCAGCGGTTAATTAAAGAGCTTCAGATGAAACTGGAATAAAGTGTAGCTGTGCTGATTGGATTACTTAACAAATTAAAGATGGTGGCTGCGTTGATTTTACGTTTTAATCTCTGAGGAGGGAAATGAGATTAAAAAAAAGGCCTAACACGATGCAGCTGCTGAAGCTGCGGCTGATTTTCCCTCCGATTTCTGTCCTTAAACTCAGAGGAAGTCTTCATAACTCTTTAAGGGTAAACCTGGGACCTTAAAAAAAACATGTTTCTTTGTTTCAAACATTCATGGATGAAAAAAAACTTTGACATTCCTCCAAAAGTGTCTCGGAGGGTCTGTAAGGCTGGAATGAGGTCTTTCAGGGCACTTAAGGTAGTCACATCACTTTAAAAAGTGTCAAAGATATTCCTGCAGAAATAAAACCTCATTCTTCACATCCTGTTTCCAACTTTAATGCACTCAAAGACAAAAACACACAACTCTTGCAGAAAATGACATTTCCTGGTCTACCGCTGCCAAGTCTGGTCCTATTATTATGGTTCTGGTCCTAGTATTATCTTATCACAATATTTTAATAGTTTACGACCACAGACTGTATTTAGAAATGACGTCGTCTGCCTTCTCGCTGGGTGAAGCCACACCGAGAACAGCACCCTCTGGTGACGGGCTGCAGTATAGGTCATAAATCCCGCCTCCTCCACTTATCCTTATAGAGCTGTGGACAAACTTTAGAAATTAATGACACAGAATATAAATGTTTTTCCCTCCTGGTTGTGATGTTGACATGTAGTTACTGTAACCCGGGACTTCCATTGTAGCCTGAACGGCGGTGATTTTCGCTGTACGCCAATTCCTACAGGATCCGTTTGTGAGGCGAATTTCATGGCGGATGACGGACAGCAGGAATCACGAGAACTCACAAGAACTTCCGGATTCATGTGCAATCGCGTGATAACAAGTTGTCTTTAGCCACATAGACATATAAGCAGTAGATTGTGTCCTTCCAGAGGAGGAAATCTACTTCTAGACTTCTAGAATCAGCATCTCCTCATCCATGGTGTCATCGGGGTGAAATGACGTCTAAAAACCTTTCACTTGTTCGTCTCCGCCCGTTTGCATGGTGTGAAATACGATCCTCCTGAAACACGGAGTGTTTTATTTTGAAAAGAAGCCGGATGTTTTATTTTGTGTCTGTGCCCGACTTCCTTTCCAGCACGGGTTAATCTGTGCTGAATTTATCCGCCATGCTCCGGCGTCCGGAAAAAGTAGAAGTAGTATATACAGGCTATGTTTACAACTGAGCATTCAAAGTCACTTTTTTCATTGTGACACAAATGTATATGATCTCAAATGGGGCTCAGATCTGCACCTCAACATTATCGTCACATTACAGAGAAGAAAGAGTGTTTCATACATGATCATTGAAGTGTATAACTCCAGATTTTTTGTGATTTAATTGAAGTTTTCAGACAGTCTTTAACAGCCGAAGTATACCTGTGTGTCGTCTGCATAGCAACGAAAAGAGACTCTGTAGTGTTGAATTGTTTAATGACAGTGTTAGCATGCAAATAGAAAATGAAATGGGACCGAAAACCGAACCCTGAGGGACACCACAGGTAATGTCAAAAGAGGAAGAGGAGCGAGAAATCCATAAATATCTTTATCATGCTCGTCACACAAGAAGTAACTCTACCTAAAAAGGTTCTTGTCTCAAATATAAAACCTTTAAGGATCTGAATTTGCTCTGACAGACTGCATTGTGGTCTTGTATCCTGATTTATAGATGTCAATCAAAGCGATCAATCAGATCAGACACCTAACTATAGAAATACTGGAGTGATCTTGTACAGAAGGCCGGCCGCAGTAACTAAACGCTCAGTTTTCACAGGCGGACGAGACCAGAATGAATCACCACCCCGGGCAGACGGCTGATGGGGCGCTTAATAGATGGCTGTTTTTAGCCGTCTGCCATTTATAAGGCTTTTAGCGCAATAGAACCCTGAACACAACCTTTAAACCTCGCACAAGAACGCCGCACCAAGGTTTTAAGAGGCACTTGTGCAGGAAACAAGACAGTGAGGGATATATAGGCAGCCCAGCGGCAGAGAGATAAATGACGGAGGGACAAAGAGGAGGAGATAGGAGGGATGGACGGGGGGTTGGAGAACAGAGGGAGGGGACGGGCGGGGTGGCCATGGGTGCTCTCATGACTCCATCAGCCCATCCTTCACTGTGAGCCAGGGGATCAAATACCAGACCGATCAATCGTCCAGCAAGCAGACGTCCACAGAGCGGACCGTGATGGCATTTACCTCCCCAGGGTGCATATCAATACAGTAAAGAAAGGGACCATACAAAATGGATGGTTTCATCATCATCATCATCATCATCATCATCATCATCATCATCATCATCATCCCTTCTCTGGCTCTTGATTCGCTCTCTGGCCCTGACTGCTGTCTATCTCTTCAACCCAGTGCCTTTTATGACCTCTCTCTCTCTCTCTCTCTCTCTCTCTCTGTCTCTCTCTCTCTCTCTCTCTCTCTGTCCTGTTTCTTTCATTGTGCCGGATTGATGTTCACCAGACAAGGACTGACCCCTCAAAGTCACAGGTTTTGAAGAAGACCCTGAGTTAAATCAAGTTTTGACAGCTTCTGTTTCTTCGCTGTTTCACGAAGGCGGGGCTGGAAACTGACAAACCGAGTCTGAGAATGACTCCAAATTATCTGCAGACGTCTCTCCCTCTCCAAACTAACAGACTCTCCAGAATAAACACCAGATAAAGCATCAAAAATCTGTGTTTCGCGGCAGTACAGGCGAAGGGGTCGAGAAAGGTCAATCTTATTTGAGGGGGTGTTTATTTCTTTGAGTAATTACTCCTCCTCTGCTGTTTGAAAAGTCTAAACCAGGAGCTGAATTATCTGTAAACGCCTCATCTGGTCTAAAACTAACAGTCCTTTTGATTAAGACGAGTAAACTAATGAGTGAAGCAGATTCGCCGCACATGTAGTGTGTCTGTAATACTTCTGCGAGGCAGCACATCGGATTTCTGCACAGATCAACTTTAGTTTAAGTCACTAAAGTGTCGAGCTTTATGTTGAATTCCTGTAATTCACAGTTATGTGGACGATCATTTCTAAATCCAGCTATAAAAACCTTTGACTTTGATTAATAAAAAAAACTTACTTTAGTGGTATTAGTGTCTGTTTTTAGCCACTAACGTTTAACTGCTTTAAAAAATATATCAGATTACTATTTCTTTATACTTTTTTTGCATAAATCTGTTGAGCAACTTCAGTCCAAAACTGCTAAATATTAAAAAATATATAATAATCTGGATTTTAACCCTTTAAGTGCCAATTTAAAAGATGAAGTCACTGATTTTGGGAGGGGAAAAACACAAAATTACCTATTTTTAATTAAAAAAATGAATTTTCTACCTGCTATCACAGTTGGACATGTCAAAGATTAGCAATGTAACTGGTTCTGATGCGTATTTAGTTTTTGTGCAGTAACAGATATTATACCATTTCCAAGACAGTGATAACATGAAACAATTGTCTTTGTCCAATCACTTTTTATCTTGAAAATAGCTCATTTTGTGTGTATTTTTCCTCATATCAGTGACTTTCTTTTTTAAACTGGCATTCAAAGGGTTAAAATTTTTTATTTTTAAAAAATATTTACCAGTTTTGATCAAGACTGAGGTTGATGAACAGAGTTATGCAAAAAAAAGTAAAATAAAAATGTATCTGATATATTTTTTACAGCAGTCAAAGTTAGTGGCTGAAAACAGCCACTGATACCACCAAAGGGTAGTAAATCTGCTGACAGTTTACTATTGACCTTATGAAAATTTTGAAATCATATTTTCAAATGATATGGAAAAATAAAGTTTGTCAGCGAAAATCATGTCATTTGCTGCAATACAGTGAAAGTTACAGTCAAATTAAGAGGAAAAGTTGAAGCTTAGTGGATGTTTTTGTCACCAATACTGTAAAAGAGTTCAGTTCAGTTTTCTTTAACACCATCATCACCAAACTGTGATTGAGGGAATGCAATAACTTTAGACCCAGACCCTAAACTCCTCTAAATGCATCCCAAGCTCTGACTATACAATCCCCTCCATGTGTGCCGATCTATCTGTGTAAATAATTCAAATGTTTGTCGACATTTACTTCATTTCAGACAAAGAGGACATTTATTTCCTTTTTTTCAAGCCTCTTTTGATTTCTCTCTACAGTCTAGAAAAACAGCGAAGAAGACCAACAGTCATTGTCACTTCCTTAATAATGGAGGTCCGTATCACACAGCCGAACATTATTTATCAAGAGTTTAAAGTTTTCTTATAGACTAGCTTAGATAAAACCCTGATCTCGATCACGTCAATCTTGTCTCTAAATATCCTCATTTTACACCTTAAAGACATGCGCTGGTTAAAGTTAGTTAAGGACTTTGAGGCCTTGGACTGACATGTAAATGAGGAGTTTCAGTCAAAGCAGCAGGATTCGAAGCCTCTTAGATCCATTTTTGGGGAGATGAAAACGTCCAGCTGCAACCCTGACCATGCCGCCGCCCACGTTCACCCACACATTCACACTGATGGAGCTTTAATCTGACACTGAATTATCACAGAGCCTGACCTCGCTGACCTTTGCAGACCCATTAAAGCTCTCATTTGCATGTTAACCAGCGAAGCCAGCCGATACCCCCCGCAGTCATGTGACAAACGGCACAATGGGACGTGCGCCAGCAGAATACCAAAGCTCCTGTTGTTCTTGGCTTTGTTTGTGTGTGTGGATGAAGCGCGGAGGAGTTTATGAAGCCAGGAGGTCAAAGCATCAATACGCCTCATACAAACACACACACACACGGTTGTCACATACACCCGCCCTCAAGGGCAAAAGACAACAAGAGATTAACACGAGCTGTATTTTCTCTGTCGTCCCATCTGGCCCCGGCTGAGAGCGTTTTTATGCCCGACACCTGTGGCAAACATCCTCCGTCTTCTTCCAGCGGTCAGTGTGCAGAGAAGTGCCGCTTCTGGAAGCAAATGCTCCATCGTTTAATCATGTCTGGGCGCGCTCCCTCCAGCGTTTCCAGTCTCATTACTCTCTCTGTCGCCGTTAAGTAAACAGAACAATCGGAGGGCCAGCTGCCCTCGGTGCTGTGGAAAAAGAGAAAGAGGACCCCGGTTCCACATGAGGTGATTTGCCGAGTTATAACCCACACATCGATAATACTCGCAGTCCTCACAAACAAAGCCCAGTTAGTCGTACTGACCCCGCAACATTTCATAAAAGCTGCAATAAAGCATAAATCAGGAGCGTCTTAGAGTCGGATTGAAGTTCTGACCGGGCCGCCAGCTGTGTCGAAGCATCGGCCATGAAAACAGCATAAATATTTTGGCAGGTCGGTGGTCAGAGGATATTGAAGCACGGGCGTTGAGCGCTCAGGGATATTGATTTTGCCTTAGTGGCCAAGAAGCAGAGCTCTACTGGCATCGATAGGAGAAAAGGGGGGTGAATGAGGAGCCGTGACCTTGAGCCAGGAAGCAATCCCGTCAAATAAAGCTCCGGGAAGGAAACGCAGAAACAAAACCCCGAGTATGTGAGAGCGCCGAGACTCAGGGTGACACTGAGGTCTATAGAGAGACCATAAAGGGGACCACACCGCTGTTTGAAGCAATCTCCTCCACGTCTGATAGATATTGATTTAAGAGCAGCTTTCCATTTGGAGAGATGATTAAATATCTGTATTCCTGGAGCTTTTCTTACATGTTAATGCTTTTACACAGAGAAGACTGAGATGGGTTAATCTTGTCGTTGGGCTGCAGAGGATCGAAACATAAAACATCCAAATATCAATAGGAAGCCGCAGGAAAACAAAAGGGACAAGTAAAGACGCGTTCACACTCTGACGTAAATTCCCTGTTGAGACAGTTGTACAGTTAATTACTTTAACAAATGCATGTAAAGATCACGGCCTTATGGTACGTTCCAGTTGTACTCAGAAGTCGGGATTTTCGGGCTCTGAGTCGGAACTTTCAACTGGAATGAACTCAAGGTCAGATTTCCGACCTGTAAAGTTGGATGATTGTCACCGAATCCTGACTTGACAACGTCATAATCCAAGATGGCGGCACAGTGCATCAACAGTAAAGAGTGACAGTAAAAGCTCTCGTAATATTTTATTTATTAGCACTTCTGTTTTGTTTTTGTGAAATTAAATAAGTGGTTTATGTTGTTCTGCCCAACGTCTAACTGTGAACACGGTGCTGTGGTGTTTGTAGAGTAAAATACTGTGTTATGCTTGTTTACAACTGGTATAGCTAACACTGGCTAACAACAACTGACCACCGCTGAGGACAGCTAAGAACAAGTGACAACGGCCAAGGACAGCTGACAATTGTAAACAATAGCTGACAACAGCTAACAACTGCTAATGACAAACAACAGCTAACAACTGCTAATGACGGCTAACAACAGCTAACAACGGCTGACAACAACTGACAACTGCTAAAAACAGCTAACAGGTGCTAACGACTGCTAATGACAAACAACAGCTAACAACTGCTAATGACGGCTTACAACAGCTAACAACAGCTGACAATGGCTGACAACAACTGACAATCGCTAACAACAGCTAACAATGGCTAACGACAGCTAAGAATGGCTAATGAGAGCAAACAATGGCTAACAACAGCTAACAATGGCTAAAAATAGCTGACAACAACTAGCAATGGCTAACAACAGCTAACAACAGCTAACAATGGCTAACTGCAGCTAACAATGAATAACAACGGCTGACAATGGCTGACATCGTTTACTGGAACGCCGTCAAATCGGATATAACGTCATTCCCTGCTCCAACATCCGACCTCAGAGGTAACTAGAATGCAGCTTTATATCTTTACCAGGATAGATTAGGAATAATTTTGGTCTCTAATTTCTTAATTCAATAAACACATCAGGAAACTTTAATCTTGACTTTACAGGCATCTGGCTTTTTCAGAGTTTATTGTGGCGGGCCGTAACAAAGATAATGATCAAATACGTGAAACAAAGATTTAAGCTTCGGGAAATGAATGCATGTTGAAGCCAGTTGCAGGTTCGGGTCTGTTGATAACAGAGCCGGCAGGTGAAGTCAAAGCCCAGATGAAGAGGATGAGGTGTTGTGTTCCTGAAGCTTTTCTATTATCTGACTATCAGCTCTGACTGAGTTCACCGGCTCCTCGAACCTTCATAAGACTTCAGAGATGAAGATAAGACCGGCTCAGATTGCTGAAGCTCAATCTAGTTGCACGCTGTACTCCGCTGTGATACTTACAGCCAACAATAACTCTTACTTCGAGCAGAGAGCTGTTCGCCATCATGATTGAAAACTTCACACTCACTGTCATAAAAGCTCGAACTTCTCTTCTTCAATAATTGCCGTGTCGGAGTCGACCTCGTGTTCTGATTCCTGGCGTGTTTCGGCTCATCTGCTTATTTCAGAGTTTGTTGATGCTACAGCGGATCACGGGTCAAGAGGAAGTGGAGTCCTACTGATGTTTACATGCTTCAACAATAAATGACACTTGAAACAACAAGCTCAGACTTGATCCTTCGCTGACTGGGTCGTATGGAAAATGCATCCAAGACCAATTAAAATCCACAGGACGCCGTTTTTCCGGGAATAACAACACAGCGGCGTTTCTGCTCGAACATAAGAAATGAAAACCTGATTGTGGAGGAAAATGATGTTGTTACGGAGCTTAAAGACGCAGATCCTCCAAACGTTGAACTTTTCTTTTATTGGATTCACTGATTTCACCGGGTTACCTCCAGATTCCTGAGGTTGTTTCAGGATTTAGACCCTCAAAAAGACCCTTAGCAAAGCCAGCACCTCCATTTCTCTGCTCTCTATCACCTCGCATTGTCCGCCTCACAATCCTCCTCCTCCTGCTCCTGCTCCCTCTTTCATTCCACAGAGATGATTTATTTTGTTTCTCCTCTCTCCTCCTCCAGTCCTCGGCCGACCTCAGGGTCAGCGCCGAGCTCCATCACTCTGTCTGCTCCTTAATCCCCACACTGGAGACGCCCGTGCCAATACAGGAGAATAACAGATTAAAAAACACATCCCGGGCTCCGAGTATCTCCCTGTTTTCCCCCTCTGTCTCTGCCTCCCCTCACTCCTCACAACAGATAAGTGGAAAAATAAACTTGGAGAAGCTAAGCCGGAGTTGAGGGGAGCAGGCATGACGGAGGAGCTTCCTGCACGCCGCTTAATGAAGGTGATGCAGCAAGGCAAGGCAGGGGCGCTCTGAGTTATAACGGAGGAGCCTTGGGAGGTGTCACGACTGCGGGCGGGAAGGTTTCCACTTGGCTGCAGTCGTCTAAGGAAGATACATGGTTGACCCCAGACGAAAATATAAGGAGCAGAACATCCAAATAATGAAACCTGAGGCTCCATTTTCACAGAAGCAGAAAGGATGGTCATTGTCTTCTTTGGCTCTGAAGTGAACAAAGACAGGAAAGGCCATTATTGCTAATGAAGACAAAAACTCTACGCTTCTTTAAGACAGAGAGGATGAAAATAAGAAGAGCCAAAGTGGGAGAAATTTGGCAAAAAGGCTCGTTTACACTCTGGAGGTCACATTCAAGCCTCGCCGCTGATCCAAGACCAGCTTCACTCAGAACCCACGGTGGTATTTACACCGCCTCACAAGCCAGCCAGTGACCTTCAAGCAGAGTGTTTAACAAAGCGACCCGGTCCTTTTATTCCGATCGGAAGCTCTTGTCCTTGTTGTGTGAGGGATGGGAGGAAAAAGAGAGGAAGGGGGACAGCAACAAGAGTTTCACTCATGAAAGGAAAACCTGGAGAGTGCACAAGTATCCGTCCATGCAGGTTCAACATCTTTGTTGCTATGACAACTCTTCAGGTGACTAAAATGGTGTTGAAACTTGAGCACTTCCAGCAGGTTTTTGGGAATATGTTATTCTTAAAAACTGTGACGCCATTTTTACCTTCTAGATAGATCTAAGTGACTATATTAGGTTATTTAAACAGTTAAAAGTCATGGTTGATGAAACTGAGCCGTTGAGGCCGATTTGAGCTGTTGGTCACATTTCACATTTCCTCTTTGACTCCGCCTTTTCTTCTATCAGCTTGTGTTTTCTTCCCACTTTTGGCGGCGGGGCGAGCACAAGTGTTTTTTGTTGGGTTTTTTTTTGCGTCCTTCTCCATCACAGCTCCTGTAGCTAAGCTGCTACGCTACTTTTAGTCGCGGGGACGAGTTGAATGTGTCGAATACAGCGAGGCAATTGAATGGAGAGGCAGAGCAGGAGATTAACCAATAGGCTGTCCGGGACGCAACTTTTATTTTTTTTTTGTCAGATGGTAGGAAAAAGTTCTTCGCCTCTGATTGGCTTGAAAAGCTGGAAACGTCATCATCAGCCCAAGCCAAATGCAGACATGTCGGCTCTGGACATCGAACAGAAAATTATCGCACTTCTGAATCTCCTAATCCTAACGGACGATGACGTTTCACAGCCATAAGGAATAACCAATCGGAGTCCAGCACTTCTAGCCAATCAAAGGCGAAGGAGGGCGTGACCTTCCTTTTACCATCCTACAAAAAAGAAATTTCGTCTGGACGGATGGCTCTCATTGGTCAGTGTTTTTGCAGCCCTGCGCCTGATAGGGTGAACAGATTTTTTCCGATCTTTTTTCTCTTGACTTGGTAGAGATCGCACTATAGGACCATGATCGCCATAGAAACGAGGTTCGTCATAATAATTACTAATCTCTCCAATCTTCAACCATGCCTTCAATTAGAATAAATAATATAATGCTAGAAAAAAACTGCACTGATATTGGACGGAGAATAAAAGCAAAAATATAAGAATGATCAACGAGTTAACAGTAATATCACCACTCAGCTTCATCATACGGTTAATGAAAATAAATCCAATGAAGGGAAATTAAATCCTGCATTTGTAAAACTTCAGAGTATCTTTAAAGTGGAGCCTGGCTGTACTGGGTCAGCGAACTCATATAAGAGCTCATTAGCTGAGTTTCAACGGATGAATTCTGCGGGAACAAAAAGACAGAAAAGAAAAGAAGAAAGCAGGAAAAGTTTCTCTGTCTGCGTGTGCACTCACATTTTCAGACTTATTGTTCCCTCCTCTACACCTCTCTGACTCGGTGACAGTAGGGTGCATGGAGGACAGAGGAGGGGGGCTCACTGTCCTCTAAAACACCACCCTCCCCCCATAAAGAAAGACAACAGGACTCCTCTCTCTCTCCCTCTCCCAGGGTTTTACTGCAGCCTCTACACATGCTGTCAGTCCTTTGAGACTCGCTGGACTCTGACAGCACAGCCTGCTCTCACAATGTGTTTATTGGACACGGCTGCATGTGCTGCTTCACCCCCCCACCCCGCCCCCAAAACCCCGTCTGTGAGGTGCTGACGGCAGGTGGGGGGCCCCGGCTGGAGGGTGAGGTCATCTGTGCAGCTCAGCGAGGAGGAAGAGCGGGAGCATTCAGGTCAAAGTGAGCGGGTAAAAGACGTCCCGTGTGTTTGGACGGAGCGAGGAGGGAGGATGAGTGTGAGAGGTGTGTAAAAGAGATGGAGAGGTGAGGTTCAGGAGGAATATTCTCATATTCTCTCTTTTTTAGACGCTCTGATCCGTCTTTGTGATCATCCACACAAACACACCTCATACTGTATACTGAAGTCAACACCGTTCTGCATAATTCGAGTTAACAGTGTGATTCTAAACTAGTCGTGTTCTCTGCTTGTTTGTGCAGAGGTTACCATGACAACCAGCTCCATCCTGTTACATCAGGGTTGGTGCTGATGAATGTTGAGCTGCAGTTCATCAAACTGCAATTACTGCAAAAAAAGAAAGAAAGAAAGAAAAAGGAGGAAATGTTGAAAAAAAGGACTGAACTTCACAGAAACTGAAAGAGGATGTGAGGGGATATGATACCGGACTGAGCGGACCAATCACACGTCAGGCTGGACGTGGACTTCTACAGAGGTACGAGGGCATGTGGACTGAAATAAAAGATCAAAGCTGAATTCCAGTTGTACTCGGAAGTGGAATTTCCAAGAGTATTAACAGTAAAGAAACAATGAAAGCTCTCTTAATTTTTTATTTATTAGTGCTTTTTGTTTTGTTTTTGTGAAATTAAATAAGTGGTTCATGTTGTACTGCCCAACGTCTAACTGTGAACACGGGGATATGGTGTTTGTGAGAGTTAAATACTGTGTTATATGTTGTTTACAACAGGTATAGCTAACAACAACTAACAACGGCTAACGACAGCTGACAATTGTAAACAACGGCTAACAACAGCTAACTGTAGGTGTAGATCTTGGTTTTCTGACTTGTGAACTGGAACGCCGTCAACTCGGGTGTAACGTCATTTCCAGCTCTGACAACCGACCTCCGAGGTAACTGGAACGCAGCATAAGTCAAGGGTGTGATTTAGGCTCACTAAGAACTTCGATAAGGGTGTAATCAAGGATGACTTTAAATAAATTCAGATTTAGGGGTGTCACGATGCAACTATTTCACTTCCAATACGATACCGATATGGTAACTTTCAGTATCAGCCGATACCGATATTGATCCGATATTGGCACAAACTTGTTAGGGACTTTAACCAAACTTATTGACACAGGGCCGACATCACCCCGACTCCTCTCTACTTTGTTAGTACTTTAGTACACACTGTTGTTGTGATTACATCAGCTCTGCATGCTAGATCCGGGCGCTGCTAGATAGAGGTGCTGGAGTGGAGTCTGGAGTGCTGATATCAGAGATTTTAGATGCAGGCCGATATAATCGGATATTTGTTTTTTGACTGATATCGGACCGATATCCGATATCAATATCATATCGGGACAGCTCTAGTAAGGTTATAATAAAAGCTAGGTTTACACTTTTTAAGGGTGTAAAAACAAAGCTAGGTTAGAGTAAATTAAGGCGTAGCTAAGGGTGTAATAAAGGATTTGATAATGGTGTCATAGAGACGAAGTCAGGGCTTATCTGAAGGTGAAATGAAGGTTTATTTTAGGTGTAGTTGAGGGTGTAGTGTTTGTTAAAGGTCTAGTTAAGGCTTTAGTTTAAGATGTAATAAAAGCTTAATTAAGAGTGTTATAAAGTCTAAATCCATGTTTTGTCAAAAAGCTTAGTTAAGACTTGTTTAGGTGTATTAAGGCTGTTTTAAAGTTCAGTTTAGGCTAAAATAAAGATTAAATTAATGTTTTGTTTAGGTATTAATAAAGGGTTTATTTAGTAATGTTATTAACTTGATAAACACTCAGGTAAGACTTCTTTGATGGTGTTATAAAGAATTAGTTTAGACTGAAATTAAGAGTTAATTCATGTTTTGTTTAGGATGTAACTAAGGCTTCGCTTAGATATTAATAAAGGGTTTATTCAGGTTATACTGGGTGTGATGTTATTGATTTGATAAACACTCAGGTTAGACGTATTTGAGGGTTTTACAAAGACTTAGTTTGGGGTTTTATTTGCACATATCAGCACAAACAGCATAACTGGAGAAGTGAAGTGATGTAAACATGAGTTTTTAACATTCAGGACATCGCCACAATCATGAAGTTCATCGTCTTGTAAATATCGTCCATAAAAACATGAGTGTACAGAGGACGGAGGAGACACAGTGGACAAAGACGGACATGTCCGTGTGATTCGATAACAACCTCATAACAAACTTCCACCATTAAATCCGTCTTTGTGTGTCTGTGTGTCTTTCTGTGTGAGGCGACAGCTCGCTGCCCACCGCCTTGTTAGAGCGGTGATTGATTGAGCAGGTCTGGCAGGCCTGAGCCCCCTGCCCGGTTCATTTGTTATACATTTATAGTTCATAATCCATCTGCTCTCACCTCCTCACATTCCTGCTCATTTTTCATCCTCCTTTTGTATCACGGGGGTCATTTTTCTGCGTGGCCGTGATAGATTGTTTAGAGTCTGCTGTCTATAATTGGCTCAGATAGTGGGAAGACTCACATGTGTTTATCATTAGAGGCTGAGTGTGCCTGCAGATCTCTTCATCATCGCTCACAATAGACGTCCAAACTTCAATTATTGAGATAAATTGATTTATTAAGCAATTCCTGGAACTGTTTGAGGACGCAGGGGCGCTTTATAATTCTTATTTTAATCAAGCACTTCACATAAGCTGCATTCAAACATCTTTCTCCTGTGTTTGACTTTCTTCATGCACTTTGTTTGTCTCATGTGCGACCAGCAGGTGGCAGTAGAGGACCGTGCATGAGTGCGCTGCGGCTGAGTCATTCAGAGTTTACCATCTGTTGCTCTGCAAGAGTTCCCGAGAGATAGCAGACGCGGGAGGTAGACCTAAAGCTGATACTCGGGCTCATCCCAGTTTTTATTATTGTTTTATTATTTATCTCCGCGGCTCTCGGCCCGCCTCTCTCTGGTCACTTTTTTAAATTACTGTCTGAATTACACTGCCCTGAGGCGGGCGGAGGTTTAACAGCCTGTACAACCTCTGGGTAAGAAAAAAAAAAAAAAAGTGGGATGAAATAAAATCCTCTCGAAAAACAGAAACCCTTCAGCACGCATAATTGATTTTAATGATAGCTTAGCGGCGTTTTTGGACTGAAAAATCCAAATCAACAGCTTATGAGCTTCAGCAGAGCCGCAGCTAAAGCAGTCAGTGACTAAAGAGAAATCCAACCAAGTTATTCCAGGGATTCACAGCAGCAGCAGCCTCACATATACAGTAACGCTTTAACAAAAATGTTAATGTCTTTTTAAAAATGACCGCCACCAGCGTGTTCTGACCTCAATTTGTGATCGCCTGCCAAAACCGGTGGTTAAGATTTGGGATTAATGTTGACCTACTTACTGGATCAGATTTTCAGATTTGTCAGCAGAGATACCTCACGGTGTTTAACCTGCTGCGAGTGATAAAAATCTGTGTGATTTTAAAGAGATAAAATACACTAGATGTCTCTATTCTGCACCTCAACTACAGGCTCGTTTGAGTTCAGTCTGTTGTTGTTGGTTTGTGTTTTTTCTTTTTAAGGGATAGAAATACGACTTTTATCACACAGATCCTTCTTTGATTATTTTTGGACTTTTTCCCAGACAGCTGAAAAAATAAGAGTGTGACAGGGTGTAGATTGTGTGAAACATGAATATGGCGCCCTTGACTTCACCCGTTTGTTTCCGCTGAAGCCTTCACCGCAAAATGCTGACTCGGTTAAATTTCTGGTTGACGTAGCAAAACGCAAAGAGGTGAAAATGAGGTTTTTATCAGTCTGTTGATGGAGTCGAATTATGCAAAACTCTTAACCGTGATATCTCATGAGATACTGATTCCTACCAAACTGCAAACACGTTTATTTTGATGAGCGTGCGTGTGCAACTTTTGCAGACTGCCTCAAGTGGACACTCGAGGAACTGCAGATTTTTACACTTTTGCATCTGCGCTTTGGATCACTGGAGGTTGCAGCTTGAATGACATGCAGCAAAAGGTTTGCAGCTAGAAGTCAAACTGGCGACCTTTGCTACAACCATGACTACAACTACGTTACATGGGGAAGATGCTTAAAGGGATATTCCGGTGTAAAATTAGAGAGAGTAGGTGAGTTGTGTTTAGTCTCTTTGCTAAAGTTAAAAAGATGTTTGGTGTCTAGTACTATGGCTGTGACCCTACTAAAGTTGGTAAAACTAGAGAAGCAAGCGGTCGGCAACATTCAACTCTGGAGGGGGTGTCTAACTCGGTGTTACGGTGTGTTTGACCCTAAATTAATTTTACGCCGGAGTATCCCTTTGAATCACCAAGCCAAGCCTGAATTGGAGGACGTCTCTCTCGGTCCAGACTCATATCAGTTCGTAGAGCGAACACAGGATGATAGAGCTGACAGTATAACAGCATTTTTCTGCTCCAATAATGAGGATGTACGAGTAAGAACCATTTCCCATCCACCAACTCCTCTGTGAGTTTGGTAATCCTCCTGGATGACTGGTCTTCACATGTGTGGGTGTGTGGAGAGAGACAGACGGGACGTGACCGAGGCAGAGAGTCCTCAGAGTAAAGTGAGGGTGGAGCGTCAACTTAGAGTAGGAGGGAGGGAGCTGCAGCTGGAGAAAGGTCTGATCCCTCTCTCTGTGCCCATGAGTGCTCTCTTTACCGCTGCTGAAGCCCCCCGGTGGGTCCTCGCTCCTCGTCTTTGTCCCCGTCACTCCGGAGGACGGGGATTGCTCGGGGACGAGACGAGGATCCTCTTGGCCATGTAGACGGCCAGCTACGTTGGAATAAATCTGTCCTGTAGCTGTGAGCATTATCTCCTGAGCTGTGAGCTGGCACACTGAGCTTCAGCTCAGGAAGGATGAGGCCGAGCAGTCAGGAGAGAGGAGAGAGGAGAGGAAACCAGTGAAGGACAGAGCAGGTGAAAGTTTGACAGGAAGAGAGATGATCTGGTGTTTATGTCTGGAGCCCTCCTGATTGGTCAGTTTGGATCCCTGTAATAGTGTATGTCGGACCTCTAACCTTTAACATCACGGATATCTGTTGTTTTATAGATATTTCTGAGTCTGTATCAAAGTCCTGATCCGTCATCATGCCCCCTTTAGTCCAGTATAACAGGACTTTTCAAGGAGTCAATTACCTCTGATTTAAACCAGTGTTCAGAGGTTACCATAGCAACAGTACCTGTGCTTCATGCTAGATTACCAGTTATTCTTATAATGCCTTTCATTGATTGTCAGAGAACATGCCCGGCTTGGCTTTCAGGTGCTTGTTACAGAGCAGCAGGGAGCTTTCTTTGTCTCCAGCTGTGCCACCGCACTCGTCCGGACCATGAAAGGTGGAAAAATCAGCTCACCTGCTCCGAGCTAACTGCTAATTTGACGAGGAGAGTCTTTAACTTCAATATCGACCCCCAGAGGTGTTTGTCATCTATTGGCTGTTAATAATGTTTGCATCATTGAACAGCTGGATCTGCAGAAGAGAAGATGAAAGACCTGCAATAATATTACACAGATATAGACCACATTGGATCAACAGTCGTGTTTACAGTCGTCCAAAATTTCTTGATCTGATTAAAAATTTGAGGGATCAGAAAATCTGAATCCACTGTTTATATGAACACAAAGTCAAATAATCCGATCATGACGTGCGTTTATATGCAGCGGGATTTATTCAGATTAGAAAGATTTGGACATGTGCAGAGTTGTCTGATTTCACTGAAACAACCGCAGAAGAAGAAGAAGAAGAAGAGTTGTATTTACGCCTGTGATGTCAACAAACCAACAAACACAACAGTGACTCACTTCATCCAATTCAAGAGTTTTTCCTCCTGCTAAATGTCGTCAGTAGATGGCGACCTTGCATACTTATTTTACTGTTCTGTCAAAGGTTGCGCTGTGCATGCAGATGTGACATCATTACGCCATTATCGGAGGAGCAGACACGGCACATAACCTCCTGTTCTGACCTCAATAGTCTTGGTTCCGCCTTCCATCAGTTTACGGATTTGAAGACGAAAAGTTCTCGGTAATTCTGCGTTTTTTCTCCACTTCCTGAAACCAACATTGCGCAGTAGCACAGCTCCATAGAGATTGCTGGAGAAGGCAGGATTTATGACCTATACTGCATCCCGTCACCAGAGGGTGCTGTTCTCAGAGCGAGGAGGCAGACGGCATTTATTCTATATACAGTCTATGGTGAAGACCGAGTCAGGTTAGAGAGTCAGGATCCGATTAAGTGTTTACATGGATGCGTTTAGGAATAACGATCGGCATAAACCACCCCTCTTGATCCAAATACAATTTCTTTCCGATTAAGCCAATTCAATCAGTATCTTCCGATCGACATATTTACATGACGCTTTTTTATCTTATTCTGATTTTATACTTTATTCCGATTATTTGCGCCCATGTAAACGCAGCTAGTGCTGATCTATAGCTGTACCAACAAGGACCTGTACGGGCAACTGCCGAGGATCAGCAAGAAGGTCGCATCGAGGAGGACGAGGCTGGCCGACCACCGCCATAGACATCAGGAGCTCCAGCAGGATGGTCCTATGGGAACCAACACATCGGCACCGTTCACAAGGACGATCAGCGCCAGGTGTATGGAGAATCAAGAGGATTGTAGACTCATCACTAAAATGCAAAAGTTTGTGCAAACTTTTGTTGACGTCCACGTCTGCAAATCTGGACTGAAGGAGCGGAGATGAGAGCTCAAAATATAAGCGAATTAAATAGATAATGCATTCTGTTTCTCGTCTGACATTGTATAAAAAAAGACATTTAATAATTTAATTTCCAAAAGTGAATCATTACTTTTTCACTCAACATGTTAAAATGAGTCACTACAACACTATAAAGGCTGAGTGCTGAAGAAGGAGACCAGAAACGTGGAGGAAAGCCGACCGTAAAAGAGTGAAACAGATTTTCCTTTCAGCTTTATTGAACAGAAAAGTGCTGTTTTCTTAGGCAGACAGGGTCCAGACCCGTGCTGTAAGCTGCTTTATTAGTTTGGTGCTCATAAATAAACCCGCCTCCATCTTCACCAATAACTGGGTGATGTTCCCCGTTATTTCATCACGCCACATTTTTGCCCCCTGAGTAATATTTAACGGGTTTAGCAGATTGACAAGCGGGGAAGCCACAAAGAGTGCAAAGAGAAGAAAAGAGAGTGATAGAAAAGGAGCCAGAGGTGGACGGAGAAACTGACAGAGACAGATGTTTAGGGAGTGAAAGAGAGAGAGAGAGCGATGAATGAGTGATGGGCTAAATGAAAGGGACCGAGCGGCGGTTCGCTCCAAGACCTGCGGTTGTGGATGTCGGTCCGGGCTTAGCGGCCTGCGGATGAGAATGAGCTGCAGGCGCTGAGATGTGCTGCTAGCTTTGGCCGTCTGTCGCTGTAAAAAGAGGGCGCTGGCAAACGTCAGCGAAGAGCCCAGAACAAGCCCTGGCTCCGGGGACTGCTTACTCATCCCTATTTGGCACCATCACACTGAAAAACTAAAAAAGTCTCCAACCCCCACACCTCTCACACTTCCAACAAACCCCGGTGGAAAAAACGACACTCTCAAGACTTTCTCACAGTGAAAATCTCCCGTCAGAGACACCGAACTCCGATCCAAAAGTATTTTTTCTTGTTTTCCTCAGAGCGCCGTCACGAACAGATCAACAGCCTGGAGATGATTAGGAGACATTAGCGTGGAAATCACGGTCAGAGGAGATTAAACTGGATTGAAACAGGAACCAAGTTTGATCTTTTAAAGGACTTTTACTGACAAATAACAGAGTGTGATTGGAGTCAGACTCAGTTTGCAGAAAGCGTCACAAAGACCTAGTTAAGACCAGGTCTGTCCAACAGGACGCTAATCAGCTCCAACCCCAGTCATGCAAACTTATGTAAACTCTTAGTCTATATTTCCTTATTAACAAACGGGTTACTGAAAATGAATCGCCGTTATAGTTTTCACAAACAAATAAATGAGCTCCATACCTGATATCAGTTTTAAAACAGAGTCTGAATGTGTTTTATGGAGTCATAAAAAAGGACATTTTAATATGGGACCTTATGGGGATTCTTAGACTTTGGAGACAGCCTCTAGTGGTCGTTTGTGGAACTGCAGTTTTTTTGCACCTCCTCATTTTCTCCATATCAACTCATATTTTGGTAAATTACTTGAATAAATTGTAAAAAGATTTGTGTGTAAACTAAAGTTAGTGATTTACAAGTTCTGCTCTCGTTCATCGTGTTTTAAACGCTGCTCAGAGAAAAGCTTTTCAGACACTCTGACCTTCAATCTTGACTCTTTATTTAAACCTCATGTAAACAAACCAAATGTTTTTCTTATCTTCATTTAAGTCAAACCAAAAATCTTTTCCAGCCGAGGTGAGTGAGCGAGAGTAAAAACTGTCAGGTGGTAGAGTCGAACAAAAGGGGAAGGACACAAACGAAGAGGAAAAAAAGGATTTAAAGGAATAAAAACAAAAAGGATTCACAAATAAAAGATTATGAAGAACAGACAGACATGTTCACACATCGACATAAAGTGAACCGACCAGAACAGAGGGGAAGACAGGAACTAAATACAGACTCAGGTAAACGAGCAACAGGTGAGGCAGACGAGACACAGGTGAAACTGATGAGTGATTAATGAAGGAGGGAAAACTGGGAAAGAAAAAACAGACTAGAAACACAAGGAATCAACTCCTACAAAATAAAACAGGAAACACAATAATTTAACTACTACAAAATAAAACAGCAGACAAAAGGAATCAACTACTACAAAATAAAACAGGAAAAACAACAAACCAACTCCTACAAAAAAAAAAAAACAGAATAAACAAGGAATCAACTACTACAAAATAAAACAGGAAAGACAAGGAATCTACTACTACAAAATAAAAGAAGAAATAAACAAGGAATAAACTTCTACAAAATAAAACAGGAAACACAAAGAATCAACTCTTTCAGTATAAAACAGGAAACACAAGGAATCGACTCCTCCTCCCCTGTGAAATGATGGTCGTATTTGAGCTCCCCGCTCTCTTTCAGGACCACAAAAGATGGATCATGTCTGAACCCGGACCCTCCTTTACGCCTCAGTTTTCAGTGAATCACTTTTATCCGAAGGGCGGGACCTCTGCGCCCGTAAAACAATGGTCATCAGCGGCGGATAAACAGGAGGGCGTGGACTCTCAGAGCTGCACAAAGACTTCACTTCTGTCGGATCTGTGAGTGACACCATGTGAACAAGAATCAAAATCCCCTCTGTCATTCATCAGCCTCTCAGCGGTCTGCCGTTACCATGACTCCTCCGCCGCTGCCGACGTGAGGAAGTTTTCTTTTGTTCTTCGCCACGACCTCCTCTCTCTGAGCCAGAACTTGGTACCACGCTGTGATTGGTCATTACTCCTTCAGTTTAAAGAGGAGCTGCGTCTCTGCTCTCTAATTTAACCAGCTTGTATCTTCACAGGTAAAAACGTTCTCACTTTGGCGTTGACGCAGCGTTTGTGGAACTCCACGCCAAGGCTCAAGGCTTCGCCGAGTCCCTGTTGGCTGAATGTTAGCCGGCGTGCTGTGCGGCACAACCACTCATGAGTGAATGACAGCTTCTTGACAGCTTCATTAAGACCGCAGATGGCGAGGAAAGTGAAGAGAAGCAAGAGCGAATGTAAGTGAGGGAGGCCGCGGGACCTTTGCACAGCTTGCGCGGCTGGACGGCGTCCAAGCAGCCTGTCTGGGTAACCCGTCCCCTCTCTCTGAAATTTGGCTTGGGCTGAGATCACGGAGCCCCTGCAGGTGAGACTCCATGTCATGGTGCCGTTGGGGGGTCAGGTCCAACAGCTCTGTCGCCCCTGGAGACGAGGACGGCATGTAAAAAAAACGGACATGTGTGGTCGTATTATAACTTGAGGAAAACACCGTCAGCTCAGCGCGGTGAAATCATCCGTCTTCTTCTTGGATGAATCAGTGGAAACATGAATCTGTCCACAAGTGTTTCTAAAGCTCACATGCTCCATCTGGTGTTTTTTTTATTTTATTTTAATATTTGACGTTTGCTTTCAAAGGAATAACTCTGTCACTGAGTCATTATGCATCGATTCACATGTTAGTCGAAGCTCCATGGAGCTTTTATGAAAACCAACCACAGAGGGGGAACCAAATTGATAAATATAGAACATAATGAGATCCCTGTGGGAACCCGCAGAGGAGGGCGGTCATTTGGAAACAGAATTACTTATGTTGGATGAACTGTGGATAAAACATATTGTCACTGGAAACATATTTGTTGGCTGCAAAACCATGATTAAATTTATGATTTATGGGGGTGTTAGAAACCGACAGTGAGCCAGCAGACATTAGGACAAAACTTTCCTCTGACAAACTGTAAATATAAAAGAGAGAGTGACCTCTGAGGTCTAATTATGTCCTCTCATTTTCTGTTTGTCAAAAGCAATCAGTGCAAACGAGCAGGACGGCTCATAAAGGAAGGAACGGGTGAAAACAGGACGGAAATACACGGATCATGGGTTAGAAATCACTCCTCTATGTTGGGCTGTTTAACCATGTATTCCTGTACGATGGTCGTCTTTTTACTGTCTTTCCTCTCATTGTTAAAGACATCTGGAGGATTTGTGTCGGATTGACGAAAAGCTGCAAATAGAAACGCAGTAAATTATATTAAATCAAAAATCACAAGCTAACCTGACATAGTGGTGGGCACAGCAGTTCTAGATCTACTGAATCACTAGAATCAGTTCGTTAAAAAGTTCAAAAGATTTAATCACTGGATCATTCAGCGTTTGGTGGGAGGGGCCTGCGACTTCCTGAACTGATCATAGTCTCCCTCCGTCGCTCCTGTCAAGAGCTACAGCTGGTGAGTCTCACCTCCAATTTCCACCGCATACGAAACGGCTCCGATCCGGAATGGCTGTGATTTTTACTGGATCACCGAATCTGCCAATTCTTACCAGATCCAATTCCATGGTGGATTACGGGCAGCGGGAATCGCGAGAACTCACAAGAACCCGCAGATTCATGGGCAATGATGCGATAATGAGTTGTCTCTATAAAGACAGACACATAGACATATAAGCAGTAGATTGTGTCCTTCCAGAGGAGGAAATCTACTTCTAGACTTCTAGAATCAGCATCTCCTCATCCATGGTGTCATCGGGGTGAAATGACGTCTAAAAACCTTTCACTTGTTCGTCTCCGCCCGTTTGCATGGTGTGAAATACGATCCTCCTGAAACACGGAGTGTTTTATTTTGAAAAGAAGCCGGATGTTTTATTTTGTGTCTGTGCCCGACTTCCTTTCCAGCACGGGTTAATCTGTGCTGAATTTATCCGCCATGCTCCGGCGTCCAGAAAAAATAAAACTCTTGTGATCAGCTGAGGAGTCTGGCGAAAATTGACACGTTAACGTGAACAGAAACGATCAGCTACGATTGACGGATACGGCCTTCTCGCCGCTGTTCCGGATGCGGTGGAAATTGGGGGTCACTCTCTTCTCACTACTGCCAGCCTAACATTTTAAGTTTGTTTAGTTGGGGACTAAATCTGTTAAAACAATGGGGAACAATGGTCGCCATGAAAGTTTATCATTCAGACAAAAATGATTCCATAGAGAGTGTAGTTGACTGCGTGATTTGTTAACCAAGTGATTCAGGCGTCGGCACGTGTGGTCCCTCTATCACCAGCTGCATGCTATGCTATGAAGTGAGACACGAACAAATCACTTGAGGAAATGATTCGGTTCAGTACGTCCACTTAAAAGATTCGGTTCTTTTGAACGAATCATTGGCGAACAACACAATGCCAATCTGACATGAAACCACTGTACAATGAAACAGACAGAGCTGTAATGAAGAGTTCAACCTGTTCATCGTCTCTGAAGTTAACACCTCTGCCAAGGTTTGACTCACGCCTGCAGAGAGGAAGTGGGCACCTTCATCTTCACCCAAACACACATGAAAACAGAGAAACACACACACACACACACACACACACACACATAGACCTTTTACACACAGGCGGCGCTGAAATAACTCGTGTTGTGACCGTCAAACTCCGAGCAGAGTCTCCGGGTGCAGATGATAGAGTTGCCAAAGGATCTGTCTGGACTTTCTGCTTACCACCTACACAGCATATGGTGCTGGCTGATAACTGAAGCACATATTAATAAGCCTGCAGCATGTTAACGAGGGAAAAAAAAACATGACCAGACGCACTAATGAATGTGTCCAACAGCAGCAGCAGCAGCAGGTGAAGGCAGAGCGCAGAGAAATGTACGTGGGAGAGGATTTATCGTCCGTCTCTGAATAACTGAAGACTCTCACAGATTCACAGAGACACAGTCAGTCCCTGTTGTCTCCTTTGAATCACTCGTCCTCATATTTGCTGGCCTGGCGTTGGATGAGGCCTAAGGCCTGTCCACCGAGCGCCTCATAAAACGTTGACCACAGCTGGCCTTGAGCTGACACCGATCCTGAGCGATTAGTGGTTAAACTGGGCCGTGGTCAACATCTCCAACTGTGCTATGAATCCATTTGCAGTTGTGTTTTAGATTTTCTCGCACATTTCACGGCCGGAGTCTCCAATTAGACCCAGAAACGCAGGAGGAGGTTTTCTCACGTTTCCTGGTTTCCCACATCATCTCGTCTCTTCATTTTGCAACAACAGATCTGCTCTAACCTGCAAAGTAATAATAATAAAAATACACCAAACCTGACAGGACTTTTTAGGAGATTTGAGTCCGACACGGATTTCTCAAGAAGATTTTACAAACGCTGCACACGTCGCATGTTCACTAACAAGACGGCATCTCGATCCCTGCTGAGATTTTCTCCAATCAGAGTCCCGGAGGAATTTTAAAGTGAAAAACAAACAGTGTGAGACAGAAGCAGATGTGGTTATTCATGCAGTCACCCAAACGTTCATCATGAGTCCGACAACACTGTCTTTAAGTCTCCGTCCCAGTGTCTCAGCGACAGTGACTCAGCTGCTGCAGACGTCGAGGAGTGCGCCGCTTGATTCCTCGTAACACGGGAATGAAAATAAATGTCTGCAAGTGCATACCAAGAGGTCCAGAGGTCGCTGAGGAAGTGCGCTGTCTTATTAAAACATGTAACCTTTGGCTTGTAACATATGTTGAATTTTTACCACTTGGATGTGTCGGACGGAAACATCTGCTGTGAATCTGAATCCGTGTCCTGGATGTCCTTGGACTTTTTCTGATGCATTCCCTCATTTCACAGTCGACCCACCACACTGTCCTTCGAACACCCTCGGACATCCACCATCATCATCATCCGCCCTCCTCCTCCTCCTCCTCCTTCTCCTCCTCCTTCCTTACCTGCAGGACCTGAGCTCATTGTTTTTGCCCTGCTGATTAACCTCTCCCCGCCGCAGGGCTCGTCTCACGTCGGGCTGTGGGTGGATACGGGCTGTACCGGCACCAAAACACGGCCGGCTTTTTCTAATGAGTTCCAGCCGCTCAGGGCTGCAGGAGAGTCAGCCTGCTGTGATTGGCACCTGTTTAGGAGGACAGTGTGTCTGTGAGAAAGCAGAGTTTAGCTGTGGGAACACCGAGTCCATCCCACTGCAATCAACAAGAGGAGAGCGAGGTCAAATCGGACGAAGTCGGAGGAAACTGTGGTTTGTTTTGATATACAAACACTCCAAGGTAACTCTCCGTAGTTTAGCTGTCATGCCATGAAATCTTAACTGGGTAATTAATGTACGCTAACGGCTAAATTCCACAGGATAGGGAACGTCTGCGCTCTGCCCCAGAACGGTAACCTGATCAAATATGCAAGCATTATAATAAATGAACATGATTCCACACAATGCGCCCGCTGTCCGGCTCTGCTGTGGATCCGCTCCGGTGGTCGGATCAGAAACGCAAGGCTTCTATTTATGCCGGACGCCGCAGCACAATGCATCAATTCAAGGCAGCAGAAGTTGTATGCGGCAATATCCGGTTACTTTTCAGAATAAAATAGAGTCAATACATTGAACTGTTCTTCACATGATAATGGGAGGGGCCAGAGTTGTTGGATGTGGGTGTTTATATACACCCCGGATCTCATTCAATGTCTCCCGATGAAACATGTCAGATCTTGTCCAGTCTCACGAGAAATATCGGTAACATCGCAAGCGCTTCTCCTCCGCTGGTGGCAGCGGATCGGATCTGGTAGGCACTGTTATGGTAGCGTTTTTGATCCGCCTGACGTTCCGGAGCGTAGTGGATCTGCATGCGGTGGAATCTCGGTGTAAGTGTTGTACCTGCGTGCAAACCTGTTGTATCGTATGTCTTCATGCCCTGGAGTTTTTGATCTTTACTCCAAGTTTGACATGCATGTAGAAAAGTTCATAAATGCTATAATTCTGGTGCGTGAAAATCCTCCTCATGCAAAACACAAACAAAGGCTGTTTCAGAGGAGTGCAGGTCCGCACTCGGACTGACCCCTACCCCCCACCACCAGTGGATCCAGACTGTAAAAATAGTCCGTCTCTATGTTCATGGTCTGGTTAGCTTTTAAGCCTCATGCAGAAACATCAGCGTTAGTTTCAGTCCGTTTTGTAACCTCTTAAAAACTCTTCAGCATAACTAAGACGATGTATGTGACAGCGGGGGCGAACAAAACACAAAGAACTTGTTTTGAGCGTTTTCCATTTCCTCAAACTCGGTGTGATTCCAGCTCGGAAAAGAGCAACTGGGTTTCATCCTTAACCTTTAACTTTGACGTTGAATCGGAGCAGAGATCCTGTAAGAAACACAGACTTTTAAAGTCAATAATTCCTGCTGAGTGCGGTTGTGTCGGGGGCCTGTCTGTCTCTCGGTTTTTTCCTCGCCGTGGTCAGGCAGCTGTTCTGGGGCAGACGGGTGTAACAACAGCATGTCTGCTTTGTTTTGGGAAATGAGGCACGGGTTCACGCCGATGGCCCCGTGCAGCAGCAGCAGCAGCAGCAGCAGCAGCAGCTTGCGGCCCGTGCCAGGCTCTCAGGTTAGACGTGTCCGCCTGCTGCCTGTTCACCCTGACAGGACCTCCCCCAGCAGGACTGATGCTGCACATAATGGGAAATCAATTCTATTTTTGTTGCCTGGGTAGGTGGGCTTAAGGAATAATTACTCAGTCAAGAAGTGGGAGACAGGGGGGAGAGAGGGAGTCTGTCCTCACAGCTTATCCACCGTGGTCTTCCTGCTTCCTTGCTGATGTGAAACCAATACCATTATCCAGTTAAATCCTCCATGGACCGCTCCGGCTCTGTAAGAAAAACAGCAGTGAGCGGCTCGCCATCGACGTGTGGAGCTCCTTAATGAGATTCCTCGGGGTGCATTCGGCGAATGGCGGGATGTCATGATTCTTTTAGTGCGGATTCTTTCTGTCCTGCTCCTGGGTCTGCAGGGAGGAAACAAATGATTACACACTTAGAGACCCCGGTGCTCTTACCAGGACACTTCATTTGTATCCGTCAGAGCCCCAAACCCCCCACAGACAGAGAGACAATGGGCTGATACACAGATATGCAGACGGACAGACAGACAGGTGGACTTAAGAGTTCAGTGATCCCCCCCCTCAGCTGGACTACAACTGGTCCAAGTCTGGATTCATTTGTTGCTAGGAAACAGGTAAACAAACCAAAGCAGAAGAGAGGATCTAAAAACAGAGAAAGCTATTGTTTCCCATGAGATGTCAAGTGTTCAACCCGTTAGCCTCTTGCTAACAGGTTTGTTTGATTGTTTTGGTACAGGACATAAAGGGTCAGCGAGCGGTCAACAAGCTGACGCCAGCAAGATGACCTTAAGACCTTGACCTCCAATTTCCACCGCATCCTGAACGGCTCAGATCCGGAACGGTCGCAATTTCCACCGTCCACCAATTCCTACTGGATCCATTTGTGAGGCGAATTTCGTGGCGGATTACGGAATCGCGAGAACTCACAAGAACCCGCAGATTCACATGCAATCGCACGAGGAAATCTACTTCTAGACTTCTAGAATCATCATCTCCTCATCCATGGTGTCATCGGGGTGAAATGACGTCTAAAAACCTCCGCCCGTTTGCATGTTTGCAATGTTTACGATCAGCTACAATCGATGGATACGACCTTTTCATGGACGTTACGGATGTGGTGGAAATTGGGGATAAGAGGAGGTCCATCCAGTCATCGGGCTCTGAATCCCTCTGAACTCAGTGACTTTTTTTCATCCAGATGAGATACAGATGCTGGATCAGTACATAATGCTTTGTTGCCATGTCAACCATCCAGTCACTGAACTCTAAAAGGACAAAAAGGTGATACTGGCTTGAAATCCTGTGACCGTCTTTCTCACCCCTAACTCCTCCTGTCCGGTCCAGACCTCCCCTCCTCTGCTCTCCCACTCCTCCCCTTTCTCCCAGACTGCCTGCATCACAGCAGGCCTGAGCATCCTTTGTGAAAAGTGTGAAAAAAACACAATGAAGGTTTAAAATGACTGAGCTCGGGGTTGAAATCTGGATGCATCTTTCCCCAACCCAATTAACACGGAGTCAATAGAGAGCAAATTAAAAAGGCCCCGGGCGCCGGACCTCGCCAGAAAATGCCAACGGAATCAAGACGGTCAAGGCCGGCACAAAGGCACAAGCCCCCTGGATCGGACCAATCCTCCTGAGCCGCCCTGATTAAAGCACGGGGAGATTATTTAGGACCTCTTCTTTCACGGGGAGGCTAAATGAGGGGAGAGGGTATCCATTCAAGCGGGGCAAAGGGTTGGGAAAAATGGCCGACTCCGGGTTGGTAACCATTGAGGCTGCTCACTGAGGTGTGAACGTCCCACCTCCCAAAGACAACATCCACAGTGGGAAAAAATCTCAATGAAAATGGAAGACAACTGTGGTTCAAGACAAACATTGGGGAGAAGCAGACTGTCCCAACATGTTCCCACTCCCAACCGGACAAAGAGAGACGCTTAGACGGTTTAAAGACTTTGATCCTGCAGGGATCCACGGTTCGGTTACTGATAACACAACACTTAACATTCATAAAGACCTGATTTGACTTCTCTTTAGTTTTTATTCCAGTATATTTCTGCATCCAACCCGAACAGAAAACTGTAGTTATGACTCATACAGATATCATTTAAATAAATAAAACAGTGTGCATGCATTTACTCTGTAGTTTTGTGTTGCTAACTTGTGCAAAATCACCCTTTTTTCATGAACAGTATACAACTTCAACAACAACATCAGAACTACAAATTTCACCCAAACACGCCCCCCTCCCAGAACAAACCCCATATGCCAACGCTTACCTACGTCACTAAAAAAATATATAAATAAAACTAAATAAATAAAATAAAATAAATAATAATAATTATAATAAAAATAATTATAATATTAGTAATGACATATAAAAGAAAATTCAAATATAAATAAATAAAAACATACATTAAAATAAAATAATAATAATATTAATAATAATATATATAACAGAAAATACAAATGTAAATAAATAAAAATATTAAATACTACTACTAATTATAATAATAATAATAATAATAATAATAATAATAATAATAATAATAATAATAATAATAATAATTAATTAATTAATTAATTAATTAATTAAATAAAAAAAATAAAAAATGAAAAAAATAAATAAAAGTTACAGCAAAATACACGCAGCAAAGGATCAAGACATTGTCAATAGAAAAGCTCAGCTACTCCTGCAGATGTGCAACAACCTACCACCACAACAACATTGATGGTACTCATCTAGTTATCTGTGAAATGTTATCCAGATATATTTTAAAGTCACTCCAGCATTTGTCAAAAAGAGCAAAATCACTTCCTCATGTTGGGGTCCAGCCCAAGTCTCATAGCTGATATACTTTAGAGGCCCCAGTCTGGACCAGGACTCAAACCAGGAACCATCTTGTTTTAGGCAACATTTCACCACCCTGAATGCTGGAGGAGAGATTAAATTAAGGGTCAGAGTGACTAATCGGCCATATTTGATCATCTGGGTCTCTTGTTGTCATGTTTAGACGCAGCTTTCTTTATTCTAACTGTAATAACTCAATCATATTTTGCACTCAGCAGATGAGCTGGATTTATTCTAATACATTTTTGTGTACATGTCCCCGTGGAAAATATGCCGGATCCTGATGGCGGTAATCCCGCTCATCTGTTCCTGTGTGCTCATTATGCTAAGAATCATTTTCAAATACCACACGAGTCCGGAGCAAGCAGCCAGGTTCCTGTTAATGGATTCTTGACCTTTATATGGAGAGTTATACAGGGAGAGTCTGATTCTCAGAGGCCGAGTGAATATCTCACTATCCTCTTTCTTACTACCCTCATAATTAGGTCCCTTCACTCGTCTAACCACCTACATCGTGTGACTCCCCCTCGTCCAATTTAGTCACAGCATGTCAGACTGGAGGTTAGAAATCCCCCGTCCCGTCACAGGACCTCTGGTAGATGATCCGCCCTCATTTGAGCCATAGAGCCCTGTGGAGACACCTTTCAGTGGGCAAAGCTTTCTCCTGGCAAGATGTGAAGCAGCGAGGGAGCTAAACTAATTACAGCCGGTCCTGTCTCCTGCTCCGTCTAAGCCGGGGGTTTACCCGGCACAATGGGGCCTTTAGCTGAGTGCCTCTCCTCTTTTAGCTCCACGGTTTGGAAGCACATGGGTCCACAAAAGGACTTCCATTAGTGTAATTAGAGGTAAAATGAAGTGCAGTTTTGGCCTAAGTTGTTTGGCGTGTTATTCGTCTGTCTTTTCTGTGTCATAGAGGGACCTCTGGATTCTCCGAGTGCTTCTGTGGAGCACTCGGGCGATAATGAAATGTACCCAAGCCTGGGGAGCTGTGTACGCTGAGGGCTCTCATACTGTTTGTTTTCCCTTTTGTGTGTCGATGCGAGAAGAAAATAAGTTCATCTTATCTCCATGGCAACCGGCTCAGAGTGATTTGTGAGGGAGAAATTATACCTTAAAAAATGTCCTCCTGAACCTTCGCTCTGGGTGAGGTTTAAAAACATGAAGCCTCTCGACCGTAGAGTCGGGGCTTAGCTTTGATATTAAAGTTTGTATTTGACAAAAAAAACGTCTGAGCCGAGTCCGAACACCGGAGCTGGAGTCGATATTAATGGATAGAAAGTTTAGAAAGTTCGGAAAGTTGTTGGCTTATATCTCAACAGTCAATGATGAGGAAGCAGCAGCCTCACCCCCAATTTCCACCGCATCGGGAACGGCTACGAAAAGGACGTATTTGCTGATCGTAACCATTCAAGTTAACGTGTCAGTTTCTACTGGCTTCTTGAATTATTTCCAGGCCACGGTGATTCACCATAAAGCAGACAATGAATCCACTCTGACAGCGCTCTCCCAGTCTGAGCGGACTGTGAGCCTTTATTCTGAGAGCGTCATCACAAATCAGGGTTCGAAGCTGCAAATGATGACTTTGAGAAGAATCATTAGGAAGGAGGGAGGTGAAAGTTAACTCAACATCCCATCCTGCATTTTAGAGTTTGGCATAAAGATTCGAAAACACGTCTGAGGCCAAAACTAACACCTCGGGGTTTAGCATGTTCTGGAACGTCATGTGTGGTTGTCACAGATGAGCTGGCTTCATGTTCTCAGAGACCGGACCGTTGGTGTGATACCCGCCGAATGAAGGACTTTTACTCTACTCCTAAAAACTGAGGATGCAGCATCTATGATTTCCAGTTCTTCATTGAAAGAACAACCGGACTGACTTAAGACGTTTCACCTAACCCCCAATTTCCACTGCATCTGATCGTCTCCTAAAAGGTCGTATCCTCCGATCGTAGCTGATCGTAACCATTCAAGTTAACGTGTCAATTTACACCGACTTCTTTCTGTTCCTCTGCGGATCGCCGGACTCCTCAGCTGATCACAAGAGTTCTATTTTTTCCGGATGCCGGAGCATGGCAGATAAATTCAGCACAGATTAACCGGTGCTGGAAAGGAAGTCGGGCACAGACACAAAATAAAACATCCGGCTTCTTTTCAAAATAAGAGATGGAGACGAACAAGTGAAAGGTTTTTAGACGTCATTTCACCCCGATGACACCATGGATGAGGAGATGCTGATTACTCCTCTGGAAGGTCACAATCTATATGTCTATGTGTCTGTCTTTACAGAGACGACTCATTATGGCGCGATTGCACGTGAATCCGCGGGTTTTTGTGAGTTCTCATGATTGAAATTCGACTCACAAATGGATCTGGAATTGGTACTGCAAAAATTGCCGGCATTCCACATTCGAGTGGTTCCGGATGCGGTGGAAATACAGGGTCACTGCAACGCATCTATGCTATTTGACCAGTGCGCAAAAACTGGAGCATGTGCAGAACGCTTCGGCCAGGTTCAGTCCAACGAACCTGTAAACATGATGGAGACAATCGTTCCTCACCTGCATTATCAAGGTATGTCTGTCCGACTATGAGAAATTTGATTTAGTGCGATCGAGGTCAGACAGATTGATGAGGCAGCTAAAGTCCTGTCACCTCTGGTCTTTATTCTGGACTTTGGAAAGGGGACCCCACACTGGCTACTGGTCAGGGTGCAGTAAGAAGGTGGTTCGTTTTGTGACCCAAACTGGTCTTGATCACAAACTGCAGAACCTGTATCTTGACTCTGCAGACCTCTCTCGGTGTTTAAGCTGCAGGTCTTTACAGCATTAACTTAATGGTGGAGCTCAATACTGAGTAACCCGAGTTACCCCCACCCTGGAGACCTGACCTGGGCTGAGTGATGGCCCCCCTCCAAACACTGACCTTGGCCTGGGTGCACAGCGGACGGATGGTGGAGCTCACGACCTGCAGGTGTGAAAAGACGCCGCCTGTAGGGGATTCGGGGGCGCTTGAGACCCTCCCTGTTTCTGTATCGAGTTACTGATGGAGGTGCTGCTGTCAAACATGTTTACATTCAGTTAAGACTTGGTGACCTGTCAGGGCTAAAGAGCATTTCTACTGCTGCGGAGGTGGAAACATTAAAAACTGAGGACGGTTTTACTTTGGTGTCAAATCTACCGGAAAAGAAAGAGTCGGACACAGGAGCGGGTAAAATTAATGCTGCACATCTGTTAAAAAGCTATCTAAGCTCTGCAAACATGCTAAATGTTGAGTTCACACAGATTTTTAGAGATATGAAGCTTTTGCAGATGCTTTACCCTCAATACCTTTATTTATCCCACAGTGTGGTCCTGTTGTAATAGAATAAATTAATCAGCCGCTTTAAAGGAAACAGAAAAAAAAAAAACAGTTTGTCCGCTTACAGGTGCCAGTCCCCGTCAGTGAAAGACTGTTTTTCAGCAGTTTCAGTGTGTTTTGGATCGCCTGCCTGTAAATAAACCACATGACGACGACGACGGGAGTGCAATGCTGTTTCCATAGCAACAGGTAGCAAACCAAAGTCAGTCAAGCGAGTGTTTGAGCGACAATTACGGCGTCTGTTAGAGCATCAAAGACCTTCATGAGAGCGTCCCCGTCACCCTGACAGGCCGCCGCTTTGGTCCTCGCTCCTCTTAAAAGGAAGGTGGAAAATGTCTGAGGACTCAAAAACAGGATTTCAATTTTCCAGCCTCGCTCTCCTCTAATTGCATTTCTTCTTACGAGCAGCATTAGTGCCTTTTAACTTGAAAACCTCAGTGTGAGTTTTTTTCTTTATCTTCTTCTCTTTGTTGTTTTTTTAAATTAATTAGCAGACCTTCATCGTCACGCAGCGAGGTTGGAGGAGCTCGGCGGTCTATTAATCCATCCATGACATTAATTCTCTCGCTCCCCTCTGCCCTCAGAGCCCAATCCACTTCATTAGCCCGTCCTCACTCGGAGCACCCAGAGAAATATGTTTCAGGGAGATTTGTTGACAAGTTTGGAGACGCTCGGTTATTTCTGTGGGTTTTAGCGACCCTCTGAGTCTCTACTCTCTGCAGCTTCTCGTCGTATCTGCGGTGATTGTCTGGAGGCTCTGCACTGATTCCAATAACTGATGTAAAAGAGACTCGGCTGGAGCAGAACACAACAAAAGAATCATTTGACTCGTCACCTCTGGGCGCCGCAGGACGACAGGTAATTTCACAGAGTATTTACCAGATAAACCTGTGTTGTTTTACTGAGCGCATTATCAACAGACGCCTCCGCGCCGCAATCTCTTCTCGGTGTAAATTACACTGTCCAATCTGTGAGTATCTGCATTCATCTGAGAGAGTTTGGGGAATTCAGCCCAGATTAGAGTTTGGAGAAACGATTCCTGCTCCTGGCAATCGTGGGACACGGCTCGTTAGCATGTTAAAAATGATGCTGACATGTTGCTAAAACCTTCATTTATTCAGACAATAACAAAGTTGAATATTAGTCGATTATGTGAACCAACAGAAGGGGATGTGTAGACGTCTGTGTCACGACTGCAGATCCAAATAGAAAAACACAGATGAAAACACAAAGCACTGAGTGACTTTAGAGTCCAATTTTGTGAAGATGCAGAGAAACCGGTTTTCAGAAATATCCACGTATGTGCGGACAGGGCCAAGGACGCCAGTGTGGGATTCATGAGGACACCTGTCTGCACCCTCGCTTATGAAGAGGTTTCCAGTCCTACCCCCAATTTCCACCATCTACTGGAACGTCTACCAAAAGGTCGTATCCTCCGATCGTAGCTGATCGTAACCATTCGAGTTAACGTGTCAATTTACACCGACTTCTTTCCGTTCCTCTGCGGATCGCCGGACTCCTCAGCTGATCACAAGAGTTCTATTTTTTGCTGGAAAGGAAGTCGGGCACAGACACAAAATAAAACATCCGGCTTCTTTTCAAAATAAAACACTCCGTGTTTCAGGAGGATCGTATTTCACACCATGCAAACGGGCGGAGACGAACAAGTGAAAGGTTTTTAGACGTCATTTCACCCCAATGACACCATGGATGAGGAGATGCTGATTCTAGAAGTCTAGAAGTAGATTTCCTCCTCTGGAAGGACACAATCTACTGCTTATATGTCTATGTGTCTGTCTTTATAGGGACAACTTGTTATCATGTGGTTGCACATGAATCCGCTGGTTCTTGTGATTCCTGGTGTCCGTAATACGCCACAAAATTCGCCTCACAAACGGATCCCGTAGGAATTGGCGTTCCAGATGCGGTGGAAATCCCGGGTTAAAGATGATTATTTTCCTCCCAAATTGTCAATCACTGCACAGTGTGAAAAGTAAAAGAAATCGATGTTGTTTATTTTTGGTTTATTTTTGAGATTTTTTTAAGCGATTACTAAAACCTCGTCTTCCTCACCTGAGGAGAAACATGACGTCTTCATGACGGCCTCTGTCACCCGTGCTCCTCACATTTGTCTGAGGCCTCCTCCCAACATCCCCCTTCGGTCTGAGCTCACTTTGTTCCTGAGGAAACAGGTGATGAGTGAACAGGCTGGATGAGGAGGAGGAGGAGGAGATGACGACAAGGTCCCCAGACACGTTTTTAATCAGACCTCCTCCTCTGGGACCAAACTTCTCGGAGACTCAGATCTACACCTCTAGAGCCGCCCACCCCTCTGGACCCCGGCGCTGACGGACGTCCAGGTGGTGGACCGCTGGGGGAGAAAAGGCCCCGCAGCAGATGGACGAAGGACCCTGAAGCCGTCAGAGGGAGTGTGAGACGCAGCACAGCTGACGGGGGGCGAATGAGGCTGTCATCAACGCCGTTACAGCCAAATATGGACGCCTGCTCCTCCGTGTTAATGACTGTCCATGAGAGTTAGAGTGAAAAGTCAAGAAGCGCTCTTATTTCAGTCGCTCAAATCTGTTTTTAAAGGGACATTTCAGCATTTTAGAGCGATGTATGAGTCACACGTCACTAATGAAGGTTTTAACAGCAGTGGATATCAGTCGGCTTTGATGGGACACTGTTGGGAGGAACCGCGTGCAAGCTAGGCTACACCACCTCCACCTGCAGCAGGACCAGCTAACCAGGTCACTGATGTGTAACCCCTGTCCCATGAGAAGTAATAGGGCTGTTGTTGTTTAGTGGGACGGGGCCCGAGTTCGTCTGGCACTACCTGTGATGACAGTATATAAAATATTGTGGTGGTAAAAAGTAAACACTAAAGGTGGTACTTTCCCTTTAAAAGTCACTTAAACCTGTTTATATTGATCCAAAATATATATAAATATAAATATATATTTTTAGTTTTTAGTGCTGCTTTTATACTTGCACTATACTGGGGCAGCTGTAGACCCTTTCAACAGTTTATTTTTTTAATATTGACATTTGTATTGAGTGACATGACTGCCACTTGTTTCACAGAAAGCAAACAGTTTGTTATTCTCCAGTGCAGAGCCTTTACTTTGATTTATACAGCCGCTTTATTTCATTTGAGTTTATTTATTCAAAGTTTTCAAAAATTTGTTGAAGGTTCAGAAAAATTAAAGATATTTATCTTTGAAGCCACATGTGTAAGCTCTCAAATACTTCTTGAATGTTGTTTCTATCTGCTACAAACGCTGAGATATCAGCTTATTTATAAACCTCAGGATCTGGGGGCCCTTCTCAAAGTGGCCCTCAGGGTTTCAGAGTCTCAGACTGGGTTCAGGTCTTAGTGGGTTAAATCAGCATAAACAAAAAAGGCATGTGCAAAGTGTTAATTGTACTCACGAATCCACACAGTCAGAGATGAAGATGGGAAAAAGGAGCAGATGTGCAGTTTCAGCGGTTAGTGAATGGAGCGTACAGCAACACGGGGCGGCAAACTGCGCTGAAGTCCAGCACGGTCCAGGTCGGTCCTCACTCTCTCTTCCTCTGATGGAAAATGTCTGCTCCTAAATCACACAATCACTCTTAGTAAATAAGTTACAGGCTCATTCATGGCAAAAGAAAAACCCAGAATGTCTCACAAATTAGCAATAGCTAACGACAACGCAGAATAAACAGTGAAAGCCTATGGTGAGGCTAAGCTAAAGGCTAGCAGTGATTAGTGATTCAGTTAGCTTTTTACGCATTACAAATTAACCACAGTACCGAGCAAATCAATACACATGAATTTACCTCTGACAGATTCCCAGAGTTCACTCACATCAGCCACAGGAAGTTAGGAGTGTTTCACTTTTACAGCTTAGAGACTTCCTGCTCTCATGAGGAGAAAACTTCTTCTTCTTCAATGGAATTTATTGGCAGTTGGCAAACCAACTTGAAGGTGCATTACTGCTACCTACTGGTCTGGAGTGTGGAACAGTAATTTGGTAGACAAAAACCTAAATAAGGAAATTAGATCCCTGTATTTTTCAAATATGCCATTAAATGCTTCAGTGTAACTTCTGACTCTGCTCCGAGCAGGTTCCCCATATTAAGTTCCATCCTGACTTCCTCTGCTGCTGCTGTCTGTGTCCTTCTTTCCTCCTCATATCCTCCACAATCCAACAACACATGCTGGACAATCTCTTTTCTTCCTCTTTTGATTTCACCTCTTTTATTCTGCTGTTTGACATTTATTCTTGTCGACCTTTGGTGTGAAATCTTCACTTTTTCAGAGTGACCAAACATCCTCTTTTACCCGGACATGTCCTCATTTTGGGGGGCTGTCCGGCCTTGTCCGGGGGAGTTTATAAAATCCTTCAGATGTCCGAGGTTTTGTTTGGAAGTTTTGAGTTTGTGTAGCGTGGATGAACTAACTAACTAACTAAATTTGCTACACATGACTCCTGACTAGTCGTGTCCTCTTTTTAGAGATACAGAATATGGTCACCCTAACTTTTTAAAAGGTGCTAAATACATAAAATTATTATTACTGTTGTGAGGGTAGAGGACATGACTGTAACTCTGACCTGTTTGGTGGATTCAGGACAAAAATATTAACACTTGTTGGGAGTTAGCGGGTTGTTTTAGCATCAATTTATACACTAATATATTTATTTTGTCTCGCCTCTGAGTTAAGAGAAACATGCATTTAAACCCTGAATGTGTTTCTTCTTTATAAACTAAAACCTCCTCATTCAGACTCTCATCCATCATTAAAAAAAACGTCATAAACAACAGGAAACAATTGTCCTTTAGTTTGAACCTCTGCAGCCGCCGACCGTCTGTGAACCTGGTCTGTGGCGGAGAAATGTCGTTATTGTCAGAGTCTATTAGACCTGACTTCCACTGATGTTTAGCATCCATTTGTGCTCTGAATACTGTCGTTTTTAATAAGCTTGCTGGGAAGCATAAGAAGAAAATGTACAATGATAAGTTAATTAAATTTGAAACATTACAGATCGTAATCATCGACTCGGGAAAAAACTAAACAGTCATTTTCTGTCCATGCCCACTTAGACAGAAAGAGGGAAACGCGTGTATTTCAATTACTTGAAAGGTTCATCTTCCCGAGGTTCAAAGGGAAAAGCTGAGGCATTTTAAATTAGACATGGGGCCTTCTACTTCTTGACTAGTTTTATCAGTAATTACATTACTCATCTCCAAATCACACCCTCATCATGCTTAATCGAGCAAAAATTGGACACAGAAGAAAAATAATGACGGCGCCCTTTTCCATCAAAGAAATCCATTTATAAAAACAGCAGACATGTTCGTGGTTTTCCCCTCTGCCGGCTGAGAACAGTTCAGACTTTTTTTTTCCATCCAAGGACACTCGCTCGCTCATTTCTCTGCAGACTGAACTCCTGTGAAGATGTGAGGGGACGTTTTTTCTTTTGTGGCCACCCACAGGTACACTGTCCGACTCTTAATAGCATCAATGAAATATTAAAGACCGGAGTTACTTTTAATGAACTTCTTTGAGGCTTTACTGTCTGATCACTTTATCCCATATTAATAGTTTTAATAACTTTAAAAGAGAAATGTGTCCTGATCCAGGAAGAGTTCATTTAATTATGCTTTTGACTGAAAGTGTCTGGAGATGATGATACTCAGAAACAGCACCAGACTCTGGAGGGGGAATCGTCGCATCCAGTTGTCCTTTCAACAAAGAACGGGAAATCATAGATGCTGCATCCTCAGTTTTAAAGGGTCATGGCAGTTTTCCCATAGTTTTCTTTTCAGACAATGCTTTTATTTTGAAGGATCACCCAGGTCAAGAAGAAACTTGCAAAGATCTTCAAAGAAGTTGTTGCAATCACGTTGACTTCGGGTAATCTACATCAGCAATTAAAGGTGGCGTAGGCAGGAATCCGTTAAAGATGCATCTTTTTTTGTGGTGTATTTAATATCAGTCAATAGTTATTACTTATTGATGACATTTGGTAATATATCGATATCTCTGTGTTCTCTCTCTGACTGTAAACAAAGCCGTTCTCCACCTCCTCTAACCTGATTGGTTGTGAGGCAGACGCTGCTCCCCCGTGTCGTTCAGGAGCCCAAACAAAGTTAGCGTGCTACAATATCGGACAGTAGAAACCAACCAGAAAGTTCGGAAAATTGTCTGAATCCTCCTTTGGCCACGACTGCCGACACAAGCAAGAAAACAAAGTAAATACCGGAGACTCTGGAGGAATAACGGGCGCTTAAAACGGAGGTAGACCGGACAAGAGCTAAAAAGCCGGGTCAACATAAACGATGGGGGACGCTTGGGGATCTTGGTGACCCTGTAACCTTTCTGCTGGACAGGTAAACCGCTTTAACAAAGTAAGACAAGTGTCTGTAACAGAAGTGTTTCTTGTCAAACGGACCTGCTGTAGCGTGTTGTAGCGCCATCGCTAAACTGTCCTCCCTCGGGTCCTGGACTATGTCACTTTATCCTCGTTGTAGAAGTCCTGCAAACATTGTGTTTGCTGGTAGTCTGTTGGCATCTACAGTAGCACCAATGCTTTTGACTTTCACCTTGACTGGGCCCCATTTGTAATGATCTGAAGTATTTATCTGCATTATATCTGAATTTAATTGGAACGATACGAGCGAGCAGGAGCGTCTGTTTGTCTTCCTTGGCGACCGTCTTTGTTCTCCTCTCTTTGCTCAGCTTGAGTACCTGAAAAAACCCCAAAAGGTTCGCTAACATGCGTCAAAATCTACATAATTTTACCGATCAAATAACAGCAGATATAACGCCATCCAATTTCCCGTCTTCAGGGGTCAGATAAGTACACTTGGTATCCCAACAGAAGGGTCCAAAAACAGTCATACGGTTCCTTTCCAAACATTTTAAAGTTAAAATAAATATATTTATATGTAATGAGATTTTCCTGGAGTTACTGCATCAAACAAGTGTTTCTGTTCAGGTTATAACTTGTGTTTTATAATGTTGGCATCTGCGCTGGGACAGGAGCAGCAGCCTCTCGGGTAAAATGAAACAGCTTTCATTTAGTCATGCAGACCGACAGGAGGATTTATGTCCACGCATTAAACTCTGTGCAATGTACTTATGCAACTAAACTGCTGAGAGACCTGCATGCAAGTGCAAAGCAATAGGTGTAAATTCCCCCTCGCTGTTGCAGTTACAAGTCAGCTTTTATCCCGACGCTTTACGCTGCAAACCTCCTGGAAGAAGATGTGCTGAGAACGTGGAAATAATCTTTGTATTCAGAAAAATGTCAGCTGATGAGAGGACAAAAAAAAAAGCTGAATCTGTGTCCTCTGTCAACCCAAAGATCATTAAGTGAAGAGTCCTGGACCGACATGACGTGTCTGCAGAGCTGACGTGTGCAGGAATCGCACCTGTCTGACCTGTGGGCTCCATTTGAGGGGTAATTAGTGTGAAATAAGAGAGGTCAACGATAACAGGAGGTTAGTGAGGGAGAGGAATGAGACGCTAACAGGAAAATTGGCGACGGATAAAGGATCAATTTCTAAACTTAAGGAGACTAATAATGATTAAAATAGACGATGAAGAGAGCTGTAACGGTCATTCTTGGTCTGAAAACATGAATTCGTTTTACTCCCTCTGTTTACATTCATGGTGTCTCCTACGATGTTCTGCTCTTACTCATGTGAACTGAGGCGAGATTCCACCTGGACCATGTCGGCTCGTAGCCACTGGAACATAACTAGCTCCATCACACCCTCATCTGTCCCTCAACCACAGCTGCCAAGACCCTGTGATCCTTTGTCCCCCCCGAGTCCCTGAGACCACAGCTCCTCTGTTTGTCAGTGTGTGAGGGGGCGGACGGTGAACTACCAGACACCTCTGCCTCCTCCTCCTCCTCCTGCACCTGCGCCCTGCAGAAAATCCTCGGAGAGACCATTACATGATCACGGCTGACAGAGCAGATCCCAGCTCTGCCTCTGAGGCCGGCGACTGTTCACGGTGTGAGGATGAGTGAGCTTTAAAGTTCAGAGAGAGCCAGGAGTCCTGCACGCCACGCCGTCAGGCGGGGAGCTGGATCACACTTACATGAGGAGGAGGAGGAGGAGGAGGCTGATGTCAGGGCTGGAGCATCTGCAGCGAGGCGTCAGGAGGAAACACGGACATGATGGTGATCATGATGCACATCCTCTCTGGCGGACTGTCATTGAGAAAAGAGTCAGACTTCCTGTGAATCACTTTTCTAAGGAACGTGACCCTCAATTTCCACCGCATCCTGTACAGCTACGAAAAGGTAGTATTCTCCGATCGTAGCTGATCGTAACCATTCAAGTTAACGTGTCAATTTCTTTGAGGTGAATTTCGTGGCGGATTACGGACAGCAGGAATCGCGAGAACTCACAAGAACCTACGGATTCATGTTCAATCTCAATATAACAAGTTGTCTCTCTAAAGACAGACACAAAGACATATAAGCAGTAGATTGTGTCCTTCCAGAGGAGGAAATCTACCTCTAGACTTCTAGAATCAGCATCTCCTCATCCATGGTGTCATCGGGGTGAAATGACGTCTAAAAACCTTTCACTTGTTCGTCTCCGTCTCTTATTTTGAAAAGAAGCCGGATGTTTTATTTTGTGTCTGTGCCCGACTTCCTTTCCAGCACGGGTTAATATGTGCTGAATTTATCCGCCATGCTCCGGCGTCCGAAAAAAACTCTTGCGATCAGCAGAGGAACGGAAAGAAGTCGGTGTAAATTGACACGTTAACTTGAATGGTTACGATCAGCTACGATCGGAGGATACAACCTTTTTGTAACTGTTCAGGATGAAGGTGGAAATTGCGGGTTAGGTGAAATGTCTTAAGTAAATCCAGTTGTTCTTTCAATGAAGAACTGGAAATCATAGATGCTGCATCCTCAGTTTTTAGGAGTAGAGTAAAAGTCCTTCATTCGGCGGGTATCACACCAACGGTCCGGTCTCTGAGAATAGAACATGAAGCCAGCTCATCTGTGACAACCACACATGATGTTCCAGAACATGCTAAACCCTGAGGTGTTGGTTTTGGCCTCAGGCGTGTTTTCGAACCTTTACGCCAAACTCTAAAATGCAGGATAGGATGTTGAGTTAACTTTCACCTCCCTCCTTCCTAATGATTCTTCTCAAAGCCGTCATTTGCAGTTTCAAACCCTGATTTGTGGTGACGCTCTCAGAATAAAGGCTCACAGTCCGCACAGACTGGGAGAGCGCTGTCAGAGTGGATTCATTGTCTGCTTTATGGTGAATCACCGTGGCCTGGAAATAATTCATCACAGCGCCGAACCAGCTGTGAAGTGAGAAGTCTGCTGCGGTTGTTATCCCTAAGTGCTCCTCTCCTTTTGTCTGCACGACTCGGCTCGCTCCGGATGGCACCGGCGCTGCAGATCGAGGTCCAGGAAGATAAAGGTCAACCTTTTCTCTTAATTGTTCAAGGCTGAATAAGCTCGCAACTGGTACAGTGAAGGTTGGTTCAAAAAGAGCACCAGCACGGAGAGAAAGCGGCGGCGGCGGTGGTGGTGGTGGAGTGAGAAAGAACATGACGTTTGCTGTTGCATGAGAAGTAGGTGTGTAGTAAGTGTGTGTGAGTGTGTGTGTGTGTGTGAGCACATGTGGTTGTTAAAACTCTCCTCTGTGCAGGCCCTGAAGGTTGGCCCAGACTCTACTGTCATTTCTCATCCTAATGGTTCCTGCCACATCCTCCTGCCAACACACGGCTGGAGAACAACCAAGAGCCAGGAGGAGAAAAGAAAACTCAACAGACGTTCAATCTGTCTCTCTCTCCCTCTCTCTCTCTCTCCCTCTCCCTCTTTCTCTCTCTCTCTGAACAAAAAGTGACTCCTCAGTGTTAAGAATAGAAACTGTAAAGTGAGTACTCCCTTCCCTCACACACACACACACACACACACACACACACACACACACACACACACACACACACACACACACACACACACACACACACACACACACTTACCCTACCAACAGTGGACTATCAGTCCACACTGACCAAGAGGAAACCCCGATTTCTGGTCGTTTTATTAAAACAAAAATATAAAAGAAAAATTTCTTTTAAGGTCTTTTACCAAAATGTTTCTTAAAATGTGACTTGAGTTGTTTTGGGACCTGGATCCTTGAGTGAGATCTACGTGTCTAACAGGGACCTCCATATAAGGCAGTGGAGCTGTCTGAACCCGTCCACACTGATGATGATGATGAGAGCTTGTTTAACACAACGACTTTCTATGTTTCTTTAAAAATGGCTGATTTAACCTAAATGTGATAATTATTTAAACATTTCCCTCTGAGAGAAATATTTAGAAATATTTTAGCTCCAGTCATTCTGTGGATTATATTTTCTTTTAAAGCTGCTCTAACCCTCTGGGGCTCTTAACACATTTTTGTCCATTTTTTTTGTGACTTTTTACTTTTCATTTGGTGATCATTTTGGTTGTTTCAATGCAAATAGGATGATTTTTTCAGGGATTTTTCTTTTCTTTTCAAATTTTTAAACATGACCACCCATTATTTAATCAGGTCAATATTCACTGAGTGACAAAAACACTACACTTTAGGTCCTTAGATGGACAAAAATGTCCATTTCCTAAAAGTGCTATAAAGAATATTATACATCAATATTTTTTCTATTTTTTATTTATTTTTTTTGCTTCTAATCTAAGGACCTAAAACATCAAACATAATACTGCATTAAAATGAAGGTTGTTGGTAATTATTGACACATCATAGACCGAAATTCCTGCTCAACATCTAATACATGCAAAATAACTCCAAATTCCTTTTTTTCCCATTAATAAAAACAATGACATGATATAGTCAAACTGGCATTTAAAGGGTTAAAATTCTGAAAATGAATCAATATTTGATAAATATGATCAGAAATGAAGTTCTTTAAACTTTTTGCTCTGAAGACGTTACAAATTTTACTTTTAGTCTTCAACAGTTTAAACTGTTTGTTTTTGATGTTATCGATGGTCTGATGGCAGAATTTGGATTCAGGTTTGATCACTCTATAAAAACAGTCGGCTAGTTTAAACACTAAAATAAATCCTTAATGGTGTAAAAGCTTCTATATTTGTATTAAAATAACTTCATTTACTGGATAATAATAATAAGACGTTAGAAAAATAGCATTGGTAAAGTCTCCTCTGTGTCCCTGGGAGGGTGTTTGACTTCAGCTTTATAAATGATGTCTGTGTTGTGTTTGATGCATTGTCCTGTGTCAGCAGCTGCCAGCATAAAATCAATTAATTACATATTTTTCATCTCTGTTCAGTTTAATACACCTGGGGTTATTGATTATGGCAAGAGCTGTGATTAGATAAAAGAGGCCCTGGAGTTCATTTAGAAATGACTGCAAACACAGGAGAGGAACGGCGAGGGTATTTATCTGAGAGCGTGAAAACAAACAGGGAGAGAGCGAAGGTTTGAAGGTTTGAAGCTCTCTGAACTCCTGATTAAGTCTCGTTTTATAAAGTATCTGTCTTTGTGTCTTATCTGCAAACACACGCTCAATAAAAACCACATCAATAGAGTGTGATGATGAACTCTGAAGGCTGAGGTATGAAGAAGTCAAATCTGTACTTGACTTAAACCTGCAGGTTTTATCCTGTGAGTGTTAAAACTGATCCAGCTCCTCTTGTAATCTCTGCATGCTCTCCTCCTCCTCCTCCTCCTCGTCTCCATCTCTGACTCTGAGCAGATTAAATCACTTTAGTGGATCTGCAGCGTCCTCCGCTCTCCTGTAGCCGTTAAGAATTCAGCTCTGCTCTTTTACACATTTGGTTGCACTGACTGTCAGCGAGAGATAACTTCAGTTTTTTAAACTTGAAAGAATTAATTAGCTGCAGTCGAGGACTGAGAGAGAAACTGAAATCTTGTCTTGTTAGTGGCTGCAGAAGTCCCAGCCTGGTTAAAGAAATGGCCTCCTCAGCAGACAGCGGTGGTGTTACAGCGTCCGTCTGTCTTAAAGAGAGGAGGGAGGTTTGATCTGCAGCTCGAAGAGGACTGTGTTGTACTTTGGTCTTATGCCTAACAGAGTCACATGAAGAAACTGTCATTACGTTTGAGAGTTTCAGAGTTTGAGAACTCCGATTAGGACACCCAGATAATGTGATTGGAATTCAATTTTCTCTACCATGTAACCAGCGTAGTCGGAGTATGATTGGACAATGTATGTGCGCGTCCGCCACGCCCCCGTAACTGAGAGTAAGTTACCGTGAAACATATAAACAAATCAACCCTACTCTTCACACCGATGTTCTCCTTTCATAACACCAGTCTGGGACACCTGTGGAGCAGCTTTCAGCACTACTTAGCTGGACACAACTTAGAGTGATCGGACAATGTGTGTGCGCCACACCCCTATAAACCTGGAACAAAACCCCCAGAGTAGAGGAGTAGCGTTGGTCTCCTCTTTAGAAAAAGTAGCGCGTCCATCATGTCAGACAAAAACAACGCTGTACGATGCTCCATCTTCTTGTTTCTCCAAAATGCCCAGCAGCAGTTGTAGACACTTCTGACGTCTGACACCGACCTGCTATTGTTGTTGACAGTTGTATGGGGTCGGAAACAGGGCCGTTGAAAAGACCCATATCGCCCCCTAGTGTTGGGGAGGAGGACACGTTCACGTCAATAATTCAGTTTTCTCAGCTGCTAGTAAATGAGGACAAGGAGAGAAGTCTGATTCAGAGAAACAATGAATTATGAGGTTAGTCCGATTAAACTGTGACTGTAAACGTACCGAGTGATTCCTGAAATCAGTTTTGGGGACCTGACTGGGACTGGGAATGTTGGATTCAGGGTTAAATATTAATAAACACAGAATTTGGTAGCGCAACATCTGGAAAATGGGATTGTGACATGAGAAATGGATTTGGACTGAGAGCCGACATTTCACTTCCTTCGATCAAGTATGAACTCAAATTATCTGCAAACCATCACCTCTTTTTTTTATCCGTAAACTTCTCAGCGTTGAGGTCGTTAATTTGGGGATTTTCTTAAATTCCGTCTCGTGCTGCTCAGCGTTTTCATCCTGCGGTAATTTTTCCCTCCTAAGCATGTTCAGAAAGCTGGAAATGTCAAATGCAAATGCGGCGGCGGGGATATTTGCACTCTTAGAGCAGCCGGTGTTTTCGTTCTCCTTTTACTCCGCCGCGGTGTCGGCTCAGTCTTCATACCTGTTTCTCTCGGGGGACATAGCGCTGGTGTCACTCACGTCCATCACCTTCGCCGGCTTCCATGCGTCACCGCCACTGTCTGCCTCTCGAAATCACCTGCAGCACAAAGATCCCAACGTGTGTGTGTTTGTGTGTGTTTAAACTTTGAGTGGCTGTGCTTGAGAAACTCTTCCTTACACTATAACAAGAGTTGATGCTGAAAAAAGGGTCTCCAAAATTCACCTCGGATAACCTGCTGCTGCATGAGACAAGAGAGAGAAGACGGTCCTTCTGTGGACAAAACAGTCATTTTCATTTTCTTTGACGTCTTCCTTTTGTGGGTCTGGGGGGTCAAAGCTAGGCCCCTAATGTTATCAAGTCCAAGACACACTCCACGGCAGGACTCAGAAAGCTGCAAACCAGTCAGGACAGCTCTGAGATCAGTCAGAGGTTAAATTGGATGTTTTTACATGTCGTTAATTCGTCTGAAGTTTGACTAAAATCTTTCAGCACACTTTAGAAAGTTTGAAGATCTTCGAGGTCTCAAACGCCCCGTCAGGTCGAGTCGAGTTTGCACGATAATAAACCTGTTAAACACGTCGCAGGTCCTGTTACTGCAGAATGTGACAACTGTAGTATGCAGCGCTGCCAAAGTCTGACTCAGGGTTCAAGTTTCTGAATGAAATACAAACCAAATAAAGTTCAGATTGATTTCCTGCTCATTCTCGCTTACAGACTTTTTCAAGACAACATGGAGGATTAGAAGATTTGGGAACATTTCCTCACAAATGGTTTCATAATTTTCGTCCAACTTCAGGCGTAGAAACCGTTGGCTTGTTTACTGCGTCTCTGATCATCAGCGGTGTTCAGAGCGAAGCTAAAGGCGTGCTGAACTCCTTTTCTACGCTCTCACGTGGAGCAGCAGTCAGGGGGAAGCATGCTTTGTGTCTGTGTCAGTTTGACGTAAAGTCGATGATTATGAGATCATCTTTACAGCCTGTGAATTTCATATCCCCGATCCCGGTCCCGGTCCTGCTCAGGATTTATGGACTCCATTCTCATCGGGAAAATATGAGTTTTCATTCATGTGAGGGACTCTACCTGCCGTGTCTTCTATACTTCGAGTGCATGGATGTCTCCTCCCTAACGCTCCATAAAAAGAGTCTAAAGCCGTCCACTGACTTGGTAACGATCTGGAACATTTTATTCCTGTATGTAAGTCACTCGACGTGCGCTGTATATCAAATGTCGAAAAAAAAAACGACATCATGAACGCCGAACAATGGCTGGAAATCCAACGAGGATAAAAGATGATGATGTAAGACAGGAGTAAAACCAGGCGGACTGGATCTCCGTCAAAAGGCCCTAAAAGTCTCGATATTATGGGATATCTTTGCGTTTACATTTCTGAAGTTTGTGTGCGTGTTTCACCTGTGCACTAAATTACGTATGCGTGACCATGCGCCAGATATCTCCAACAGTCAAAGAGGATCATTTCCCAGACAGCACATCTGTCGTCGCCCTCAGAAAGATGACATTGTCCTCACACGGAGCGTCTACTCTCCTCTGATAGTTAATGCCTCATTGAAAGCCATTTGCCACCCTCTCCTTAATTGTGGCTAATAATCCAATCCCGCTCTCGGTATCAGCGTGCCAAGCACCATTAAGATAAAATGGGGACATGGAGGAGGGGAGGAAGGCAGACTAATGACATCCTCAAGAAAGTGAGTGTTTGGTTCTAGCTGGAGGTCCACGGTGATACTTTTAAAGTTGATATTATAGAGATTTAACGACTATCAGATAGACACTAACACTTATTACTCTCGTTAAGTGGACAGCTTTCATTCCCCGTCCTGAAAATCATTTTATGACCTCATACCCCGTTTCAGAAACCCGACACTTTGCCATGAGTCTTAAAAAACTGTCCGCTTTTCTTTCCTGGCAAATTTAAAAGTTATTATCGTTAATATCAAAGTCCCCTTTAGCATCTGATTTAAGGCGCCCGTTAGCATTTGTCCCTGTGTCCTTGTTAGCATCTGTTTCTAAAGTGCCTGTTTTAAAGAAGACTGATCCATACAGTCTTCAGCTGTAAACCTCTTCTTAGAGCAAAGTCTCTTCTTAATGAGGTCCATGGATGTTGGTGCAGTCCGCAGACGTGTTTTCAGGGGTCCCTGCATGGCTCGTTTTGGTACCAAGTCCTGGAAGTGAGCTCAGATCCTCTGATTAAGATAACCAGAACTGGACGGAGGTTTTTGAGTCTTTCCTGGAAACCTGAGAGTCCTTTCAGCTGCGAAGGAAAACGGTGAGAAGTTTTGTGTTTTGGGAACAACATCTGCAACGTCGTGATGTGTGACGACACTTCATTGACAACTCTTGTAAAAAAAGGCCAGTTCAAACTGGATTTGAGTCTCAAATGTTAGTGAAACCTGGAGCTTCATCTAAAGACCTTCATGAGGTCTGTAAGACCAGTAACAGCCTCAGAAGGTTTTCTCTAACCCTCAATTTCCACCGCTCCTGGAAAGGCTACGAAAAGTCTGTATCCGCCGATCGTAGATGATCATGTTAACGTGTCAATTTCCACTGACTTCTTTCTGTTCCGCTGCGGATCGCCGGACTCCACAGCTGATCACAAGAGTTCTTTTTTATCTCTGTGTTTCAGGCCATTTCACCCCGATGACAACATGGATGAGGAGATGCTGATTCTAGAAGTCTAGAAGTAGATTTCCTCCTCTGGAAGGACACAATCTACTGCTTATATGGTTAACCTCTGTGGCTAAAGACAACCTGTTATCGCGTGATTGCATGTGAATCCGCGGGTTCTTGTTCTTGTGATTCTTGCTGTTGGAATCCACCAAGACATTCGCCTCACAAACAGATCCGGTAGGAATTGGCGGACGGCAAAAATCGCCACTATTCCAGATTGGAGCCGTTCCGGATGCGGTGAAAACTGGGGGTAATGGGAGACCTTCTAGGTTGTTTCTTGTCTACGTAGCTGTGTAAAAAGTAACACCCCGTGTTGTGTATGGCTAAGTAGTGCTGAAACCTGCTCCACAGGTGTTCCAGACTGGTGTTATGAAAGGGGAGCATTAGTGTAAACAGTAGGGTTGATTTGTTTATATGTTTTACGGTAACTTACTCTCAGTTTTAGCGAAAACTTTTGGTGTCATCCTAAGCTTCTTATACCTAAATTCAGGATCTTGTAGGTGTCTGTTTGAAGGTCTGTGCCGAAAACCCTGATCAGATGGTTTGAAGGTAGAACCTGTCAGACGGGACTCTGGTCTCAGCCTCCCTAAACTGTAGAGACTGTCATGTGGCTCTGAAACTGGTCCCCTACTGTGCAGGTCTGGCTCGGTTTGAGAGCGCTCCTTCTCCTACAGTGAAGTATAATCATTAGTACGGCGTCTAAGTACGTCATGTGGTCTCCGACCTGTCAGAAGTCCTCACGCTCTGGCGTTTTCCTATTTTCCTTTTGCATATTTGAACCGTGAACACAGCACCTGCAGTAGAGGACGTCCTTCTCAGTAATCTGAAGTCACCGTGCAGCTGGAGCGGCCTGAATGAAACTAAACAGACGCACAGAGAAAGACGCTGGCCCCGTGGAGTTTGTTTTGGCAGCGCTCGGTCACTCGCTAAAACTGAACAAATATGAGAACATTACAAAGCGGCTTGGCACCTCGCTATTTCTGTTGCTCCTAATGATTTCAGCTGATATATGCAACACTCCCTCCAAAGCAAACACAGCATGTTAATTAGGCCGGTGACGGTTGACCGTGTTTCCATGGCGAGGACTTTGATGTTTGCCCTAAAACATGTTTGGCAACTGTGTCAAAACACGAACGGTCCGAGACACCCCATAAGACGCCTGACAAGAGCGGTCCAAATGTGGCGGGGACAAATTGAAAGCTACTTCAGCACATTTGTTTTCGACATTTTTCTGGGGCCCTCTCAGGAAACTTGAACTTTCTCCAGCTGATTTAAAATGGGTGCGAGGTTTTCACCCCTCCGACGACGACGAATGTAATCCAAATGTAGCCCCGCCTGAATGCTAATTTGTCATCCACGGGTGAAGGCAACAAAATAATGGGCCTTTGGACTGCAGCCCTGTTGGGGTATCAGGTCCTGCTTGGAGGGGAACATTTCTACTGTTTGCTCGTCAGTCTGAGCCGTCGTGGAGCACAGCTTGTCTGAATTACTCATGAGGTGGACTCACGAGCGAGGGGAAGATGACCCATTTCACTGTTCCACTTCTGTGGCCTCTGAGTCAGACTCGCAGTGAACGACAATCACAGAAATGTTTGTTTGGAGAGAAAACGGCCTCCTCCCGACAGAAGAAGGACTGGTGCTCACACAGACTGTCCTGAGGTCGGGTTGTTGTCGCCTTTTCTCTGTCCGGACATTCATGCGCGAGTTTTCGCTCCACCATCTCAGAAAATGACGTCTGCTGATATTATTAACGTTGGGGGTGTACCGGTCTAATTCATGCGACTGTCACAACACTGAAATATAGATGAGCAGTCGATCGTATGACACGAGTATGTGCTCACCACTACCTTCCAGCGTGCGGCGTCTGACTCGAGGCGATTTCACCATGTGAGGAAACACGCTTTGAAAAACCAGGACACATAATTCAATAATTCATCCCATTTCATTATTCATCAGCGGAGGGTTTTCTTGAATGGATGCTGTTGTCGTGTACTCTCACACTGCTGCTTTTAGACAAAGAGCTAATGACCTCTGTGGGTGAGGGGAACTTTTGTTTAACCTCATCCTGTCGGGTTCCTCTCCATCGTCTCATTATCGTCGTTTTATCACGGCTTCTCTCAGGACTGACGGGGATGTTTCCAACTTTACAGACAGCTTTTATACCTTCTCCATTAGGCTAAATGTTTCATTTGTCCTTGTCACTGTGACCACATCTAAAGGACTGTCATTGTGGGCGCTCTCCGTTCACAAAGTTAGAGTCAGAGAGCCTTTGAGCTGACTTCTCCTGTCACTCACTCACTCACTCACTCAGTCACTCAGTCACTCAGTCATCAGCGGGTCCTCTAAAGTGACTTCTGATGAGTTTCAGCTCATCCTTTATCCTGTTTCTCCTCCGTCTGACACCCATATTTAAAAAAACGGTTCACTGCTGACAGATCGACCTCATGCAAACATGGATTTTACTCCAGTTTGATGTTCACTGAAGATGGTCGGGATGATTTGGGTCTGTTTTCCACTTAGGACAAGTCTGCAAAATAGTGTTGTGTCGTTCACGAATGATTCATTCAAAAGAACCATATCGTTCTAGTAACTGTACTGAAGTGAATCACTTCCTCAAATGATTTGTTTGTTTCTCACTTCAGTTGAGCTGTCACCAGCGCACCTGCCACAGCACGCAGCATTGCAGGTGAGTGAGGGACCACGAGCGCCAACGCCTAAATCATGCAGTGAATAAATCAAGCAGGAAACAAATCATACAGTAAACAAATCATTCAATGAAAAAAATCATTCAATGAAAAAAATTATGCAATGAACGAATCACGCAGTTAACAAATCAGGCAGGAAACGAATCCCGGAGTGAACGAATCATGCATTGAATAATTCCTGCAGTGAACGAATCACGCAGTGAACAAATCACACGTTGAACGAATCCTGCAGTAAACGAATCCCACAGTGTATGAATCCCACAGTATACGAATCATGCAGTGAACGAATCATGCAGTGAACTACACTGTTTTGAATCATTCTCATCTGAGGGTTACACTTTCATGACGACCGTGGTTCCCCGTTGTTTCAACAACAACAACAACAACGACCTGCATACAGCAGGACTCAGCATGAAACAAGTAGTGTATAAAACCTGCAGTTTGAGAAATTCGTGACTTTCTGATCCTATCAATGCAGCAGTTTACGAGGGAATGGTTCATGTTCAGTGTTGTATCAGTTCAGGAAGTCGGAGTTGCAGGCTTCTCTCGCCAAGCGCTGAATGATTCAGTGAACAAATCTTTTGAACGAATCTTTTTAGTTAGAATCTTTTTTTTTGTGGTGTGACGTATTTTAAGATGTTAAGAGTGATTTTTGTGGAAAGTTGAAACCGTAGATACTTCCAGAAATCCTCTTGAGTGCAGGATGGCCAATCAGGAAAGACAAAAGCTAATTCAGCTAAGGCAGCAACATCAGCATGACGCAGATATGTGCAGGAAAAATCAACCATCAAATCAAACAGTTCTTTGGAGGGCATGTGAGTGCAGATGTCCTGATGGTAGACTTCACAGCCACTTTAGTCTGTCCTTGAGCTTCTGGCTGAAGAAGTCATCTGAAAACCTTTGGAGATGTAGTCTCAGTCACCGAGACGCCGAGTTTATGAAAATGAGTCCCAGATTTTAAAAATAGCAGAATTTCACTCCTCATTATTATTTTCATCTCTTCATCTGAAACAATCACACCGAGTCGACCAAAGGAAGTCAGATGAAGTTCACGTCTTTGATGAGAAATTGCAGAACTGTTGGAGCTTCTTTTACCTCCGAAACAACAACTTGGAGAGGGAGCTTTTAGTCACCTCAGAGTTTTTGAATGAAAGGAAACTGCACAGGGTTGGTGTTTGCTGAAAAGAGAATTAAATGAGACTTGAACAGGGTAAAAAGAAAAGTCACTTTTTAAGAGAAAGGAAAGTGAACAAAGATAAGAAGTGAATCACTCAGAGTCAAAGCTGCCTGTTCAGTTTTCAGACAAGTCTCCACATCTGGCAGCTTTCCCCCCAAACTGCTGGAGAGTCGTCTGCTGTTTCTAAGATACAAAACCCCGTCTGAAGTGTTTTCATGTCGAACAGGCTCCACATGTCAGCTTACATCCACTGCAGGAAGTCAGATCTGTGCATGCTTCACATTTCAGCTGATTTCTTTTGTTCTTCAGTGAAAATAAAAAAAAACTGCTGAACCAAAAACTTGATGAGTGACATTTCAGTCAAAATAACGTTTTAAAATCCGGGTGTGCTAACTGGATCCTGCAGCTGCATAATCTCCATCAGTGGATGGAGTTTCCACAGTCGTCATGGAGACAGGTTAGTTGGAGTCACACGAGCGAGGATAACTGCAGTCATGTGACCACAGGTGTGAGTTCATTAAGGAGACGGGAAGCAGCTGAGCAGAGAGGACGTTTGAACAAACCCGTGGATTTTAGCCGTTGATTATATGATCAGTCTAATAAAGTATTTAAACAAGACTCATGTATATGTCTTCTTTTTTTAACTTTAAGTTTCTTTATTCTTTATTTTCTCTTTTTGTGTTTATATTTATGCTGCTGTAATTTTGAAATTTCCTCCTGTGGGACCAATAAAGGTTTATCGTATCTTAAAGCTTTAAAGTAAAATCTAATGTCTCTGTGAGTGTTTACGCAGTAGCTCATTATCAACCCAGAATTAAACAATTCTGATGAGTCATCTAAATCAGAGTCTCCAACAGGGTGACCATATTCTGAATCCCCAAAAAGAGGACCTGAATACGCAAGGGTGGAGTCATGGAGTCCCGCGTAGAGAGTTTTTCAGGTCATATCAGAGTTTTTAAACTCAGTTAGTCCACGCGACATAAACTCAAAACTTCCACACAAAACCCGGACATTTGAAGGATTTTATAGCCCCCCCCCGGACAAACCCAGACAGCCTCCCAAAAAAGAGGACATGTCCGGTAAAAGAGGACGTATAGTCACCCTAGTCTCCAATTACCAGGACTTGAAAGAATTGAGCAATGAAATCCCAAATTATCAGAACTAAAGTGCACCA